AATCAAATTTGTTCAAATGTAAATTTATGACACAAGAAGTTGAATATTGTGGTCGTAATTTGGGTTCGAATGGTTTAAAACCATCTCTTCAAATTACTCAAGCTATTCGTGATATGCCAGAGCCTACTGATAAACATTCTTTGCATCGTTTTATTGAAATGATTACTTACCTTGCTAAATTTTTGCCGAAATTGAGTGAACATACTACAAATTTATGTTTATTGCTTAGAAATTATGTTGAGTGATATTGGAACAAAAATAAACGTAATGATTTTAGTATGCTTAAAATTATGCTTTCCAATATGCCAATTTCGAAATTTTATGATTGTAACAAAAGTGTAACTTTAACACGTGATGCGTCCCAGAAAGGGTTGGGAGCTGCTTGTTTACAAGATAATGTACCAATTGCTTATGTGTCCCGTGCATTAACCGATACTGAAACAAGGTATGCACAAATTGAAAAAGATCTTCTAGTTGTTGTTTTTACTTGTGAACATTTTTTATCATTATATATATATATATGGTAAAAAGATTTTGATTAAATCTGATCATAAACCCCTAGAATCTATATTGTCGAAACAAGTCAGATTGCAAAAAATAGTGCTACGTTTACAAAAGTATGATTTGGAAATCATTTACAAAAAAAGAATGAAATGTACATTGCTGATACAGTGTCCCGAGCATATGTTTCAAATGATAAACCTGTTGATTTTATGCATGACTATGATGATTTTGATATTCTGACAATTGTTTCTATTTCCCCACCAAGTGCACATGAATTAGTTGAAAAAACCAGGACTGATCAAACATTACAAGAACTGATTAAAATTATCAAGCATGGATGGCCTAATACTGTAAAAAATTTGCCAACTCAAGTTCAAAAATATTTTCCATTTCGAGATGAACTTATTAAACATGATGGTGTTGTGTACGAGTTAAATAAAGTTGTTGTTCCTGAGTCACTACAACAAGAATACATTACACAAATACACCAGGGACATATAAATGTTGAAGTTAAAAAGAACCGTGCACGTGATTATTTGTTTTGGTGCAATATGTCCAAAGATATCGAAGATGCTATTTCACATTGTTCTGTTTGCAATAGTCTGAAGAATCATCACTTACCATTACCAAGATCTTACATTTTGAGTCTGATGGAAGAAGATATCGTCGTAATCGAAGACATATTCTTTGAAGCAAATGAATCTTACTATCCTCGAACAGAAGAAGATATAGATTATTCTAATTTGTCTGATTCAAATGCTGTTGTTTCAAGTCAATCTAATATTGGTATTGAAAGTCCTAATTTTGTGGCCAGTATGACATTTACTAGAAGTGGAAGGAGAACAAGGCCAAATCCAAGATATCACTCTAGTAATTTTGTGAATAAATATTGCATTTTGTAGCTTTGCTGATGGATGATAAATTGTTGTAAATGAGATTTGAACATTCCAGTTGCCATTGCTATATTGTGCATAAAGTGCATTAGTGTAGTATTTTCATGTGTTGATGTGTTGGTATTTATTTAAAGAAAAAGAGATGTAAGATGATATGTATGACGTCATTATTAATGCTATTCTCGTCACCTTTGATCCTGCTTGCTTAGGCTCTCTCTTGCTTGTACTGCATGCTGCTGAGTGATGCGATCTATGATGTCTATGTTATATTCATAAATATACTCAAGCATCCTGAACAGATGTGTGTTTACCCACAAACAAACATGTCCTATTGTTTGCCAGATTATTTCGGAGCATAAACCTTCTAAGTAAGTACCAAAATTGAAACGAGACATGAAAAAACTTTCATCTTGATGCTCAGATAAACTTCAGCAATGAAAGTGTAAATCCTGAGGTTGAAGCTTTTAACTTTGACGCGATCACTTTGTCCTCAAACTGAGAAATCTCATTGAAAAGCATGCCTCATTGAAAACATTAACTATAGAATAAAACGACCATTCGAACAAAAGCCCCGGATTACTCCGGGTACACTTTGCGTTATGACTTTCTTGAAAAATCGATCCAATTGGCATTTGCAACATGTTTAACAGTTATTTCTCTCAAATTGGCTAAATAAATCATCATTGTTCCTAAAGGAGACCACTGCTCCTGAAATTGAAATAGTTGTTAGCTCACTTGTACAACATATACGTACGATAGTGGTATAGAAAGAGTTCACGGCACATACACATGTATTTTAAGCATTTATGCCAAAATTTTAGTTGCACTGAAGTTATGCTGAATTCTATCATGAATAAGATATACAGAATATGTCAAATACAATGGACTTGTTACTTCAACTTCAATAACAGAAACGTTGTTACAAAACACTAATGGAATGGAATGTAGCTAAAGCGACGAGGTGATTTATGAATGCTGCAAATCCTGACCAAGCCTCCACCAAATCAAAAAAATGAATTGGAATTATAATATTTTTGGGCTCTCTCGTCAGTCTTTGTAGGCAAAATAGATCCCAATCACGGCAGAGAAAAACATGATTCCTAAATATGATTTTAGCCTAATTAAAAACTAATCAACTAATGATAATTGTCAGACCCTTAATTAATTGACGTTTTAAATGTGGAAAATCAGAGACAATAAATACCTCAGAGTAAGATTGTGATATCGAGTGATATGCTGCTTTGGACAAAACTTCTTCATTTCAAAGATAACTATATATACCGCTATAACTCTACGCGCATATTCAACACCCACAGTTCTATAAGCGCAAATAAATCGAGGTGAAGAATAAAGTGTATAGACCAGGGGTGGGCAACCCCTGGCACGAGTGCCAAACTTGGCACGCGAGCCCATTTATTCGGCACGCGAGCGAGGCCTCGGAAACGAGATCATTCTTCTTCAGATGAAAAGTTTCTAGACTCTGAATTATCTGATGAAACTTTTCTTCATTTCAGGTAGTTTTATGACGTTGTACAGCTCGTGATGGTTAGAGTTATCTTCTAACTTACTGTTATAAATTGATTCAGACGAAATATAAGCGATTAAGGAAGGGAATCCGAGAGAGAAGTGCAGAAAACAAACTATTGCGTGATTGGAATGCCATTTCCAAAAATTTCTCGTGTCTGAAAAACTTTGCAACAGCATTACTCTCCAGTTTTTATCTACATATGCTTGCAAATCTCTGTTCTCAGGAACTTTTATAAGTTTTGTAATAGCCAATAGTTCGTGCATTTCTTTGAAGTTACGAAATATAGACCCAATGTAAAATCTTTATCAGCGATAATGCAGCAGCAGAAGTCTCAGTGATATAGAATAAAAAAAGTAATCAAATTTATTTGTCGGACAGATATTTTCCCGAATAGTGAATCTGTCTGTACATGTTTAAAAGGTTTAATATTGTGTATTTATGCTTTGAGAGTAGCAAAGCGTTGTTTTTAATTTTAGTCGGCACGCGGAAGCATTTTGTCGTTAAATTTAGCCGATTTTGGCACGCGAGCCGAAAAAGGTTGCCCACCCCTGGTATAGACTATAGACATTGTTAAATTCACTTGTAAGAGAAGTTTCACTCTTTACTTGAATCTATCGCCAATATATCTAATGAATCAGTCGTGACTGCGTAGATATTCCCAATGCAGCGTCTTACGTATTATTCCCGTTTTATATCCTATGCTCATATTTTATTGAACCATAAATTGATCTTATGGATGTAAATATCAAGTTTACCTAAAATTACCATAAAGTTTGTAACTTGTATTGCTTTTTACTGGCAATGTTTGTGAAAGCCTGTCTACTCATAGAATATTCGATATCGTGAACATTTCCTAATTCCTCATGAAAATTTATTTCCAAAATCTAATTTATGAATATTTTTACGATTAAAAAAAAAACATTCATGACCCCATTAAAACCTTAAAAATTGAAAGCGATTGTTCTTCTTAAAAATAATTCCGCGCTTTTTCGGTAAACTTTCTCCCGCGCTCTCTCCAAATATACTAATTGAGGTAATCAAATTTCGTGAAGTATGATCACAAAAAGAGCTATCGCAATGATTTTAGCTACAGTGAATCATCACAACAATGTTTTAAATTTGCAGATGATACATCCGATTTTGGGTCCCCGTTTAAGATAACCCGCGTGCCGTATTTGAAATTGAACATGATCCATTGCTGCCGTTTAATTGATTTTATATTGAAATACATATACACATATTTTAGACTCAATTGCCTAATGTGTTTGAAAGTGCAAAATCCTCTTCAGTTATATAATTCAAAAAATTTTATTATGCAATTGAACTTCAATAGAACGTTATGCAACTAAACATTTGACTCTGACGTGACTATTCCCCGTGGAAATAATTTTACCACCATGCCTCTGTGCGTTTGTTTCGATTTGCACAGTTAGTTGTCAGTTCGAGGTCGACCCCCAACATTTTCGAAAGAATGAAAAAGTCGCTAATAACGCGCCCGTTTGCATTTTGTTAAAATCGTCAATTGTTTTTATCAGCGTGGCGTGTTATTCAATCCTAAACACGTTCACGTTAGTGTTTAATCCACTGAATCAAATATTTTACTCAACACACACATATATCTATATATGTCTTGTGCCACGAGGACGATGGTAATTACTTTTTGTTCTTGCAGGGAACTGTGAAACCAAGTTGTTATTGTTCTTGCACGGAACTGTGAAACCAAGTTGCTATATAAACATATTATCGGCACTTTACCTCACATTTCATGTCCCCAGATTACCTTAGTATTTCACAGCAATAATGCTTTTTATTAGAAATAATTGCTGGTAGGACTGAAAACATTTAAAATAATACGGAAAGAAATTTTAAATATCCCCGTATGGATTGATTACTTTGCGCAAAAAATGAACAATCAGCAAATTCGTTCTAAATCGGCTTTTCAATATGACACATGTTTTTATTGTACTAAATTAAATCGTACTCTCTGAAATTATATAGCAGAGTTTGAGATTTTTCAACGGCAATGAGGGATCCGCAAGATCGCAAAGATACCTATCAGAACTAAATATTTTGTGGCAGTTTTTCTCACATTTTTATGTTTGCAGATTGCCGTGGTATTTTGGAGTAAAAATGCTTTTATTTCGTCGTAAGTCGACGCAGTCACGAGTTACGTTGAACACAATTAAATTGATACAGAAAGACATTTCAAAATTCTCGTAGATGTTATGAATATTTTACTCGACAGGAAAATTCTTATACGCTGAAAAGTCGGCTCTATTCAATGTTCGAAATGAAAGACAAGACAAGCTTTGTGGTATAAGCAAGTAATTGTGAGACAAGCACTAACTAGTAACTTCAGCACGTAATCGCCTCCTACCCTTTTGGAAATCCTGGCTGCGCCCTTGCTCACGACTAAGAACTGTATGATTAATAAAACTTAAATAAACATTTACTCCGGGCACATATACATAATCAAATTGAATTAAACATAAAAAAAAATACAAATTTTTGTGGGGATTTCTCCGTTACTCCTATTATCACCAATTGTTTCTGGAGCCATGATCTCGACAAAAAAAGACAAGGAAGAGCAATAAATCACAAATATTTCTGAACACGTGTAATCCCGCTGACGTTCTGACTTGAACTGATGCATGCTGACGGGTCGAGTCGCGAGTGGCAGCCGAGACGCGCGGTTCAGGTGGCGTCATCTCCCTCGGCCGCATGGCTCGCGTGCAATCATAGCTGAATGGTCGCCGAGAATTGAGTAGGGGAATCCTTGCACCGATTTTCAACAAAAGTAGCTGAGTTTTTGTTGAGCACTACGACTTTATCGACAATAAATGTTCGAATACGAGTTAATTGAGTTGGACAGAAGCTGACAATAGAATAACGGATAATGCAATAAATGTCGACATTGTTTAGTTCGAAGCTAGTTTGATTATGCCAGAACTAATAATCCTTTGACAAACGGATGTCAGTACGCAGTTGATCATCTCTTAGGATAAGGCAGCGTTGTATATTTTGGCACCTCACTATTATATTGAGTGGTGGCCTGTCCTGAATGATACTGAATTTAAATAATTAGGTAATTATCCTAAGCAATAGCCTTGCAAAAGGGTGCAACTACCAGAGCGATTATCTATTTTCAATTTATAGGAAAATCAGAAAGTTACCGCATATAATAAGTTGTATTTATATGTATCGGCTATATGAAAGAGCATATTAGGTAGTTTTATAGTAACATGGCAATCCTACATCATTCATAAAAGAGAACAATAAACCGTCTGTCTGCCTCGTGCTTTCAGACGGATAAAAAGACGAGGGTGAAGGTATCCATATCATATCGTTTAGGGAAATAGATTCTGAGAATCAATAAAAATGAATGGAAAAATGCATATCGGCAGAAGTATGATTATCTTAGTGATTGTCACTGCTCGAAAGCTGTAGCTCAATTAGGTTTGTTTAGGTCACCAGGGGAAGTTTTTATTTGAATATGGTTCTTGTATTATCAACTGATGAAATAAATTGAGTTTTTGATCAAGTTGTGGTGGTAAAGGACTTGGCCTTTTTTAATGCATATGACATGTGGTAACTGCAAACCATATTGGTACATTAACAAATGAGATAATTAATTTCACAAATGCAAAAAAGTGTTGATTACGAGCTGTTTGATTGCTGTTCAATTTGACGTTGTTCCTGCTATATGCCGCTATTATGTACTTGAATGACATCGATTCAAAATTTTGATTTTGTGAAAATGTTTATATATATTATCCCTAACGTAAATTATTAGAGCAAGAATTAGCCATAAGGAATGGAGTCAGCAAATTCATATTTCCTTCCTGTTGACTTTGTAATATTTGGAGGTGAGCTTTGAATTTTTTTTATTGGCAATTGAACATTAGAATTTTGCAAGTGAAAATTAAGTATCAAAATCTGCTACTGTATATTTAAACTATGGACGTGCATTAAATGCTAACTCCCTATTATATGAAACGAGTAAGGATATCATTTCAAATAATATCATGTCCCTAATTGTTCCAGGAATACTGTTTGTCTCTGCTTCGATTGGCGTGTACTTCGCTTACAAGGACAGGAAAGTTCAAACAACAGAAAACTATTATTTTGGACGCAGAAATGTGTCCCCGGTAAACGTGCACTCATTTAAACATAATACGATATGACTTAGCAGTTCGGTGTAAATGCAATTATCTTAGAAACTAATATGGAGCTTACAGAAATAGTCACCTACTTAAATGCCATTTACTCGAGACGAATCTTGACTTCCTCTGTCATTTTCCGAAATATTACGTGATGATTAAATACAGTACTGAGTTCATGCTCATCAATGTTTCGAGACGCTTTTTATATATTTTCCAATGATTGAGGCAAGCTTTAAACCTTTTCGATTTCAGATTATTGTTGCAATGTCATTATCAGTGTCATACATATCAGCGCTTACTGTCATCGGCAATCCAGTCGAAGTATATCTCTATGGTACGGTATATGCATGGACCGTGGTTGCAAACCTCATAGGATTTATTGCTGCTTCAATATACTACATTCCATTGTATCATCGGCTTCGTATAAAAAGCGTTTACGAGGTTAGCTTTGCATTTTGATGACAACAATTTTTATATTCGTTTCAAGTTTAACGAGTTAGAATTTTTGTGCCAATCTATACCCAATATGCTGATATTATACGTCGAAATTCGCCGTATTAGCTTTCAAAATATAAACCAGGCCTCTATATTTTCTCAAATCAGAATTTCTCACGGTATTTTCATCGGAACATTACTCATTCATTACTATTTTACGCCATTTCGAATTTGATTTACATCAAAGTGTTTCGTATAATAACAATAACATCAGGACTTGTATTCGGGTGTTTGTGAAATCGTTTTGAGCAAAATTTTATAGGAGAAAATGATTCAATATGATTATTTTTAACTTTCAATATTTCACATTTCAACAGTATTTGGGTCGACGCTTTCATTCTAGAATACGATCATTTGCTTCCACAATGGCGATGCTAGAATTGGTAAGCTATTTCAAGTTATAATTAGAAAAAACTTCAAAAATCAATCAGTTCGATTTACTGCGTAGCAATTGCGGGCAATTACCAGGTGATTCCGATAACACTGATTCGCGAATAAAAGTGGTATACACGTAATTACATGAATCAACAGCAACTAACATTACTATGTCATAAATGTGATATAAACTTGAATGAAATGTAACCTGAAATGTATTTTCAGACATTTTACCTGGGAATAACTGTATATCTTCCTTCTCTTGCGTTGAGCGCAGTGACACCTCTTGAGCTGAACTGGACAATTGCATTGACAAGTATCCTCTGCACATTTTACACCAGCATCGTACGTTGATTTTCGAACAATCAAACTGATAAAATTACAAATTTACGCACAATGAAATGTAAAATATTGAAAAAACTAATGAAATTAGGCATCACCAAAATGATATCACGTCGATATATTTACATCGATTCAGGTTGCAAAAGAATAAAAAAAAGTCGAACAATGAAAAATAATCAAATTTGGCGTAAAATATAATATTGTATAGCATAAAGGAGATTAACTGTACTTATTTTGATGGCGGCCCTATTTGTCATTGTACGTTTTGATTGTCATTATCTTTATGGTTACAGGGAGGAATGAAGGCAGTGATATGGACGGATGTTCTGCAAGGTGTTATCATGATTGCAGGAATGCTTGCAATTTTCATTCAGGCAATAATAATGTATGGAGGCTTCGGACCAATAATAGATGCCGCAGACCGTGGAGATAGAAATAATTTGTTCAAGTAAAAGTTGCTCACATAAATTTGTCTAGCACGCAATTTCTACAATAAATTATCAAATTAAATTCGGAATGCTTGCATATAAAAAAAATAATAATTTCCATTTTTGCGCATTGTTGACTCTAGACTAGACATTGATCCCAGAGTTCGAAGTACCGTGTGGACGATTGGAGGTGCATTGGGACTCAGTTCTTGTTATTTGAGTTGTTGTAGTCAAGTCACAACACAGAGATATATGTCATGTAATTCAGTTCGATCATCTAGAATGTAAGTATATATTAGGAATTGTAGTAAGTACTTTTTTCGGAAACATTTCGAGATATGGTATCATTTTACTAGTTCAAAGATTCTTACTAATTGAACGTGAGTATAGAACATAAAGTACAGTATTTGCTAACTGATTACATTTACGTGCCCAATAAATTGTTAAAATTTATTGCTTCAACTGCATCCTATTTATGAAGCGCATTCAACTCATATAAAAATCGCATCTGGAAAGCTTTTAAATTAGGAAACACAATACAACACGCAGGATTTCACACTCCGTGTTTTCTAGGCATCGTCAACATTGGATAATTTCATTCTCATTCTGTTCATTCTATTAAGAGCTGCATTGTTACAATGGATTCCTGGCACAATTATGGTCCTTCTCTCCATTGCAAATGGTTTAATTATGTATGCTTATTATGAAGGATGCGATCCACTTTTATCTGGTGCGATTGAGAAAAATGATCAGGCAATGCCTAGGTTAGCCCTGGAAATATTTCGAGATTTGCCTGGCATGGCTGGAATGTTTGCGTCGGCTGCATTTTGTGGAACGCTGAGGTGAATTCAAACACAAATTTTTTGATAATTATGGTTTCAAAAACACCAATAAATTACATATCGTATTTAGAATGTTTGTATTTTGCAACCTATTTAAAACTTGAGAGCCCAAAATCTAAAAGGTTTTTGTTTTTGTTCTACGGGTTTTAAATATTTCTGGTTTGTGCGAAATTGTATTGCGGTAACAACCAATTACGGTGTTTGGCCTGAGTTACATGTGATTTACATATGTATTCTTCGTGAATGGAAAAATAGCAATAAGTTTTTGTGATTCTTGTAGATTTTTGTTTCAAATGTTACTCAATAACTGTGTCTGATTGTAGCACAATATCATCGGGAGTCAACTCTCTATCAGCATTGGCGCTGGAAGATTTTGTCATTCCATGTTTTCCAGCGATGTCGACAACAAGAAAAATGGTTTTCTCCAAAGTAATGAGTAAGTTATTTTAATTACATGCATTGTAATCCAAAATATACACATTTTATAACAATAATAATTCAGTTCAATAACAACAGACAATATTTTACGCATTGATATCATGAGATTGACATAATTGAGATATGATGATTTTTAATGTCATAGCTAGACCTTGATTGATAGGTTAGTTTGAACGATTATCTTTGCTATTCTGCAATAATATTTTTTTAATTTACACTTTCGAAATTCATACGTTACGTAAAACTAACCAAACAGCGTCTACTAATGTGTTTTGGGTACAGCTGTAATATTTGGAGGAGTGGTTATGGGAATAGCGTACTCCGTTTCGCTTTTGTCTTCAAACATTATCCAAATCAACATGATAACCGGAGCTGTTGCAGCGCCAATTCTGAGCGTTTTCACCATGGGCATGTTCATGCCTTGGATTAACAGTTGGGTACGTATGTTTTTTTTAGCAAATTATCATTACTTGAAACTTGCCTGCCTTACAGGGGGCCTGCTTTAAAAAAGCAGAAGAGACGTTCATTTGTGGTTCATCGAGTCACCCATGTCTTAATGCCAAGACTACTAAAAAGTTCTACATACCACAATAATCTTTATTAATTATTGTCGTCTAGGGAGCTTTGTCAGGAATGATAAGTGGCATTGTCTGTGGAAGTTGGGTCGCTCTGGCTGCGATCAATCAAGCAACCTACCCAGCTACAACTGAGTCCCTACCCTTGTCCACTAACAATTGCACTGTGACAAATTTTTTACATAATGCCACAACTACTTTATCTACCGAATTATCCGAAGATACCACTGCACTCGAACCAATGTCTACGATATCTGAGGAATACGGGTATTTAAATATTTGTTATCAGTTCTGCCCCGTGAATATTCAGACAGTATGAGAGTAATCTCTGAAACAACACATTCATTTTTGTTGACTTATGTAAAAATAAAATTTTAAATTTGTTTTTGCATCCTTTCTAGTTGTGTATTTTCCCTCCTGCCTCAGTTATAATTTTTCTGTCAGGAAAAATTCACACTTATCATTTATTGGAAAATGTGAAAGATTAAATATATATTTTAATTCATTTATATTCAAAACTTCCAACGCCCATATCATATTTAAACAGCTCTCAGTGACTATTCTTTCAAAATAATGAAGATAGTTCTCATTCATTTTAGATCTGTTTTACAATATACCCTGTATTCGATGTCGCCGTTTTTATACGGAACATTTGCATTCTTCGTTTCTATTATCGTCGGGCATATCGTCTCACTGTTTACAGGTCAGAATTTCTGTTGGATAGAATAACATGCATTGCCTTATGTACAAAATTCTGATTATTGTTAACTAGAAATGTTAGGCTAACTTTGTCGAGAAAATCTCACCTTTCCATACGTTCGCCCTGAACAAATAAACAAATGTTTAGAAATGAATCTTTGTGGAAAACATAATTATTTACAACTACTAATTAGGATAGAAATTCTCATGTCAGAAGCTCCTAGCACTTTTAAATATATTATCGTGTTTGTTCAACTGAAACACAGTGGGTGAGGGCACAGTAGCCTTTATAGGTAGATTGAATTGAAGCCGGATTCGTCATCAATTTTTATTACTAAAATGTTATCATGTTTTTTGCACGAATTCGTGACCTGTGGGTCAATAATTCGTCATCCCTGTTCTAAGGAGATTATAACCTTTGTGCAACGCGCTACTAATACTAAAAGTATGTTCCGTGTTTAACTCATATTCTCCATTTTTAGGGTTTAACAAGATATCAAAAGCTGATCCGGATCTATTTGTTCCTGTTATAAATTGCAAAATATTACGTTTCGGCATTCCCGAAAAATCATCAGAAGAAATAGCAGAGAACAGCAAAGAAAATGTTTTTATAAATTCATGCTGTACCGGAGATGATTGTGGTCAAGATTCGCTGGATTCCCCGCATAATGAAAAAAAAGAAACTGTCTTTTAAAATATTTATTGATGCATGCTGTGATTGTCAATATTATTAAAATTTCTTAGATATCCATTGCATTCTTATTAACCTACTGCAAAATTGCTTTTTAGGAGCCGAAATTGCTTAAACCATTGTAACGGATTGTTGAAGATTATAACAAAAACATGAACATGTATATAAATGTCTAAATTTTTGCGTCACAGTGTGATTTTCTATGCGTTGTAAAAACCAAAATAATTTCTAAATTTTTTTTCAAAGTTGGTAAGCGTTCGGCTTTTAAAGATAAAACTTTTCATTGATTAGACTTTTTACTATCTGAACTTTATCACATGTCTTATGCAGATAATTAATTTTTTTTTTATCAATATATTTATCTAAAATGTTTAAACAAAATACTAATACCATCGCCATGGAATATTGTTTTTATTCGTGTTTACAATTCTAGAGTTTGCTTGCTAAAAGTGGGATCAGGCAACTTTCTTTAAAACATTTTGCGATAAAAGCATGTGAGAAGAAATGTGAATAAAAGCAGTAAGTTAACCGGAAGTTTTGCATGGACGGATTTTGGCGGGAATATTATTTTGCAAAGAACTCATATTTTTGATTGAGTATCGCGATCACAAATGGACTTGTAGCGCGAATTTGAAATTTATATTTAATGAAAAAAAAACGATAATTGGATATTGATATGGGTATTACAGTTCCGGGGTAATTATCGTAAATCTCTAGTACATTTGGGAAATTTATAAAATGGAAATGTTGCTGCTCATAATGAAACATAATATTATAGGCTGATAAATGCATTGAACCATTTTCTATTTTACAATCACATACAGTAATGTTCGACGCTGTTGCTATGTTTGCATGTCACGTTTAACGATGACCATGTGTAGTGAACCAATGTACAGACATCTCTGAGTTAATGTTTCCAAATTGATTGCGTTTTAAAAAGAATTCATTGATCTATATATTATTCTTATCTATACCCAATATCTTGCTTCGTAGATAATTCTGTCTCGGCGTTTTTATTAATTTTTGCGTAAGTATTTTAGCAGTCGTTCGTGTGACTTATCAGGTTTATTTATTTATTTTATTTCTAATCTAGTTCTCATAGCATAGACTTGATGTGGCGAATACTTTAAATGGCGAATCAGAAAAATTTATAACCTAAAAAAAATATTTTAATACTCACTATCATAAAATGTTATCGAGTGTCGATTTCGATGACCAAGTTTTATTTCCCATGACTCCCATTCGATTTGCGATTTCAAATAGTAATCGAAAATTTTATTACAACAGTCTCCCAGTAAAAATACTCGCATACAAATCAAAAGTAAACACACATTCCACTGGAGAATCAAAGCTGGTTATCAAGCAGCGATAAAATCGGGAATTCTAGTTTTCGTAGTACTGTTATGATCGATAAGCATGGCTCCATTAACATTAAAACCTGACATTGCCCGCTAGAGATTATGTTAGCTCAATTCACCAGATAAACGGTTTCACTAACTCTTCGCAATCGCGTCTTCCCATCCCATAACGACGCTACTCTGTCGCCCTGAACCCCACGGCGTCGCATCGATTTAATGCGTTAAAAAGCTTATTCATAAATTTGTCATCTAAATGTGTTATATATACTGTATGTGATATAATTTCGAAAGAGGATACAAAATTACTTTCTGAGGACGGGCGGATGTCTTTCCTAGCTTACGTCTAACTTATTTTATTGCAGAATATTTGTTCTCGATTCTAATGGTTTATTTAACAAAATCGATGAACGATTTCGACGCCAACTTTGCGTAGCGATGTAAAGTCCGAATACGACACCGGCCGACAACTTTCATCAGCTCTGGAAATACCCAATTTAAAACTAATGAATCCAAACGTTCGATACGATTTGTACAGGCTTTAAAACGCCAGTATAAACAACAGGTGTGCTGTTTGCCGAAAGATGCATATGATCAACCACCACAACCCGCAAAAAGATTTGCCGAGGCAGAGAGAATCGGTGTTTAATGCACTCATTGCGACGTTTTATTACGTCTAGGAAACGAAGCTAATAATCTAGTCTAACTGGCACAATATAGTGCAGTATTGACGTCAAAAGCTAGTTAAGATATATTAAGAACTGACTTCACAACAAAACTGAAACTGTAAAGCAGTGATCGACAACCTTTTGTCGCTCGCGGGCCAAAATTATGGGTTGCAAGCCTTGGCGCGCCGCACATATTTTAAAAATCGAACGGATGGGCGATCAATCACAATTTTTTCACACAGATCAGAAGTTAAAATATTATATTTTAAATCACTAATCCGAGTTTTAGATGAAAACCTAAAAACATATAACATTATTAGGATACCCGTACGCGTTCGCGAATTTTGTATTGCCCTCTTTGTAGTCAAATGTTATAATCTGACTGCACCGACTGCACGGTGTATATTACTGAGTTCATATTTATTTACCTTATTTACAGTATGTGTATGACGTATTTTGCGCATGTACACTCCTGTTGCGCATGTAATCGTCCTGTTTTAAAACACACAAAACACACCCCAGACGCTGCACGAAAATGGTTCAAGGCATTTTTTTAGGATATGTTATTAAATTCACTCTACATCAGACGCGTTCGACTACCTGAGACGTGGCGATCGCCGTGTTTGCTAACCCTGGGCCAGTGTGAATTGGCATGATAAATTTTATTTTACTGAACCGTACTGTGTATGAATATACCCTCACATCTTAGAAGATCGGATCGAATCACAAGACAAATACATACTGGAATGCAGCCACCAACTACTGAACCAACAGGCGCGTCCATGTTGTACTTCGAATCCTGGGAACAATGTCAAACCTGAAAATGATTGCTAGCGTTGTGAACGTTTTCCTAGCTCTGGCAAATCAACTAGAATCTTTGAGAGTTTGCTTTAAATTATATTTGACTTTAAAACTCGGACATCGGCATAATATGTGTTACATCAAGTTTTGAAATTTGAGAAATTTTTGTTTTCGTTGGCGTCTGACGAATTGTGACAATTGCCATTGAGGCCAAGCTAACGTATATGAGCCAAAATTCATGAAACGTATCCACTTACTTGAAAAAAGGTTTGTTTCCTCGTTCTGCGACCTCCCACATATGACCGAATTCGGAATTCGGCAAAATATTGAATTCCTGTTTAAAAGAGTAGGTCCAAAATACTGGAAGAAAAATATCGACATGTGTATTTTGGGCATTTGTGTCAAATTTTAGTTTCACAAAATAAAGAAAATTTTCGGGCCAGTGCAAGTGGGCCAAAAACGGGCTTTTAGTGGCTCATCGTTACTATCGTGATTGTGATATACTGGATAGCTCAAATTCAATGGCCTCTTTACTTCATCTTCAATCACAAAAATGTTCTTACAAAACAGTCATGGAATGTAATATACTGAAGCGACTAAGTAATTCATGGGTGCTGCAAACACAACCAAACCCACACGACGCCAAAATTTTTTATTTCAACCAGATCGGTAATGAGAGCAATTGCTGATATGAACGACACGGATAAAAAAATTGCGATAAACATCTGAAATGCAATTTTGGGCATTAGGGAAAGTCTATGAATTAGTCAATGCACAGTTCAATTTGTAAAAATACTTATACAAATCCCAAGTTCAATTCAATTGTAGATTATGGGATGAACTAACAGTAAAGTATTGCATCTACCGGTGATACATTTTTCCGAGGTAATAATGATTTTCGAACGTTCAATATCGTCTGTCATTGTACGCAAAATAGATCCCAATCACAGCAGAGGAAAACAAGATTCCTAAACAGGATTTATCATTAAATATTGAATTATCAAATAACTAATTATAACTGTCAGACCTCACAATAAATTTCAAAGTAGACTCATTGATTGAGGAAATTCAAAAAAATCTCCCAGGAGTAAGATTGTGATAGCAAGTGATATGCTGGTTTGAACGAGACTTTTTTATTTCATCACTTTTACTACTTCATATGCCTCAACTAGCTTTACTTATTAATCAGAAGTCATATGTAAATATTAAGTAGATTAACAATGATACGAGCTCAGTTGTGTCACTATAATTGTTCTACACAACCAATGACTCGGAAAGATTGAAAAAAAATGTATTTTCAATCCAACCTCCAGCTCGAATTTGGTCCCCAGAAACTATAATGTAAAGCAGACAATATAAATCAGAAGTAATCAATTTTTTTTCAAAATATTGAGAAGTCGTGAATTATGATCACAAGAAGAGCTTTCGAAAAGCTGACTTTTTAGCTACAGTTAATCAGAATTTATGTTCTATTCAGATCTATAAAAAGTTTTAATTAAATATAATTGAAAATTTGATTCATAAAAAGAACCACTTGAATTTTGATAAAGCCATTACAACAATGTTTTAGAACAGGTTTGCAGATGATACTAAAGGGGAAAATATAAAGAAAGCTCTGCATAAGAGTAAAGCCCGCACAACGATAAGATTAACCCATTTTCATTAAATTCAACATTCTATTAATACAGAGGGGTTAACATTAAAATCTATAGTCATATCCACATTCGCTACAACACATCTTGTCTCGTACACCGGCGCGTTGTGTTTGAAATTCATCACATTATATTGCTGTGGTTTAATAAATTTTATATTGAAATAAACAAGCATTGCACATACTGTAGTCTGTATTTCAGACTTGCCTTAATTGCCTAATGTGTTTAAAATTGCAAAATCCTCTTCAGTTATGTAATTCAAATTTTTTATTATGCAGTTGAACTTTAATAGAACTTTATGCAACTAAGCGTATGGCGCTGACTTGATTATTCCCTCTGGAAATAATTTGACCTTCACGCTTGTATTTATTTTGATTTCGAGAATAATTACCTGCATTTCTTTCAACAAAAACACGATTCGCATTGTCTTTGTACGTTCAGTAACAACGATGATATGCTTTGCACAAAACTAGTGTAACTAATTTCGATCAATAATTCTATATGGATAATAATTTTCTTTGAAATGACAAATGAAGGAATGTTGAAAATATGTTCAAAATTATCAATGAAATTTCCGATTAGAAATTCGAAACGTCGGGGAATTTTGTCTAATGGCTTATACATGATGTGCGTTATAAACATGATCATCAGCCTCGTTGCACCTGTTTCAATTTTTCAGTGACGCCTTATGCCCCAAAACAACGGTTCATTTTACTCACAAAGTAAAAAAAAAGTAACGATGTCAACTGTCTGTCGAAGTGATAATAGTAGTCTTATTCTGGTCAAAAGATATTATGAATGCAATGGTACAAAACGTGAAAATTGAGGTTGATTCGATGACTAGCTTGCTGTTGCATTATTTCACAAATTTGAACATATTGTGGCTATATTGCAGTACTATATACCGATACATCTGAGAGTATATATCAAATAAAAAGTTTTGTATTTTCGTTTTGTGTTTTCGATCTCTGGTGGACAAAGAAACACATTCATCATAATGTTGAAATATGATCAAAATTGTTAAAAATTGAGTATGCGGCTATTTTTGGCATGTGGAAAATTTTAAATCACTGAGGCCCATTGTTACTCACCAACGTTTCACATTTTAGAAATTTCACGGCCTTGCATGTGCATTAGTGACAGAACAATACCAATGTCAAACGTCGGTTGGCGAGTAATAATCGTCCAACATTGGGTATGTTGAAATTCATAAAACTTTTCATGGATCAGTGCATGGAATAGTACTGGTTGTAACATTCGTTCTCTTTCATGCGGCATTAATTTGATAATTGTGATCATTACGTTTAACCACTTCCCCCAACCCCCACTGTTGCACACAACTCCATGAAAGTATTCCAAATATTTTGATTGCTCCAACTGTAGTTGGCTTGAATCAACCTACATCTGATTGCTCATAACTGATTGTTCATGATTGACTAATTAAGTCATAGAAATTGTCATAAATGTTTTTTACGGTTTATGAATACACGACTATAAATCATAATAACCTTTTTCATGCCGCAAAATTAATACATGTTTTTTACGTCACGCTGTATTATTATAAGCTTTCAACCTGACATATTTAATATAAATTTACAACTACCGATTGCAATTCATTGTGAAACAGGGTGGATGCAAAATTTGAACACTGAATACTAAATCATTGTATTAAAATGTTTTGTCCAGAAAGTTTTAATGGGTTTGAGAATTTTTATAAACACCCCGAAACACGCAATCTCTCTTTATTGTAAATGTGTTTACATATTTGCCTGCATTTTTCAGAGCCAATGACGTTCTTTATTGCCATCCATAAAAATATTTCATATTAAATGTTTTCGTATTTTTGATATAGCCAGAGTAAGAATAAATTTATAAAAAACATTTTCGAGCTCTGAGATAGTTTATCGTATCGTTGGGTGGAAATCGAGTAAATAAATTGTTTACTAATTTATTCTAGCCAAAATCTGGTTGTAACGTGTTAATAGGAATGACAGCAACTCTATTCTAATATTCATATCCAAATGCATTTCATTTGAGTAATATTTTATTATTATGCAAACGCATTAATTGAGGCGAGAAATTGCGCCTAAAGTCTTGAGTTTACTTCATAATATATAATTAAGTTCAAGTTTGCTTTGACGATCTTTTGTAAAAATACAGTTTATTTGTAGAAATTGGTCGCGTCACGCGAATGCATTAATTTTGAATTCTATTTCAAAATAAAAATGGGTGCTCCCGAAGTATGCGAACCAAGATGGCGTACATCGGAACGTAACATGGGTAACAGGTTAGGGTTAGGCGATATTTTTTTTCCAATTTTCCTTATTTTAGTCCTATTATCAGTTCGAAGACTAGCCAAGAGCCTCCCGTAGTATTTATACCTAAAATTATGGCCTAACCCTAACCTAGTACACATATTACATTCCTATGTCCGCCATCTTGGTTCGCATACCTCGGGAGCCCCTAAAAATGGGATTTCCTGGCTACAAATAACAGGAATTTGCGCCGAACAATGATGGCAACAAGTTTTTTGTTGATGAATATCGTCCTAATGATAGGCTGGAACGCTCTGTTTATAGTGACATCGCTATGGTTTCTTGTGCATTGACATTACCTCATTGCTCATTTTTCTTTCTCAATAGTTTTTATATCGGCTGAACCAATGTTACTCAGATCATGACAGATTTTACCCCGAGAAGGATGAAGCACAAGTGTTTGGATACATATGATTCGGATTTATAATTCGTCAGTTCACCTCTTGCGTATACATGTATTAAAATTAAGTCGTTTATATGACAATCAGATAGCTCTTATAGAGGGGGAGATCTATTTTGATGTTGATCATATTTTCATAATTCAAACTTATTCTGCATTATCACTTGATGGTTTAATGATATGGTTTTTCTTAAATGACGTCACGAAATGTCACGTTATCCAGAAGATTAATTTATTGGTCAAAAAGATATGGGCATGGGATATAGGAAGAGATAGGCAAAACGCTGCATTGGGATATTTACTCAGTCGCGACGGTTTTTATTTATCAGAACTAACGTCGTCAGAGTTACGAAAATGACAAATGCTTTTACAAGCGGATTTAACATTGTCTATACAATTCAATATTCAACTCGCTTTGTTTGTGCTTACAGGAAGGTACATACTGGCTTGCATAAAAGTTCGATGAAAACAATCCCTAAAGCACAACCTCTGTTCTAGCTAGAAGTGGTATTCATGAGTAAACCTTACCTGCATTAGAAACATTTACATTGGTCATATTTAAAATTATTGTTTATATATACTAAATAATATATTTAAACTAATAGTGTTTCAGTTTTAAATATTTTTTCAAAACTATCACAACTAAATGGAGTCCGCGAATGGATACTTTCAAGTTGTCGATTTCGTTATATTTGGAGGTAAGTTTTGAATGTTTTTGCTTGCCATAATAACAGTAGAAAACACTTCGAAATTCCCATGGTCACAACAATTTCGCCGCTCATGTGATAAGTATAAAATTGGCAAACTGATATATACCATTGGGGATGTTAAATATGCGCACAGAGTTACTTTTTTTATGAGAAAAAAATTTTGTCCAAACCAGCAAAATATCACTTGATATCACAATCTTACTCCTGGGATAATCTCTCAGAATTTCCACATTCAAAACGTCTATTTCGAAATGTATTTTGAGTTCTGACATTTATCATTATTTACTTATTCAATAATACTAAAATCTTATTTAGGAATTTTGTTTTCTTCTGCTGTGATTGGGATATATTTTGCTTACAAAGACAGAAGAGATGAAACGACCGAAAATTATTATTTTGGCCGAAGAAATGTGTCACCGGTAGATGCAACATTTTTTTGTTAATTTATCCCATAATTTACGATAGAAATAAATTAAGGATTTGAAATCGCATTTTTATGAATTTAAACTGTACATTGGCTCATTTGTAGATATTTTTATTGCCCAAACTTGTATTTCAGATTCTCGTCGCAATATCTTTATCCGTGTCCTTCATATCAGCAATTGCTGTCATTTCCATTCCAGTTGAAATATATCTTTTTGGTGCGATTTACGCTTGGACGATATTTGCAGAAATCTTAACTTACTTCGTCGCTTCAAAATATTACATCCCATTGTATCGTCGACTACGATTGAAGACCGTGTACGAGGTATGGGTATTTTGTAAGAACGTTTTTGTGATTGAGGTATTGAGTTCATTGGATCTGGCATGTACAGGATATCCCTATCATGATGGCATTTAAAAATTTTTTTTTTAGTATTTGGAATTACGTTTTCATCCAGGAATTCGATATGTTTCTTCGGCGACTACAATGGTGGCTTTGGTAAGCTATGCAGTTAACATTGATATTAATAAACTATCAAAGCCGTACACGAATATTAATAAATGGTGAGCTTCTCGAACCAGTGCTCGTGTACGAATACTCAGAAAAACTTGTATACCCCTTATTCACAAGACATTGCGTGAAGACGCGTTCCGAAGCCAACTTAGGGTTCAATTTTGGAAATCTTGCCATGCTGTTTTTGTTCAAATCTTTGAATTTTTATTTTATATTACAGATATTCTACTTGGGTATAACCGTCTATCTTCCATCTCTTGCTTTGAGTGCTGTAACTCTTCTTGAATTAAAGTGGACGATTGCAATTACTAGTATAGTGTGTACGTTCTATACCACCATCGTACGTATATGTGGTATTCACTTAAATTCTATTATATGCTTCAATTAGTAAGTATATATATTCTATTGTATAGTTCAGTCGAAAACTTTAAAACTGAAAACCTAAATTTGAAGGCGAAATGCAGATAATCAGACGTGTACAACCTAGTTCCAGAAAAATAAACGGCTTCTCACACATGTACAAAACAATGAGTAGATGGTTTGTAAAATTATTAGGTTTACAAAAATGCATATCCAATAAAAGTTTTATTGCATAGAGAGAAAAAAAACGCAATTCAGCACCACCCCCCATATCCAAGCCTCCCACACCCAAGTTTACTTTCCAGTTTTGAGTCTCAATGTCTCAATAAATTCATTTTAAAAATTATTGAAAAAATCAATATGAGTAAGAAATAAGTTTTTCAGTATATATATAAAATATTCAAATATATAATCAGGGTGGAATAAAAGCAGTGGTGTGGACAGATCTATTGCAGGCCCTTGTCATGCTAGGAGGCATACTTTCTGTTTTTGTTCGCGCGACACTGCTGTATGGCGGATTCGGACATATATGGGATGCCGCAGAACGCGGAAATCGACTGAATTTCTTCAAGTAAGTGAAAACCTCTTGTTGATTGTGGCCCATGAACATTGGGCTTGGGTTAAGTAGTAATTTACATGTAACGGCAGATGACACCGAAAACAAACATTTCCCAAATTTTAGAGATGCTGTGATGAAAGTTGATGAAACACATTAGCGATCATATATATTACGTCGATGTCCGAAGTTTTTTAAGTCAGCCCTCCTTTTAAAACAACCAGATTTAGAACTCTGAAAGATTCTAGTTGATTTTGAAACGTTTGCATAACGTTCACAACGCTAACGATATCATTTTTATTTTCAGTTTTGACATTGATCCCAGGATTCGAAGTACAACATGGGCACGCGTAATTGATTCTGTAGTAGGGGGCTGTTATGTTACATGCTGCAGTCAAGTTACTGTTCAACGATATTTGTCTTGTGATTCGGTCCGATCTTCTAGGGTGTAAGTTTGTATGTATATATTACCGTACAGTAGAATTGAACTTAGCATGTGCATTTCGGGATTTGAAATTATCATACACACTGCTATTACAGCATTCTCAGAAATTAGTTTCAGATAAGGTGGGTTTATGAAGAAGCTTAGCTAACGTCCTAGATTCCTAACTGTTATTTATGTTACCTAATAGTCACATGAAGAAAACCAGCGATGCCCTCAAATTTTAATATGTACTAATTGAGAATTTTTGTCTGTGAAAAGTATTTGATATATTATATTTGTTACTTTTTTATTTCATTTTTCCAGAGCTGTTTGGTTACAATGGATACCTTCTACAATCCTGGTTACACTATGTGTAGGGAATGGATTAGTTCTGTATGCTTACTATGAAGGTTGTGATCCGGTCCTATCGGGTTTGGTTGAAAAAAGTGACCAGGCAATACCCCGATTAGCCTTGGAACTATTCCAAGATATGCCTGGAATGATAGGGATGTTTGTGTCTGCTGCATTCAGTGGGACTCTAAGGTAAGTCACTGAACCAATATAAAAATTCACGGTATTGTTTGATGTGGGACATCAAGAAATACTAAAGAATAAGATGAAACAATAGTTATATATGGCGTTCCTCAGAAAACAGGGATAATCATTCCGAGGTAAATAAGAACTCAATAATATACATTGAGGGACAAAGAGTATAGTACAAACAACTCCGACGCGTACTGGTATGGTAGCAATTGTACTGTTATATGTGTCCGTGCAACCGTAACTATTCTAATATCTGTTTACTTTCAACAGTATACCTAAAGTTGGTTTGTTATTTAATGCTTTAATCAATACATTTTACTATTAAATCTAATATTTATACAACAGCTCAGTATCATCTGGAGTCAACGCTTTGTCAGCATTAGCACTAGAAGATTTCGTTTTACGATTTTTTCCAGCAATGTCTCGGAGGAAGATAATACTTTGCAGCAAATTATTGAGTAGGTTTGATTTATCATTTTAGTCAAATAATACCGCGAATACACTGAGCTTGAAATTTTCGTATATATGCAGGTCTTCTATTTGGCTCAGTCATTATGGGAATTGCTTACCTCGTGTCCACTGCATCTAGTAATATATTCCAAGTCAACATTGTTGTAGCGTCAATATCAACACCTGTTCTCGGTGTTTTTACGATGGGCTTGTTCATGCCATGGATAAACAGTTGGGTATGAATAAATTATTGTGCATATATCTCTCCGAATTATTACAATGGCAGACTTCAATACCGAAACGTGAGAATCCGAAAATGATTTAGGGTATTTTGCTTGAAATATTTTTTATTTTGCAGGGAGCCTTAGCCGGAGTCGTGACGGGTACGGCATTTAGTAGCTGGATCGCTATTTCTGCATCTTATCAAGCAACATTTCCAGCGGCAAGTGAGACTTTACCCATATCTACGGACAACTGCACTGAAAACTCTGCTTTTAATGTCACAACCATGTCTTCAATTGGAAGCTTCACAGATTTTACCAACTTTTCTGATGTGTTCACGATACTTGAAGAAGAAGGGTACTTTTTCGAAATTGCAAATTCTATCTATTGTATTTCTAAGTTTAATTTTAATTTATAAGTTTAACTTTAATTTTAGAATGTTTTTGGCCATTAGCCGCTGCTGCTGAATAGACCTAACCAATAGTAGTTTCAATAACGAGACCATTGCCCAATTATGTCAACATTTTTAGAATTCTTCATAGTATTTACAATTATCATTTCCTTTTCCAAAATTACATATTTTATGAACAATACAAAAAGCGAATGATTTTATAAGAAACTGATCCAACGGTAAGAAGTCTGCCGCGTTGTTCCAGACAAATATACCATTAATTGTGGAAATTCATTTCAACTCGGGTCGATTGAGATCTACGCTAATGAGACGCTCATCTAGAGACTTAACTTAATCTATAGACGAATTGTATCACTAATTTGACAATAATTATTTGTCCATTTGTTCTATTTCAGATCTGTTCTAGGTTACACTTTGTATTCTTTGTCGCCATATTTATATGGACCATGCGGATTCCTAGTTTCAATATTTTTTGGACATGTTGCATCTTTATTAACAGGTAAGTAAATGCTTTCAATATAAACATTACATCATGATCTCTAATTTTGATTGAGTTTTCTATGAAAAAAATCATTTTCGGCGAAAAGGAGGCAAGATCTACAATGTTATTACGCGCAGTTTAACCTCTGAATATATTTATGATTTCATGAAGAATCTAGAGTCGATCTATGATATAAAAAATTAAGTTTATTTATGATTTCTTTCTTTTTCTGCAAAAAACTAGCACAAGAAGATAAGTAAATACTCACACACACAATGTTTCTAAGCATGTAAATAATTGATTGATATCACTGCGTGCGGTGAAAGGTTCCTGTGCTGGTCAAGTTAATACTTGTGTTTCTGAATGTTTGGTTTATTTCAATTTAACCTAATGATTCTTTCATTGACAATATTTTCATTTGTCGAGCAGGATTCAACAAAATTTCAGAGGCAAATCCAGACTTATTTGTCCCATTTATCAACTCCAAACTTTTTCGTTTCGGGATTCCTGAAAGTACACTAGTAGACGGAAAAAACATAGAAGAACAGAAGACAATGCGGTATATCAATGCGGGCTATGACGACGATGAAAATGATCGCGAAACCTCGAACTCTAACATGGCAAAATGCGAAGAAACAATTTTTTGACAAGCAAATATTTAGTGATTTTATGCAAAACATACATTTTATTATTGTATTTTGCTGTATATATTGATTGACACTTCTAGCAATTAGAATTGATTAGCCAGCCTGCAATACCTCGTTATTGAGTCACTCAAAGTCTTATATTTGTTTATTGTATATATATACATACAATATCTCATATATATATATATTCATATCTTTGAATAACTAAATAACCGCTGTTTGATTCATTGTGTTATTTCAAAATCGTTTAATTTGTATAGAGAGTTTGAACTAAATTTGGTGAAATATATTTCATTCAAAAAAGGATATGCTCACTTGAATGCTAATGAAAGGATTGGGATGAAAACAAACGCAAGGATTAGTGAACTAACGCAAAACATGAGAATTGTCACAATATACCAAAAGAAAAGTAAAACTATATTTATGTACCGTTTTGAGGGTAAACTAGAATCATTTTGATTGAAATGTCGGAATCCAAGGTCATTAAAGAAAATTACTTTGATAATTGATTTAGTAGTTGAGAACAAAAGTTTACGAAATGATCTGATGAACAACTTGGGGCCCAATAGAAAAAAAAATAAATGTGAACAACTGAAGAAAATCACCCGCACGACGAAGAGAATGGGGTCACACCTTAACGAATTCGCTATACTCGAAAGCAACTCCTCACCACGAGTGAAACAAAATAATTTTGTATTTTAGTAAATATTCAAGATGATAAATGATATCCTCCCAACAGCTGCTCGTTTATAACACGAGGAATGTGCTATGTGCTGGTGATAATATCTACATCGAAATTCTCTCTCCAATGAACAATTATTGGACATTGGCAGTAAACTGTCCCAAAACATATCAACTTAAAAAAATCTTGGCGCCGAACAATCCAAGTAACTCGAGTGAGGAGTCATTTTTCATGTTTCAATCCATAGCCGTTTTGGAGTTTAGAGCCGTTTCATAAGCTAGGCTACTACCACGCGAGCATAGCCTTAAGTTACAAAAATAATCTGGCATATGCATATATATACAGAAAATATAATCTGCATATACATATAGTGCCAACGCATACAGAGCCAAATGATACACATACAGAGCCAACCAGATATGCTTATATAGATAATGCCGCATGCATATACAGACAACTTGTATGCATATTGCATATACAGTCAACTTTTATGAATATACAGCCAACTCATTTACACATATATAGCGCCGATGCCATATATTATATATGCACATACGACCAATGTCATATGCCAACAGTGGGCAGACCGCGTCTCGCAAGAGTTTTTGTGCGGCACTTCTCGCTAACATTAATTATTATCCAAATTTAACTAAAAGAAATTGTAGTGTAACGTTTTTTGTAAAATTTATTAAGCGGTAAAAGAAGTTTTTATCCATGTTAAGACAAATTATGTTTCAGTATGATAATCGTTATGACGTGGAATTTTAAATTTAAATCATACAAGCGAAAAATCTTACGTCAAATGTTTGTTGCTGCGGCGGCAAAGTGACTATAGTCACTTTGGTTGGCGGTATGGCACTTTGACTCCGGTTAGTCTCGGTGGGATATGTCTTCAAGTAACAAGCGAAAATACGGAGATAAGAAAAGCGCTGTCAAGGCAGAATGGGAAGAAAAATACGCATTCACTAGTCAAGAAAATAAACCCTCGTGATTAATCTGTCATAATGTGCTAAGTCAGAATAAAGTCGGCAGTGTTGAACGACACCATGAAAAGAATCACGAAAACTTACAAGACTACCCACGTAACTCAGCAGCAGTGAGCAGACACAGAACAAATGAGTTTATATTACTACTAAAAAGACAGCACCAATTTATGATATCATTTGGCAAGGAATCCGCTGCAACAACCGAAGCTATTTGTGTTATATCATAGCATATTGCTAATGATTTGTTCTCAGTAATGAACTTTATAAAATCAAAATTTCGTGCAACTTTAACAAATGAACACTTATTTCTGACTTGCATGCGACTCTTAAACTAAAAAACATTGTCCACCCCTGTCATATGCATACCTATACAGCCAATGCAAGATCTTTAATTTGATTAGTTTATATTAAATTAATCAAGTTGCAAGCCAATAATACCGCGTAGCGTAAAGCCTTATCACGTATGAATTTTGCAACAAGAAGAATGTTATTATGATTTATATCCGTGTACCTATTTATCAAGGGCAAAAACATTTATGACATTCTCCATGACCTAATTAGGCAAGCATGAACAATCTTTTATGAGAAAATTACAAATGCAAGCAAAGCAGAAACACATTCCGAATTCGGCCTGTTTTGGTTCATCAGAGTTGGGAGACAAGACTCCAATTCGAGTTGTATTCAAGTCCCAGTTGATGCACTGCACCGGGCGTGGAGAATCCCCTACCATTGCACTCAGCAATTCTCACACTCCACTGATATAACCAAAAAATATGTCATTGTTTATACACAGCATAAAAATGAAAAGTTATATCTTGTCTCCAGAACCGTTCATTCACAGCCACTCAAAAACCTTTTCGAAGGTACCACATACTGAATAGATAAAAAGCTATAAAATAGAATTTTATTAAGATAAAGTTCAAAGAGGTGCATGCTATTCCTTCCATAAAGAGTCACAACAGCTTAGATTTGGGCTAAATATATCACACATATAATGTCAAACAAATTAAGAACATGTGGAAAATGAACATTTGTGAGTGAGTTCAATGAATAAAATTACCAAGGGAAAAGTGCCTGTAAGTATAATTATAATACAAGTCCTGGAAACGCCATGTTTTATCAAATTAAGCCATTTAGCATGGAATTAAATTATATTCCAATCAGGTTTTTCAAACCTCATGTATGCACAAGCTTATAGAAGGGCAGACGAAGTATTTTAATCTCAATCTTTTTGGTGTGGTTTAATGCAGTATTCGAAGTTATTTCTCGGAACCAGCATCAGAATTATATGACAATTTGATTTATGTTATTCTATTAGAAGTTATATCTTATAACTGAATTTAATTGTACTAAATAGAACTGTAGTCTCTTGATTCTGTCTATGCAGATTTAATGTTGTAAAATACTAATTGAATACAAAAAATATACAAAATTCGAAAATTATTTCTTTTCTTGTGATGAAACATCCGCAGGCTTGATAATTGGTTCGACAGTGTTGTGTATGATCCTGTGAGCAGCCAACAGATGTTTTCTTTGAGTGCGTTTAACTGCAACAGATGAACAAATTTGTAGAAAAACATTTGTGTGGAAAATTAAAAAATTATACATACTGGTATGCTATTGTATGGTATTGGTATGCTTAATCATTCGCTATTTGATTAAGATATTTATGCCCGTCCCGATTAAATTATAATCGGGCCGTGTAGAATTCCTAGGATAAAAATAGCCTTCTGGCGACTTCTTCGCTCTACAAGCACTGAAAATTCGAAATTGATTGTTGCAGTAGGACATTGCACATTATGGAAAATTCGAAATTGATTGTTGCAGTAGGACATTGCACATTATGGACATCATTTGGTTATAATTGTATGGAACTAATAGAAGATTTGGAATCTGAAGGTTAGAAAATAACAGAACTGCAGAAAGCTGGAAAGTGAATACCATACCGGTACGGTACCATGCCTTGCAGCATCGTCCAAAACAATGAAGAATGGCATAAAATAAATCAACACTTCAGAATATCAGAGTTAAAGAGGGTTCATTATATGCAGCTCTTTGCTGGCATGGGGTTACAATTTTAAAGACAATTACAAATTCTTCAATTGCACGCGTGCCACAAAAGTCATCTTATTTCAAAGGCTCAAGTATTTATGTTGGATTTCTTGATTTCAAACAAGTGATGTCTTACCTAGCACTGAACAATGTTTTACAATTAGGCAATGCATACATATGGCTCACTAATATTTCAAATGAATATAACTCATTTCTTTTTTTTTTATTATGAGCTTTATCCTTACTCAGTAGATATTATTATTATTTTTTTTTTTCTTTTTACTGCCAATAATTTATATATTTTCAATCACATTTTCAACCACTTTACTTGGATTATGTGGCACTTAGGACACAAGCATATTCTAACTTTTCTTCTCTCACATATTTATTTTTGCTCAAAGGTATTTCATTGTGTGAGTGTGTAATTCAACCTGCTTTTATTGTTTTGATAAATTATCCTACATCTTAATGTTGCTTACCAGCATTGGTAGTTGTATGAATATTGTTTTGGCAAATGGTTCCAATGTATATAGCTATTTTGTATTTTTTCCAGACACACTGCCCTAATCTTTTTTGCTGTGTTCACTACTAGTCATGCTTTGTATTTGCAGCTATTTCAAGCCTGTCTGTAGGCAACTATAGCACTTTATTTTTGTGCTTTTCGAACAACATCATTCTATGATGGCTAACATATTTTTAAGGCCTTATTTCATATCCATAAGGAGCATGACCCCACTTGCATAGCACTCTTATTGAAATTTGCTGTGTTCAATATTTGTTAGCAAACTTATCAAAAAATAATCTATGGAATCAATTTGGAATTTTTTTAATGATTTTGCAAATTTACACTTTATTTCCAATGTTCAAAACTTCATGCTGCCTTTCATGCATGCATTTTTTTTATCTGGTTTGTACATTTGATAAATTATTGATGAATTTTTTATGTATTTGAAAGCAAGATGTTTCCTACAGCTATTTACTTATTTAGCAATTCACAATCTAGAATTCCAGACCCAGAGTTTGCTGCATTCAAATATTTGAAATCAACTTCATTTATATATAATATATATGATATGTTGGGTAAATTCTGGTGATTACCATAATTGGACGGAAGAGGTCGTCAGAAGTCTATTACATTTAATTTATTCTACATAAATTTTGATATTTTGTGTAAGTTGTCCACAGATCCCTTAAAAAGCATTGCCCGATTCTGAATCGTGTTTTTTGTATTCTTGTATTAATATTTTTTTCGGTGGGCGGGCGCGTACTTTTACGTTTTTTAACTTTATTTTAAGTTATGCTCGCCTTCCAGGTATCTCTGCATTTTGTTTGTTTGTCCAGTTTTTGTGTTGTTTTTGTTTTTATGTCAGAGTACCGAAATAAATGATTGATTGATTGTTAAAAAAATATTTTGATGGCAATCATTGGTGTAGTAATGAATGTCTTTTGTAAATAACTTTGTTATCACGAATTCTGCAAAACCTAGATTAGATCTAGATTTATTTCAACGACCAAAATGTCAAATTAGCATATGGCTTGACAAAAATCAAAAATTTGGCAGTCACACAAGGCTTCCACCAGATTGATGCCTTTGTAAAAATACATAGATACAAAAGTGATACCTTTATCTCGTGCATTAACCTTCAATACCTCGGGCAGCAAGAAATTATGTACAAGTTCAGAAACTATCTCTTCGGACTGTAGCAATGTTCGCCTGTAAAAATAACATCTGAATTATTTGCATTGATCTTTATATACAGTATATATACTAAATCAAGACTCGAGATATATTTTCACCAAATTGCACCTAACTTATAGAATATGCAACTATTTTGGTTTCAACACACAGTTGTTTCGAGTTTTCAAATATAAAAATTTTTAGAGGCACTTTCACACCTTCACTCTGAACAATAAAATGGCCCTGATACAAAAAAAGGTTCTATTTATTGGCAAAACAGGAATCTGGCAGTTCCGGTTCAGCTTTGTCTACACAATTTAATGACACCCTGGTGAGGTGGTGGGCATGGAATTTAGACCAGATATCTTTAACCTGTGACACCTTCTTCTGGATACCATTAGTCATTACAGACCTGTCTTCTAAATCGTAAGCAACATCGTTAATTTTGTCAGCATGTTGTTGGATTTCTTGTCTGGCTTGTTCATCTGCTGTTGAATCTACTGCATCCATAATGATATCTTCAAGGTAGGTATCAACAGTAGATTGATGTACTTTGAGAACCTTAATCATATCAAATTCAGAGTGAAGACAATTTTGAGTATTCTTGAGAATTTAAAATGTAATCATAACTCTGAAATGCTTAGTAAAGACAGTCATATTTTTCTTAAATAACAGTACACATTCCAGTATTGCATGAAGACCTCATCAACTAATCTAGGTCAACTATATATACAGAAAACAATTCCGAATTTTGTTTCTAGAAATTTAGTCAACCTCTGTTATAACCTAATAATCTGCATTTGCCTCATACTACACAAATAACATTTCAATCCCGCCAACATTGTCATTGTAATAAACAATGAAAAGATGCCTCAGATTACCCTGAGCAAGTTTGAATCCCGCAAGGAATAGTCATGTATACTGAAAAGAAAAATTTTCAAAAATCAAACCTGCTTGAAAATTTCATCTTCCTCTCTTCTTCTCCTTTCTTCAACTTGTCTCCTTCCTGATTCTTCTGCTTCTCGAATTCTTCGTCTTCTTTCAGCCAACATGCTGTAATGAGTTCACCAGATTAAATATCAAATTAAAAAACGTAAATAAATAATGAAAATTGACATCAAGTAGACTGCTATTTTAGAAATCTCAACAGTGCATTTGTATTTCGAATGACATGAACTGATCATAAACAAACTGATGCAGTACAACGTCACCATAACTTTTTTGATAATATATTCATGATTTTGCCAAATAAGCTACAAAATTTAATTATGAACAAAAATTTTGATCTTAAATTCTTGAATTTTTTTTTTATTTATTTAAGTACACTATACATTTCATTTTTGGTGGAAGATATTGTTTATAAACATAAAAAATGAGATAGAAATATGAGAAAACCTGAATGCATGAATCCTTCTCTCTTCTTCCAATCTAATAAGTTCTTTTGAAAGGAAATCCAACATGTCACCCAATGTTTCACCTTCCATTTGAGATAGTGCTTCATTGACATATCCTTCCTAAAATAAGATCAAAGAGATGGTGGAGATATTTTGAATGCATCATAATTACACATGGGATGATATTTTTATTGGAATGATCTTTCTCTCAAAAGAAAGAAAACTGTTTTCTGATATTAAATATTTCCGAACTTTACTCAATGTCAAAATTGCAACCTATTTATTCAATTTCTATGATAGCGGATATTAGAAGTTATAGGAAGTCTATCGTGTGTTTTTTTTGCATTTTTGTTTTGTGGAGAAATTAAATTCTTTAATATCATATGAGCGATGGGGTTCAGTTAATAGTGAACCTGTTTGAACTTGTTACAGCAAGAAATTTATAAATCATTACTTTCTGTTGGTGAAATCTCTGTTGCCTTTGCAAGGTAAGAACATCTTGTCTTTCCTGTCTCTTTACTTGTTGTTCTGCATGTTGCAATGCATGGGTGCTTCGAACTTCTTGAATTAACTCAATACGTTTTTCTTTTCCTTCATACATCATATTTTGTATGGCACGACCACGTAGAACCTTCTGTAGCATGATGGCTGCCAACTCAGCTTCTTCAATTTCCTAAAAAAGAAATCCGGACATGCAAATTGAGCAAGTTGTTATGATTGAAAATATGTAAAAAAAAATTTCTTGCCTGCTTTGTCCTTTGATTAGCTGTGGGATATTTACTCTTAAGTCTATACATAATTCCTTTTAACATTTTCGAATTCGTACATACACACGAAACCTATTGTGATTTGTTAAAAATAGGATTTGACGGTATGTTCTTTATGAAACTTTGGGTGTATATTTAAAGTGAGCACAAGAAGTAAATACATTCTGCCATTGATAGGTTACATAAAATAACTTCTTGTGAAAAACAAGAGGCAAACAAGGCAAGGCAAACAAGACGAGGCAAGGCAAACAAGAAGTTGCCGGTCAGTTATTCAAGTGTAGAAAGCTGTACTCGGGAAATATGAATTTTTGGGTCCGGAAAAAATCCTGTTGAACATATTTATTAACTCACCAATAAAGATTAAAATGTTTGAGTTAGGACCATTGCCGAAACATTCCTAACTATTCTTGTATTTCATATGATCGATGAAAGCCAGGACTAAAATATTTAATTGTTTCATACCTCAGATGGTTTCTCAACATTCGGAGTAGGAGGTCTGGGTATTGGCTTGATAACTTTCTGCAAGAATCTGAGTGGTTTTGAAGGTTCTTTGCCTTGTTCTTTAGCAATTTTAATTGCCTGTTAACAATTTGAACAAAATTTAATAATAATAAAGTACATGATAACAAAATAAAATCAGTAAAAACAATTTGACACAATCCTTACCTGAAGGTTTGCTATATTAATTATCCTCACCTACACAGAAAAAATCATGTAATTCTATCCTAGTCTACAAATGAAAGCTTGCTTTAACAGTAATACCATCAACCTTGTGCATCTCAGCCAATTCTTTAGATCTTCTTTCTTTTCTTTTGATAAATCCTTCTTTTGAAGTAGCCAGACGTTTTGGTGGCTGAATTCTTGGTTGAGAAATGTAATCAGGAATAGATGCCTCGAGTTCAAGCAAACCTTCAATATATAAAGAATAACACATATGCTAGAAGAGATATAGTGTGCATTGTGAACTACAGTGCATCAGGTTAAACGTAACTTACTGAAAATGTTAGATACCAAAACTGCCAACTACAATAGGAAATTTGCCAACCAATATTGCCACATTTTTTCTATATAATTGTGTACATTATCAGTCTACATAAAACTCTTTCTCCCTCACTTTTCACTTCATAACCTTTCTATGCTAAAAGTGAGAGTCCAACAGCTAACATCGTTTGAAAAATACCCAGATTTAGATGAAATGAAACAAAAAAGTGATACTATATGTGTTGGCCATCATCGCATGGGTAAATGGTCAAGCAAGAATATAAATCATCATAGAATAACGGATATTGTACTTAATATTCAAAATCTTGTTTAGATCATTTAAATATGCCAGTTCTACAGCAACAGTGCTATATATATCAAATCATCGCACATAATTATCCTCCACAGAATTGGAACCAATGCAAGGTAATTAGAGGTACGATGGCAAACATGTTCCTGATGCCATGTGCAAAGCTGAATGGTGTTCATGAGTTACTATTACCAACACTTCAGTACTAACCTTGAAAAGTGTTGAGATATCGACTCTTGACAACATATTGTTCAGACCCACGATCAAGAAAAACTCCAATCCTTGACATTGGAGCATAAACTTGTGAAGCATGATCATTATATTTTGTAACCATGTCTGGTCTTTCAAGTTTTCCTTCAACATTTTTCCTTTTCTTTTTCAATTTGCGAATTGCTAAAAATAATGATAATTATCAAAGTTGAATGGAAACCTTGTTTGGTGAAATTCTTGAAGAATGAAAATAATATTTGTAATAAATTACCATCCAGGTTTTGATAACAATGACTAATTGCATTTCGATAATTATAAAATATCTCAGCCAAGAAATCATTTCATTTTGGCTTGAAGCCACTTAATATTCCTATTCAAGCTGTGCCAGATTAGCACCAGTGATGTTTAAATGAGGTTATTCAAAATCTAATACAGAAAAATTTTACAAAAGAAAATCCCATCCAAACAATCATGTCACCCAATGTGCAATAAATAAGTTATATGATTGAAGCAGATTACTGAGGAAAGCGTATAAATATTTCATACTTTTTATATGCTCCTTGCGTATTTTCTCAACTTGTTCTTCTTTCAGTTTTTGTTTTTGGCTCCAGAGTTTATCCAGTCTTTTATCATTCAGCTCCTGTTGTTTTTCTTCTCTTTGTCTTAATAATTGTTTAAGAACTTCAAGGCGAGCTTCTTGAAGCCTGAAAATTGAGAAATTGCAACTAAGATGTAAATAGGTGAACAAGAAGTTTCTCATAATTTCAATATTGAATCGCCTTTAAAAATTTACAATTTACAACTACATTATAATTTTCATTCCTTATTTTAAATATGATACATTATATTTATTGCCTGTTAAACTAATTGAGTGTGAGAACTAACTTTTCAATTTCATTTTCTCTAATTCCCCATTCCTTCCTTTCCATTTCATCCATCATTCTTCTACGTTTGTCAAGTTGACTAACATCACTCAGTGGAGGAAGAGTTTTTTCCCAAGCTCGTTTTGCTCTGGCTCTTTCAATCATTTCAACTTCAGCAAGTCCAGATGGAAGACCATGGCCTAGGTACAGAAAAAATTGGAAGCTTCATTCAATGCCAGAGGTTGTGATTTGTATATGATCATTACAAAAATATTACTCCCATATAAAATAGAAACAAACTTCCTGATATTGTTTTTAAGCAATATGACCTTCAAAAATATACAACTTCACAAACCATAAGATAAGGTGGCCAATGTCAGCAGTTCAGGAGCACTTCCTGGTCGAACAACATATTCTGGTGAATATGGGTCTGTCTGAGCTTCTGAATCTCGATAGTCGGTCTGAATCTCTATTGTTTTTGTTCTAGGGGTACGAGGTCGTGCAGTCATGGCATCAGGAGGCGCAAGTGGGTCAACACTAAAAAAAGAGAAAAATATATAAAATGAATAAACATCAAACTGGTTGGCCCCAACCTCCAACCCATTAGAAACAGTCTGAGCAATTTTTGCTGTTCTTCAATCCATTAAATAAATATCTTGACTCAAGTAGTATCAGTTGATCTGCATAGCACATGAAAAATTGATAATACTGGTGCCATTGCTATGGCACAACTGATCTAAATATAAATAAGTTAATAAAAATGTAAATTTTATAAAGTTCATTATGGTAAATTCCAAACTGCAATAAAGTATGGCAGAATTCAAAAAAAATTACTATAATAAACAGCATGTATACACATTCTCTTAGTTTGAATAAAACACAAAAAATCAGAAAAAATATTTTACACAAAATCAAAAAGTTGGATAAAAAATCACATACGTTGTTGGCTGGAGCAAAATTTCTGGCGGAACTTGCTGCAAAAAGGGAATGATTGGCCGTCTAAAATATCGATATCTATTTCTTCCACTGACTTCTGCATTTGGAAATGTCTTTGGTGGAACGGTAACAGTTGGATCATAATTGAAACTATAAAACAAAATATTTCATTGAAACAAAATAATTTTCTTTATTCCCAATAAAAAAATTTGTCAAATCTTAGTTATTTTATAATACAAAAATTTCCTCCGACAGAAGTATAATAGATATGTAGGCTACTTAATCATTAATATTCAGAGCTACATATAAAGTCAATATAAATCAGCAGCTACAAGAATGTAAGTGTCAAAAGTATTTTAACAAAGTTATAGCTTGACAGATATATTTCACAATCTCTTAAAATAATATATCAGTATAATTACGTTGTATATCTAATCATTGCTTCCCTTCGCTGATCACCATATCCTCTCCAACGTCTACCAATAAAATTAGGTACTGGATCTGTATTTTCGAGTTGAATTGTGAAACGAGGATGATGTCTTAATTCTGAGAACATTGTCGGAAATTGTGGGACCTTTTTCTGAAAAATCAATATTTTGTTACAGTGTCTCACACATTCAAATTGTCTGGCCAATGTATTTGCCTTAAAACAAAATGTCATGGAAAAATCGATTGCTCATAACATTTTTTGTGTTCAGATGGACTCGACGGTGTGGCGCATTATGCTAAGCATTAGGAATACGCTCGCCACCGTACCTCTGATTACCCTGCGAGGGTTCGCCAGTTCGAATTCCATGCGAGGATGAGTATGTGTGAGAACGGCCGGTTACAGCTTCCCACCACCATGAAGTCCATGCATCTGAAAGTAAATAACATATCTATTTTCTGAATAATTTAAAAAATTAGTTCCAACTCACAACTCGCTCCACTTTGGTGTGAGCTTTATATGTTGTTCTTGCATGATCTCTTTCACTTGAAAGCGTATATAAGGGATCTGAAAAAAAGTACTTCAAACTGATGAAAAGGTATTTTTCACATAGTTTTATATTCAAGAATAACATCATCTAGTCTGTCTATCTGAATATCTTAAGCATACAATTTTAAAAATAACATATAATGTTTTAATTTAATTAAATATATTACCATATAAATAATCATGATTCCTTGTCGGATTGACGACCGATCGACGTAATGTCTGTGTTTGAGTTTGCGACATTGCTTCCACTTTATTGAAGCTTCCTTGTTACGAATTTCTCAAGCTCACAGTCAATCAGTCAGTACAGTAGAACAATCTAAGTATGCTATAAACAATACGAAAAGATAAACATTGTTAGAGTAGCTTTAATTATTACTATTGATTACGAATAGTACACAAAGAGATACCTTCCAATCTTTCCGTTAGAGTCTGGCGATTATAACTCCAATTTTGTAATCAGGTTGTATGAAACATTTTGGCGTTTTATCAAGCTTCTAGCCTAAGCTTCTGGTATAATTTTAAAACGATCTCAATAAATGTTTATTTGGTTGTGAGTTTCGTTATTCTCCGTTATTGTATCTTGATAATAAAACTGAAAACCGGCTGCCTATGGCCTCAACGTCGAAGTATCACACTTTTGCTGCGGGCTTGTTGATGCGAGAAGGTCGCTATGGCAACAGTCATTAATGCGTATAAATGTGAACCTTTTTTCAGCTCGCTGGTCTTGAATTTCATAATTCTTGTGCGGATTCGCAGTAGTTAATTATTATTTAAGAGAGGATTTGTGTATTTTCCGTCTTCACTGGGTTGAGATTTCGGGTCTGGATTTGGGATCGGGATAATCACTCAACACATTGTTCAACAATCTCGACCTTTTTCGCTATGGATGTTTCCCCGAGCATCGATTTTCTTGTTCAGTGCCTTAACAATGACCAATCAACAATAAGTCAACAATGACGTAACGATTGCAATTCCTCCAGTCGCTCAGACACTTTGTAATTATTTCCCTGATTTTGTGGTTTTGCGTGTTATTTTTCAGTTTCTAGTTGTGTTGTCAAAAGTTATGTCAGTAAATGAATAAATATTATTTTTTAAAATAGCGCTTGTTTATCGGAAGTAGATACAAATTCAAACGTTGTTGCTAGTCGTCAGTAAAATACAGCCAGGAGTTGCAAAAATTGTCTTTTATGTAAGGGGATTCCCCAGTTGCCACGATCTGCAAACTGCTTTTTCGTTCGGAGCAATTAAAAAAAATAGTACCGTATCTACCGTAGTATTTGCGAGAATGTCAACCATCTGAAATCATTTTGTAAAACAAGTATATGATTATGCTATTTACATTATCCTGAAAATAACTGGCAGAAACAATTTAATTGATCATGAAACTTGTTTATTACCGGTATTAGGTTTGAGTCACCTTTGTTATGCACATTTATTGGACCTTCAAAAGTATGTGCACCAAGATGGCGCACACCCTGAACATAGTAGTTGTACCAGGTCGGGGTTCAGGTTGTGCGCCATCTTGCTGCACATACCTCGGGAGCGCCCATTTATCGAACTGTCAAATGTAGATGCTGTTATTTTATTATGAATATGCATTTTACAGTAGGGCATAGTTCTTTGATTTTAATATTTCCTGACATTTGGTTCAATAAAACAAACACCCTATTTGTCTCTAAAGCGTTGACGTCTGGCACGACGGCAGATGCGTTAGATCGTGCCATGCTTGTCTCTATAATAATCTAAATTGATGCTGCCATCACATGATCAAATTTGCCTAAAAAGTCTTGAATGTTATGGTAAATTTTTTTCGATATGGAGGGCCAGACTGTCTCCTGAAGGAGGGGTTTGCTCTCACTGTTTTAATTGATCTTTCAATGCGGCAACTATTCTTGGAATCAGATCATATATGATTGTCTGTATGTGGTTTATTATATGCATGTAGTAGTTCATATATATCTGTACACACTTGTTTCTTTTGGCTTTGTTGTCCACATTCATGCATCAGGAACAATTCCCATATTTCGACTTGGGCTGATAACTAAGGAAAATGTATAGACATATAGAAGCAGTAGGATCACAAAAATCTGATGTGTCAAGCCCCCGATGGTCATGTTAAAAATAAGCATTATTTTACAACAAATTCTACGGTCTTACTACTTACTGAATACAGCGCGAAACACGGCAAAGAGCGCAAAACAGAGGGAAACAGCGCAAAACAGTGTGGAAACGGCGCGAAAGAGCGCAAAACAGAGGGAAACAGTGTGAGGCAGAAAAAAAATTTGCAATGAGTTCGGGGCACCTTGTTTTGAGTTGGAGTACCACGGCAGTAAATTAAAAACACAAACCAACGTATGTAGCCAGTAATGCTGTAATGGCAGGTCTGCCCCTGCTGGTGACACATTTTGGGTACCATTTTCCATATGGATATGGTTGGCTTTAGGGTTAGGTAAAAAGGGACCTCCAGAAGTATGTGCACCAAGATGGCGCACAACCTGAAAATAGTATGTGTGTGTAGCGGATTCAGGTTGTGCGACATATTGCTGCACATACTTCTGGAGCACCAAAAAGGTAGATAAAATTTCGCATGATGACCTATAATCCGGTACATAACCTTGTAAATATGCCGGAAATAGCGCCATAAAACCATGGCAAGAGGCGCCGTGGTTCTTTCGTGGCAGGAGGTGGTAATCACTGCGTCTCCTGTTTTGCACTGTTTCCCTCTGTTTTGCGCTCGTTTCCTTCTGTTTCGCGCTGTTTTGCGCTCTTTGCGGTGTTTCGCGCTGTATTCAGCAAGTAGTAAGACCCCAAATTCTAAACTTTGTCGGGCATAAGGAACACAATAATTGTTACTGATTGAGGAACGCTCATTTTCAAAGTACCGGTCCTTGTAGACTTTATATTTATGCCCATATTTACTTAATAATGTCTATTGATTAAGATAAATTTATTAATATTTTTTACTTTGTTTCAAAGGTAAGAAAAATCACTATGTACAACATATTTACATCAATATTGTCTTTACTGAATTTTGTTAGCATGAATGTCCATGCTAATCCAAACTTTGTCGTTATATTTGCTGACGATATGGGATATGGAGACTTACAATCTTATGGTCATCCGTCTCAAGAAAAAGGTCCAATTGATGCGATGGCTGAAGAAGGAATTCGCTTTACCCATTGGTATTCTGCAGAGTCTCTTTGCACTCCAAGTAGAGCTGCTTTACTAACAGGTATTATTCTGATTAAATACTTATTGAATGGCATATTTTACTGATCCATAAGCCTTCATTCTTATTTCAAATATAATAATATTAGAAAGTCACCTTTTCTTATTGTCTTTAATCTATATCAGAAATTTTCCGATCCAACTATTTTTATGTATTGTTAGATGAAATTCATTTCTCTTATTCAACACATTAACTTCAGGAAGGCTTCCAGTACGCATTGGGATGGTTGGACCGAATCGAGTCTTATGGCAATTGGATGCAGGTGGTCTGCCCAAGACAGAAACTACAATTGCGGAAGAATTGACACAGCTTGGATATGCAACAGGGATGGTTGGAAAGTGGCATTTGGGTATATTTTATTGTTTATAATAATTTCAATAATGTTGAAACAAAAGACATATGAAAGGTTCTTGGATATTTTATTCTCTGAATCTGCTACTTTCATTTTGTTTGCATAAAAATGATACCTTACAATATTGCAATTTTATTATCTTATAGTATTACAGAATAATTATTGATTGCTGTATCATTAATATTCTAGGCATAACTTATTTATAAGACATTATCTTTGTATTAATTCCTTGCCTTTTGTCCAGATTATTAGAAAATTTCAATTGATTCAAACTTTCCAAACCTAGAATTTTATTGTCAATCCCCAACCTATTGATAAGTTACTTTTAGTAACAGCAGTTCAATACATTGTTTTATAATTTCTTAAGGTATAAATGAGCATTCTTTCAATGATGGAAACCATTTGCCGGTCCATCATGGCTTTCAATATGTTGGAACAAATTTCCCTTATGGTCAAAATTGGAAATGCGATAAAGAAAAAGTGAGAATGTCTTGCTTGTCCTGTATTATTTGGCATAGCACTTGTGTGAAATTTGAACAAGACAAAAACAGTTTTATGAATTCTATTATTTTGAATAATATGGCAGCTTATCATGTCACCTAACATAGTCTATTTTTTCATCTGTTTTGCAGTAGAGTGTTTAAACTGCCAATAAAGTTGTGCATCTTGTGTTTGTATATATATATATTTAGCCATTTAATGTTCACTCAGTGTTATAAAAGTTATAGGGTACTCCTGAAGTATGCACACCAAGATGTCGCATAACCTGAGTTCAGGTTGTGCGCCATCTTGGTGCGCATGCTTCAGGAGGTCCAGTTATAGCTACAAGAATCTAACAAAAGCTATTAACTGCATATGTTGAATTGTGTTGAATTCAATGATTTTTCAATTTATAAATTATAATTATTTTGTAATTTCTTTTAGTTTTTTTAAATATCTATGATAATGTATTTGAAGCTGGAATATTATTTAATTTTGGCTGTCAAAATTAACTCGAAAGAAAGTGTGGAAGTAAATTGTACAAATTTGTTTTGAACAATGTTCTTCTGTCAATATGGCCTATTACGGATTAAATTATATTTTTCTCATGAGATTCAATATTCACAACTTCCATTAAAAATATCACTTCTATTTTATCATTATCCAAACAGTTTTCAGTTAAAGAGATGGCTGATAAATGTTTCAAGTATAAGAATGTTACAATGGTTCAGCAACCAACACATTTAGAACAATCTACAGAAGAGATGGTCAACGATACTAAAAACTTTATACGGAAACATTCAAGGCAACCATTCTTTTTTTACATGCCATTGCTTCAAACACACAGTGCACTGTTTTGCTCAAACAAATTTTGTGGAAAATCAAAAAGAGGTGAGACAGCTTGAAATATTCCTTCAAGACGTGCCAATCATGACGTCTGGTTACCAGTTCATGTCGGGTATGGGATAAGTTATTTGTTTTTCAAATGCATGGAGTTGATGGTGGAGAAAGCCGTAACTGACGAGCAGTTACTCAAACCACCCTACAGCGACAGGAGTCCAGCAATCATATGCACATAATTATTATAAAAAACAAACATGCTGTGTATGTGTGAGTGTGACACAAGCACGGTCAATAAAAAAAATGAGAGACATTCTCAGAATAATTTCGGCCAAAGAGACATGTGGCAAAAATGGGCTTGTACTCTAAAGCAGGGGTGTGCAAACTGCGGCCTGCAAGGAAAAGTTGTGCGGCCTGCGGAGAAAGGCCCATCATAGAAGGCGTTCGCGCGCGAAACAACTTTTAGTTTAGGTAATCTGGTATGTGCTAGCAATTCCGCTCTCGTTGCGTAGTGAAGCAGATTACCAATACCTGAGTGCCACTGTCATATTAGTAAAACTAGCAAGCAAAATCCTGTTGCAAAATACACAATGTTATAAAAACATGTTTCTCTTTGAATTCGTTTAATTAAAGTTGGTGTGACGATAAATTTGAATAGCAGTTTCTTTAAAAACTTATGCGTAAGGTCAAGAATAAAAAGGAACAATTTTTTGTGCCTGCAACTACTAGAAAGGCTATCTTAAATAAAGGTGCGGCCCGCGGCTTCACCCAATTACTTGTATGTGGCCCTCCTGTGATAAAGGTTGCACACCCTTGCTGTAAAGGATGAGTAGATGCCCTTGATTAGGATTTATGTGTTTTAATCCTTATACATCAGGAGAGGATGTAAGAAACAAGATGACAGTTTGAGGTCAAAATTATTTGTTTTGCTAACTTTATTTGAAATTAGAATTCACAGCCATAGTAGACACTAGACATTGCATATAAATTTCATTTCTTGTTTGTATTTTTCTTCCTCTCCATAGGTCTCTATGGTGATAATGTCAATGAAATGAGTTGGGCAGTTGGAGAAGTATTGAACACATTGAAAGAACTTGAGATTGACAAAAATACATTGGTACTTTTTATATCTGATCATGGACCTCAACTTGAACTATGTACAGAAGGTGGATCGGCTGGTTTGTTTAAAGGTATGAATACGATCCCATATTTTAAAAATTTAAATCTTGCAAATCATACTATAGAATTGAACATGTTTTTATTAGAAACGTTAAATTCGACTCCATAATCAGCATTGACACAATGATAAAAGGATAATTACGGTCTCATGTAAGCACTCGAAACTTTTTTATTAAAATATTGATTTGTATTTATTCAAAAACTATGGAAGTATAATCTTTAATTAGTTTGATTTTATTTATTATTTTATTTTAGGTGGCAAAGGTTCTGTATGGGAAGGAGGTTTGAGAGTCCCAGCAATTGCTTGGTGGCCAGGTACAATACCTGCAGGTAACTGTCTTTTCTCATGTTCTCTGTTTTAAAACACATTTTTGAATCATTTGACCACCAATTATTTATTGAAGCCATTTCATATCCTAGATAAGTTTTCATATTGACAATTCAATTTCGTGGTTGATTGGTGCAATGTAAATGTTTGTTCTGTGCTAACAATATCATATTAAATTAGCTATTATCTTTACTATGGCATATGAATTCCTCTATTTGTATAATATAAAATAATTTGAGTTGTTCTTATAATTTTGAGTACCTCATATTGACATCCATGTATGTATTCATTTGTCAGGTGTTGTGAATCATGAAATTGTCAGCTCACTTGATGTTTATTCTACAATACTGGAACTTGCTGGTACAAATAATGCAGGTATCAGCACTTTTTAGATCTCCTTGGTCTTTTTCAGCATTGTATCAGTTTGGTTGGATTAGAAAGTTATGCCTACTGAGGCGAAACAGAGTAGAATACAGGAACTTGCATGTAAGCATAATGCAGGTATCAGCACTTTTTAGTCATCTCGTAGTCATATCAGTATTGTATTATTTGGTTAAACAGAATCTGTAAATGAAAAAACAAAACAAGGTAACCATATAGGTGTATGACTGTGCTACACAAAATTGTCTGGAAATAAGTATGGAATCCAATCTATTCAGATTCTGATGGCATTGTTCGGGATGGAAAGAGTTTAGCTGATTTGTTAAGAAATGGAGAACCATCTCCTCATGATTTCCTATTTCTTTATTGCTCTGATAGACTGATGGCGGTCCGATACAAAAGCTTCAAGTTTTATTTCTATACTCAGGTTAGAGCTACAAATTTGATGTATTTGACAGGGAAAGTATTTGGTTGCTAAGCCATATCATAATGTGTATGTATGAATCCTGAGCCCAAGTCTGAGGACTGGCTGCATTCCACTTTTCAAAGCATATTTGAGACAGTGAAATTAATATTATTCCAGTATATTGTAATTAAACATAGAAAATGTGTTTTTGCAAAGGCTCATCCACTGATTTGGAATTTTTTTTGTACAATGCTATCCATATCAGTCCCCTCACAAACTCTCACATGGGGTAAACCATAATTTAAATTTTATAATGTATAGTTCTGAGTGAAAATAACATATTTGTTTTCTATCATAGAATCAATCAATAAACAGTGAAGAACTTTGTGTTTTGGGTAAACCTAAGGATGATGTGTTGACTTATTTAGACTGTTATGGAAAGGACGTTACAGCACATAATCCACCTCTAATTTTTAATGTGGATGAAGATCCTGGAGAAAACTTTCCTCTGAGTTGTTTAAATTTTAAAGAAATGTTAGAAAAGGTTCATGCTGCAGTTCGAAAGCATAAGTCGTCTGTCCATAAAGTCAAGTCTGTACTCGGACTGAAAAATGAAAGTTTGCAGCCTTGTTGCAATCCACCAGTTTGTCAGTGTAATTATGATACTCCACAAAATTTAACAATGAAGACAGAACTGTAAGTTGGTAACTTGGTGCAGATTCCACTGATGTCAGGGTGGGTATTTTTGTGACTAAATTATTATGATTCCAAGAGATGATTATTGTATTCAAAGTATTTCATTACTTGAAGTTGTGAAGTCCTATTCTTGCACCATTGGTCAGATAGATCCTTTGGCATTCATGGTTTTATTTTATAGCGTACAAATTGAACCATGAGACCGTCAAAAACAAGTTGTTTCATATATTCTTTCTCGAATATTCTAAATTCTACTTCATAATAAATTTTAAAAATCATGATGCTAGCTAAATTTTATAATAAAAATAGTGACTTAATCGCAAAAGTGTATTTGTCAGAAAAGTACAGTAATGTTGCAAAAGTTTTAAAATATAAAAGGTTTTGGATAGCATTAATGTTTAATTTTCCTTTAAACTATGTTGTTTATATCGTATAAATTTAATTATTTTTACTTGTGTTACACAACATGCTTTGTATAGAAATTATAGAGTTCACTTAATTTTATTTTTGTAATTCTATGCAATATTTTATGTCATATAACTCGCAATTAAGTCAAATCATTACATTGATACACAATTCCCCACAAGTTGTGACAAACCTTTGTCTACCTGCTATGTTGCAATAAACAAAAGAGCCACAAAATGTTTGGTTTTTTTATTGGTAGTTGGGCTGATGCCAATGTTATTAATGCAGCTATGGAATTAGAGTTAACAGGGGGATAATTATTTCAACTCAGAAAGAGCTTTTTGACTTGGGATATCTTTCCCACTGAAAAATAGTGGTTATATTATAGCTCTTATCAGTGGCGGCGCGTGGTCATTTTGACAACCGGGGCAAGCTAATGCGGGACCAAGTCACCCCCATCTACGGGGACAGGATGAGCGCTGTAAGTTCTCCCATCATTTTATGAGTATAAAAACCATTCCATCGGTAACAACCAATCGGCAAAAGGGAAAATTTTTAACGATAAGAAAGTGTCTTTAAAACCGGTCCAAGTCAAGGGATTAATAAATATAGACATAGTTTATTTTAAAACCTCTTTCAAAAGGAAAGGCAATAATTACAATGACATATTAACAGAAACTTCGGGAAAGCAGACAAAACCTAAAATAAGGTTTAAAACGTTACTATGAAGAAAGGAAAGCTAATGCAAAGATAAGGACACGCGTCGCTCACTCATAGATATATATGCTGCTAGACTTCTACTGCTTGAATATATATGCAACACGCCGCGGTTTCTTGGAAGCAAAATGCCCAATAACGCGCTGATTAAAGTCATGCATCCCAGAAATAACGTCTCTGTGAATGGATAAAACAGCCAAGGAATTTATTCTATCTTGCTTCATTGTGTTTCTGAGATACGTTTCAATACGCTTCAGCGTGCTGAATGTTCGCTCTGCGTCGGCGGAAGAAATAGGCGTCGTCAAAATGATGTCCAGAAATTTTGCAGACGCCGCAAAGGTAGTTACTAGAGTGTTATCTATGAGGAACCCATAGAGCGCGTTCAAAAAAGTTTGATTGGTGTATATACATCGCAATTCATTTTCCAATGTACCCACGTTTATCATGGGGTAAAATTTGGAGACAGTAGCCAACAAATGGATCGGAAATTGACGTGCAAATTTTGAAAAATTGTTTGGGTTCATCAAAGAAAACGCGGCAAGGTGTTCAGTGCGCAGACGATCGCCTATTAGATTCACCAGAATGTCACAGCATTCCTTTGCAGACAAAATCAAACGCTGCGTTGTTTGCCCGCGGCGTAAAGAAGCACTCCATGTGTCGTCGTATTTTATTGTTTCCCGGATACGAGATACAGCATCGCAGAAGTCTGAAATACACGACTGCACAGACGCTCCATCCATTAGCCTTGACTGCAATGCGCCGTATAATACATCCACGTGATAGAATATTGTGGAGAAAAAATGAAAACTCACCATCTTCTAGCAGACGCTTTAGACCTGCCGCCTCCCTCACAGAGCGTTCGTCCCAAACCGGAGAGCTCTGAATGCCATTGAAACACTCAATGAGCTCAGACCTAATTTTGGACACGCCCTGCACCACGCGTGATTGGAAGTTCCAACGTGTTGGTGCACAAGCTGGGAGACGGCGGCTACATATCTGGCGAAGGAGGTCAGAGCGCTTCGGCGAAACGGAAAAAAATGAAGTAAACCCCGAAACATTTGCAAAAAATATACGGACGAGAGGGGTATCAAGACACATATTTTTAATAACGAGGTTAAATTGGTGTGCATAACAATATAAAAAATGCGCATGAAGAAAATCTTCTTTTATATAAACTTGAACACCATGTTTCGACCCATTCATGACTGCCGCGCCGTCATAAATTTGAGGCTGTAACACTTCTTTCAGTACAGCCGATATCCCGCAAGCCGTGCGATCAACGATTGGTACAAAGCTGTGAAATCTCTCGATAGGTTTACCATCTTTCACAAACCGAAAAATCACAGCCAGTTGGGAAACGCACGTGATGTCAGTTGTCTCGTCAGACTGAATCGAAAGGAACTGGCAATTCTCAATTTCCAGAGCCAAATGTTGTAAATAAATTTTATACATTGAGTCGAGCAAATCATTTTGGATATCCTTAGATGTCCCTTTCGGAACAGTTGCGGCATCAAGATGATCTCTCAATACTGTATCTAGGGATGCGGTGTATTCCACCATATCCAAAAATACCCCTCTATTAGAAGAGCCAGCCCGTTCATCGTGCCCACGGAGGGACAGCTCGTGACAACCAATGAACTTCAAAACATCTATCAATCGACCGAGAACATGGCGGTTTTTCTCGACGTTTTGGTTGTGCCGACGAATAGAAACCGCGCGTCCTTCATCCAACTGTGCTGCAATATTAACATTTCCGAATGTTCGGTATTTTACTGCATTGTCCAGATGCTCCATAGAAGATTGATGATCCCTGGCACGCTCGGAAAGATGTTTAAGATCTCTAAAACCAAATTCACACCAACGTGAGTCACGGGCGGTAGCAAAAAGTAGGCAATAAAAACAAAAAAGTGCATTTTTGTCCTCGCTATAACACAACCATTCGTGTTTTTTATACCAAGTTTCTGCGCAGAATGTACGCCGACGCTTTCCTCCGTCATGGGATTGTTCCAGTGAACAATTTTTTAAGTATAAGCGTATAAGAATATAAGCGAAAACGGAGTGCGAAGTAGTGCATCAACCTTATTCATTATGAGGTCTAAGGCTAAGAAATGCGAAGCCGGAAAGAAGTGAGGAGCTCAAAAGGAATGTGGAAAATCGAAAGCAAATGGACTAAAGGTCTCTAACTGATTCAAATAGCGAAACAAGCGACAAAAACGAAGGCGAGGAAACTATCAACTCTTCAAGCAACCAACGAACGAGAAGGAATGCGTGATTATGTCAACACGTTGTTGTAAGAAACGTCGGCATTGTGTCGTCATAATTTCGGGGATAGCCCCGATCGGCCCCGATGATTTAGTAAAAGAAACAGAAAACAAACGAGACAAACGCGGCGAGTGGAAGATAAAAGAGAGAATACGATATACAATGAGCAACCGGGGCAAAATAGGCGTCGCCCCGTCGACGTTCGGCGAAGGCTTTGCGAGCGAAAAATGAACCATGTCGGGAGAATATGGCTAGTGTAGACAGTCTGTGCAACCGATAATGAGGTTTTTTTCGAATATTTTTTTTTTATACCGATAAAACAACCGGGGCATTGCCCCGGTTGGCCCTATTGACGCGCCGCCACTGGCTTTTATGCTTTTTACCACAGTGAGCTCGTAAGATCGCAAGGCGTTTTCAAAATCGGGAATTTTGTTTGTTAACGTCACAAGATGAAGCAGCGCGGTTGGTAAAGAGTCAGAAGTCTTATTGGAACAAATGTTCAATCTCCTTACAGGTAGCGCACCTCGGATAGGGAAAATCCGATACGACTCAAACATGTGGCGAACCACGACCTCTTGTCGTGTTGGCATTCTATGCCGGGTATGGTACTACGTAGCCAGTTATTTTGTTTTCAGATGCACGGACTTGATGGGGAGGAAGCCGTAACCGGACAGCGGTTACGTGAACCATCCTGGAGGAGTGCAGAAATCCTGTAGCACATATTTATCCTCCACGGGATTCGAATGCGATGGCGAGCGTATTCCTAACGATGCGCCACGCCATCACTAGTGTAAGCAAAAATTATATTTCTAATCCTATGGTGAATACCTTTTATTTTAATGTTGTTGTTGTTCAATTGAATGTGAACCAAACAAATAAAGAAGGATTTGAGAAGACACAAAATCATAGTCATTTTATACATTTGTGAGACGATAAATATGGCCTTGTTGGACTAACGTGGTGTGGGATATAAAAACTGTATATATATATATATAAGAATTAGACCACTTATATTTTTATAATATTATTTTAATTAACGGCATATACCGAAATATACGGTATTAAAAAATTAGTAGTCTGAGAAAAATTACTCTGAGAACTAATTGAAAATGGTTCTTCAAGCAAATCTTGATTGAGGCAATTTAAGTTGTTTTGAATTGACGCGATTGTTTAATATAAAATAAATAATTCAAGAATTAGAGTTTTATATCTTCTTTTTGTTTCAAAATTTGAAAACGTTATTATCTAGTTTAATCATTTTCATATGTATATATATATATAAACCAGGGTGGCCCAAACTGCGCGCCGCGTGGGCCCGCAGACACATTTCGTGCGCTCGCAGAACAGTTTTGAGTTATTTTAAACTAATAACCCAAGCCCCTTCCCAGAACCCAATATCGGGATGGATGTTTGTTAAAATCGCGGAATTTCAATGTTGTATCTATAAAAGTCAAGACGGTGCCAATATGGGAATAACGTCCTGTGATCGGTACAAGGAGAATGAATTGACTTGTTCAGACAGGACCAAGCCGATAAGATGAGTCACGCTTTTTATATAAACTTCGTACCATAAGCTCGCCTGAAGTATCTCTTCATTTGGAAAAACGCTTTGTGACTTTATTTTAGTAAAAACACTCCTCTATTTACAAGCGTTGGTCATGTGGCAGCAGTGATGAACCGCAAAGCTGACTTAGCGCCGCGCGATCCAGTTTTTTAGCAGGGTCGGAGTTCCCAACTTAGACGGACTTGGTTGTTTTTTGACGATGGCACCAATGACATTGATGGCACCAAGCCTGCTCGGGCTACATGTAATTAAATTAATCAAATATTACAATTCATCGTAGCATGAGTGTAAAAAAGGTGACCGAGGAAACGTGTTTCCTTACCAACAATGACGTTAAACCACAGTGTCTGGTGTATTTTCAAGAAATATCTTTCATGAAAGAATATAATTTTAAGCGACATTACAAAACCAAACACGAAAGAAGATACCGAAAATACCACGGTATTTCTCGGGAAGCAATTTTAAAATAGCTAAAGGCGTTTCATATCTCCCATAAAAAACTGATTAGAACGATAAACTCTCATTCTTAAATATATTTAAAGTGAGTAAACTCGCGATGTTTTGATAACGTTTGGGTTTTATCCGACTGCGGCCCGCGAAACATCTTCAAAAACCGGCCCTCCAACCTCGTCCAACCTTGGACCACCACCCTGATATAAACTATTGAAATGTAGTCCAAATTAGTATTCTTTCCTAGTATTCCTACATCTATTGCAAATCAGTAATCAATTTCAGTATACTGAAAAAGCACTTTCGACATAAAAATCATAATAAATTATATATACCGGTATATATAATAAAGAAATTGCATGTCAGGGTGAAGGGAAACCGCGGAAAATCAATACTGGTTATCGAGCAAAGGTACCCATAATCAAATTTTCAGCATTCCACAATAACTTACCATACGCCAGTCAAAAAATTTTAAGTGAGGTTTATATAGGTCTACTCGAAAACGCAATGTTGGGATCCCACTGAGCTTGAATTCATCGTGACTTCTATTGGATAGCCTACAAATGAAACGCGATTATCAGTGCTGATAAATGTCCCAACCTAGGTTTGAAAAAAGATTTGACTCGAAAAAATAATCTTCCGAATAGAATTTTGTGGATAAGTGGCACTGATATTAGCTAATCGGCAGGACAAGCGAATGTAGAATAATTTCCATCAACCCTCGAAATGCAATGTAGGATAATTTATTTAATTGATACAATCATAGCTAAAATTACACATGAAAAAATTAGCCATGCAACGATAACTAAATTTAAATGTAAAATAGCGTTGTCATTTCAGTCCAGTACATGTAATTCGGTTTCAATTTATTTATTCAATTTTAAATTAAAGTTTATACTATAAGACTTCGGAACAATGTGACACGAAAAGGGGTTGATATATTCCACTTTTGTATAAAGCTCTCCAGATGCGAAGAACATCTTCTGTCGTAGGGACTGGGCTCCTAGTGTGGGGTCGCACGTACCATCGACCTGTAACAGAATACTGATACTGTATACAAACTCGCAGTTATACTCCCGGAACAAAAAAAGTCTTAGCATCACAGCCCTTCTTAGACAAGCGAATAGCAAAATACACACACTTGTAAAAACCGCAGAACAACGCAATCGGTAACAGACTTTATTCTTCGTGCACCGATTACACTTTTTCTGACAACATCAAATCAGATTTAGAAGTCGGAACTGAGTTTTCCGAACGAATAAGAAAAAAAAGATTGCAATCATAGCATTCATTCGCTAAATGTGTTACAACGCTTACAGTACTTGCAATGCGATTTTGGATATATCACAAAGAGTTCATGCCGAATAGGTTTATTTGAGACGTATATTACGCATCGCGGATGCTTCTCGGAGATAAGGGGGGAAAAGGTCGGTTGATTAGTGAGCATTATCGTTTAGTATTCCAAATAAATGGAGAATATTCGCCCTTTTTATTGATTATTTCAATGGCATAAAGGCAATATCTATGAAGTATTTAAACAATGAAATGATATTGACCTTCTTTAGAGCATCGAACAACAATGAAGTAATTTTCATAATCAGTCACATGGAATTCAGCTTCAAAATGTATCACCACAGTATCTGGAAATTTAATTGTTAAAAAACTAAATGATTTTTATTTTAATAAGTCTATTTTTATTATCATATATACTAGCGACGTTTAGTGCGTGTAGCCAGTTCGAACATTATTCAAAAGATGAAAAAAATGTATCCTTCAACAACAGAGAGACAATAGAAGACTTTGCTGGTAACAGGTGCAAATTTTAATTCTCTACTTTTCCCTCAACTTATGAAGGTATTATGTAAAAATACGTCAGACTAGCTCACCTTCTAGCACAGCTTTCTCGTTAATTCCGCCATCTTTATTCACAATATCACGCGACATCGCTGAGTCTGTCACAAATATATGAACATTGGCAATTAATTAAGTTTGAAATAAGATTGTCCATAATCACAAAATATATATATAGGATGAAAGAATACTCTCTTCGTTTCTGGTTTTTGTGAAATCGATTCTGTATCAATTACCCATTTTGAAATTATGTTCTAGCGAGGTATGGCAAACCTTCTTCAGGGAATGGGTAAAATAAAATTTTGATCACGGGACAGAAGACTGGGTTGTAAACATATTGATGTCTGCATTAGTAGGAATCTTACAAATCCTATAATGCTTGGTTGGTATTGTGTAGTTTCGAGCGTTACACATCACTTTTATTAGAGATTTATTGGCTTCTTTGTCGATATCGATAATTGTATCAGTATCGCCTAAAAACAGTCTGATATTTCCGATATATTCATCTCGTTGAGAATGTATTAGGTATGAGTTATATGCAGGATCATGTATGCAGCATTTAATGCCTTATAAAACTCTTCAAAGTTAGTACGGTGAGTGATTACCCCCAAAGGGATGAATATATGTTGGATGAACCATGTATTGTAGACGGCCCTATATGAATTTTCCAATCCAGCACCGCAATTCCTAGCGCCTGTGCACAACAAAACGTCTGTTAAAATTTGCCTAATGCTTTTGCCCACACCAGAGTGGTCCAAGGTTGTCAACTCCGGGGCCACAAAATTATTTTAGCATTGTTCGCGGGCCACAAATAGTGCCAAGAATAGGTAAACAGTGCAATAAAAAACAAACACTTTATTTGTGCAAACACATTGGTCAGTATTGATCCTTTGTCAAGCTAAAAGATTTCGTGTTCGTGTGTAAGATTTCGACGGAAAAGGGTACTCCTGTAGTAGGCTATGTGAATCAAGATGGCGGACACCGGAACGTAGTGCGTGTAACAGGTTGGGGTCAGGCCATATTTTCACGTACAAATAGCTAGTCCCCGAACTAGTAATATAACTGAAATAGTAATAAAATTATGGCTTAACTTTACCTGGTACACATACCACGTTCCGTTGTCCGCTTTCTTGGTACGCATACTACAGGTGTACCGGAAAAAAGTGCCATAACACTAGCCAATTCAGTGACATTAGTGATGTGACAATATGTTAAAAGATTTTTCTGGTTAAGTTTATGACGAAACAACACCAAATGCGATTTTTTGATTACCCTCCGATTCCGACGCGGGCCACAGATAATGCAGCGGCGGGCCACATGTTGCCCGCGGGCCTGAGTTTGGACCACCCTGGCCTATACGAACAAAGTTAAAAAGCAATTTGAGATACAGTTTAAGCCACTTTAAGTAAATCAATGAACCGTATTCAGCTTACATTGATTCTTAGCCCTGGCTTCTCAAATGACAGTACACTATGGTGGTTGACTTCTTATTATGTTTTGTGCATTTAATTGTCGTTAGGCGGGTCACCGGAAAAACAGTGTTTCAATGTCAGTGTCGGGTCAATGATTCTCCTGTTATAGGGAGAGTGTAGAGCAGGGGTCGGCAACTTTCTGTCCCTCGCGGGCCAAAATTTAGGGTTGCAAGTCATTGGCGGGCCGCACATGTTTTTAGAAAGTTAAAAATCGAACGGCTGGGCGATGAATCTCATTTTATCACACAGATCATATCTCAAAAATTTTCCTTTTAATATTGTCTGCGCCATTGAACCCTTTGCACCGTTTTGCATTAACTTTCCTTCGTTTGTTGCCGTTTGTCTAATTATAATTAAATTCTAGGCTAATTAAACGAGTAATTGTGAATTATATACTTTATTGGTTATAATATAATTTAGTCTACCGTGTCTCACTATAAATAATTCAGTGAAGCGTCGCGGGCCGGATTATATTACTCCACGGGCCGGATCCGGCCCGCGGGCCGTAGGTTGCCGACCCTTGGTGTAGTTGTAGACGATAAATGAAACAAACCTGTCTTTTTATCAAGCATGTAAAAACCTGGTCTAATTTTTTGTGCGTGTAGGCGTACTACATCGGGCTTGTCGGGTGACCTGCAGATAAATAAAAAGATTGATTTAGCTCTAACTTTTTGAAATGGTACTTGGCATAGATACAGATCTATCTATTGCTTTGAAACTCCGGTACCTGAATAAATACTTTTCCAAAGTTGCTTTAAAACCATCTTCAACTTTAGTAAAGTTATGTACTTTCACACAAGCTACGTCGGAGGATACGCCATCACCATCATTCATAGATTGATAAAATGTTTTATCTCGAAGCTAAAAATTGAAAATATAGAAAGAATATAAATTTTCTTATACAATCAAGCTAAATTTGTGATATTTTCATTTGCGTTCGCTCATATTTATTTTCATGTGTCGGGAAAATCTATTCCGCTTAAATTCATTTATTTGATTACGGCAGAGTATCATATACATGTACTGGAAATTTTCAACATAATATTCCCAATGCCCTTCAAAATGATATCCTAGAATCCTTGATTGTTCATTATTTATTTATTAGTTTCAATGAAACTAATTGTTGATAACTAGAATCCTTGATTGTTCATTATTTATTTATTAGTTTCAATGAAACTAATTGTTTTAGCATCATATACCCTCAATGTCGTTCATTACCTCTTCACCGTACATCGATTGCTGATCGATTCACATCCTTAAGTTAGCTAGGCCTTGATACCGCAATACTTACTTTTTCCCATTGTATATCGTGTCTTCTCGTTGGATACTGACAGTTTTGCTTGCAAGCACAATTCGTTCGAGTAAAAAATTGCAAAAAAATCAAGAGCAATTGAACGTAAACTTGACTTCTCATGTCGCACTGGACTGGAATTTCACGCTAACCTTAACTGATTAAGGATTCATTTGATTGATTAATTTAAAAAATATAAAATTGAAACAAACCCTATATATATAGTTTTGTCCATATTTAATTAATTTTTTGTAACAATGAATATATTTAACGGTACAAAAATTAATTTAATAATCGCCCAACTTTCACAAATACAAATTTTTCACAGTTGTAACAATGTCAACTGGACTAATGCAAACTCGCCACCTTTCCTAAATTTCAGCAAATCAGCCTATTCTGGCCAATTCGCCATTAATTGAATAGTTGAGGAGTAATTTCTGACTTCGGGAATATCCGTGAATATAAGGTTTTCGACACTGACATTAACTACCTATTCAATAACACCGACCTCATACGGTTTCTGTGTGGCGTAAGACCTGTAAATCGATGTATATATAAATAAATACCTGTCAATATGATCAATTTATGAAGAAAGCAGCATGGTATTTACAGTCACAACATAAGCCTTTAAGGTCTGAAAGATGCTCATAAGTTTGTTCACTTCCGGAAGACAGTGAATTGTGGCCCTGTTTCCTCGGTACACAGCTGCAGTGCATTACACCACTAGTCTGTTAGAGTGTGGGTGGCTGTTATAGCTGCCTGCATCGGATCCCGTTGCTCCACGGCTGTACCACATTCTGAATGTCAAATGAGTTTCCGAGCGTGCTCATGGTTTTGTCCCCATTAGCTCATGCTTTACGTTTACCGCTGTAGGGACAAATGGCAATTTTTTGCATCCGCTTCATGTTGGATATTTGTTATTCCGTTCCATTTAGGCTGAGTTTTTCGTCGGTGGCGGAGTTTGCCTCCTTACGACCCCAAAGAACACAGCTCTTACTGCCGACCTTCAGCAAAATTCCACTAATTGCTAAAAGTGGTTTGTTCTCTTTTATTAGCGCGTAGCATTGCTAATTGCTGCTTCGCTGCTCATTCTCTCCCACATACAAAGCCGTTTAGAATAGTTAATGACCATTCAACAACTACAGAAATAACACTAAAACGGGATAGTAGTGATTTCGATGTGGTTGAATTCCGATCCATCTTTTTTAAATCATTCCAGCGTGGAATTCTATTTCTAACTTTTTTGAAGCTATAAAAATATTTTTGTGGCATTGTAACTATTATCGGTAAGTCGTATGCATATGAATTCGTGTTTTTTCACGTAAATTTTGCCGTCGTGAATTCGATTACCAGAAATCGCCTTAGCACTGATATAAGTGCTACATGCGTATAGATCAAAACTACACATGACTAACCAAGGTATACAAAACTTGCGGAAATGAGGAAGCAGCAAGTTCCCCATTAATGCAGACCTTGTTTAAATATATATTAATTTACATGCTAAAAATATTAACCCATCCATTAAAAAAGTTGAGCCATCCCTGCCGAAGACATTCGTGCTTTTGACCCTCTGTTACTCCGACCTCCTGCCTGGAATATGGCTGGTTTATTTTCTCTTCTTGGATTTTAACTAATCGTGGGCAAGTTTTTGCAGTTATCATAATCAGGAGGCTTTGTAAGACGACGCTGTATCGTTGACTAAGTCCGGGTGACACTGACCATGATCATCTCGCGTTCAAGAAGATGTCTGTATCCTTGGGTTCCATTACATTTGAACCCACGTACATTTGAACCCATGACAATTGCACCTGTATGCTATTGCACCTATGGAATTTTTTTTGTTTCACGGATAGTTAAACCCATACTAACCCTAACCCATGGGTTTTAGCACCCGCATATAGATTGAACCCGTGGATATACGCATGGGTTCAAATGTACGTGGGTTCAAATATACGGTCACCGTATTCTTGCATTCCGACCTGGAGCGTTGTCTCGCTGGACTTTGTGAGTTATGCAGGTCGAACAGTTCAATCAGTTTCTTGCTATTTTCATTAACATGGCTTTTATGTTGCAAGCATGCTATCAGCATGCTGTGCGTTAGTCAAAATCATATATTGTTAGGTTTATATTCGAAAAAGTTACGTTAGGTGTAGCTCGAATACATCTGCAAATAAATTGCTATCATTTGACTGCGGATAAATGCTTTGTTCCAGCATAATTTTGACGGAAAATTTGACTCGAAAAAAGATCTTTTGATCTAGGAATAGACGGCCCAATACGATTACAATTGATATTAGCTGATTACGTATCAAACAACCATGTAATAACTATTATTAAGCATTAAAAATGAAACTGATGATATGTTATTTAATTATTAAAATTGTAACTAAATTTACACGTGCGAGAACTTTGCTATGCAACGAAAACTAAATTGGAGATTAGATAGCAATGTTATTTCAGTCCAGTCCGTGGAATTCGGTTTTGATATAAATTCTCTCATTTTTAGATGAAACGTTTCAATTACAAGACTTCAAAACATTGTGACATAAAAAGCGTTTGATCTATTCCATTCCTGTAAAAAGCTCTCCAGATACGAAGAACATCTTCTGCGGTAGGGACTGGGTTTCTGGTACCATCGACCTGGAATATACCATCGACGTGGAATTCACTATCAAAATGCATCACCTCAGTATTTTAAATATTTAATTGATGAAAAATTAAAAGATCTTTTTATTTTATTTTGAACGAGTCACTTATTATTACATTACCAGCGACGTTTAGTGCGTGCAGTCAGCACGGATTTTATTCAAAAGATAATAAAAATGGAACCTTCAACAACATAGAGACAATAGAAGATTTTGCTGGTAAAAGGTGCAATTTATATTTTCTCCTTTCCCTATACTTGAATGTATTATGTGCAAAAACATCAGACTAACTCACGTTCTAGCACAGTTTTTTCATTAATTCCGCCATCTTTACTCACAATATCACGCAACATTGCTGAGTCTGTAATAAATCTATGAACATTGGCAATTGACTTCGAAATATAAATATCTCTAAATATTAATTAATATTGTCCATACCCACAAAATAAAGGATGAAGAATACTTCCTCTCAGTGGCGTAGCCGATTGTTTTCCTCGGCGTGGCGTGTTATTTAATCCGTAAACGCTTACGTTGGTGTTTTTCTTCCTCTATCACAAATTTATGCCCCGACAACAATGATAATTACTGTATTTTTGTACTCGCACAGAATTGTGAATCCGTGAAAGTTATTAATCATTCATTGGCGGCGAGATGCTAAAGATTGCTGAGGAGTGAATCCGTGCCGCAAATTTTTTGATTGAAACGCGGCAATATAAAATGCTGAAAATAAAACGGTAAACGATATAAGATTCGTTGTAGGAGACGCGGGACAGATTAAAAACGCTTCTCTGGGCATTGAAATTCGCAAAATTTCGTGTGCCTAAGGCACACATTATGTTCGGGTACCAAAATGGAAACAGTCAATTGTGCGCGGGTTTTACCTCTTTGTCCATTACTTTAATTAAATTGCCGTCGAAAATTTTCGTGTTAACATTATACAAGGTTGGAAACGCGACTTTTTCACGGGTTGTGATGATATTTAAGATAATTAATCTAAAGTATATTTAAACAATTTTTATTGGACTAAAATGAATCTTACTCCGTGAGATTTCATAGCAGATTTACGAATTTTTACTAATGGTTTATTTTAAAAATAATCCGAGTGGCAGCATTGCGTTAGAGCGGAGCCAGTGTTGCAAGTACAGCTCAGATTTATCAAATTCGCAATATGGCGAATATACGGATCAAAACTGGTTGTAGTTGACGCAACCGCAGGTTAAATTGAAGACAATCAAGCAAGACATTTTAAATATGTCCGTATCGGTCATGGATTGATTACTTTGCACAACAGAAAAATGATTATTCGTTGAAAAAGTCGGTTCTTTTTAACAAGTGGCGTAATCAAGGCGACTGTTCCACGTGTATTTCGAGGCGATGTACGTGTCACGTGTGGCAACTTTTTTAAAATTTATCGTCGACCAAAATACCGCCCGACACTCGACCAGGCGTATGTCGCGTTTGAGGGATAGGAACGGATTTATCAGTGACTCGAAAGCCAAGATATATGTATTTTATTGGGAGCGCAAATTAAATGTAACAAAACGCTTTGTTTTGCGCTATTGCGCTTCGTATTTTCGGAAACCGGGTGTCGTGAAAAGTAAAATTTGATCTAAATTAAGCACAAATAATGTTTTATTATCTAACGTCGGGTACTCAGCATTTTCCGGGAGAATTCGAAAAGTCATTTAATTCAAAATAAAAAATGTTTCACTATTCCAAAAATGAAGATTGTTGCAAGCGGAAAATCCCCTGTATGATGCAGTCGGCACCAATAATAAAACGGTGCAATAACGCTGTCTTCGCGTTCTGAATATTTAAGCTGGGATTACGGTGTTTGATGTCTGCTGCAAACGCGTTCGGGCTCTTTGCGAGAAAACACAAGTATGATCACGCGAGACAGATTTCGTCGCGAGAGAATAACGCCCATCCCTGATTTGTCAAATTATAAATTCGAAACACAAAAATTGACGCACGGCGCCGAAAAGGCGGAAACCGAGTTCGAGATTCGAATTGTCGGGATTCGGTATGCTATATCGTCCATCGTCCACTTTGATAACTTATGGTACCGACGCAGAGATGACTGGCAGATGATGCCATGACCCCGTACTTTATCCTAATGCCTCAGTATATCTTTTCATATATTCCAACCAATAAAACCATTCCTAATTCGCAAATAAAATCAAACGGAAATCCCCTTCTGTAAGCTTCAAAATATAGAAAACTGATGACGTAGTAACGCATCACTCATGCGTAGCGTAAACGTACGTGAGCAAACTATATTCAGTAAAGTATGCAATTAATTTAAGTAAATCAATGAACCGTATAACTCTCGTTCATTCAGCTGATATGGATTTTCAGCACTGGCTGCGCAAATGAAAGTGCACAATATGATTCTCTTCTTGTTAGTTGGAATTATGGCCCGTGGCGGGTCACCGGAAAAAACACGGTGGGCCACTTTTTCAGTGTCGGGTCAGTGGTTCTCCTGTCTTTAAGCTCTAGCGTTTTGGAATGTAAATTGGCATAGATACAAATGTATCTATTGCTTTGAAACTTCTATACCTGAATAGGTACTTTTCCAAAGTTTGCTTTAAAACCATTTTCAACTTTAGTAAAGATATGTACTCTCACACAAGCTACATCAGAAGATACGGCATCACCATCATTCATAGATTGATAAAATGTTTTACCTTCAAGCTAAAAATAGAAGAAATAGAGAGATCTAAATAAACCTCAATTTTTTTTTCAATAAAGCTAAATTTGTGATATTTTTATTAGCTCGTCATTTGTGTATCGTTAGTTGCTTCATATTATCTTTGTTGTGTCGGAGAAATCTATTACATGTAAATTCCTTTATATGTTTTTTGTCAGAGTATCATATAGGCTACATGTACTGTAGGCTACTTGAAACTTTCAACCTAATATTGCCAATGCCCAACGCTCAAATTTCCCATTATTCAATTTTTAGTTTCAATGAAACAAATTGTATGTACATTCAACGTTGTTTATTAATTTTTCAACCGTACATCCATTGCCGATTGACTCAAACTCTTAAGCTATCTGGGCCCTAATAACGCAATACTCACTTTTTCCAATTCTATATCGTTTCTCCCCGGTGGATACATTTAGTTTTCGTGTCCATATATTTGAACATCGCTCTCTTGTTTGAATTCAAAGGTTATTTCTTGAGTGGGTATGTTTTCTACGGTAAGCTATGTCGAGTAATCGGAATCGAAAATTTAGGAATCGGATAAGAATCGAATACTTGTAAGTAGTGATACTTAGCATCCTTACTTTTGAATGGAGTTATGAAGTGACATATCAGATCCCAAACGGCAAGAGGCCGCACGCTATTACCAGGCAGAATGTATGGGAATTGTTTCGGGGCTAACATTTCGGTCAAGAATTTAATGTAAATTTCAGTTTTTATTCGAGGGTCGTTTTCATGAATTTCCTATTGGTTACGATAATATTGCGACAGAAATACCTGTTAACAAAACCTGTTAACGGCAGAAAAGCGCAATTTTCAAATTTGATGACGTAATCACACAAAAACTTCGAAGCGAAAAATGAATCCCATAGAGCCCACAGATATTTTTGAAATAAATGAAGGTAATAGCTCTCTACTACAACAACAAGCTTCAACCATTTAAATTTGGTCAAAGCAATAGGTTCAGTAGTTGAAGACAAAGGCGATTTTTTCAAAACAACAACATAATTAAACATTCATAGGTACATTTCGTATCCAATAAAAAAGCCTTTGATATTTTGTACTAGTTTGCCTAGATGGCATGACACTGCATCGATCTCATGCATTGATAACTACATCATTGCAGCAGAATAACAGTTTACCTTGAATTTGAACACTGCCTAACTGTCAAAATTGATATAACCCGGGTCCCAGGTTGATATCGTGTTGTAAATGACGGCTTCACGATAAGAGTTTCTATTATTATCTACAAAGAAAATAAACGTAGTGCTCTGCTAATTCCTGATTATGCATACTCGGTATGTATGAAGGTATTCACGCATACGTTATGATTTTGACTCAGGGTCAGATAATTTATTGAAGTACTGGCAGTATATTAAGTTAACGACTAGTTTTTTTAGTCAAAACATGTAATCATGCACTAAAATGTCACATTTATATGTATGCAATTATTACCAGTTTTGAATACCAAACATTTCATCTTTATTTTCATTTTTATTGGAAACTGTCTATACTCCTACTTCGCGGTTGTTTAATTAGCAGGCTTAGTGTGGAACAACTTAGGCTGTAAATAATTTCGCACTCGCTCATTTTGTCACCTAACATGCCGTTTCATAAGCCAAAACCTGTGGCGTTCAATATTTTGGTTGCTGGTGAGGAAGAAAAAGCTCGTCACATTTTGATGAGTGAATTAAGACTACTGGGATCCCGTTCGGAAAAGATAAGAGACGACTTGATTTTAGAATCAGTTATTCTGGAAGTAACTATCAAGCGATATAAAATCAAGGTGAGAAATGTAAACAGTTTTATCGAAAACATTGAACCATTTAAATTGCTGCGGCTGAAATCCAAAGAAGTCGAAATTTGACATATGTAACTTTTCTATTTTAGAAGGTAAACAAGTTTTATTGAATTTAATATTATTCAAAAAATAAGAGACATTTTACATCAACCACCAAGCGTACGTCATTCCAGCAATATTCTATTTCACAGTAAAAACAATGCATGTTTCGTTCACAACATAATTTATGCGATACCAATAAAATGTTTTTTCCCAGCTCCAATTCTGGAACGCTCTACTTGTCGACGGAGAGAAAAATGTCGCCAAAATCTTCAGTCGCCGAGCTGACCTTATTATCATGTTATGTTCATCAGTAAGTCAGGACGTCGTACGCATAAAGGTCGATACAAACGAAGGTAATTAATCACGTGAACTTCTCTGTTCAGCTAAAAGAATTATTTCTTGTGTTGAGTATGCTTTTACCTTTAATAGGTATGTGAAATTTTTGTCGCCAGACTATATTGCTCATTTTTTGAAATCAAGCAGTATTTCAAGTGCATATAATCCGGAACAACTCCGATAATTAATTCTTGTGGGATTCACATTCGTTGTTAAGAAGGCAGCTGCTCAACACCCCCAAATTACAAATAATACTGTAATATAATATCTGGAGTTGAAATTTTTTTTTAACTGGCGTGAACTAACGTTAAGTTTACATTCTGTTTCAGAAAAAAATTATTTTATTCGTTTTAATTTCTTTTATATTTTTGCAGTGCCTAAAGTTCTTTGTTTCGCGCCCATGCTTTCATCGCCAGTGAATGAAGTTTTAAGAAAGGCATTGATCTCTGAATGCAATGCGTTCGTTGTTCTGGATTGGGTTACTGGTAAATAAATGACTTGTCAGTTTATTGAACGTTAAACCTTTCACGTTCATGTTGCCCCAATTTGCCTCCAATTAATTCTTCTACACCTTGTGAGGCAATACGCTCTATTTGTGTCTGGCTTTACAATTGTTTATATAAAGAGCACACGCGCTATTTTTATTCAACAATGCAATCACTAAACGAACCATCTTAGCTACTGAGCTATAATGATCATAACGTGAATCCATTCATATGTACTGCCCATTACCATTATGGCTAATGAGTTATACAAATTGCTTACTTGACGCTTCTATGCATGTCGAGCTTGTTATGGCATTGGTGATATATGATCACAAAAATTTTAACTAAGAATGTTACTTGGACCGAACGATAAAATTTAGTAGAAAGGCTTATTCGAGTAATAGTATCATAGAGTTCATTTACTAGATAAATGCACGTTTTATTTCCAGGTTCGCGAATTCAAAATATTTCAGATCTCATCAAAATCGTAAAGCGATGCATTGAATTAAGTGAGAAACGCCTATTTAATTCGTTAAAAGAGGAACTGGATCGCGTCGATTTGCTATCAGACAAGACGAATTTGCAGAACTCTACTCTTTGTTACGAGAGGAACAGCATTGGTTAATAAGCCTAGAATTTTGTCTAGAATTTTTTTTAATTGCTCCACTGTCCACTACATGCCCATTGTTGAATATTTGGATCGAACCAATTTCAATTGTAATCATTGAATCCATAAACAATTCCGCCCACCTTGGCTTCAATTTTGGGACAGTCATACGATGTATAACTACCCCATAATCACCAATCTGTCTCTTGGGTTGAATAAAAATATAACCGAAAATATGCTACAGAACGAATATAACTATGAAATCAAGGTATCAAATAAAGGCTAAATGATATGGGCTGCGTTGTGCACTGAAATGCAGATTTCGAAAGGAACTAAAAGTGACTCACGTCAAGTTGTTAGTTGCCAGTATAGAGTTCTTTAAAATTCCACACTATTTCCATGAATCAAATTGAAATGTAGACAAGATGGGAAAGCATTTACTTTAAAAAAAGATAAAAGGGCAAGCTATCAGATTAGCGAATTTTTAAAAAGTTGCGTGGAAGCGCTCAAAGTAAGTCGCGAGAAGAGAATATTGTTGAATTGGGAAACGAAATGACCTGAGTGGTTCGGAAAAGTGAAATTAACGCATGTAAAATGACCCTGTATTCTTGCAATAGAACTGATACAATTATTACGATATTCTTCGACTATTTTCAGAATACAGGGTCATTTCATATTCACAATCTGCTGCGGCCACACTCTGGATGTCACTCGAGAGAAAGCCAGGCAATGATAATATAAATGGTTCTATTGAACAAGTCAAGCGTCACAAAACCAACGGTCAAACAACTATATGGAGGCCGAGAATAGAAATAGAGTTTTGAGGGCATCGTCTTTTTGAGTATAAATATCCTGGCTAGAGTCGGAGATCGTGGGTTGTCCGACAAAACCCTCCCTACCCCTGTTTTTAAACTACCCAAAGTAGCCCATAACTAGCGGACCCAAGTCAAGGAAAGAAAAATGTATGACGCTCAGCAGAAAACAAAATATTCAGAAGTTTATCCAATACAGGTTAAGTGTGTTGTCCATCTACATCTTGCTTGGTTAATCTAAAATTGTGTGCAGCCCACAAAATTGACAACTCATATCCGATATTTTTTTTTTCAAGTTTCTTCGTACTACGTATACGTTGTGTGACTTCTAAAGCACAAATCAACTATCTGCAATATATAGTTCGCATAGATATGATCTTAGAAAAACATGCATGAAACATGCGGCCTGTACAAAAGAACGACAGACATGTTATTGTGAACACCAGATTGGCTAATTGTTTGAATAGTGGTTAAATTTATCAAGTTATGCCTACTATTGATGAATTTGAAGAGCAATACGCATTATTACCTGAATCCTGGATTAAATCTGCTTACAACCGAAGACTTGTTTTAACTAGATTAGGCTATAACAGGGATGGCGAACTTTTTTCAATGAATGGGTCAAAAAATTATATTTTTATCACGGAACAGAAGAGTATGGGTCACAGATATTTAATCAATGTTAGTATCTATAAGAAACTTGCTGCTGCATTCTATCTTTCAAATATTATAAGCTTCGGTTGGTGTTGTGTAGTTTTGGGATTTACATATGTAGCACTTCTATCAGGGACTACCATACTACTATAGATAGACTCTTTATGGCACTCATGGTTTATTTGAAATTCCTGTACGAAAACACGCATATGAACAATTCAAAAACGTTTAGGATGATGCGGCAAATTATTTTACGGTTCCAAAGAGTTTGGAGGGAATTCCACTCTGATAGAGATATATTTTTCGATCGGCTTCCACATTAATGTACTTTTACAGTGCCCCATTGTTATTTCAGATTCAAAGGTCTTCATTTTACATCTAAAACGTTGTGTTTTCACAACGGCATTGCAGGCGAAACACTAATGAAATGTAGCATATATTTCTCGTATACCCCCCAAAGTAGTCTGCAGTGCCTTATGGTTCTTTGCAGGTGCGAAAGGGAACGCTGTAACAAGTTGCGAGAAATAAACAGATCAATTGTATTGTTATGTCATAAACGATGTCACAGCCAATAGCTACATAACAGTATACACCAGGGGTCGGGAACCTTTTTGGTCAAGAGAGCCATAAAATATACATATTTTCAATTGCATTTCCGTGCGAGCCATATACCATTTCTTCACTTAATCAGGCCTGAAATGTTTACTCAAAAGTCAACACATATAATGTCAATATACATTTAATGTGATTTCTGATGCTGCATGTAGTCGCTGCGGGTCTTGAACGGTTGCTCACATGCAGCCCAAGTTGAAATCTACGATACTCATCAGCCTTTTTCGTTTAGGCATATCCGTAGTGTTTTTAAAACTATATCGCTTTGTGATGTCACAATATATGTTCCAGAATCCCCTTGTTTGTCACAATGCCTGTCTAGTAATATCTTACATAACATAGACATGTGCTGGGCGCGTGTTCTGAAACGTATTGGGAATTTCCTGCCAAATTCGGCTATAAAAGAGTTTGGGATCTCGTAACAATAGTAAGCTTAGTCTTAGAATATTATATTTTTCTGGGAGCCATATGCCGTCACCAAAAGAGCCATATATGGCTCGCGAGCCATGGGTTCCCGACCCCTGGTATACACTATACAGGGATGCAGACGTGCGTACAAAATTGGGAGTTTTGAAAATTACCTTACCGATCCGGAAATTAAAAATTTGAAGTTGAGCGATCGCTGCCCAACTGACGGTACATTATCATAGATTACTCATTGTTAAATCTAATTAGAGCCGGCTTTATCACTTCTATATATGTTAGTATGTTTTTATTTTACGAGTACAAACTGTTACGTATATATATTTTTTATAACAATAACAGCGACAAATATGCAGCAGAAGAATGTTCATGATGATGTTGTTGCATGCAGATATGCAGAGTCCATGGAAATACGTGATGCACCCCCTTCAAAAAAGGTGGATGATTTGGGGAATTGTTTGTATTGTAGTGTTTTTGGCAATGTACAACACTGGATTGTAGTGTCTTTTCCGTAAAACGTGCAACTTTTGGAAGTGGGAACAAGGCAATATTTGTTACTAAATTTGTACATTTTAAAATCATTTTCAGGTAGTTACCTGATGTGCGCTACGAAACTCACTTTCTAGGCGTTTTTCAGGGCGTCGGCTCGCGGTTTACTCTGTTTTTACTCTGCTTTGTAGATATGTTCTGGATAATTTTTCAGCTGAGTTGTCTGTTCTAAGGCCGCTACTGTTTCTTTTTTCACTTGTGATTGTACATTCATGTTTTTTCTAAATACAATAACTTTGACAACTAATTGGATAAATTAACCCTGTTTTCTATATCTTGCATTTATGTTAACATTTATATTCTCATTGGTCAAGGGCAAGGCTATGGCTAATAATAAACCCCAAGGGTGGAATACATCAACCCCGATTAAAGTGATCATTGTTTGATTCTTGGTTTCGCCAACGGCGATCAGCCTTAATCTTAGATCAAATTGCAGATGTTAGCGCCATATTCTGAACTCCTCAAGAAGGTGATTGAGATTTTAGAAGACCGCACATCGACCTTGGGCCAAATTTTATATTCTTTCTTAAAAGTTTCATGTGGCTGTTTGTACATTGAGTATAAATTGGGCCTTAGAATTCTTACATGGAAATTGCTTAATTTAATTTTTCTCATCAAATAAAATGATCGCTCGATTTAATGTTGCATATGACAATAGATAAAAATTTAATCGCTGCAATTGTACAGAAGCACTGCTGAATGATATGGTGAAATATTTTTTATAATTACTGTATATCAACTGAATTTCCCCGACTTAATTTTTTACTTTCTCTCCCAAATCATATATAATGATTCATATCAACTTTGTTGGGTAATTATTGAATGGATAAGTTTCTCTTTGTGTTTATTGCTTTCATTTATTTCAATTTTTAATATTGACTCGTTTTTAATCTTGGTGTCGCAGACTTATGATGACCATTTCTGGTCCTTCGCAACTTCCAGACAATTACAATGAAATCCGTTAGTGTAGCGCATAATTATTTTTTTCCTATTTTGAATTGAATTGTGATTTCTTGCACGACGAAATAAACTTATGTCTATTGTCTAACATCACCGTTACGGACCTCAGATTCTTTTTATATCTCACTGTTCTTGCTTGCTGAGTTAAGTACGCGTTCATTACAGTGATTACACCCCTCATTGAAGATCACAGATTAACTGACCTCCAATCATGAATCAAATTAGGCCGCAAGTGGGTTTCACCATAATTTTGACTCTTAAAAAGCATTTGCCCGTGTATCGCGTGAAACTAATCATGAAATATAATAGGAAATATATATATAGATAAGCAGTATCTCATCTAGCATAAGTCCGTTCCCGATCCTATTCAAACAAGATTTTAAACCTATGTGCATAATCCTTCAACACCTTTTGAAGTCACCAATTCTTTGTGCTTACTTTAAATCTTCACACTCATCTTGTCATCATAGTAGACATGCTTCTGTGCGACATTTTTCAGTAAAATTTCATACATGGATAAATAAATGAAAATATGCGGAAGGTCTTACATTCTCTTATTTTTTTCAGTTTTGGAATATATATCATTTTTTTGTCATTGACTTAATGTCATTTTGTCATTGTTTTGATTACGCACTATGCGCTTACATTTATATCCACACCCGGTTGTCCCAACGACTCGGGTTGTCCGGATCATGTGATTATCCACATGATTTTCGTTACATGAAAGGCTTATGTTATTGGCTGTACGATTTTTTTCATTTCGACTTATTTGCCCTTAACACGCCATTAAAATTATATATATATAATAAATTACGAGAAATTTTACGTTCTTTATATTATTAAACTAAACAGACGTGACTCGTGACATGATCGTATGTTTTGTTCTAATCATGGGGTGCGGAATTTTACATATATATATATATGAGGTGGTAAGCCTGACTTTAACCTATTTCATGCCAGGCCGTGTGGCACTAGATATTTGAACTTGCTATGGTTGACGTTGGCTTTTATTTTATACGGTACCGGTACCTCGCTTCCCTTACACCGGTGTCCTAGATTCCTAGAACACCAATTGGTAAAATATAGTTAGGCATTCGCGGGGTGTTGCAAATTTTTCTCAAAGTCAGCAAAATATTATTCCAAACAATCGTTTCCGGAACTTGATACATGCTTGATTAAATGTCTACTGACAACTATTTGACAAAATGACACATTTAGGCAGTAGCCTACTTCATACGGTACTGCCCCTAATTTTAAAAGTTGGCCTTATTTATTTTTTCGTTAAACCAGAAAACATAATATAATACCGGTAGTAGAATATGGCGATACCAGCAAAAAATGTGAACCGTATGAGTTTTAGTGAATGATTTTATAGTGTTATGTATTAAATTCCTAGATGTTCTGTTTGTTTGGTTTTGCTCCCAGATGTTGTTAAGTTTGCACATTAAAAAACTAAACTCTTGTCTTGTCTTCATTTCGTGTCTTACTCCAATATTTTCCGCCAAATTGATTACATGGGGGGCGATTGTTTATTTAAATTGAACCGTTATAATCACTTCTGCAAGTAGAATTTAATCTAAACTGGAGTTGATTTTAAATGTTTAAAACTGTTTCGAACGCTGATAATTTGCTGCAGAAAATCGATAGTGGCGATAATAATGTGCTCTACAGAACACAAGCAGCTACGCAAAAACAGTCTCTAACACCAAACCAACATTATTTTAACTCTTTCAAGTTCCCAACCCTACACACGCCCATACAAAAATTTGCTATTTTGACGGGAAAAAACGTGTTGTGAACCGATCATGTGATGGGAAATTTTCATCATGTGACAAGCATTGTATGATTATTTTACATCAAGCTGTAAACCGGCGGGTCACTTAAACTCTCGTCGTTTATCGTCGGCTGCATTCTAAGACTCGAAGCTCTCAAGTTAGGACTCTGAGATATAGTTCAGCAGTTTATTCAGTAGTTACTAGTACACAAGCAGTTTTGCGCCCAAGAGCATAAGGAAAAACAATATGTGGAAGTTAGCTGCGTTCTTGTCTCTTGTGTTTGGTATTGCCTCTTGTCGTTCCCAATTCGATTTCGTCAATGGACGTTTTGAAGATTTGTCACAGCGCATGGAAAAGTTTCAAGATACTGCAGGCAAAAAATGGGTTCTGCTCATAGCAGGGTCAAGATTTTATTATAATTACAGACACCAGGTCAGTGCAATTAAAGTTAATTAAGTTATAACAATTTCGGAATTTAGAGATTGAAGAGGGCTGGAGTCTGCACCCTATTTCTTTATTTACTGCTGTACTGATTTACATCAATCCTCATATTCTTGAGATTATATTATGCTGTTATGGTATTTCTTTGGAAACAGTATTGTTTATTTTTTTCCTATTTTAGTTATATCCCATTTCTGAGCTAAATTTATATTAACCTTCATACAGTTCTATCCATGAATGTGTCCTGTTAATGTACTTCAAACTGTAGTCACACAATCTGCATAAACACTCCGACTCTTGTGATGGCAAATTGAGCTTGTGCAAAACTAGAAATTTCAAAGGCAATTAAGCTATCTGACAATCACATCTCGTTGTGATTTATAACAAATTCTTCAATTATCATTATTAATTTGCCTTGAGGATCTTAATCCAATGTTTTGAAGTGTTCATCATGTTAAATTTAATTAGCGGACTCATTCTTGTTTGAATCTTTAGGATATTTAAGTTATTTATTTTCCAGGCAGACGTCTGTCATGCATATCAGATTGTTCACAAACATGGAATTCCAGATGAACAGATTGTAGTTATGATGTATGACGATATCGCAAATTCTTTAGAGTATGTATCTTCAAGCTTAATATTTTTTTACGATAATAATAATGGGACATTGATCACTCCATAGTGTAGATTCGTTTGATTACTTTTCTTTTTCAAATATCTAAAGAGATATGCTATGTCTTCTAGGCAGGTGGTGAAAAAAATGTCTCATAAACAATTATCAAAAATAGATCCATCTCATGAAAAGTAAAATTAGATTTGTTCATGTTTCAGGAAATTGACAGTTTTGAGAATGGAATTCTGTTATTAAGTTTTGAGTTTAGTATTGTATTGCTGATTGTATTCAGTTAAAAGTTGTGTTGTCATACTTATATGTTTACTGAATTTTTTGAACTTTGTTAACAGCGTCAAACTATTGAATTGAACTATTGTCCTAATAATAGTTTGTCATTTGTTTCATACTGTAAAACTGGGATTTGATGTTTTATGACTAATTTTATTACTAGGGTGCATGGTACCAGTTTTTAATATGGGAGCATTGAACTAAATTTTTTAATGGTGGTAATTTTATTGCAAACATTTTTGCTGAAAGTGCATTGGAAAGCATCATGTGAATTTAGGTCATTATATATATTTTTATGATGAGGTCATGAAAAGGGGATGTGACTCTAAATTGAAAAGGACTTTGTGATGCAATTCTGATTATTGTCATGCTTATATTTGATATGAAGCATGCTCATGTATTGGCAATATCGGTTATCTCAATACCGAAGTAGATTAGCACTTCAATTTGATATTATTCTGAACTAGCAACTAATGTGGCATGTTTAGATATTGATGCTAAAATTGTTTAATATTTTAATTTTGTTTCGTTGCAACAATCATTAACTGTTGAGCCTGCAAGTTGTCTCCACTAGATATCATTATCTTGTGAAGAGTTTTACCACAATCTTCGTAACATTCGAAAGGCAATATGAATTTCATCTCATTGAAAAACTATATTGGATGCTATGTTATAAATTGACCTAATATTTATTCGGCTTTTTAAATTTGAGTAAATTTGTCACCCATGCTGATTTATATATTTCTACTCTACTCATCCTCTTCTTTTCTAAGACCTAAAAAGTAATTTTCGTTTTTAGAAATCCCAACAAAGGTGAAATCATCAATCATCCAGATGGACCAAATGTCTATGAAGGTGTTCCCAAGGATTATACTGGCGATGTAATTGTTTTGGTTTTGTTTTATCAGCCATTCGGACATAGAATTATAAATGTTATATGGGTTGTGAATGGTCGAAACAATAAAAAAATTATGAAATATCTAGTCTGAATCTATATACTGGAAACGAGCATGCCAATCTAATAACATGAAAATGAAGATTTGAATCATAGTGTGTAGACTTCTTACATTCTTATTGTTGTCCCTGATACTATATTGCGCTCAGTATTCCATAAAATATGGTCTCAACCATATTTGTTTGTTTGTTTCAATATTATTGGTTAATACTTATCTAATAAAGAAAACACATTATTTGAATACAATAGCGTAAAACTTTTTCATTTTTCAGGATGTTACACCTGAAAATTTCATTAGTGTATTGACTGGGAAGAAAAACATGATGAAAGGGATTGGAAGTGGAAAAGTAATTGATAGTGGTCCCAATGATCATGTTTTTGTATTTTTCTCTGATCATGGTGCACCTGGACTAATCGCTTTTCCAAGTGACAGAGTGAGTGATAAAAAATTCATCCACATTTTAGTTTTTTGCTGCAGAAATGTAATAGCCATTTCAAATTTCCTGAAAAAATCTTGTTGATTGTCGTGAAGCATATTATTGTATTAATACTAACCAATGTCTTTTTTATTTGCTAAACAAGATTAAATTGGAAAATAAATTTCTAGTGTATACATTATCAACTATCCTGAATCAAATTCCTGGGCAATGGAATTTTTGGGTGTCTGAGTAAAGGAACGAAGTTGGCAACAATAAAGAATAAGAGTGTTTGATCCCTGACTGAAATGAATGAGTTTTCTCAATCTCAAGGTCTTTGCTGTCAAATCTTATCTATGAATCTTTCATTGTTAAAGCTTGACTGCTTCCATTATTAGGTTTATGTGAAACAATATGATTATGCTCTTTTCTGACTTTATAGCCGTCCTTTTTTATGATTTCACAAAATTTTGATATTTGTCTAACGGTTTTCTGTTATATTGTTTTACAGCTCTACAAGGCAGATTTGGCAAATGCAATCACCTACATGCACACAAACAAGAGGTATCAACAGGTATAATTTGCTTTGTTTCATTGACTACTATGTTTTGTTCTAGTAATCGAAGAGTCAAAAATTTAGAATACTATTACAATGCACTTTTTTCAGCTTGTGTTTTACATCGAGGCATGTGAGAGTGGTTCCATGTTTTATAACAATTTAGCGGACAACATCAATGTTTATGCAACGACTGCTGCAAATCGTTCACAATCTTCATTTGCTTGTTATTTTGATGATAAACGACAAACCTATCTCGGTGATCGTTATTCTGTATCTTGGTTGGAAGACTCTGACCAGGTGCTTATTTATTTTAACGTTTCCAATTTAACTTTGGTTCATTTTTGTATTGTGATTTTTAGAGTCATCCATATGTGAATAAACTGCACTGAAATCCATAGCTATTTCAGTATTGCCAATATGAATTACCTGCACTTGTATGTCAGTAGCATGGCATTAAAGTAGAAACCATCTTTTTAGTCTTAAAGTTGTAATATTTTCTCATTAGGAATCTAAATATAAATCATAATCATGAAACATATTTTGGGTAATTACCGATTTTTTATTGTGTAACTGATTTTTTGTTGTGTAAATGATATCTACTGAATCTAAGTCTATGGAGTTCGGTTTTATATTTTGTCTGCTTTAGGAATATGAAACAAACTAAATCAGTCATCAGTTTGCATAATTTCTGTTTGAATTGAGGAAATGAAATGCAGACTGCCATTGATATGAAATCAATATTGCTGTTCTTTGAACAATGTAAACAATTGGTCTTATATACAGAATTTGTATATTAATTACTCATTCGGTTTAGTCATACTGATTTTATTTATTCAGGAAAACCTAGCAGTGGAAAGTTTACATAAACAATATGAAATCACCAAAGCAGCCACCAATCAGAGCATGGTAATGCAATTCGGAGATGTGGTACGTATGATATTAATACTTGAAAAATAACTCTTTATAGTTTAAGCAATGATACCAGTAATATTCAGATTTTTGCAAAATTAATGGTGATTGTTCACATGACCATTGTTTACTTTCTCGTTTGAATATCTAAATATCGATCCCATTTGGAAAAGATTATTTAGATGCAGTCCTTTCAATTTTCTCATCCAGTTTCTTGACAAGAACTTTGCTCTGTGCGAACCTTTCAAATAAAAAATATATTGTGATCTTTTAGTTTTTATTCTTTGTGAATGCATGGGTTTTTGAAGTTAATGGGGATAGCTGTGGATCTCAAATTTTTCAAACTTTTTTTCTGTTTCAGGGTCTTAGTAAAGAACCAGTTTCCTTCTTTCAAGGTGCAAAGTCAACTGAACCCACTAAACCTCTTCGTCAGATTGTAAGCTTTTATAATTTTTGCACAGGGTTTCAACTTGTATTGCTTTATTTTTATCTCAAATTTAGGATTTAGGATTTACATATTTATCCCGGGGGAGAGGAAAGCCGATAAGACGGCTTATCCATATGACGAACCACGGCCTCTCGTCCGGTTACCATTCCAAGTCGGGTATGGGATTAGTTTTACTGTATTGTTTGTTTTCGGAAGCATGGACTTGGTGGTGGAGGAAGCCGTAACCGACCAGCGGTTACGTGAACCACCCAACGACGGCGAGGAGTCCAGCAATCCTCTCGCACATAACCATCCCTGCATGGGATTCGAACCAAATGATAAATATTATTAGCAAGGGCAAAGACTGAGTATTCATATTCATTGGCATCTCGTGTTGTCCAAGATCAATTCACTACACCAAAATTCTAGATTCAACTTGAATTTATCGTCTACAAATGTGCAAAGTTGGTGTTACGTGTTATGCTATCCAAATCGGTTGAAATTAGATTTTCTCTTTCTTTCTTACATTCTTAGTATGACGATGTACCTGCTCCTGATGTAAAAATTCACATATTAAACAAGAAAATTGAATCTGCGACATCTGTTGAGGAAGAGAACAAACTGAGAGGAGAACTCAATGAAGAATATGAGGTAAATTATCAATTCTTAGATCTATTCTTGACTCTCTCTTACTTTTTAAACTAATGGTCTCAAATGTTTCACTTAAATTACCTAATCAAGATTTTTATCTTTAATGTGAAGAATAAATTTATGTCAGTGGCGTGTTATTTTAAACAGTTTTTATGGCTATAATGACAATGAGTTCCTTAAATATTTTATCTGAATACTGAAATTTTGGGTTAATTGTTTATTGAAATTATTCTACATGAATAGATGCGCAATACTGTTGGCAAAGTATTCAAGAATATTGCACTGAAGGCAACTAATGGAAGAAACAGCCTTGCTGGTTTGGTACTCTATGCAACTCCAACCCTGGACAACATGTCTTGTTACAAAGATGCGGTTGAATGGTTCGACAGAGTATGCTTTGATTTGGACAGTGTGAGTGTCAGAATAAATATTATTGGAAAGAAAATGATTGGATTATCTTTTTAACATGGCTCATAATGTCATATACTTCAATATGGTCCTCTTGTTTATATTTTCAATTGTTTAAGCCGAATTGGGACGACTTGAAACATGAAACATATGCATTGTTTATCACTGTTAATTCGAGAATTGAAAATAATTTTCAGGGCAACTATGACTTTGCTTACCGCAAGCTTTACGTTCTTGGGAATTTGTGTGATGCTGGAATCCCCACTCAACAGTGAGTAGATGTTGTATTTTTTAGTCAAATGTAGGGATGGATATCTATTTAACAATAATTTCACCTTATACAATTAGGACTCAGTTATCAACAAACTTCTAGAAAAACAAGTTCTAATTATTTTTATCAGTTGAGCTAAGTACGAGATATCAGAACGTCAAATTTTTGTGTTCAGATATTTGAACAATTCGCAGTTCAGTAAGCGGTTGTTGAATTCAAACGGAGATAGGTCTTTATGAATACACAATTAGTCATTTGAGCATAATTTTCCAGTGTATTGCTTGCCCGCTTTTACTATTTCACGACTGATTATTTTTCTCACAGAATATTGAAAACCATCAGCTCTTTATGCAAGTGATTATTTTCAAATACTGAGATACGACTGACGGAAATTCATTTGAAGATATTTACTTCTTTCTTTTCATTTATTGATTTGTCATGCCTTGTTATTTTTTCAGTATTACTTACATTTATGTCACCATTCTGCCGATTTCTGTGATTTATTTTCATCTGTCACATTGTTTGTTAGCCAGTCAGAAATTGCTCTTGGTAAATATAACCCAGCGATATTTGTGATTAAGTGAGGATAGTGAATTTTACCTCAAACTTTAAAAACAAATGCTATTTCCTTTGTATTGATTAAACTATGTTTTTGAGTAGTGTTAATGTTATCATTATACACACAATTACTACAACAATATATTTAAAAAACACAAATAATAGTACAGTACACTGTTTTAATGATGATAGTACTTTTTCAAGTGTCGTACTTGCTACAAGTGAACAAATTTTTACTAGTCTTTATAATGCCAGCCGATATTTATGAAAAAGCAGCACATGTGTTCATCTTCTAAAACGCTAGCCAAGATTTTTTTTTGCAATTGATAGAGCTAACATTTGCTCTTTTCAGACACTTGATTCTGTTGGTAACTTTCTGTGATTCTGCAATATGCATACTAACCATTGTATCAAATGAGTTTAAAGCCTCCAAACTTAAAACTTTTTTGATATTAGAAAATATATTCCATTGAAGCAGTTCTCATATTTTTGTTGTCTGACATTGTGTTTTGTTTCACAATCACATGCAATACTTTTCATCTCTTTGTAAATTTCCCTACAGCAAATTCGTTCATGTTGAAATATAAAAATGACCTCGTATTCTTTCGTCCTTCAAAATGAACCATTGTTTTGTACAGTTTGGAAATATTATTGCTTTGGGCCAAAGTTAGTTGCAATTGGAGTTGTTGTGTATCGTGGGGTTGTTAATGTCATGACATGTTCATTGAGCGACAATCCAATAAGCAGCAATCTTCTTGTTCAGTTTTTAGTCCAGGTCAGCTGTGTAAAGTCTATTCTTTTTTGATATTACTTTAAAATCGATGAGCAGCTTCTCCATTGTACCCAACTAAGCGAGGTTTCGAATATAAAACAACCTTGCTTTCAAGCAAAACTTTAGAAAATCAGACACTGACTAGTACACCAGAAGCTGCTAATATTTCTACTGAAAGTGGTACTTCGCATAGATCAGAGGTTCCTAAACCGTGGGCCAATTACGGCCCTCGTGACGATATAAAATGGCCCGCCGAACTTGAGTGAAATAGTTTAATTTTAACTGTGAATAAATACTAATACGTTTAACACTTTATGTGTTTACCTTTCTGCGTTCTGGATACAACCAATTGTTACATCCTTATCACGGTATTCGTAACAATTCAATTATACCGGTATCTAGTATTATGATTACATACGGCAGTTTTAGTTAGCCCCATATTAAGATGTCACAAAACGAAAACTAGACTCTGAAAACAGACGTTTTTTGGATAAATGACAGCGTTATCGCGAATACAATGTACCAAATTGGGGCCATGTTTTGAGCATCTGATTTGGAGCAAACCCTTATTACACGTATATACAAAAATACACAACTAAATTATGTTGACATCTCGTTTTTATTTATTTATATACATTGGGATGTTTTTTGCGTAACAAAACAAGCCATAAATAGACATTTATGCGGGGACCGTATGCCAGATGAGCAAGTAACTTCATCGGTCGGTATCAGTTGAAAATTCCTTGTTGAAAGTCGTGCTTGGATTCCTCGGGTATTCAATCACCCAACTAATTTAATTATCAATTTTATTACATACATTGTACAATTTTATTGCAAAGTGTATCTAAAATCAAGTATGCTGCCTATTTTAGTGCCTATTTTTCAAAATGTCCCCAGCCGTACCGCCGCGTCATTTTGCCACACCATTTTCTGGCCCGCGAATCGCGGGCCGCGATTAACCAACTTTGGGAACCCCTGACATAGATGAACTTAGAAAATTAGATAGGTTGTGCTGTTCAAAAATCCTGGTAAAGATGAGATATGTAGGCTACTCACAAAGAGATGGCTCCAGACGTACCATCCCATTAAACTTCTTGATTCTTTGGGTTGAAATCTTTAAAAAACAATCGTAAAATTTGGGATCATCTATTTTGAAATTATTACATCTATGTAATTGCAGGTGAATATGTATCAAAAAAAAAGTAAACAGGCTTATAGCATATTACACCGTGTTTCCCGGAAAAAAGACCTAGCCTGAATTCTGAAAATGATTTTAATATAAGCCCTCCCCTTAAAATAAGACCTAGTTAATAACGCGATTTTTTTTTATCTATGGTTTGCAGTTAGTTTTAATAAATATGTGTTATTTATAACTTATAAATTATAAGTAAATGGATATATATCGGTTTTCATATTTTATATATATATATATATATATTCGAAAATCTCGTAATTCTCTACTTTGTAATTTTGTTTTTGATAAATGAAAATGTAAGACATTCCCCGAAAATAAGCTCTACTGTTATTTTTCGGAAGAAAGTTGAAATAAGACCCAGTCTTATTTTCGGAGAAACACTGTACGAGCGAATTATTTCCAGATCTATTCCATGGTTATCCCATTATCGATATTGCCACAAAAACATACCACCAAATAGTAACAAAGTCAGTAATTTGGAAGTATCCGCTAATAAGCGACACGACAAAAAAGTGTCCGAATGAACTTGATGTCTTACGTGAGTTTTATGTGGATTTTCATATGCAAGGAGCAGTGGCGTGCCTAGAGAGGGGCCAAAAGGGGCAGCCGCCCTTGGCAGCACGTTTTGGGGGCAGCAGAACCAAGATGTAGAGTATGCGTTATTACACATATATATTAAACTGGTTTATATGTCTCAAAAAATCATTTTAATTCAGTACCGATAGAAAAGTTTAACCTAGATGGTCTATCACAGCATTTTCTAGTAATGCTTTAATTTTTTCATTAGTCATCGCAACCATGGGTTAAACAGAATTAAATTAATATAGTAAGGCATTTCAAAGGCTGGCATCGTTCATTGTGTTGTATTTTTGCGCAACATCCCAGTAAAAATCGATACTTATAACTATCATGACCAAAATTATTTGCGAGAAATGTATAAAATATTTTCTCTAATAAACCAACTTGTTTTTTTTCGGGTATCGTAATTTGTAACAAAGCGCACGATTTTATTTAACCTATTTAATATCAGACTGTGGTTGGATTATGCGAAACGCGTGACAAGAAGACAAATGTTTTCTACTAATTAAACTTAAGTCTTATTTTCATATTTTCAGCCATACACTTCAACCAGGGATGGCCAATACCGAATAAATCGCTATTTCGAATATTAGTAAAAATTTATTTATTTCGTAAATACAAAAATGCAAATCAAAAATTAATTATAATAACAAACAATCGAAGTGCCGAAACCAACCGAAAAGGTATTCGAATATTCGATTCGTTTTAAACAACCCTGATTAGATATCGTTTATTACTCAAAATTAGATACTCAATTACTAGTAGCAAACGATCTTTTTCAAAGTTGAAACAGAGAAAAACATATATTTTTGAGATCTTCGATGTTAAGTCAGCGCCTGTCAAATTTACCTTTTGATTGAATAGAAATTCCTGACGAGCGAGCTGGAGGAGGCTGTCGTTCAAACATTTGTTGAGTGTTGGCAGCTAAGTAGCAATTAGACATAAAAATAAGTGACTTGCTTTTTGTTAATAAATGAGTTCGATCTTATACATGTGAGTTTGTTGCTTAGTTTGATGATTCACGTATAATGACATCTATAATCTGTTGTCTGTCTATAATCTGAATTATATTTTAAGTCAGGGATGTATATATGCTCATTGGGGATGAGGAGCATCATTATCCGTTGGGATTTGTTCAAAATAAATTGCTTTAAATCAATTTTTTTTTTGCCCGTTTCGTTAAAAATTGCTGTAATGTTTGATTTTTTTTGTATTTGAATAGGTCAAATTGAAACAAAGAAAATGGATGTAACTTGCCAATTGCAATTCTATCCAACGACTAACATACCTATTCTATCCTAATTAATAATTGGCGATCTCAGTGATGCACAGTCGTTGGTCATGCATATTTCGTGCCCGAGCATCTACTCGTATACGCCATCTGATGGCTGGCGACAATATGGTGCAGTGACGAAAGATTCCACGAGCTTACACATGGAAGGAAATCCGCGTGTTCGCCTTGCAACTTTCATCAACTTTTGGTTTTATTAAAATACCTGTTTTACTTTTACCCCTGTTAGTTCACCAGTATACAATTAAAATTGGATAATGGTTCGGATTTATTGCTTCGAGGGTTTAGTCAACTAGTCTAATTATAGTCATCGCATTTTTTTCTTGGCAAGTTTCCTGAAATTCAGTCCTGTTTATATTATGTCTTTGGTTTTTCAGAATACTGGAATTTGTTTGCAAAAAATATTGTCGACTGATACTACCCTATTTCTGTATTTATTGGTTATTTCAGTATTTAGGTGTAGATTGGTATCAGAATTTCGGTAGATTTGTCGGGTCTCATGTAGTTTCTTACCTAACATACTGGTACTTCTAGTGGGCTTAGCATGACAATTTATTCACGTACCGGTATCAATCCTAACCCCCACCTGACTACACCATCCAAAAATTACGTCATTACGACGTCACAGTGACGTAATAGAGCCCTTCAAACTATACGAACTGCCATCCAAGACGCGCAAACGAGCACCCGAAATCGAACAGTTATTTTTCTCGTCGCAACGATTCCAATAGGAGAGAGACCGATAACGTCAGTCAGTTCTTTATCGTCGGCGCCAATGCCATTTCGGTCGATCGTGCGTATATTTAGCAAGCTCTATGACGTGATTGTGATGTCGTAGTGATTTAATTTTTGGATGGCGTAATCAGATGGGGGTTAGGATTGACATATCAAAAAATTGTTATGCTACGCCTACTAGAAGTACGTTAGGTACGAGACCCGATTTGTCAAAGTGCAGAAGTGTGAATTGGTCATTCGATTGACTATTTTACAATCTGAATTAAACTATGTTTGCTTCAGTACTGACAATGTTAAACATTTGACAGTATTGATATTCAGATATAGGCCTAGGTTTCAACAATTCTTCACCTGAAAGAACTGAAGACCTGATATTTTACAATTTAGTTTCAAAGTATTACACTGAAATGTGATAGCAACTTTGAAATTGATTGATTTTAAAATTTACTTGCAAAGTATTGCACTGAAATATGATAGCAACTTTGAAATTGATTGATTTTAAAATTTACATGCAAAGTATTACACTGAAATACGGTAGCAACTTTGAAATTGATTGGAATGAAAAAAGCATCCTATTTTTGAGAAATCGGGGTATCTTGAATTATGTTTAATTCTATTGAGCTGGAAGTTCTGTGTACAGATGTATGTCATCATTATTATCAATACACCAATATCTGAATATGTTCAGATGTTACATCATGAATTGAAAACATCGATAGACTATTTGTTCTGTTGTTAAAGGTCACTATTTCAGTAGCCTATTTGGAGTATTGAAATACAGAAATAGTCTACTCAGCTACCAACTTTAAATTCATATGGCAGTGTCACATGAAATGAATTCTACCTTATCTAGACCAGGGGTGTGCAACATTTTTTTGTCGGTGGGCCGTATATCCAACTTCAAACATCTTGCTGGTCTACATACCGCTGTATAGTGATGAAGACACTGCGTAAAATAGCGAAAAGAAAACCATTGTGTATTTTTACCCATGTTTTCAAACATAAACTGTCGATTAGGACTGGGGAAAAATGTGAATGTTGACAAGTGCCGCCTGTTGCAGACCCCTGATGGGGGCCACAAAATTATTTTTGCATTATTCACGCGCCACAATATTGCCTAGAATAGATGAACAGCGTGATATGAAACAAACACTTTTATTGTGCAAACACATTCGATCATTATTTTTCATCGATCAATCTTCCTATATGAACATTTAGTATTAGATTTTATTTTCTTCATAATGGAGAAAGACTTTTTGCAAATATAAGTGCTTTCGAACACAGATAAGATGCTGAAGGCAAAATCCCCTTGGAAAATAGTCATTGCTCACAAGATTTCAAAATGCCATTTTAGATCATATCCTTTATATTCAAGCATTGTGGTATTTTCCCTCACTTATCTGGTTAAAAATCTGTTTGAATTGGTCAGCTTTATTTTAAAACTCCTGTTGACAAATAACTTAATTCAAAATGATCACGGCCGATTGCTGGATTGATTCCTAAATTTGCCAATTGTGAGGTACAGGAGGTAATTACTGAATTTGTTGATGAAACAGCACCAAGAATATTTTCTAATAACAATAGAATTCAAACCACATTACTCGAAATGAAAATTCCCAAAGTTGGTACTGCTTTCTAGTTTACATTTTTAATGCATGTCATATGATGTTTATATTTTACAGTTAACAACATCTGATTTAGCATATTTGTCCTTATTAAGTTTTCCGCAGTTTGTCGGAGATGCCAGAGTATTTTCAACGACCTGAAAATGCTCTTAAGAGAGCGCAAGAATTTCTTGAGGTTGGAAAGCTAAAACCAGCCTTAGATGTTCTCAGTGATGTGCTGCGAAGCAAGAAGCATCGAACCTGGCAGAAGATTCATGAGCAAATCATAAGACAATATCTAAACCTTTGTGTGGACCTCCGTAAGAGCCAGGCGGCCAAAGAAGGATTGTATCAGTATAAAATAATTTGCCAGCAAGTCAACATCAACTCTCTTGAAAATGCCGTGAAGAATTATCTCAAGTTAGCTGAAGAGAAGACTGAAGAGGCAAAGGATAAATCAACTGAGACCGCTTTGCAAATGGTTGAAGATCTTGATATGATTGATTCGCCAGAAGGTGTTTTGCTTAGTGCTGTTACTGGTGAGAAAACCCATGATCGAACCAACCGTCTCATGTTGACACCTTGGGTCAAGTTTTTGTGGGAAAGCTATCGCCAATGCTTGGATCTGCTGAGAAATAATAACAGAGTCGAGAAATTGTATCAAGATATTGCTTTAAATGCATTTGAATTCTGTTTGAAGTATGATCGTCGTACAGAATTTCGAAAGCTTTGCGACAATCTTAGAAACCATGTGAAATTGAGTGAGCAGCGTCACCAAACAGCAGTATCTATCAATCTCACCAATGTGGAAAGCCAGTTGTTGCACCTTGGCACAAGGATTGCACAGCTTGATAGTGCTATTAAGATCGAGCTATGGCAAGAAGCATTCAAGGCTGTGGAGGATATCCATTATCTGATGTCACTTTCGAAAAAACCACCAAAGCCCCAAGTTTTGGTGAATTTTCATTCAAAGTTGTCTCTGGTCTTTTGGAAAGCTGGCAACATGCTTTTCCATGCAAGTTCAAGGCACCATTTGTTTCGACTCACCAAAGAGATGAAAAAGAACCCAACTAAGGATGATTTGTCTAGAATGGCTTCTCTCATGCTTGTTTCCACATTAGCTATCCCAATCACTGAGCAGAAACATGGAATTGGTAAAATGCTTGATATGGAAAGTGCTTTGATTGACAAGCACTTAAAGTTGGCAAAGCTTCTTGGGCTCAGCAGACCACCAACTCGTTCAAGCTTGATTGAGGATCTCAAGAAACACAACATATTGCAATACACACCTAAACAGCTGAGAGATCTCTTCCAATGGCTTGAGGTTGATTTCCATCCACTTCGTCTCAGTGCCCGTGTTGGACAGTCATTGCAATGGATACGTGAGCAAACAAGAGAACCAGAGCTTGCACAATATATCACTGCTTTGGAGGGAAATGTTGTCTCTCGTGTTCTGCAACAAGTTGCCAATGTCTATCAAACCATTGAGCTATCTCATCTTTTGAGTCTTCTTCCGTTTTGTTCTGCTTTTCAGTTGGAGCGTGCTATTATTGATGCATCTCGCAATGGTCAGATTCAAGTTCGCATTGATCATAGTAAGGGTGCAATCAGGTTTGGCACTGACTTGAATGCTTCTCCACTTTATGTAGAGGATGAATTCTTTGAACCGCAACGCCTGCAACCTCTGCCAAGCGAAAAGATTTCTCAACAATTCAACGAAATGGCTCAATCACTTCATGTTGCTTACAGGAAACTTCAACCACAGGCAGAAGTGGATAAGATGCTCCAGAGGAAAAATGAAATTCTGAACCTCTACACAAAAACTTGGAGGAAAGATCAGCAAAATATATTGCAGAGACGACAAGTTATTGAAATGCGCAAAGAACAGCTTGAAGAATTCAGTAGAGAACGGGAGAAGCAAGAGCAAAAGGCTGCCAAAGAGCAAGAAGAAGCTGTTAAAGCAGCTGAACAAGAACGACTCACGAAGGAAATGAGAGAACGGGAAGAAATGCGCCGCCGCGAGGAAAAGGAAGATGAAGAACGTCGGGTGGCACAGGATCGCCTTGAAATGATTCGAAAGAGTGAACTTGGAGCAAAAATGCTTAAGGACATTGATGTGGACACTTTCACAAAAATTGATCCAGATGAATTAATGAAAAGACAAATGGAAACCATGGAAAGAGAAAAGAAGGATATGCAAGATAGACTGAAAGCTCAAGAGAAGAAAGTGGATTACTTTGAGAGAGCCAAACGTCTTGAAGAGATCCCGCTGATGAAAGAAAAATATGAAAAGAAACGTGAGACTGATGCCATACTATGGGAGGAACTAGAAGCAGAGCGCATTGAAAGAACCAAGGTTGAACAGATCATCACAAATCAAACCAAAGAGAGATTGTCAAGGATGAAAGAGGATCGAAATATATATTTACAGAGTCTGAGAGAATCAAGAAGAGCAATCTTTGATAAAAAGCATTCAGAATTCGAAAAAATGCTTTTCGAAGTTCGCGAAGAACGACTCGCTGAAAGAAAACAAGAGAGAAAAGAGCAACGTCGTCAAAAGTGGCTCAAAGACAAGGCAGAATATGAACAAAGAATACTTGATGAGCAGTTGAAGAGAGAGCGCGAAGAAAAAGAGCGTGCTGAACGTGAAAAACAAGAAGAAGAGACACGTGCATATGAAGAGAAGATGCAAGCACTTAAGATCGCTGAGGAGAAGCGACTGCAAAGAGAACGTGAGATTGAAGCTAAGATTGCTGCCCAACAGAATCCGAATGCCTATAGACCAAGAGGTGAAAGAGATGGCCCACCAGCACGCAGAGATGATGATAGAGGTGCCTGGAGAGGACCTGGCGGTGGGGGTTCACGTTTTAAAGATGATGCACCAGATGATAACCCCTGGAGAAGAGATGGACCACCTGCCGAAAAACAAGCGTGGCGCCCTAGTCGACGAGATGGGCCGCCTCGTGATTTCGACTTTCCTTCAAGGATTCGAACGGATGGTCCAAGAGATAGAGGTTGGGAAGATAGAGGTCCACCAAAAAGAAGAGATGATGACCAACCCTCAGATTGGAGAAGACGTCGATCACCTTCACCAAGACGACCACGCTCGCCCGACAGATATCAGCAAAGACGTATGTCCCCACCAGGTGGAAGAAGTCCTCCACCTAGAAGAGGTTCACCAATGGGTCGGCAAAGCTCTCCACCAGGCCGTGGAAGTCCTCTTGGAAGGCGACGCTCTCCCATGGGTGAAAGGAGTCCACCAAGGAATGCTTGGAGAAGGGACAGGTCTCCACCACCACTTACCAAACGAGGACCACCCGAAGATGGGCCTTGGAAGCGTGGGGGACCCCCTCCGAGAGATGATGAATGGCGTCGTGACAGGGGCCCGCCAAGAGGAGATGGTGATTACCCAAGTCGAGATCGAAACAATGATACCCGTGGCCCACTAGATGATCGCAAATGGGGCCCACCAAGAAGAGATGATCGTGATCGCTCTCCTCCACCAAGACAGGATCGCTTCCCACCAAAGAGAGAAGATGATGGTTGGACTACTGTTCGCAATTAACATAGCAATCATGACGCACCACTGCTTGTTTTTTCAGTTTGTTCCAGTTGTATGTAGTATAAATGTTTTTTCCGCATATTTGACCAGCCTTCCTAGGAACTGTGTAACAATGCAGAATCTTTCAACAAATAGTGGACAAATCTAAATAAAATTGATGATATTTTATTTTATGGACATGCTAGCGGATATTGCATTTATACTATGTAGTGAGTGATGTAAAAATTATTGGTGTTTAACATTTGCTTTCTTGTTTGTTTGTAATCATGGAAGTTATTGGTTGTTTCTTTTGTGTCTTTAAGAAAAATGGAAAAGGAAGTGGATATCTAACAGAAACTTGTTGTGGTTATTAGCTGCGAAGTATTGGGAAAATGGCAACTGAGTATTGTTAAAAAACACTTGAGTTTATAGCTTGTGCTGTTGTGGTTAGCTCATTAGACTAACTACGTTGGATGTTACATGGCCAAAGTCATATTGTTAAGCAACATAGCAATGGGAAGGCTGCAATACTCCAAAAAAGTATTAGCGACAAGGTGTAAAAAATGCATTAACAATACAGCTAGTTACGCTTATAAATGCCACTACGAAAAAAAAAAGTTCTAATTTGATATCTTCATGCGACTCGTAGAAATTTTCAATAGTTGATCGGGTGAATCGATCAAGATTTGCTGGTTTTATTAATACCTCATATTTTTCCCATTTACCTAGATACACCCAACTAAGGTTCGCTGCGTACACGAATACTTTCTGGTATATATCACACTTACAGTTATTCATGACTTTTCACAGTGACTAAACCATGAGGCTACCGCAACGTTCCAGGCACATAAGAGCAATTTATTCTACTATGTTGACTCAGAATACAAAGCAGAAAAGCAAACACATTGCCCTTTTGGGGTAAATATATCAGGCCTTTGTGAAATACCCACTTCTGTCCCAAAGCTGCAAGTTTGAGAAATGCTTCAATCATCCAAATGCCATCCAACACCTTGCTGTCGTTCTTGTTCCGGCTCACTTATTCATGATTTTCATAACTGAACCTACCCTTATCAATAACATGTAGTTGATACCAGGATCATCTATACTCTATTTCTGTGATTCTCAAACTTTTTAAGCCATGCCCCTTTTTAGAATTTCTCAAGTCCCATGCCCCACCGCAAAAATAACTAGCCAACAATAAGCTACAAATTACAGATAGTAAGGCGATAGTATGTTTTATTCAAAAAACGTGTTGAAAATATGTGGCCATCTTTGACATGAGACTAGGCTATATGTAATTTGAGATATATAGCGAATTTTATTTCCTGCAGCTCGGCGGTGCGGCGCATCGTGCTGAGCGTCAGGAATACCTTTACGAACTGACTATCTTAAACAGGCCAAAATTGACTAAACCCAAGAAGTTGATCATTCGTGTATGATTAAAGTATTCCTTCTCTGACCGCAATTAAAGCTTGTCATAGGAAGATGAGAATTAACAAGGAGAGAAGTACGCTTAACATGGGACATTCAGCTGCCTTACTATCTTTTACGCTCTGGAAAACATGCTCACAGATCACATGGGTTCAATAACTAACAAAGTCACTATGCAACATGCTAAATCATTTCAGAGAGCAAAGGTACTATAAATTGTTACTGTTGAGCTCCCATGAAAAGTAAAAGAAAAAAAGTTGCACTCAAAAAGTATTCTTGAGTAAAACATTACTACTTTATTTTGGAGTCTGTAGCATGAGTTAGAGGCAGGAAAGACTTAACATGATGAATGAGTCAATGGTATATCGCAAGTGTGCAATGTATACCCATCCTAAGTGCGTGTCTTCGATTTTCAACTGTTTAGGTCAGAGGTTAATGGCCAAAACTTGCAAGTTACTATTTGAATCTTATTGAATCCCAGTCTCTGTCATGGCAGTAAGCAAGACTCGTTTCTTTCCCCACGTAAGGAAGGCTTTAATTTAAGAACTTGAGGATTGTGATGTGGAGAGCGTTTGTAGAAATTCCTGCAAATTTATATCATTCCATTTCATATCTTGCTCTTTCATTGTTTCATGTGTATTACCATTGTCCTGTGAAGCAAAATGATATCAATTGACATACAAAACTAAAAAAGCATTCTGGGGTAAAGCACAATCAAACTACCATTATGCCAAAATTTACTATTTTGTGCCATGTAACTCGACTGGGAGTGTAGTGTATTCAAGTTACATAACAATAGTACAAAAAGCTACTGATTCTTGATATATTGCTTCAAATTATAACCAAGCAGGCAGTCATTAAGAAGAGAATGAAGATGGAATCCTATTCCACAATGTTTGTAGTTGGTTGCTGTTTCTGCCAAAACTCATTTCTTTAGCAACCCAAAAAATATGTACCTGCTCAAGTTCTGGTAACTCTTCAAGAGGTACTTCAACATCTTCCTCAGGGAGAGTATCCTCTCTCCACTCGTCATCTATCAAATCGAGCAATCGTCCATCAATTCTAACTTCACTATCCAGAGTTGCCATTGCAGTATTATCTTAACAGAATACTATAAAACAATGCGTAAAAATATATTATAAATTGCATACATTCAAACTAACAAGTTCAAAATATTTTGTTCAAAGCAAGTAGGCCTACTGAAGTAAAATTTGAAAAGCCTAATTTTTCAATGATGTTATATTGATAATATTTTGTCATAAAATTATGATATATATACCAAATTGTATGAATTTCTGTTCTGTAATTTGACGTATATTCACTGTTTTATTTCCGAATTGCAAATTCATAGACAAATCAGTTTTTTTTAATTCATGGAATACATATGGATATCAACAGTAATAAAATCACAAGACGTTGATTGAAGAATTTAAACACAGTCATGTTACTTATGTATGTGCAAAATTTAATAAAAAAGTAAAAACAACGCCTTAAAGAGCAAGAAGAACTAAAAATAATTCATAATAACAAATCTTTAAAAAATTTCACCTATGTAAAATTTCCCAAATCAAAATATCTAGCATAATTATTCTATAGTATCATAATGATGTAATGAAGTTTGCAAGTATAGATTATAAAATTTTTCACAAAATAGTTAGCAATTCATGGCCAACATATATATATATATGTATATATATATATATATATTGGTCTTTGGAACTCGAGAAAGTTCAGTCATTTTCATCAAATACAACACCACATGGCTTTTTCCTTCTTTGTTTTATCTTTGATATATCATGTGCAATTGGTTTATGTTTTCTCTTTGGACATGCATTAATATTGTCATCATCATCAGTAAAATTGTCCATCTCAGGAATTGGATGTATACTATAGTGTAGTTGAGATTCAATTGGGCTCACTTTTTCACAATTTAACAAACAATCAAATTGTGTCATATCAGCTCTGAAATAGCTTTCCATACCACTTGGTTTCTTTCCCGAAACAATTGGTTTGATTTTTCTGGGTCGAACACATTCAACAAATTCCCAAAGTTCTGTGAAAGAAGAATGATTTGAATATGGTACTGTATAAATCAGATCATTTCTCAACACTCCAGAGCTAACATGACATTTCTTTGCTGTTGGAACAATCCCAATACAATCTTCCTCATTTTCATTTATTTCTTTTAATCTACGTAAATTAACTTGATTCGATCTTAAAACTTGAATGTTACTTGAATATTCATCACAGGTGAAGACATTTTTGACTTCCAAAAGTTTAAAAAGCTGTAAATGCCAATTTGTCACTGCAATTTGTTGCTCCATTTTTAATGCAAGTTTGACAAGAAGGTCTTCATGTCCAGTCCAGTTCACACCAATGAAGATATTACAATCCAAGTGACTTTTACATATCTTTGCTATCTCTTCGATTGCCTCATCTCTTGAGGGGAAAGCACAAGACGGCTCGCAATAGGTATTGTCCAAATACAAAACATCTATAGGGCGGTGTCGAGGCCCCCATAAAGTTTTCCCAATTTCATATACAGTGTTATCAGGCCGAAAATCGCCTGTATATAAAATTTTCACATCATTCGTTTCAAACAAGAACATACTTGATCCAGGACAATGCTGTACGGGAATGAGAGTGACTGATAAACCATGCCAACCCTTCTTGCTTTGGATACGGAAAACATGGGATTGCAACTCTTTTAAAGGTATAATCAAATGTTTTTCTATCTTAAGTTTGAAATGAAGCAATTTGCCAGTTACATATGAACAATATACTTTTTTCTTCCAATATTTCGTTAAACCCACAGTGTGGTCAGAGTGCACGTGTGTGAGAAAATACAGCTGGACATCCGGAGTCTTGGTAAAGTAATCAACTGCAACTGGCAGTTCATGTAATATATGTCCATTCATATTTGTTGAAATCCTGAGAAACCAAAACATTTGGACTTTTAGGAAAAAAAATATCCAATGCCCTATTGTTCATTTTTTGAATACCGACAATTTTGTAGGCTACTGATTATGATAATAAAATTTAGAAGTGGGAATTAAAAATGTGTTCTAGGTCCGGTAACGTTAAAAATTATATAACCAAACAAAAATCAAGTGCACCTCGAAAATAATAAATGTATTCAATATACAAATGTTGATTACCGCATTATTGGATTCAGAACTATTGTGTGTGCGGTCACTAGAAGTGAAATTTTAAATTGTTTATTTATATATAATTTTCAAAGATTTTTTATATTCAGGGGATAATGAATGAGTACGATACAACTATGCATTTTTGGTAGAATGGGGAGCCAAAACATTGCTTTTAAAAAATCATTCAATAACATAAAGAATTGCACATAATCGAAGCTACCAAATGAATTAGACAAATCTAAAATTTTCAAAATATAAAACAAGGCGAAATATGCCCAGCGCCTTACTCCGGAAATACTAAAAGTTTAACATACTAATAAAATTGTAGCTACTTTTCATTTTGAGCTCATGGTTTTCAAAATTATATCTACAGCATCAGCAAAATTATTCGATACTATAAAATTCGATAATGATTGAGATATATTTTGTTCATCCCCTTCTCTGTATTTCCCAGTTTTAACAAGGATTCCTTGCATCCCTGAATTTATTGCACCAAGAACATCATCTTTCACATCATCCCCAATCATAACACACTCTGCTGGTTCACAGCCAATACTTTTCGCAGCACCCAAAAAAAAAGTTTTATCGGGTTTGCCAATTACAACTGCTTTTGTGCCAGATGCATATTCTAATGCCTCTACAAATGCACCAGTGCCAAGCAAAAGACCTTTTGTAGCTTGATAATATCTGGCTTTATTTATCGCTATCAAAGGACAACCATTCATAAGGAGATGGAATGCTGTATTCATCGTGTCATATTGAAAATGTGTTGGTGAAAGACCCATAACTACAGCATTTGGGTTTTCCATTTCTAAACCTACAAAATCTTTTTCTGCATCATCTGATAACATTAGGAAGGGTTTATATTTATTCTCAATTAAATAGTTTCGAACAGCAGTCAAAGAAGAATATATTTCGCTTTTGTCAATATTGAATCCAATGTTCAAAAGTCTATTGTGTAACGATGACACACTTTCTTTTGTAGTATTTGTAACAAATTTCACTTTGAGGTGAGAGTTTTGTAATTTGCTGAGAGCCTCTACAGCTCCAAGTGTGGCAATGTTTCCAATATGCAATGTACCACTCAAATCTACCAAAACGGCTTGAACATGCCCTAGTGCTATTCTTGCAGCCATAATCATATATCACACTGCAATGAGTTTAAATATAAGACTGTAAGAAAATGATATAATGCAGATTCATATTATAAAGTAGAATATACAAGTATAGAACATGAGACAACATGATAATGACAAATTATTCGGCATCCTGGAATAAGATTCATTGCATATTCAGATATTATGACTGCCAGCTATAACTTGAGGATGATTTTGAGTTGAATTCACTGATTAATCTAATCATATAAAATCACTGCAGGGCGACCTATCTTAAACAAATGAATACGGTGTGAAATAAAATAGAGTTTTCATATTGTAACGAGTATATTAGGAAAGTTACTGTGTATCTTCGGGTCTCATGTATTTTCTTACCTGAATAACTTCTAGTGGGCGTGGCGTAACAATTTTTGGATATACTATTCCCGACCCCCACCTGATGACGTCATCCAAAAATTACGTCACTGGGACGTCACAATAACGAAATACAGCTTGCCAAAGTATAGCGACGATCACCCTTAATGGCGCCTGCGAGTATGTCAACAAACTCAATACGTCAGCGACCTCTCTCTCTTATCGGGGTCGTTGCGCAGAGCTCAAAATAAACAGGGTGTAGTTTCGTACCTAACAATTTTTTGATATGTCAATCCTAACCTCCATCTGACTACGCCATCCAAAAATTATGTCACTACGACATCACAATCATGTCATAGAGCTTGCCAAATATACGTACAATCGCCCGAAATGGCATTGGCGCCGACGATAAAGAAATGTATAGTTTGAAGGGCTCTATTACGTCACTGTGACGTCGTGTTGACGTAATTTTTGGATGGTGTAGTCAAGTGGGGGTTAGGATTGATATGTAAACAAATTGTCATGCTACGCCCACTAGAAGGTATGTTAGGTACGAAACTACATGAGACCCAGGAATCATATATCCAAAAATTGTTACGCCACGCCCACTAGCCTACTCAACTAGAAGTTATTCAGGTAAGAAAGTACATGAGACCCGTATCTTAATACTTCTACCCTCTTAATGTTATTAGCGCATGTTATTTGCCTGAAACAAGGTTGTTGCCCCCAATTCATTTCCTTCCATGACATTTTCATGTACTCACGTGAAAAAGCCAATTCGGCAATTAGACAGCTAATACCGTATCACTATCACATACTAACGAATTATGCCATTTAAATTCTTACTACTGTACTAGGTCGGCTACATGTTTGAGGATACTGGAATAGTAAAGGGGTTAATCATTCGAAATGCTGATAGGCTAGCCATCCATGGGCGATGAAGCAGAAGCAAACCTAATGCAGTACGGTAATGCCAGAATGCACTATGCAGCTACCGGTACCGGTATGCAGTACGGTACCGGTAATGGATTGTAATGCGTCAACCAACTTTTCTATAAAAACTTTCTATAAAAACTCTGTTTTCGGTGAACAGTTGCATTCGCCGTCAATTCTGCTGCCATATTTCGCGTTTAGTAAATAATTGCTATTAATGGCAAATAATCTTAGGGGAATCCCCTGATTATAACATTTGAACGACATTCGCCGGTGCGGGGTAGCATAGAAGTCATATTGGGGGTGTCAAAATAGGGCTGACAAAATGCGGTCGTTGCGTGTCAAATTGGGGGTGACGAAATACGTTCGGTGCGTGTTAGATTGGGGGTGACGAAATACGGGCGGTGGTGGTGTCAGATTTTGGGTGACGAAATACGGTCCAGGCGTGTCAGAATGTAGATGGCAAAATATGACTGAGCGTGTCAAATTACCGTAAATCTGGCAATGGTGTGTCGGCACGCAATCTGTGACACAATGACGTTAAACAACGACGTTTAATGTCATTGGTGACAGCGAGCTGGATGAAATCAAGAATCACTAAAATTTGAAAATGAAATTCGCGAGTATTTATATGTTTATTGTAGCAATTGATTCTCTGTTAATTACAATCAATCTAAATAAAGATGTGAGGGTATACCGGTAGTGATGCCATGAAATATAGAATTAAATAGAAATTATATATGAAATCGGCGATCTTGAAAAGTTATGATTCATGAAATGATGCATGTATCTGGTGTTTTATTGCATGATTGAGGAACCGATCACGGACCAAAATTTCGGAAAAGAGCTCGCGTATTGTAAAAACAGTCAATGATCAAAAAAACAATCTTCTCTCGGAACTTCGCGCCCCAGATGTAAAATTCAAAAAGTCGAAAACGGAGGCACAGTTCGGAGGCCAACGTTATGAAATATATCTGCATATTTATTATCTTGTAGTACAATGTTGCCTGAAATACGTTTGTGTTCGTCGGGAGCTTCAAAACAATATATGAAAAACGAATTACAGAATATTTTACAGTTAGTTGAATTTGTTTTAAGAAAATTTTCAATGTCCTCAAATAGTGTCAAACAATTTTTTCCTTTTTCTAATATTTTATGTTACTTAATTACGCATAGAAATGACATGTAAAAACATGGTTTATGTCATCGTGCAGAGTGATTTAATTTAAATTTGACGTACGACTGGGATCACTCTGCATAAAGAGAACAAATTAACGAAATTTCTCCATGCAGAGGGTTCGAGTCGTATGCCAAATTTAAATTAAATCAAAATCAGCTAATTAAATTTAACTAGACATTGTAAATAATTCTTAAGTTTAAGTTTTTTCCAAATTTTTTCGATTATTAATTTAAACAAGAGAGCTACGCACAAATATATGGACACGTTAGACCAGAGCGAATCAGTCCTTACCGGTACCTTTGACGCTACCGGTACCCTCAAAAAAGTTCTGAAATTCCAGTAGCAAGAATTTTGCAGAATCAAAACGTACAGCCAGTCATGACACTGACTAAAATCCGTGTTCCCATGGATAAAAAATAATACAGCAAAATTTTAGACGAAATATCAAATTTCATAGAATTCACGCAGAATTTTGAAATAAATAAAAGTAATAGCCTTCTAGCGAGAAAATTATTCTTTAACCACTGAAAATTTCGAAGCAATTGGTCCAGTATTCGAAGAGAAAATCGATTTTTTAAAAATGGAGACGGAGACAAATAACAACAATAACAATAACAACAAAATTTTTAAACGATCGTTATGGCCACTAAACGTGTCCAATAAACGTGTCCAATAAAATTTTTAATGTAAAGGTGTGTTTGATATATTATTAAGTTTTGCTCTTCAAGTCTTGAACATCTCGAAATAGTAACAGACTACTCATATTTTAAGTAGAGAGTTTATTTGTTTCGTCAAACAGAAAACAACAACTCGACAAAATATAATTTTAAGCAACAAATTCTCGTTATAGACTGTATAGCAACTGGCATCAATACGATCATGTGGACATCGAGATCAGTTACCAGTACCACCCAATATTTGAGTGGTAGTGGTGACTTCTCTACGGCCCATGGGCCGGGGCCACGGCCCATCGAATTGGGCATCGGCCCATCAGTCTATGGCCGCGGCCCATCAAATTGTGTGAAGGGACTATTCACTTGGCTAACACATACAGTCCCCGAACTCATAATGCTGTAATAGAACTATAATGTAAAAAATCTGAACAAAATTTTGTCCCAACCCTAACCTGGTACACATACTACAGGAGTATCCTTTTCTGTAGCTTGGTATGATTTATTTTTATATCGTAAGGCTTATCGTAATAAAAACATTTGGTGGCATCCCGCGATTTCTTTGATTTGAATATTGTAAAAATTGAAAATTTTGGTAAGATAACTGAATTTTTCCTGATGGGGCCGCGGCCCATAGCTTGATGGGCCACGGCCCATGTGGCCCAATTACATGGGCCATGGCCCCGGCTCATGGGCCGTAGAGGAGTCACCACCCCTGTAGCAATATTTATAACGTGAATAACAAGAGCTTTAGGTGTGTTAAGACATATAGGATGTGATATTGTAGGTTTGTCCGAGACCATCAATAACTTTCAATGGAATAATAATTTAGTTGGCAAGCGTTTGGGATGCTATAAGCATTAATTAAATATACCTATATATAAATTACTAAATCAGACAAATTACTTGCTTGATCAATTATGATATTAACGAATTTGACATTTTTGATTGATGACCACAATAATAAGAGAAGGTTTTCATGTGAGTGTAGGGTATTGGTTACTTGAAATATGTAAATGGTGAATGACTCAAAAAGTAACGTCTATATAGGGGCATTAAAACGTCACTGCAATAGTTAAGTTGTCTGAGTGTTAAAGTTCGGAGCAACATAGTAGGTATATATAAAAAAAGCAATCATATCAAAATTGAGCTTAAATGTTTTCGTATAAATAAGGTCTACAAGCATCATGTAAAATATCAGAAAGAATACCACCCATGTTAGAATGTAATTTACACTGTTTTTTCATTCTTTTATTCTATGAGAATGTCTTTAACCACATGATAACTTGATGTCGGACTCAGACTCGAATCGAAGCTCGGATGATCTCGACTTGATTCGTGATTTGATAATTACCAAACAGTGAACTGCGCGGTATGGCTGAAATATCATACTGATTTTACCACTGAGACACTTGGTGAAACGCATGTCCGTGACGTATGTGCATAGTGACACAAGAAGTAAAGACTGCCAGAAACATTCTAAGGGGATGTCATGTCAAGGGGATGTCATCGCGTCCGAAAAGAATAATTTCAATAAAAAGTGACTAAGGATCAACAAGATAATAAATAATGTTGGGTTAAAGGACATATAGGGTGTCCATAAAGTCTTGAACTTTTTTAAAATTGCAGAGGTAATTTATCAATGCAATTTATAGATTTTGCCCTCACAGATGTATAAAATACTTGAACAATTACTGATTAACAAACAACAAACCTGGTTAAGATATTAAGAACTGACTTTATAACAAAATTGTAATGCACACCCTGTATTGTTTCAATAGTTATAAGAAAAGCAAAAAATATTGTTGCGTTAAAGTGTCAGGTTTGTATTATGTGTACCTACTCAATTACAACCATGTCAACAGACGTCGCATAAGATCAATTTCGATTATAATTACCCAAAGGAATGGAGCCCCGTAAACGTCACTAATGCCCTATTATGACTCCTAGAACATGTTTAGTCGAGACTGGTCTTATAACGAAACACAAATAGACTAACAACAAATAAATAGTTGTCTTGATAAAGTTTCCACGGAATGTGGTTTAATCAGACAATCTTCTCAGTCACATCCCAAATAAATCTACGTTCTTTATTTTCACTAGTAAACAACAATTATTGGTCACTGATTAGAGTGAGATAGAGATTACAGTACATTTGTTTCTTTATTAAAAATGACAACTCCCTCTTCTTATGTTTCTCTTTGATTCTGCCCCCTTTTTCTCTTTTGACTTTAAAAAAATATTTGGCGCGCGTGCCACATTTCGATTTAGAGCGTGGTAGTGTGAGGTCGTATCTGCGCTGGTTTGGGCCAAGTATATTTACAGTTTTAAGGCAGGGAAGGTCTAGATATAATAAGGTCAACTAATTATTCCCATTCTTCATGCATATATAAGCTAGAACTGGAATTGTATAAATAATAATCTATTTCGATACAAGTAGGTAGCGCATTTTTCAGTCATATTCAGAATTTTGAGTGGTATATGATGAATATAGATTTCGGCATTGAGTTCTTGTTTCTTTTCTTATATACCTTTCGAGTGTATTTATTTACGTGTTTTGCAACGTTTTTATTTATAAATCATGTCTTGTTTTCCGATCATATTTTTTGTAAGTTGTAATCCGCGTCAACGTGCTGTTTATAATTTTTCCTACTTTGCACAAGAACTTTGTATCATCGCTAAAAAGTGAGCAATAACTATTTTCAAATTACAGGCCTAAAAGTGAAGAAAAATCGACCGGTATATGATATTGGCATGATTGATGTAGATAGAAAGGTAACTGATCTAAAGTAGTTTATCAGTTTTGTCATAACTTGATTATATAGCAAAGGACTTATATTTTTTAATCTAATTACAGGGCTTTGCGAAGAAGGAAGATATTGTTACTGCTGGTGGACGAGTGACGATCGGTCGATGTAAATGGAAAGGTCGGTATGTTATAAAATCTAAGGTTTTTATCACAACTTGATTATAGAGCGAAGGTTTTATAATTTCCAATTTAATTACAGGTCTTTGTGAAGGTAGAAGATAATTGTTACTGCTGGTGACCGAGTGGCAATTGATCGATGTAAATGGACAGGTGGGTCCGCTTCATTTTTTATGAAAAATATTTTACTCAAAGGGAAAGTCGTGTACGTAAAACATAATTTCCTAAATTGCTGGTTTGTGTTATTTGTACAGTGTAAACATTCGAATATTGAAAGCGGTCCACTAGCATCAAAATTTTACAATAAAACTTGCGCTTTTCCACAAGTTTTCCTCTTTTTTAGATGAAGGAGTGTGATCCTAATTTGTTCTACATAAACACACCTTTGATACCTAATAAGTTCTGATTTTGTGGTTATGGTAATGTAGTAGTGTACATCTGTTAACTTTTTACATCACAACATTGTTGCGTATTACAATTGTAAAGGTTGGAGAATAATATTATACTGCTATAATCTTTATGCTACTGACCTAAAACTTGCCTTTCGTCTTAAACCAAATGCTTTTATATAGCAGGCATACGAACGCGAAATGAGATTTTGAAGAAACAAGATAGCAATGGAACGAAATATTTCACCCGTATATTCTCCAAAAATCATATCTTGGTCTCGGGATAGCTGTAGTTTGTATTTTTTTTTCGATGTATCTATTCCACTGCGTGTTGGGTCGTGCCGAACTGTCATTGACTACTAAAGCTGGGCATTTTTGAATACTTGCTAATTTCATCACTCAGTCAGTTCGCGCCGAGTTGTCACCCACAATAAGAATCATGTTTTATTAATAACTCAACTAGTCACTGGGAAGAAAATAGTCGTCTGTTCATCACTAATAACAGCACACCACGTCAAATGGCCACATATCCATTACACTGCGTGTTGGGTCGTTCTAAATGGCGCTCTAGAAGTATGTGCACCAAGATGGCGCACAACTGATAATCCTAATCTGGTACACGTACTATGTTCAGGTTGTGCGCCATCTTGGTGCATATACTTCGGGAGCACCTGCTAAACTGGCATTAAATACTAAATCCGGGAATACCTGATATCTTGATAATCGAATCTTGATTACTAAGAAGATTGTATGTAAACTTTTATTTTAATAAGTCCTCGAGGCATATTAATTACTGAAAAAATAGAATCCATCACTCGGTCAATTCGCTAAGTCGTCACTCACAAGAATCATGTTTCATCAATAACTCACTGGGAAGAAAACAGCCTTGTGCCCGTCCCTCATAACAGCGTACTTCGTCAAATAGCCACAGATATGTAAATGGCTGTTATTCTTTTGAATAAAATCTGCATTTTGAAAACTTATCATCCAGATTCTTCCGGGAACAGCGAATCAAGGCGATTTCAATATTACAAATCTGGATAAAGTAAGTCATTATTCCGTTTCTTATAAAGGCGTGAAATATAGTAAAAAAAATTATTCAACCAATTGCTTTATCGATATCTTTAATATCCAATTTTAGCTGCAGTTTAGAATTTTAGTATATTCGCCTAGCTATAACGTGTTTATCCCCAAATCCTTTTTTTAAATTGGGTATAAGGGGCCCCATTATCAGGAACTCGCCCGAGCAGCGGAAGAATTTGGCACGTCCCTGTCTATGGCTATCTCCATTACATCCATTTAAGGCAGGGGTCGGCAACCTACGACCCGCGGGCTTTTAACTTTCTAAAAATATGTGCGGCCCGCCAATGACTTGCAACCCTTAATTTTGCCCCACGAGCGACAAAAAGGTTGCCGACCACTGCTTAAGGTTATAGAATCAATTTGCGGAGATATTTCGAATGCTGTCAATTTTCGCTGTTATCGAATCCCAAGTGATGCTTTTTAAATTCAATCCCAAGGATATGGGTGTTTTACTTTTAATTGCAGATTATGGAATTGGGGATATTTTAATTAAAATCATTTCGGTTTGTGAAATCCAATGCTGTTAAACTAGTTTTATATATATCAGGTGCGTACTGGACAGATGATTAATCTCACATGAAGCAGACGAAGAACGGCAGTTTTATATCTTGTTATAGACTATGGAGTGTTTTAGAATTGTACCAATCGTATTTTTTTCCATTTTATTTTAATCAGTTTTGTATCCGGGTTTTAGAGGAGATCAGCGCTTGCTTTGCCACCCCAGATCGTGGGTCATGATAGGTATTGATTGTTTAGGGACACTGAGATTTCTTGATGTGTACATGTGAGTGCTGCCATCGTATAACTATCACCTCGTAGACTGCTATCATAGATACAGACGCAATATTTATTCGAATACGGTATCTTGTACGTTGGTAAGGTTCCTGTACTTTTTCACAAATTCCGTCGTTCTGTGCCTAGAATCTTTGCAGTTTTTCTTATTTTAACGTAATTTAGGAAGTTGTATTTCTTTTTTTAATTAATGATTAATAAATAAATATAACCGATGAGAAAATATTTCCATGCTTGCTCCGAGTCTGGGCTTGATTTGTCAGGTTTCAAGGTTCGGAAAAAAAATAGCAATCATCGGAATGTAGGGCGTGTGCAACATTCGTATTCACTAGGTTATGACGTCACCCTAGCGAGCAAGCGATATTTTGGGGCAGGCCGGCGCTGGATCCAGGCTGAAACGACGCGATTTCTTTTCATGTGTGGCCGGCCATTGGCCGTAGATAAATCGAGTATAATTTTTGGAATTTATCTACAATCATGCCTGATCATGCTTGGCCCGAATATAAATCTCAAAATTCTCCATTTTCCAAGGTCTGACCCTTCGATTTTCGTTTATTTTGGGATTTTTATCTTCTTATAAGTCGGAGCTTCCTTCATACTTTAGATATCTGCGTGATCCAATTAATGACGACACGAAATTCATACGGGACATTAAGTTCGCGGGATTCAAACTTTGGTCACCATGAACAAACTAAAGGTGTATCAACCGCCTTCACCAACTAGGCCAAGGAGGAACGTGAGATCAAAGATCTAAGTTCTAATATTTATCATTCATCATAAATGCCTTATAAGTTTTTTTTTTACAAGTCCTTTGAGATGATACATAAATATTAGACCTTAGACCTTTGCTTATAAGTTCTTAATTGGCCTAGTTAGTAAAGGCGCTGGTTTGACCATAAATTTGTTCACGGTGACTAAAGTTTGAATCCCGCGAATGTAACATCCGCTTGTCAAATGTGTGTCGTCACTGGAAGGGCGGCGCAGAGATCTATATAACGAAGAAGAAACTCGAACTGTGGACTACAGAAACCCCAAAATATGAGAATATGAAGGAAATCGAAGGATCAGGCAGGACCTAGGACCTTAGAAAGTGGAAAATTTTGAACCTTTCTTTTGGATCATGTATGATCGAGCATGGCCATGTATAAATTTCATCAAGTATACTCGATTCATCTATGGCCTACGATCGGCCAGAGATAAAAAAATATCGCGTCGTTTCGGCTCGGATCCGGCGCCGGGGCGCCCTATAAAATCGCGGCTAGCCAGTGTGACGTCATAACCTTGCGACGTCCTAGTGTAAAATCCGCAGAAACCAGTCAAAATGACGTTTTGAGACACTTCTTACACCTATGCTCCAACTCCCATTTCTTATTAGTCTTCAACAAAACCCAGTCCCAGACAACCAATAAACATGGAGAACGGATATTGCTTCAATAATTTTATTATTCTCCAAGCAAGAGAATGAACAAAAATCTACATCTAGTCTTCGGGAAAAAAAGTATGAGAAGAGGTGGATAAAGTGGAGATATTAATGGAAATGGCATGGAGTGGCATACATATATAGCAGGAGGGCCACTGCCCTTGTCATGGGGGGCGCCATTTGGATGAGGGCGCACAATGGGCAAAACCACATTTTGATAAAAACTACCTAAATACTGTAAAAGAATCCCAAAGCAACAAACCGTAGTAAAAAATTCCAGTACACGATCGATCAAGAGGGCGCATTTTAAACATTTCCATAGGCGCCATTTCACGCAGCTACGCCACTACTGGGGCAAGCTTTGATATCCGACAAACTCTGATAGAAAGATGGTTATATAAAAATTAAAATACACTGTTTATATAATCAAGATGGTACGACAATTCATTCAAATGTTCCTCAATGTACGTGTCCGGTTGTCGACTGTCCTTTGATCTTTCCAACCAGAACGCAGCTGAAATATTAAAACAGATTCAACATAGATAGCACAGGGCGATTATGAATTACATTTCACACCGCCGGTGAAAAATAGATCATAAAAATTCAAACATAGACTTGCACAACTCAACTCAAAAATTAATAAGATTCGAAACCAAGCTTTCAGCTTCATACATCACGATAGCGATGCTCAAATATATGGACACGAAAACCAAAACGAGGTAGTACGAGTATGCAATCTGTCACAGTAGACAGGGTGCGCAATTTTTAATCTTAATGTTTTAGTTAGAGAAAGGCGTTTTTTTCATGACAAACAAAAAAAAGATTCCCAATAATAACAATAACATGATAACAAAACGATATGATGTCCACTTCATGTCCAACAATTTCAGACTCCAGACCGGCAACTTGAGTAAATTATTCTGCAAGTTTGTGTACCCAATGCCGCAAATAGCAACAGTAAATATAGTTATTTCCGTGGTGTATTGAGGAAAAAGCAGCAATGAATGAGGCGAAGAAGTGCGTTTTCGCAACTGGAATATTAGCTCACCAATATTATCAAAAACTCTCTAAACGGAATAACTTGTGAACTGGTAATGAACTATTGGATTTTAAGACTTCGCCCGCCCAACAATGACAAATGCGCCTTACTTAAGACTTTCAAGTACACAAGACTGCTAATTAAAGGAAACGACATCCCGACGTCACAGTATAAAAAACTATAAAACAATATTATCAAATATTCTAGCTGAAACAATGCGCAATTATAAAAATACCTAATTTGAACAGACCGATGATTTGTGAGACCCGTTGTCGCCTCAATCTACTGTTCCGCAATCCGGACAGAATCTGCATGATAAAATAAATTTAGATATCGGTCTTCAATAGGAATAGTTGCTGATCGTAAAGAGCAGTGGCGATCGCGCACAAGGGGGCATAGACAATTTTAGATTGCGTTTAGCTAAATAAAAATATGAATATTTGTTAGATTGATCCTGCGCGCCTTCTATCCGTTATTTGTAGCTTGTTAGCAAGTTATTTTTGAGGTGGGGCGCGAAACTTGACGACAAATTCTAAAAAGGGGCGGGGCTTAAAATGTTTGAAAACCACTGCTATAGAGTTTTGCTTGAAGAATATTATATGCTTGGGTAATGAGTTAACTACTGATTTGCAATTCAACTTCTCTAATCCATCTTGTGGATTAGTTATGAACTGAAAACTGGGGTTCTCAGTCTATAGGATAAAATTAGCCCCTGGGGGTGAACAGGGCAAGTTAGCAATCAAGGAATTTTAACGTCGAAAATTTGATTTAACCCACAAAGAAAAACAAATCGAGTAGCGAGAGGAAGCAGCGCTGGCAAAGAACTTATTTTGACAATCGTATATATTTGAGTTTTCTACGCGCTGTCATTAAGTATTTATTTAGTGGTAAAATCTGTCACCGCGGGCATTTCCGAGCTTTAGAATTTGTGTAATAAAGGTTATTATGCTCTCACTACGGTTTGTTGGTTACAAACTAGCTAAGAGCTCTAATGTAAACATAAATATTTTTCTTTATTTGATTGTTTTAGAGAAGGAAACTTCTATATTATGTGGATAGGACTTATATACTTTAAAATTTACTTATTTAGCGTTATTGTACGTGGTATTAATTAAAGCACGCAACTACTTAAACCTTGAACGCTAAAGAGTGAGTTGTGCGCAACTATCTGATAAACCTGAAAAAAACTGAAACCAGAGTTCTTTACGCATAACAAGGAGAAATAGGCAAAGGGAGGAAGTATTTGATGATTCTGGACCTCAAACTGAAGTACGCGCGCGTTTCCAGCAGGGTTTCGATAACGAGTAGGTTATGGGAATCTTTAAATACTCTGGTATAGGTTTGAATCATGAGGGGTTAAATTATGTGGAAGAGGATTGTTGGACTCCTGGAGGTGATTTACGTATAGCCGTCATACCTCCGCCATTAAGTTCATGCATCCAAGACTAAAAATAACTAGCTAACCATATCGCCTGGGCGATATGGATCACCGGACGAGAAGCCGTGGTGTCCACGTAGTCAAGCCGTCTTACGGATTTTCTCTCCACTGTGATAAATATGGAAAGTCAAATATATATCTACACTTACTTCAACCAAACTCTCGATTCGTGGAATTCGCTTTCACCTTATCCGCTTATCCTCGTAATCAGGACATAACCTGCATGATAACATACAAGTTAAGAGAATAATGAATCCGAAATATTTCAGCCCAATCAAAAACGCATTTATGATTTCAGCAAAATCGAAATGATAGATTTTTATCTTACTTATTACCTTCATTAACAAAAACACTCGCAATGGTTGACGGAAATCTTACAAGGGTATTGGTTTTACAAAATACGATAGTTACAAAGAATGAAACGACTTAACTCGGACTGCAGATGCGCAGTCATCAATATCAATCTAATACTTCATACTTAACTGGATAAATGTTCATTCAACCGCATTGCCTCCAGCAGATCCCGATGCCAACAATTCCAGAATTTGTGATCCACTTCCACCCCAGATCAATAATTTAGGCCTACTATTAGACAAACTGCATTAATAAACATATAACTGTAAATCATATAAATTGCCTGCAAAGAAACGAGAAAGTTGTAAATGAAGCCAAATCATTTATTAATTGCCGTTAGAATAAATGAATTTGTCAAACAGCCGAAACGACGAATAATTGGAAGACTATTCAAAATGTAAATCTGAATGCACTTACAACAAATATAAGTTTCTCAGCGCAAGAGCCCAGTAGTATAAAATTTCCATATGTAATCAGATTCATGTTAAGGGTAATATAAGAAGACAATACAATGACACTGACGGAATCCTAACACTTGGTTTGACCAAGATTGTATACTATATTGCCATGCGGTTGTGCACTTAAATGTAAATAAATCAACATTTACCTTATTAATCCTTGATCGCCTCTCTTCAACTAAACTTCCGTGAGTCTTCGAGTCAGGAATTTGGCAACAATCATCGCTTTAATACTATGTTATGGCTTAACTATGTTATTACTTAGTTTATCTTTAGCTATTAGTCCATGTATCGTTCGTTTTCGTTCCACCTCGACAGTCCCACTTGGTCGACAATTGAATAGTAACAAATCTTCAATTGTTACTTATCGAATATGCAGAATTAATTTTTGATTGTGGAATTCAACCTTTAAAGGAACACAGATATTTTTCCACCTGCATAAAACAATGATCTCATGTTCTTAAAACAATGAGATCATCGATATTCTCATGAAATCTATGCTATTCCAATCTACTTTGCTATATATTTAAAATACATTTGGCCTTAATTACTGCGCCGATGCTATAAACCGGAAATAATATTAATATTGCTCAACCAAAATTTCTCTTATCAAAATTCTGATTGGTCAAATAAACCGAAAAAGTAATAAATAAAGATGGAAAATTTATCCACAAAGCGGAGAAATTCCAAAAGCCTTTATATAACTAACTCAGCCTAAAATAGCACAGACAGAAAAGAGAAAAAAAGAGGGGAAATGTAGGAAATATAGGGGGCAACCCGCAACTATCCCATCCAAGGATTCCCAATAGAACAACACGTATACCTTCTGATTAATATATTGCTTTATATCGGAGTCCAGATTCTAGAAGTCTAATATATACCTAAAGTCGTAAGTAGTCGACGGGACTATCGGATAATTACGCAAATAGAAGACCATTCATAGCAGCAACACAACTTTCTACGTTACAGAATCAACAATTGTAGCCCAAACCTAGGTTTAACTGCATTAGTATAACTGAAAGATATGGAAAAAGAGAACGCTACTTGGGCCCACGCAAATTCTTGACATGACAAAAAAAGGTTTGGATATAATATAAACAACAAAAGAAGTGACCGTTGAAATAATTTTTGAAAAAACTAAGCAAATAGTATCACCTGTACGATATCCGGAACATTCCATCACAACCGCATCTCTGTTGAGTTTTTAATTCATCAATGATGTAGATCTTATTTATGAAATAGTCCAAACATCATCGCACAGGCATATCTTCCCAGGGGTCTTTGATTCAACACAAGCATACTCTCAATGCAATCTAGTGCTATATTACGGCCTAACTGTAATCCATAATTTAATGAATATTTGTTTAACCGTAGTTTTTGTTCCGCTCAAGCAGTTTCCGATGTCAACATTCGCAGCTTGTTTACGTTCAGTCAGTTTGCATAAACACGATCTGAAATATGTAACATGGCTAAGATGCATTATATAGGTTGAATAAAATCTAACACAAGGCAAAAGCAAGAATAGGGCAATTCGTATATATGGAATATATCCAAAGCGTAAATTTGAATACAGTTTTAGGTTTCTTACTTGTTCTAACTTAGAACATTTCATTGTTCTCGATCGCCTCCATTCGTTCACGCGTCGTCTTCGATTCAATAATTACACACTAGGAATCATTTAGTATTACGTTATGGGCTTACTAACTGAAAGAATGAAACTAATAATAATTGCCGATTTAGATTATCTCACCAATTTCAGATCTTGTAATCTCAATTCCACTTTGTAGTCATTTGAGTCATTAATTGTAGGCCAAAACTTAGTTTAACTGCATTAGTACAGATATGAAAAATGGCTGAAGATACAAGCGTTGGATTATGAAAAATTAGCGACACAAGTATATACATAAACCATCAAACCTAAAAATTCACATACATGAAACCAGTGCTCACCTGACGGCGTCAACTTTGAAAAGACCGCCTGAGCGCAGACAAATTTTGACGTGGCAAGAAAAAAGTGTGATTATAATAAAGAAACAAAGAGGGTGGAGGAGACCGCAAAATGAAGATGCTTTTTTATTCGTTATTAGGAATCGCATGTCTAGCTAGGTGACGTAAGAAAATAGCGAAACAATAAAAGAATGATGCAACATGCTGTTTGTCGCATTAACCTTTTACCACTACAGCCATATCATAATCTAGGTAAATTTTAGTTTAGACAATATTGTATATGCTACATTATTGAGAAAAAAAATAAGAGGCAAAAAGATATTCTACCGACATCATGGTGTGGACAGCAGGAAAAATCACGCTCACCAAAATTACAGCGATTATAACAAAATCAGACGATTTTTTTTCATATGATGCTTATTCAATACTTGTCGCTTCGAACAAGACCCTATGCAAGCATCCACAGATACCCCACAATATGCTATAAGTTACTTTTAATTAAGTTTAATTTCCCGCCACGTCCTGGTCGATTGTAGATCAGAACTATTCCGTATTCGTTGGAAATATTCGATAAAAAAATGCAAATTTTTCTACCCCTAGCAAGGGCGAATCTATGGCGCCCATGACAAAGTTTAAAATGCGCCTCCCTTGATAGTTAGCTGACAATTTATATACGTTATTATTTGTGTAGAGATGCGAGTTTCAGTTATTTCCAATTCGAAATTATTCTATCAAAACATTTTACGATTTAAACTTTCTCTTTTTTGCGCCCCTGCCCAAACAGTGACTATGGCACGAGTCATGCTTGCCACACCCTAGATAAACCAGACACTCCCAGTCAGTTGGTTCGTATGCTAAAATATGATTGAGACGATATGACGAGTAGCAACATTCTATCAATGCCAGATGGAAAGGATTTCTCTGAGGAAAATCATTTCTGTCCGCGTTGTAGATTCGATTTTTGGACCACAATTAGCTAAATGTTGCCACCCTCTGATTTTCACAAACTGGAAAGCTCCGAATACGTGCTCCCCAAAAATTGAATTACCATAAGCTCAATTTCCCCTAACATTAAAAAAAAATACCAAGCGTGCATTTTATCAAATTTAATAGCAGCAATAACATAAGAACCCATAAATACCAGAACAACATCTTGATTTAATCTCAGTGAGAAGGGTGTCACTGTTTCGGCGATATCAAACCTAGGAATTCCATATCATCGTCAATCATAAGCTTGACCCAATATTTTGTTTTAATGAATCCATTGCAAAGAATAGGTTGAATGACATTAAATCAAAAATGGTAATGACGTCATGGAAAGGGTGTCATATTGCTGTTGGAGACAAACACAAAAACATCTGTAGTTGCGAAGTCGATTTTGAGTCTTGAATGTCACGAAACCGAATTATAAAACCGACTCTCCATAGCTTTTCTTTGGCGCCATCTCAACAGTTTTCATTTCATAGAAAATTAAGCTTCATTGCAGCTATAATAATGGAGACTACATGTCTCTACTATCTGCGAGACCAATAAATTGTGATGTAAAAATGTTTGCTAACTAGATGCGAACACGGCGCTCCCAGTTTTTCTGCAAAGTGGAGGAAAATATGGCGATTACAAAATAAACTGTTACGTTAAGGAAGACCCGGAAACCCTCCTAAAATTGTCTAGGTATCCTCTTTTGGGTCCCAGTTTGTGTGACACTGGTCTAGCAAATACCATACGGATTATATGCCAGCGGTACCAGAATACGTATTATTCTCAAGAATAACATACGCAAAACTAAATTCGAAGGACTTGTAATTAAACGCCGAGCAATAGTTGCGGGAAATAAATTTATTTTGAGGAATAGATATTGCACGCTATATTTTAGAATTTTTCATTTTGACTTTATCTAAAGCCTTTTTGTTCGCTGTTCTTCCCCGTACACTGCTTAAGATATCTTTTTCCCTTCTGAGTTAAAAAAAAACAAGAGAGCTATGCTCAAGCGTCATAGCAAAAAAAAGTAATAGCCTTCTGGAGAAAAATTTTATCTTTAGCCACTGAAAATTCCGAAGCGATTGGTCCAATAATCAAAGAGAAAAGCGATTTCTTCAAAACCTGTCAAAGACCAACAAGAACAACATAACAACATAACAACAAAACGATCGCTATGTCCACTACGTGTCCAATAAAGGCAAAGTCCGGTTGTTTTCCTCAGTTGGATAATAAACGGCTGCGTTTATGGCTCGAAAAACACTAGCATCCGTTTCACTGGGTTTGAAAGTTTCTTCCAACCATTTTTTTGCTACGTCAAAAGTAGAAAGGTCCTGATCAGTTTCTAGATAGATGCAAATGGTATAAAATTGAATAATGATAAGTTGTCATAGAGCATATGGCTTGAAATTTTCTTAAAAAGAGCAGTGGTTTTCAACATGATAATAGGGGGGTTGGCAGCATAGAATAGGGTTGCCATACCGTCCGGAATTTAGGGTTAAATTTTGCGTCCGGGAGGGATTTTGAAAAATGCTCAAATGTCCGGAATTTTATTGCATCTGCAATCGTAATGTGCACACTGCTAATACAGAACATTGTATGAGAGATGCTTGGAATACCTGTGCAAATGGATGAAACCAATGAAAGAGTTTACTTGTTTCAAATGGATAACCTTGAACGAGATACCAAGTTGGAAGGATGTAAAGCAGGGGTTGGCATCCTACGGCCCGCGGGCCGGATCAGGTCCGCGAAGCAATATAATCCGGCCCGCGACGCTTCACTGGATTATAGTAACAAAACAGCTGTTTTAACGATTATATTCTTTACGTAACAGAATTAATTTTGCGACACGCGTAGGCTAAATTATGTTATAACCTAACAAGTATATAATTCACAATTGCGCGTTTAATGACCCTATAATTTAATTATAATTACACAAATGGCAACAAAACGCAGAAAAGTTGATGCTTAGCGCAAATGGTTTAATGGTGCAGAAAATATTCAAATGGTCAGTCTTCGTGCGCTGCTCTAAATTTAACTTCTGATCTGTGTGAAAAAGTGTGATTCATCGGCTATCCGTTCGGTTTTCAACATTCTAAAAATATGAGGCCCGCCAATGACTTGCAACCTTTGGTTTTGGCCCGCGAGCGACAAAAAGTTGCCGACCCCTGATGTAAAGCATTGCCTGGAACATCTGATTAGTAAACAGGTTGATGTGGACGATGATAAATGCTTTGACCAATTCTGTAACTTGAAGCAGTTTGTGGAAAGTTACCTACAAGACGAAGAATTTATTAAACTGCCAATGCATAAGAAATGGTGCAAATATTTCGATCAGTCTACGAACATCACATGCCACTCCGAAATTTTAAGGATTGAACTGTTTTTCTTTGCTGTTACATCCTACAATGTCAATGTAGAGAGAGTCTTTTCACTGATGCAAAGTCAGTGGACTAAAGAGAGAAACAAGTTGCGACTATAAAAGGCATGTTGACTCTCCAATATAATTTCAAAGATATGCACTGTAGTGAATTGTTTTCATTTTTGAAATCAAACAAGAAGAGAATTAGATCTTCAGAAAAATATGCATGGTCAGGAGAGTAAATTTGTAGTGATTGTCTTTAATTTGTTTCAAGCATGTAATTGCTGTTCTTCCGTTTCGGCACAATCTAATTCTCATTTTTTACTCTGAAGTTGAGATTTTTTCAGTCGACGGCCCGTAGCTATATTTAGAGTGTGCTTACCTGCCTGGTGTGAGATTCTGCTTGTGACTGAAGACAATACTTTTCATTTCGGTAGCTGGCGCTTTAGCATGAGTATCGTACAACGTTAGCATGAGTATCGTACAACGTTTGCAGCCTTAGCATTTCGGTAGCGCATATATATGGTCTCATGAAAATAGGGACCTCCAGAAAGAAGTATGCGCACCAAGATGGCGCACAACCTGAACATAGTTTTTGTGTACCGGTTAGGACTAAGGTTGTGCGACATAGTCATGCACTGTCCGGAATTTTGCTTTTTCAAATATGGTAACCCTAGCATAGAAGTCATATTGGGAGTGTCAAAATAGGGCTGACAAAATGCGGTCGTTGAGTGTCAAATTGGGGGTGACCAAATAGGGTCGTCGAGTCAAGTTAGGGGTGACAAAATACGGTCGGGGCGTGTCAGATTAGGGTGGCGAAATGCTGTCGTTGCGTGGTGTCAAACTGGGGGTGACGAAAGACGGTCGTTGGGTGGTGTCAGGTTAGGGGTGACGAAATACGGTCGGTGGTGGTGTCAGATTAGAGGCGACGAAATACGGTCGAGGCGTGTCATAATGTAGATGGCAAAATATGACTGAGCGTGTCAAATTACCGCAAATCTGGCAGTAGGGTGCCGGTACGCAATCAGTGACAGCGAGCTGGATGAAATCAAGGATCACTAAAATTTGAAAATGGAATTCGGCGAGTATTTATATGTTTATTGTATGTTTAATGTGACATATTTTAAAGTAGATGCTTTCGAGAATCGCTTCTTGGAAAAGTTTATCTATATGTTTTTTTATTTTCTTTTTTGTCATCATATCGTAATGCTGGCTTTATTGAAAGTTTTTGAGAAATCGCCCATCAAAAACTTTAATTTTTCGACATTTCCAAAAGTACCCACGAGGAGACGTTAAATGTTTCTTTTCCTATTTTATACTCTCCGATACTTATTTTAAATGTATTATACGTCCAATATCGCTATATTGAAAAGTAAAAAAATAATTGTTAAATTATTTAGCAAATTTAGTTGAACTACAAAACCACTTTTAGCTATGATACATATATACTTTTCATAAAATTACCTATGCTTTATACTAATTATATACGCTATGTTTGTTATATATTATATATGTCCAGTTCAAAACGTGCTGCTACTATTCTGACATGCGGTAATCAAATATATATTTAAGGTTTCCTCGCAGCGACCGTATGTCGTCACCCCTAACCTGACACCACGCAACGGCCGTATCTCGTCACCCCCAATCTGACATGCACCGACCGTATTTCGCCACCCTTAACTAGACTCGACGACCGCATTTCGTCACCCCTATACTTGCTTTAAATGTATTAGACGTCCAATATTGCTGTATTGAAGAGTAAAAGATAATTGTGGTAAATTAAGTTTAAATACAAAACCACGTTTGACTATGATACTATATATTTTTCATAAAATTACCGGAATATACGATATGTTTGGTATTATATATGTCCAGTTCAAAACGTGCTGCTACTATTCTGACATGCGGAAATCGAATCTTCGGTTTCTTCGCAGCGACCGTATTTTGTCACCCCTAACCTGACACCACGAAAGACCGTGGTTCGTCACCCTTAATCTGACACGCACCGACCGTATTTCGTCACCCCTAACTTGACTCGACGACTCTATTTCGCCACCCCCAATTTGACACGCAACGGCCGCATTTCGCCAGCCCTATTTTGACACCCCCAATATGACTTTTGTGCTACCACCCCTGTAGCCGGTGCGACGACTTCGGAAGTCCGAAAATAAAGAATTCATAAGTCGGATTTCGAATTGAATCGTCAACTCAATAGAATATAGCTTATAGGTATTTTTCATATGACATGATTTTCATTTGTTTGATTATGTGGCAACCCACCATCAAAAATACTGTTATTGACCACGGCCTATCGACCGTTCAGTTTCGGAATGAAAAAAGCTGACCAGTAGGCCGTTCCAAACGACTAACATACCGTTCCATATGCCTGGACCTTTATGTTGGGAGAGGTGGTGTCCGATTTCGTCGCCAGTATGAGGGAGAGAGATTTTTTTTAGGAAATAAGGGAAAGTCCAGCAATAATCCTCCCGCAGACACTCATCAAAGCCCACACAGATTTACGCTATAATCCGCAGGCACACCTGTACTGACATGAACGACTTATTGGCCGCATTATGCACGGAACTTATTTACTCTATTCTTTATGATAACAATCTCTTGTTTGTTCTGCTAAATGAAAATGAATAAGAAGTATTCATGAAAAACTGCTTTATTGATAAAATAAGAATAGCTACTCAAGTAAAACTGGAACATAAAAATACTTGTAAAATAAAGAATATCAGCTTAATAGTCAGCTAAATAAAAACAACTAAATGTTGAGCATTGAAAGAACATTTTTGACTTGGATTTAAGTAAATATTTGGCATGAGTAAGAAACTGATAATTTGTCGACGATAATAGACACAACTTTAACATTAATTGTTCTTGATAGAATGATATTTGTAACCATTTCGGTTCTTTTGGTAATAAAATTTCTGGTAGAATTTGGAAATTCTTTTAACAGTAGACAACCCAATACACAGTGGTATGTAGTAAAAAAAAATGTTAATTTGATCATATAGCACTTAAGTTTCACATAATGAGAAAGCAGCAATTAGCACTCTCATTGGTTTTCAACCATTTAATATCCAGAGTTAAAAATTACTAATAATGCTCATACACTGCTCAATAAAAAGAGCAGCCTCAAAAATAGCTAGCAAAGAGTAGATAATTTCATACAAACATACATGATACAGGCACTAATTCGAAACATTTCATCGATCACATAGAAATAGAAAAATATAGGCATTTTACTGATTTTAAGATTTAAAAACAATTCACTAACTGATCATTTGGTAATGTTGTTCATTGTTAAGTGGGTAAAAAAATGTTGAATTCACGATTTTAAAAATGGAAATAATATGAATAGAAAGTGCATTTTACTTTGATCCCTGATACGCTCGAAGATAATATGTCTACAAATGCTCCTTGTCATACAGCTTCTGGACATATTTTATGTAACAAAGATGTGAGAGCAACGTTTTTTTCATTTTCGACAATTATTTTACGTTCTGATGATTTATATCTTTCTTCTGTCAACTGTAATGCACGCATCAATTCTGCATTTTCACAATACAAGTCTTTAATGAGTGATTCACTTCTGGCAAGTTTCGAATACTGTAGTGAAGAATGTAATTAAGAATTATCTTTATTTCGAAATAAGTGTTCTAGGAAATTGATGATCTATAATTGTGGGAAATCACATGAATTTTCATGTAAATGAAATTAAGCCACAACTGTGCACCATTTCCCCCTTTGTCAATTTAGGCCTATTGATTGGGTTTTACGAAGTGGGCTAGAAAAAATTAAAATTAATGAGGAATAATGTAAAATCTAGAGCTCAACAGTTATTCATAGTGCTTAGGATTACAAATATATTCATAATTGTACGCTCACCAACTACCCTTAGTAGATCCTTTCAATCTGGCAAGGGATGAACATTTAGTAGAAGATTGCGGATCGCTTTATTTGGTTAGTTACAGCTTTATTACCAATTCGCATTGAAAAAAAGTAACTTGCTATTTCATCCAATGCATGGACTTATTATTAAGTGTAGTTTGCCATAATACGAATGCGTTTGGTTGGGTTCCCCTTCTTTTGAATATATATGAAATCTTATCCTATCCTTCATGCTATTAACATTATAACTCACCATTTCTTTAGTTTTATTCATTTGTTGTATAAGTTGGTGTCGAGCATGTTCAAACCTAGTTTGCGGATCTTCTTTCGATAACAATTTTGGTGAATCATCCAAAGATTGAAATTTCTTTAATTTTTCTTGTAATTGAGAACAAATTTCTTCTCGCTCAGATAGCTGATCTCTCAATTGAGACATTTTCTAATTCATAAATAATTGTATATGTTAATTCGATAATTACAAAAAAACAGTGATGGAAATTCAGACACTGGATCCAGCTCTAACTCAAATCAAATTTTCGATATCAAATATGTTGGCATATGCAGGTCTTCTTTAAGACTGTCAAGAAGCTGAATCAACCTAATTTTTCTGAGTTTCTGTAGTAAATTTTGAAATATAGCCATAGAAATTGAAAATTCCAACTTAGGGGAGTCAAAAAGACAAATCCAGCCCTAACTCCAATGAAAACACCCCAAACTTAGATTATGCAGCCCTTGTCTGCAAAATGAAAAGCCATATACATATTTTAATTTTGCTTTGTCTGGTAATAACCATCAATGCTAACAATGTCATCAATGCTGTCAGAACACAAATAAGGCAATTTCTACAACTGAATTTCACTTCACATTTTTCATATTTTTGTTACCTCAACAACAATATGCAGATTGAAATCTTGTTTGGATTTACCTTTTCATTTTCTTCTGATTTAATTTCTGCTTCACTTTTCCCCAACTCAATATTTTTAGAAAACAGTCTTGCATTTTGTAACTGCATTGATGACTTTTCATTTTCCAGTTCCATAATCTAAACAAAAACATTATGATTAATAAGAGATATAAATCCTATATCAGACATATGCACCTCACAACTGACAGCCAGTTTTTTTTTAGCAATGGCATGATGCTAAGGTGAGAACACAAAACTGGAGTCTTTCCTAATACTGGTACATTCGTTTACTGTACCTAAAAATGTGATGGAATGCATACATACCTTGCCCGCATATTGTTGTTTTTCTTTTACAACTTGACCAATCTCAGCATTTTTAGCATCATATTGTGTTTTAACTTGCAGAAGTTCTTGTGACACCTCATGGTGTTTCAATCTAAGCTCCGAGATCTAGCAAATGTAGAAACATAATGTTTTTGCAATTTATATTACATAAGAATAGTTATATATGAGTGAAATGTTATACTACTTAATATTTTGATGCACAATAATTTGTAGTCAATAACATAAAAGTGGAATATGCCAATAAAAACTAATCAAGTCGGGATTCCGAAAGAAACTGGTTCATGGTCGTGCAATAACCGAAACATTAATTCTAAAATACCATAGTGTTGACCAAGTTTAGAAATATGGGACTGTTACTATTACAGATGTATTAAAAAAGTACTGCTGATGAACGTTGGGTGAAATTTATTCTACAGATGACTCTGTCCTGCAAAAATAAAAGAAGGGTACCCAGTTTATAGTTTTTACCCAACTTATAGCTTTGAAACCCAGACCAAAAGATGGCCCATGGTCCAGAATGACAAAAAATCTCAAAGAGTCCATTTCTGAAAGATGTGACATGAGATACTTTGGTTTACCAGCATTGATATAAAGTCACATATTGAAACTCGATTTTAAAAGTTGGTGCTCCTGAAGTATATGCACCAAGATGGCGCACAACCTGAACCCTAACCTGGTACACATATCATGTTCAGGTTGTGCACCATATACTTCAGGAGCTCCCTTTTGAATGGCAAGAATCAAATTTAAATTTTTTCACAAAAACTAGAGGAAAGATCAAGTTGATTAAGAGCTCTCAATAGAATGAAGGTTGCATAGTCAAAGTTTTTGTTATCAAAATTTGCTATCCGAATAATTTAGTTGGGAGACAGAGTGAAGATTTTTGCGAATCCAGAAAGTCAGCGTCCATATTATACAAATGGTTTGAGTTTTCTCACTCATTACCTGTGATTGTAATATTTCATTTAGCCTATCTTTCTCTTCAAGAACATGTTCAAGTTGAGAAGTTTTTGATGAGGTTTCTTTTTCGAATTTTAGATTCGTATTTTCCTTCTCTATATCTCTTTTTTCTTCTATGGAATGCCGTAACTGCTCTTCAAGATCAATTTTTGCCTCCTGAACAAAAAATAGTCAATTCGTCAATTTAATGAATCATTGAAATATTGAACATGATGACTTATCCAGTTAAGCAACATAATCATGATAGGAAATATGTGCCACAAAAAGTAAAAAAAAGTATTTTCAAACTTAATAATATGAAATATTGACTATAATTAATTTTGAATCCATTAAAATATTTGATTTGTTTCGTGTATCGTCTGTTCACACTATAAAAACATTTTGCTTATAATACAAATTAAAAAACTAGGTACTCGTAGATTTTTAATTATTTCTTCCAAATGATTAATCTGTGATTCACGTTCCCCTCTTTCTTCCTCTTCCAACTGACGTTTTTTCTTTTCAGCTGCTTTTTTATGTTCATCTGCTAATTTCTTTTTTAGGGCTGCACTCTCTTCTCTAAAAATAGATGCAAATTCCATCATTCTCATGTAAATTCAATTTTCAATTTCAATACTTTTCATTGTCCTGGAATGTTCTATCTTCCATGTAGCAACAAATAACTCCAATTCATGGCTTATCATTTTAAAAAGTTCAAAAATTAGGTATAAAATGAAAAAATATTTGAAATTTAATTTTCCAATTCATGGCTATCAAATTGAAAAGTTGAAAAATTGAAATAAATTGAAAAATATTCAACATCACAACTATATCCGCATATATTTTCGTGTATATTCTTATGGCAATTACCTAATTTTTCCATTCTTTTCACATTTTCAGTTAAACATTACATATATTGCATACAACAAAAATAAGTTGAAAGTTGAACTGGACATCCAGTTTTCCACTTACGCAAGAGCTTTCCTTAATTCACATTTTTCTAATTCAACTAGCGTTCGTAATTCGTCTGCTTCAGCATCAAATGTTTCTTTCAGGTTATTAATTCGTTCTTGCATTAGTTTTCTTTCATCGGCGACATTTTCGTGCATACGATCTAGTTCATTACACAGTGATGATCGTTCCTATTATAACAAGAAAATGGTCAGAATTAAAAAATAGGCCTGAAAATTGCTGAAATTCAAGGTAATTGAGAAAACTCATGATAATCCACATACTTTACTCAGTCAAATTGATAATTCCAGAGGGTTAAGATAAGTATTGCACAATTCCTAATTTTCGTTTTTGCAATTTCTAATGCCTGCTGAGTGTCATTTTTATATTATTCTATGGTGAGTTCTCCCATAGGATAGGATTTTCATATCTATCTCGTGGAGAGGGAAGGCGATAAGATGACTTATTCATATGGCCAAGATATTACCAGTTCATCTTCGATATGGGAATAGTTAATCAGTCATTCATTTCAGACACACGAGCATGATGGAGGTCACTTGAACCACCTTGATGGCGAGATGCCCGGCAATCCTCCCAAACATAATTCGCACCTACAAACCCCTGCATGGGAATCAGAGGTGCAATGGCAAGCGTGTTCTTAGGGCTTAGCATGATGTGCCAACCGCTGAGACCAAATCTATTTTTGCCTAAAAAGTATGCTCTGGCACAATCGATGACCTACTGAAGGCTTATATAAAACTTAATTTTTGTGGAATGAGCATATATTTTGTTTAATGTATGTAAAAATACATACCTGTTTCTGTTTATCAGCAATCATATCTTCAATTTTTGTTTGCATTTCTGTTTTTATCATTTCTACAGCCATATCATGATTAGTCTGCATAGTTTGTTTGTCTTTTTCTAATTTTTCATTTTCTTCTGCAAGTTTATTCAGCCGAGATTTTAATTGCCCAATTTCTTCTTTTTCATCAGAATTATTCCTTTTTGCATTACTGTATTTAAGGAATCAAATGAATGGTTAAAAACTATAGTGACAAATTGGAAACTATAGGAATTAACTTTTTGGTTTTTCTTGCCATGTCCTATCTGAGAAGTAACTTGGCAATAGGATGTAGTCACGATGATTAGGTCATCTTATTATTCCCCTTTTCTCCCCAGAATACATATGAAAATATCTGTCCAGATGTGAATAATCCCAATTTGCAAGTAATATATAAATTTTGTATAAAACATTATACATATTCTGCCTAGGAATATATATTGTTTATTATTAAGATAATTAATGTTATCAAATAAACCCTTGGCAATCCAGTGGTTGACTCAAAACACGCCAATTCAACCAGTGTTATTCTATGAAGTTTTCAGTATTATCTGTCCTTTTAGTAATCAATTAAGAGTTTACTGTTATGCGAGTGTGTTTCATGTCTGAATGAAAGTGTGTGTCCTTGCATTCCCCATCCAATTGCTCATACCAATATTTCGTCCGAAAAGAGGTATTAGACATGCAATATTCTGGCATTTGCCACTTGAAAGAAACTTGAATTATGATTCGAGAGGTGGGTTTATTTACTGTAGTAATCAAAATCCCATTGTTAAGAATAACTTGACAATTTTCCCTTACACTAGTTCCTCGAGTTGAAATGGCAGTTACCTTTCTAAAGATTTAACAGCTTCTGAGTGAGCTTGCATTGAAGATTTATGTTGATTTCTTTCATTTTTTAACTGCTGTGAAGTCATTTCATGAGCTTCAATTTCTTTTTCCAATTGTTGTTGAAGATCTGATACTTCATCTTGTAGTTCATGGGTCTAGAATATACGTTTCAGTGTTTAAATTCAAACTCAGGTAATAAAACTAAGTAACCAGCCAACTAGTAAAAACTAGTAGTAGTAACTAGTAAAAATCAAGATTGACAGTTTACACACCATACAAATTGTCAATAACAAGCTTGCCAACGGCCTGCTGATTACCCTGTGTAGATTTGCAGGTGAATTTTGTGTGTGGTGACTTTGCTTGAGAGGATCACTGTACTGTCATACCCAAAGAGTGATACATGCAAGCATTGGTTGTTAACGACCTTTCACTATCCAATCCAAGCATTTCAGACATTTAGCTCGATATCTATTACCATACACAGCCTGGCATAGTTATCAGTAATCAGTAGTTTATTTTATCACCATATCGAAAATACACTTTTTACATACGAGATCAGGAAAAAAGATGAAAAGTTGCATTCCGCGGTGAAATATTAACAGAAGGAAGTGTGGATTGTGAAACGATTAACCCAGCATAACATCTTTCTTCTTCATAGATAAATTCGAATATTCCTATTTCATTTGATATCCAATTCAAATATAAACTATATTCAGGAGAATATAACAAACCTTCCTATTATGTATAATCAAATGTGATTTAAATGCTAACAAATACAGTAGGTGACTCACAAATTCTTCATGATTTTTTTGAATTTCCATTTTATCGTTTTCAAATTCTCTGCATAAATCGGTGATAGATTGAGCTGATTTTAATGCTTCATCTTCCAATGATTTTTGTAATTCTGTTATCTTCTTCTCTAACTGTAAGAATATGCCCAACATAATAATATGCTCAAATAGAAAGATTGTCACATATGAAACAAATATATTACATAAGTCTGGGTAAGATGAAGGTCATTTTGTGACTTCATAATAGTTCAGCATTTTACGTTATTAAAATTTCCTGATAATTTATTTAATTTTCACTAACGTCTTCTTTCTGTTTTCTTCCATCTGCCAAAGCTTGATTTATAGCTGTGTTCTTCTCAGATTTAGTCATTTCTTCAAAAGAAGTTAATTTCTTTTTTTCTTCTTCTAATTTATTCCTGTATTCGGATTCAAGTTGACTTTGAAGATGACTCTAATTAGTATAAATAAAAAGAGAGTAGAATTAGAAATAAATAGGGTAGGCAATGGCGCATCGAAAAGATTCCTGTTCTACCAAGGAATATCAGTTCCTTACATATTGCTAGGTAACAGTGGATGCTTGTAAAGGGTCTTGTTCCGAGTTAAAAGCACGAATAAGCATCTCACGAAAATTAAAAGTAACACAAATTATGTTGGAAAAAAAATCTCACATCCAATCAGCTGAAAGGGAAAAAAATGAACTATAAGAATCAATATCGGTAAAACAAAACAATAATCTTACCTTTTCTTCAGTGAATCTAGTTGTGAGTATTGTACGTTCTTCCTCAAGTTTTTGAATTGTTTTTTCCATATCAGATATTTTGTTGCATAGTTCTAATCTCATTTCTTCACCTGTATCAATATGAATGAGTTTTTTTTATTGTACTCATCAATATAACAGAACATCCAAATATTAATCCTTGAACAGTGGTGTTCTGTGAAGGACCTTCCGGTGTTACGCGTAAAATTGTTGTTTTCCTTCTTCCTGATTGCCATATTTTATGATATAAAATAAGACAAATTAAAAGTTAAAGATCACTCATTTGGTTTTAAGTAGAGTTCCGCGGTTGCGTGATAATGGAAATAAACTGTGTGAATATCCTTAAGTTTTTATGATACCATAACAGAAATTTAATTTAGCATTTCCAGTAGTAGTAGGAAGTTTACCAACAATATCACAACAAGGAAAAAACGTTATGTCAATTACTTTTGTTATGGTGGATAGATTTTTAAACAGACAACTAAAAAGGATTATTTGGTGTTCTGCTAAATTTGGTGATATCAAAAGTGTTCCGCGATTTGATAAAGGTTAAAAATCACCGATTTGAGTTATTAAACATGAGATACTAATGTGTTCGATTTGATATAAATTTATATCCAACGACACAAAAAATTCTGTAAAAATTATTGATTTTATTCGCATAATTCAACAATAACCTGCGATCTTATGCAATAATAAAGTCATACCATCTACATCACTTTCGTCTGTCCCATCCATTCCAGGTTTTTCAATATAATCTATTGATCCTCGTCTTCTTGCGCGTTTTCTTGAACTCGATTTTTCATTGTCATTTTCATCCTGAGGTTTCTTTCTCATGTATTGTAAGAACTCCATTCGACTTTTTTCCAATTCAGCAACGAGTTCATCATTTCTATCTGACAATGACTAAAATAAAACAATATTTGAAAAATTTTTCCAAGAGTTTAAACATTGGAAACTACTTTTTATCCTAGAAACTTGGATTCATTAGTTTATTACAACAGTAAACATAGCAAGACTAACTATTTATCATTCCTCTATTTTTACGCTGGAAGATCGGGCAAGGGTGATGTAGCAAGAATTAAGAAGGATTTTTTATGTGATTTAAGAGCATTGCTAAACAATTAATGCAAGGAACGGGGGAGCGGATGAAATAAAGATATTACTTGTGAGCACAATACACCAAAAGAGACTATTGAGAAGAGTTGCAATTGCACATAGATAATGCATCAAGACAATCACCATAAATGTGTAGAAAAGCACTGACCCTGCATTGTGCTTCATAATCTTTAATGATAAGTGCAAATTTTTCTTCCTGAGATGAATTGAATGAGTCATGTGAAGAAGACGCCTGTGAAGAACATTGAAAAAAATAATATATACATTCTGTAATTCAGTGTGCTTTTAAGTATATGTATTTATATAAGAAGTGGAGGTAGCTGGAAAGAGTACTTGGTCTAGCATTTGTATAGGGAGAAGAGTATAAAAAACCCAAAATGAGTCGTCTTCTATATCATCATCAATATAAGATTAGATAATATGATGAAGGTGAAACTTTAACCAGTATTGAACAAATGTCGAAAATTCTATGGATCCAACAACCCCACAAAATTCATAAGTCAAACATGAAGAAAAACTATCATTCTTATTTGTAAACAGGAACTGAAAATGTTGTAAAATAACTGACCTATGCATACCCACAAACCACAACAAAAAAGGAGAGCAAAATTCAAATAGATGAGATATGGAATACAAAGTCGCGACTTATTCCATCTATAAGTACTGAGAATTCAAAATCGAAAAGTTCATTAGTTCATAGAACAACAATAACAACAAGAATTTAGAAAAACCATCCATAGGTATCGTATCCTTCACGCCCATAAGAAATAAAAATGAATGAGCTAGGAGCCAGTGTTATCTTTTAATAAATTAAGAACAAAAAGAATCATGTAAACCTTTTCTTTAATCAAATTCTCTAAATCTCTTTGTAATCTTGCTGAATTGCTTTCAGACATTTGTAATTTTTTAACAAGATCTTTTGATTCTTGTTCCAATGCATCGTTGTCCATCTGCAATGCATCTATCGTACTACGCAGACTTCCTTCTCTAATCATAAGTCGATCTAGAAATTATATGCAAATGAAGGTAAATATGGACTAAACAATTTTGAGAAGATCATTTAAATTTTGCTTGATTTTTGTGATAATCTAAGTAAAATACCATGATTTAATAACCTTCGTAAAAATATTATCATATATTATGACGACTTAAAAATAATAGAACATTAGAAATCTTATAACTCAATCTAGTTCATTGTGGTGTCTGCTGGATTATATACAACAGCGTTTCTTAAACTGTGTTTCGCGAGCTTCTTCGGAGTGTTCCGCGGGAAGGGGATCGAAATTACAACTAAATTCATCGCCCTAGCAATCTCGGCTGTACTTCGACGCATCTGGGTCATGAATTTGTCTCCCAACTGGCGGACGAACGTTGCTATCTAAACAGGCAGACCGTCCTCGCGCCAGTATAGTAATCTTGGAGAGATGAAATAAAAAGCGCAGGAGGTCCGAGGCAAAAAAAGTTTGAAAAACGCTGATATACAACAACTGATTGTAGAATACCTTAATCAAAGAATCCCTATTCAACAGTATGGTGGCCATGACTCAGATGCTCCTATGGGGATGGGCCATCAAGTTTACAAAGCGTCAAGCCTACCTATTTCCTGTTGTAATGCATCTCTTTCCAACATTGCATCAGTTTGAAACAATTCTCGGTCGTTATCAAATGTTCTTTGTGCTTGACGTAACTTTCTGCTCCACTGTTGTTCAAGATTATGAAGTAATTTTTCTCGATTCTTATCCACATGCAAATATCTATATATTAAAATTTGAAAGTATAAAACATACCTTAGATTTTAGGATATGAGTAAACACTAAAGAATAAACAAGTTAGGAAAACAGAACTGTTTGTTATAAGACGTAAGATACTGTTTCAAGTTTAAAATGACTTTATATAAATATCTTCGTAATTCGTATATTAAGATTCTAATCCTAATTTACCTAAATCTCAAATTTTCTGTTTTGTTGAATAATACAACAGAGCCTGATTATAGCCAAATTTAATCCAAGTCCTTCTGGGTATTTTTACGGTTTTATTAATCATGGAAACATAAATATTTTACTAAGTAAAAAATCAATAACTATCCTAGATTAAAGTTAAAAGTGAAGATTTTAGAACTTTTAAAGTTTATCTTTACATCTTATCACCATACATCATGATGAAAGAATCAAGATATAAGTCTTTAAAAACACTGATATCTCGCTCATCCAACTTTCATATTAGTATACTGCTTATCATTACATCTTCAATATGTTCTGTTGTTCTTAGAACTATTAGTACAAAACCTTACTGCACATTTATGAAAACGGCGATACTAACTGTATTTTCAAAAACTCAATTAGCTCACATAAAAAAATCTACTCTTGATACACATCGAGTATTCTGAAGTTGAATAAAAAAATTCCGATTTTCTCCTTCCTTAATTTATGAATAAACTATGAATGCAACAGTAGTGAAGAATTCCCAACTCATACCTGTCATCCACTTCGTCGATCAGTTTGGAATTTCTAATTTCAGATTTCTCTAAATCGTCTTTCATTTTTCCGAGCAGTACTTGATGCTGCTCAATCTGTCCACTGTAAAAAGTGAGAGAAAGAAAAGAAAATTGAGAGAAAGGTGAAAGTGTTATTCCCACTCTTACAAATAGAAAACAGTTACGAGATAATAAAAAGATCTGTAAATTATACACTCATTGTACTGTGATTCAAGACGAATGCTCTTAATAATAATCACAGCCTAAATTTTAGATAAAGCATCTGAAAGTTAAGCATATCTTAATAAAGAATATCCGAAAAAACACAGTAGAATATCCCTAGAAATGACACGTACTCGCGAATACACAGAAAAGGACGAGTGCAGTTAGATTGTTCCTACTAATATATAGAAATCAATATTTAAATCATTAAGAGCACTTGTAAAGTCGCTACTTCACAATAAAAGCAAAAGAGAAAATAGAGAATAGAGAGCAGAGTGAGAGAATAGTTGAGTAAAATAAAGAGTGATACAAATTTTTTTATGTTCAATGGTTATTATTTATTATAATATGTATTGGTATGTTGCCGGAAGGTTTCTTGGCACAAAAAGAATGTTCACATTTAAAACTGTAGTACACAAGAATATATCTTTATTATTGTTTATGTTCTAAGCACATTATACTCCTACTGAAAATAATAATATTATATCTACATAAAGCAATGTGTACAATTTTTAAACAAATTAAACTGAAATTCAAAAGCATTATTAATGCTTTTATTGAACAGTACATGACTAGATTAACATTTTTCGAAAAAGGGGCATTTAATAAACAAAAATGTGGTAAATATGAGGAATTGTTCCAACATACCAATCAAAACTTTCAATTCCCCTAAAACAAACTTAAAGCAGATTGTTTAAGTGTATTTTGGATACCGGTAATTGTCAATTGCAGAAGAAGAATAGCAACAAAGTAATATTAACCCAAATATGACATAAAATACAAAAAAGTGTCATTCAAAATAGAAGGAGATATAGGCTAAGTAATGAAAAAAATCTCACGAAATCATTGAGACTACTTCAACTAATGAAACTCACTTGAGATATGCTAACTGACATTTATACGTTGCAAGAACAGCTTGAGTCACAGAATCAACTGTAGACAGGCGTAGTGATGCTGCTTCATTCTCCAACGTAGATGTTAGATCTATCGCATTTACTTGCTTGTCACTATCAATGCTGACATCTAAAAGCTGAACGAAATAAACGAAATGACAAGAATTCAAGACAGAAAAAAAAATTCACTACCGCTGGCCCAACTGTAATATGTTTCACTTCCAGAATTACAAAATTCAATCTACTAGTATGAAATATAAGAGATCTCTTTCTACTACATCTTAAACACATTGAAATAATAGCAGTTCATCATTTTATAGAATGCCAACTACTTAGGAATCTACTTCTAGCAATATAAATAACATAGAAGAATTATTTATTTACATAAAATCAATAATGCAGAGGAGGAAAGAGATAGGTTAGTTGCAAGAAAAAAATGAAATGATTCAAAGGATCAAAAAGAAAGTTGAAAGGTGTGAAATAGTTTGACAAAACAGTTATGACACACAGTAGCGCTACTGACAATTTAATTAAATTGATTAAATTAAATTTAATTTTCAACCTACTCTTACTGAGAACTCTAGGTTTTGTGCATATTTCAGCTTGCCTTGACCAAACTAAGGCTCGGCGGTTAACGCATCAGGCTAAGCGTTAGGAATATGCTAGCCAGCGCACCTCTGATTACCCATGGATTCACAAGTTCGAATCCTGTTAGGGATAACTATGTGTGGAAGGACTGGTTATTAGGGCTTCATGCATCTGCATCAGTCCATGCATCTGTCTGGCTAACTGACATTGACTGATAACCAGACGAGAGACTGTGTACCGTACGCCATATGATCACTGGTATGCCATAATTATGCTTGAGCTGTCTTATCACTTTATCAGCTTTCCGCTCCTTGGGATAAATAGGTAAATCCTATCCTAACCAGATTTAGAAATAAATACAGACATTTTGTAAACAGTTAGAATTTACAATGAATGTGGTTACTTGTCCAGGTCAGATGTGGGAATAGTTAACCAGTTTGTTATTCCAGATGCATGGCAGAAGGGATTTCAATGATGAAGTAAGCCATTGCTGAGAAGCTGTAACATAACCCAATGCAACAGAAAAATGTTTGGCAATCCTCTGCTATATAATTATCCGCCACATATATTAAATCAGTGAAGACACCAAGGAAAATCAGCAGTATAGTGAGGATGAGCATAAAACGAAAAATTTCAATATATCCAATCATATAATATTGAAATCCGAATGGAATTATCAAATGTATCTTTCTTTAAAATTATAAATAATGATCTTAAGATCATTACTATATGAAACCATCTACTACATTATACCTTTCCATGTATTGATTAATTCTCACTAAATGAAATATGGTAAATACTATTAGCAAGATTAATTTAATAAAATAAAAAACTTTTATATCCATCAAATACAAATTACATGACAAATATAAATAACAACAGATCAGAAATGCAAGAGAATAACTCACATTAATTTTCGATAATTATTGAAATTATATTAAGTAAAATAAGAATTTATTGAATGTAAAACACATTTCATAACGAAGTTTGAAAAGTAATTTACTTGAACATCACTTTGTTAGAACCATCTCATGAAAATTGTAACACTGAAGTAGTGTAAAGTATACTGAACTATACATTTGAAAACAAAACATACTTGCAGAACATGTTGTGGGTTCGCTACTCCTTCTCTTTTCCACATTTCTTGAAGATCAGCAAAGTCTATGAGTCCGATGTCGTTTTTATCAAGTTCAGTGAATAAATGTTGAGTTTGGAGAAGAATCGATGATGTTGATGAAATATTGAGCTAATATGGATAACAAAAATTCAGTTGAAGTTGAATCGAAGTTTGATGGTGTAATATTGTATAAATAAGCATCAAAATTAAAATATAATTAAGCAAAACATGCATGCAAAGTATTAATAAAACATGCACCACCATCAAGACAATGAATAGAAAATAAACAACTATATATAGAATATGGATATATATTCTTTTTTACCTATAAGTAAAATAATGAGTAAAAAATAAATAAATTTGAAAAATAAAAACACAGTAATTATAAGTTGTAGTCATTAGATAGAAAAAGAATAAACGGGGTGAGAAGAACGCTTAAATATTTACATTACTTTCACACCTAAATGCCAAAATTATTTTGCTTAGAAATTCCAGAAATGTGGAATGTGTCTTCAACATAAACCAACATACATTTCAAACGAAAATGCAAAAACATAACATGTTCATGACTTCTGTATAATAATTCCAAGTACCGGTATGAGGTTTATTGTTGATAATTTGACAAAGCCCTTTTCAAGTGGAATTATCATTAGTATACCTGACTATCATTAAGCACAGTGGAAGTTGATTTCGGCCTGAGTCTATCCAGAGCTGGATTGCGCAATTGCCCACTAGCTTCAAAATAAATTTTATCACCATCCCCCCTCTCAGGTAATTCATAGAATTCACTGTCGAATACATCTTCTGAATCACTGGCAACCTCGTCTTGTGTTGTCCTGGAAAATCCAAATGGAGAAATCAGAATTACATAAATATCTATTATATTCAAAATAGCCATGTTGGATTGGATAATTTTAGTATTCATAGAAACATAAAAACCAAACTATATCAGGCGCCTTTACATTGATACCATGACATTTTAGATTGTACTCTGAATTTTTTGAAAATTATTTTGCAAGACTTGAGAATAATTTGGATTTCACAGCAATAAAAAATATTAAACATACCACTCTCTTTTATATACAGCATATTTAAACACCATTCCCCCTTAACATAGCTCTGCACAAGCAGCCACTGCTAGTAAGTGGCTTCTATAATTTGGAGGGAATGGAATCCTTTCGGTTACACATTGCTTGCCCAATTTATTACACCCTGAGTGAGGTGGTGGTCATGGACAATTTGATCACAAATCCAGATTCGTATTCACCCATTCAGAATGACCCTTTTTATGAACCTTACAAACAAAGAAACAACTTCCATGAATCAGTACTGACCCAATATCAGGTTTGTGAATGATTTCGTTGTCATCTATGTCAAAATTAGGAATATCAGGTTGTGATTTTCTACCATATGATCGGCCTCCACGAACAAGTCGAGGCTCTACTTTTGATTCTAAAACATTTAGAATAATAAAAATATATACAAGAAGCAATGGAGGCTAAATATTAGAATACAATCAAGAGAAAACAAATACATTTGTAAAAACAAATTGACAAATAGCAAATTAGCTAAGAGTATCTCATGCTGATTTTACGACCAATAAAAAAATAAATAGAACTATAAAGATAATGACATGGCAAACAAATTAAAGGATTGGCCTAATTATTGGCAGTAAAGATACGATTTAAAGTAAAGTGAACTCTCATGGTAGTGAAATACAGCTTTAGAACACAAATTGGGCAACTGCATTTCTGGACACTTGGAACAACTATGCGAATATTTAAGATGACTAAAGCCCTGGTACAGTGCCAAAAATGTATGCTAATTTAAAATTCTACACAAATTTTTATCTGATTAAAATTTTATCAATAAAAGGTAAAATTAAACATTTTTTAATCAAGAAAATTGATAGTTCAAGTTGAAAAAAAATTTTATAGGAGAAACTGAAATATCATCATATCCTAAAAATAAGTCAAGCTGATTGAAGAGAAGTAGAAATTTATAAATGTACTGTATTTGAACTTGTATCAATTTCATATTAAGGTCAAATTAAATATACAGATAAAAATTATGAATTTTGAGTTCACTATCTTATACTGTTATTAAAAGAGCATTATACTGAAATCTGTACACTTTAATATTAATGAAATGCTCCCAGTGAGTAAATTTACTATCATATTCCCCACTCACCAATCTCACATTCTGGATCGGAGTTTGACGATTGCATATCAGCAGTGACAGATAATACCGCAACGAAACTTTCTTGAAATTTATTAAAATCAACACATTCTTTGTCATCACTTGTATCAAGATCAAACTGACAATCTTCATTTGCAAACGAAAGCTGAAGCAGCAAATCAGATTGGTTTTTCTGGAGTGACAACCTGCATAAAAATAAGTTACAATGTATCGATTTTATATAAGATCTTCTAATTAGTGTCCACCCCCCATCCCCACACAGGAAAAAACACTGAGAAAGAGCTACAGTCCTACATATACACTCAGAAAATAGACTAATAACCGCTCTTTTTATTTCCCCCCAAGTACTTGCAGTCGCACATTGAGGATTTAGTAAAAGTGAACTAAAGAATATGTCATAGCATGTAACAAGCGATTCCCCAACACTGGTTAAAGAGGGAACATGGATCAGTAGGTCCTGAATATGCTAGTGTAGTAGGTACTTGGGAGAAACTGATGCAACGATAATGGAACTTAAATAAATATTTTTAACGTGTGATGAGAACTTGATTACACAGCCAGTAAATCCCATATTACTAAAATACAAAACTAATATTAGAAATATTAGATAATATTTCAAATACAAAAGGCATTAGGTACAATTTGAGATTTTATTATTAATGACTGCAGTGATTTGGAGAATGGAAGATCAACAAGTTTATGAAACGTATAATGTCCTTTCCTGTGCAAGAATCTACACAACTACTCAAATGTTGACTTCCATTGACCACATTGCAATACATATAACAAACTTCTCACTTTTCACTCAACGATCTTAGTTCATTCTTGCTCAGTCCACCTTTTCTATCCGGATCCAGTTGATTAAACATGGACCGAAGATGTTCAATATATGTTTCCTCTTCATTATCATCTCCATCCATCATTATTTCAAACAATCTATTTTTTTATTTAATATATGCAAATAACAAAATATTATATGAAGATGATTAATATATGATATGAGTAAAAACACTTGATAGAAGTAAATGAATATTTGCTACAGATGTTTATGGGAATTCAAAATATATATAAACTTGCCCTTGAAGCAAACTAATTTTTATGCGAGCACAAGGCAGAGAAGATAATAAAAGATGGTTTAAACAACATGATATATATTTATTACGATGTTCAAAAAAATGTGTTATCTCAAAATCAAAGAAATAAAAACCGGTATAAGATTCGACCCTTCGGCAATTAAAATCTTAATATCAATCAGTATCATCAATTTGCTGAATAGAGGATATTTTGTAACTGCAAAGGCATAATGAACTACCTAATCAGACACACACTTCCATGACTTGTGGCAATGTTTTTTTTCTCAATCAGAAAGCATTAGCTTTAATAAAGCATAAGGGAATAACTATTATTCCAGAATAATTGTATAGTCTTGCTGAATAATTTTCAACCAAATAAGTTTGGGTGTAAAATCAGATACCAAAAGCCCATTCCATAAGATTGCTTCTATTACAACTATATCAAATGAAAAAAAAACGAACACGTGACAATAATTCTTTCTATAACGTTTAAAAATGTGCAAGGCAGAATGAAGAAATGAATATGAATGGTCACAGCAAATTTGCAATACTTGACAGAAACTGGTCTCAGTAATAAAGGCAAAAATTGTTGGCACTTGGCAGTTAAAAAAATTTGGCTAATATGACAAAGAGGAATTATTAAAATGATACAAAAGAAGCACATCTTTATTAGAATACAGTGTATTAATTATCGTCATGTCATGAGCATTGTATTGGAGACAACAATACATAAACTACATGCAAGAACAGTCAACCTACGACTACAGCAACTTGATACAATAAATATTTAATGACCATGCAGCACCAGTTCAAATGAAATATTAATTTCATATGAAATTGAAAACTGAAATGAGATCAGAAAGCGGAAACACACTAAAGTGGAATTGGGACAAACAACAATCATCTTCAGTACTCTGCAAATGTCAGATGCCAAGTGACATGATCATTGCCTTTGCAAAATTTTTTGATGAAACTAGTGAAAACTTTAATGTGCCCCATTTTTCAATTAGAAAATCCGGAAATGACTAAGCTCTGGCTATACAAGAGTTGCATATTGCATTATTGGCATTGATAGTATTCGTCAATCAGGAATGTATTAAGAATTAGAAATATTTGGAGATTCAGAATAATTTCATGAAATAAAACAGAGGATATATGAACATGCTGTCGAGTGTCGACTATAATTCGTGCATGGTTTATGTCACCAACAATACGATTTCGAAAGTTCAAAAAAATTGCAAATGTGAATTGGAAATTGGGATATAGTTGGGACCTATTTACATATTGATATGACAATGTGCATGCAGTTACGGTATGCAGGTTTCGTAAAAAAATTACGAAACATAGCCTTGCGATCTCAGATGTCAGCTAACACTGCTTGGTGAAAGACTTGAAGCAATTATATCAGGAAGACTGTTTCAAAAAAGTTTCATAACTTGAAAATAGCTACTGACAGTGAGTATTAAACAGATGGAATACAGACAGTAATAAGATAATACAAGCATATACTTGCAGCTTTTATGCCTCATTCAGGGAATGGCGTGTCACAATTTGCATGCCATATTTTCACATCACCATCACACATAAAATAACGATCAAATATGTCCTGATAACCATGTGTTTTCCACCACTGGCATAGCTGCCGGTTCCAAGTACAATCAAGAATATGAAACAGTTCTGGATGCTCAATATTCATCAAAGTGAAGAAATCCTGATCGCCAAGATGTCCCTTGAAATAATATTTTTTGACCAATTTCTCCACTTTGCTGTTGTCTAAGAATTCATTGTAAAATCTGGAATCACGAATCAAATCTAAATTCAGTAGAATTACACCAGAGTTGAAACCTGTGATGCCATCTGGTGGAGGGTTTCCAACCTTCGTTCCAGGATTTTCTTTACGATATTTCCAGAAAGTGTGTCGGTATACAGGTTGATTTTCACGAGCAAGACCAAAAAGATTTTCATGCCTGAAATAATCAAATTCATTCCAAAGATCACGGATATTTGCATTTATTTTGAGGTCCAAATCAAGTTGAACAATTCTGTGTATATTTGTTGGCAGAATCCTATGCATTGCTATAGACAGGAAGAAAATTGCATCCTTGAAATAATTGTGATTACCAAAGTGTTCCTGCATGTTTTTTACAATGGGATAAATTTGTTTTGCAAAATTATCGACACTATGGAAATGTGCTTCCAAATGAACATCAGGATGATCGGAATGGGTGAACACTGTTTCCTTTGCAATGTCCTTGCTTTTATCGTCACATACAAAATGCAAATGTAAAATTTGTTCCGCATCAAATTTGGCATGTTCAAAGAGTGATTCTAGCATGTTTTTCAACTTCTTTTCCAAAACAGGACGCTGATCCACATTCGTGAACATCATTAGAATATGAAAATCATTATTAAATTCTTCATTATGCTTCGCAGCTTGATCAAGAGGTACATTGTCTGCTCTTTTCTCTTTTTCATGAACTACTGCTTTGAATGATTTTGTTTCAGAGAATACACTTTCTGATGATCCGGCAAAACTATAAAACAAAATCACCGAGGACAACAGCAGTAATAATAATAGCAGCTGAAGTAATTTATTCTCTAATAACGCAGACATCATCTTTTCTTCACGCAGAGAACGAGATACCATTTTTACTATGGCAGACAAAACTGTTTTCAGAACTAAATTCTAATAAAACACAGAAACACAAAAAGGTTTTAAATTCAGAAATTAAAAACTGAGAATTTTATATAGACTCACTAACTATAAGCATATGCTTATTGGAAATGCATATCTATTAGCTATAGCACAGAATATGAAGACAAGTGCGGTTATTTCTGATTATAGCATGGGATTTAGGTACATATTTATCCATGGGAAAGGAAAGGGATAAGAAGTCCTAAATATATGGCAAACCACAGCTTCTCGGCTTATCGGCTTTCCTCTCCACATGAGTAAATATGTTAACCCCATCCTATATCAATGAATACAAAGCCCCAAGTCCCCCTTTACATGGGGCGTACTCGTAACTCGTAACGAGTGGTGGGATTCAAATTTGTTTCAGCTGGTTCCATCACAAAAGTCATAGTTTTCGGCCGGTTCTGTTACATGTTTTTTTAGTAATGCTGACCGATTCGCTAATCTCATTAAATTCTGTGAGACGGTTCTATAGAACGGGCTAAATCCCACCACTGGTCTTAACCAATCCCCCCCCCTCTTTGGTTTGAGAAAAAATTTTCATGCGAAACTTCTTCCGAAAAAAAGGAGAACCGTCGTTTTACGGTCGCGCATTATGATTTCGTCAAAACGATATTATTCTGCGTATTATCACCGCAGCGCAATTAACACCGCCATACTTTTTTATCTTTACGATATGTTATTTTTTTGTTGGCGCTGATAATGACAAATGAGAATGCGTGATTGTTGATTGTTATTCAGTAACGTGTATGTAACCGCCGTTATGGCCGAAAAATCAGAATGAAATTAATTTTTGTTGTGAATACTTTCCTTAATAGTTGTCTTTAACATCTTCGCCGATGTTCGTTAAAATATTCGAATAATTTTATATAAAAAAAATACGGTTTGCCCACCAGGGCCACCACTAATCACGGCGCATGTAAATAATCAATAAATGACAATAAAAAATCAACTTTGTTAGCATTAAATTCCAAGTACAATTTCCACATTTCATGAATCGATCGGCGCTACACGTGAGCGTGTTTTTGTATATATTCACCAAACACCGTCAAGAAAACAGAGGCGAGCTACACGTGACTGTGGAATTTCGCTGTGAACGACGCATTGTTTTTAATTTATTACACGCCTCACGCAGTCGTGAATTGAAATTTTGGCGCAATGTTTTAATTCACCGTATGCCCCCCACCCCCTTGGAAAAATCCTGGCTGCGACCCTTGTTCAAATTCTATATCTCATTATTGATTACAAAAGTATAATTGCATCCAAATCAACAGTATCTATATATATGACTATATGAAGGATCGTTAAAATTAAATAATATACATGCAAAAATCATAATTGATAACAAAATGTACTCTAAATAATAAAATAAAAAACAAACTTTTTTGTGTAAATTCACAAGACACGAAAATGGCAAATTTTAAATTTCAATGGCAAGATATCCCAGAGTAATTTATAGTTAAAATCAGTATATTTAATAAGTAAACGAATAGCTCACAAAGTCCAGGCAGCCTGGGGGTTCATATGGAGCACAGAGCTATTTGGAGAGGCCGTGGTTCGCCATTTAATAGGCTTTCGGCTTTCCTCGCCCCCTGGTTAAATATGTAAGTCCCATGTTATATCAATGAATAAATACAGCAATAACCGCACCCCACGTGGCGACTTATTCATATTCTGTTCTGTAGCTACGTTTTCTGCCTAATAGATATGTATCCCCAATATGCATATGCTTATAGTTGGTATGCTTTCAACGTACCATACTTCGAAACCCAAAACCGAACACGAATCGAAAAATAAAAGCCTCAATACGGCCAATTTCGCACTCGACCCAGCTGAAACAAGGGATTTTTGCAGCGAACAATGTGCTTTCTTCATATGTAACGAACCATTTAGCTGGATGACGTAAAAATGCAGGGCACAATGGATTAATGAGCAAATATTTGGAAGTTTCCACTCATTGTATATATGCTCATTGATCAAATCTATTATATATAGTTCTCTGTGCAAATGATTCTCTTCAATTTACCCATTGCCAGATTGGCATGATAGTCCTCAAGACATTTCTGCATTTACTGGAACCATCATGTGAGGAAATTTAATTGAAAAATAGAAAGGTTATAAATAAATTTTCATTCAATTTCTGCTCAGCTCAACACCTTAACAAGCGACCAGGAAGCTACAACTAGACATAGACCTGTCATACTTTTGCATCTGCTTTATCACGCCGTGAATACCAGAATACCGAGTTCAAATATTACCGGTACCGGTACCGGTACATGACTGCATGATGAAGCCTTTAACATTCCTTTCACGAAGGCTTTCACCCAGGCAGTTTGTTTAAAACTGTCACAGACAATTGCTCATATTGTTCATACGTTAGCTGCATAGCTCTTTTAATAAAGTCATATTGCATAGTTTAAAAAAAATAATATAAAACTACAGTTATACACGTGTAACTAATAATAACAACTACCGGTACCTCCGTCTGAACGTGCACAACCATGGATACGGAAACCGCTAACCCGCAAGTGAACTGACACCCGCCACCTTTCAAAATCGACAGTTATATTACGTCGAAAATCTACGTAAATCGAGAAGCGGAATTCTGACAATTTTGGCCAGTGGTATCAACAAAGTAGGCACTGTACAGGCATTACCGATGCAATTAATATATAATGACAACCATAATGCAGCAACAGGTATAGGTTTTGGCAATGTGGCATTGACAAATTTGAATACAAATTGCTCTGATGTCCCATTTAAACTTTACACGGATTAGTTGCATTCACATTGCAAGCCGATTTCCTAAAATCAGATGGGGCTGGAGAGTCAATCCTCCTTTGACGAAACAATAAATTCTCTATTGGAATAGCCTGTACCTTTTTTAAGTTGCCGTTGTCTTGTTATTTCAATGTATCGTTTCATAAGGCATGAACAAATCGTTACTCAAGCTAACGTTTCGCAAATAAATTTGAGCACTGTACATTGTATTCATATTTATTTACCGTAGAATATACTACGACTCGTAAATTACCTTTGTGCTTTTGCGTTTCTTTTTCCGTCAAATAATTATTATTAATAAGTTTTGGTACACGCTAATACTTTTGGCTTAATGATATTGGCCTTTCGACACAAACATGAAAATATCACAAACGAGAAAGGCAACTTAAACGAGCTGCCACAGTGTCGCCTACCTGGTGCACTGCACTGCAAAATATACGGACGTGAAACAAAGTGAAAACGATATCACAAGGTCAAACGTACTTGAGGAAAAGGACAGTAATTACTGTTCTAATATAGGCCTATAACACACATTTATGATTTTGCTTAAACAACTAATTTAAAATATTTATTTTTAAATCCAATAATAATTAATCGAATACATCCTAGTTTTGTGTCGCGTGAAACACAGTTTGTCATTGCATCTCATCCATTCATCCAAGTTAGAATTAATTGGTGTTATTCACGTTCAATGTACGTAAAATTAATAAATATATATATATAAATGTGTTGTGAGAAAATTATCAAAATACAACATTCCCTGGAACTGGTTTTCGAAAATTTGATTTGAACTAAGTATTATATTCATATGTCATGAACCCCTGTCGAGAAAAGGGTCTCGAACTAACCGTAGCCATGTCTTGCAATTGCATCACTGACCATCTTGCAAGTGTATACGAATGGGAATGTTATTCTTGAATTTTTCATGATCTTCATCATTGAAATTAACCAGTTGTTTACGTCCACTTCATGCTTTTTTTCTACACTATTGTTCTACAAGCTAATTATTACAATTTCTTCATTTCATCTGACCATTCGGAATGACCTAAATTCTTACGAGCATGTGTATAACCGTAAATATATAATACTACGCTATAACTCTTTATCACTAAAGTTATTATGATATTTATGCGGTATGCTCCCGAGATGAAAAGAAATGCTAAGGACGTAGTTTCGTCCAGAGATCATTCAAGTTGGCCACCCAATATAAAAATCTTTCGGTAAAGCATTTGAAATAATGAGACCTGTTAATATATTATTAGTGATATACACATGGAACTATACATTTATTGAATTTCTTTTCATTTAACATGAAAAGATGCAAGCGAAAAAGAAACGCAACACAATATTCAAGGTTGAATGATTATTTTCTGCAAAATGTAATCTGAGTGAAAAGTATTATCAAAGTAGCTAATATTTAAACATCCTCCCAGTGATGCTGGTAATATTCATGTTTGAAAACCAATAGTGTTTTAGTGTGCACCGGTACTGTCTGTTCAGGAAAATTGAAATATAAATTCGAAACAGAATAAGAAGTTTACTTTGAAATGAAACTGAAACCAATTTGATCAGTGGAAGCATTAGACATGTTTTTATTACTAATTTAAAAATTGGACGTTTTGGTAATACCTGTCGTGATTTGGCATAATTTTATTCATTCACTTTATTCATACTTGTAAAAATTTTAATATTTTGAAAAATTAAATTCTTGACTTTGAAGTTAGAAATACCATATGATAAAGTGTTATATATCGATGAATGGTGCAATATTTATCACTAATACATTTCACATATGTCGTTCATTCTGAAAAATTGATTTATTTTTTTCTTCTATCTACAAATATCACAGTAAAAATTAATTTCAGTCACTTGAACTATCGTCAATCAAAAATATTAGTAGTAAAATGAAAATAGAATATTCACAAAAATAAGTTACAGAGCAAGTACATTTTTTAGTACTAAGTTCTCTAAAAAAATGCAATTTATGTCATACATAATCTTTAAAATTTCATAAAAATGATATGAATGATGATAAAATTGTTATTTAATCCATCTGAAATCTAACATTGATCATATGATATAAAATGCCTGAAATAGTTCCAATTTCGACTCCATAGCAAAAAAAGTTTTGAATAATTTTATAAATGTGTATCCACGAATGCAATCTTCTCTTTTCTAGTTCCAAATTCCTTCTGGGAACTGTTGTCATTGACCTAAAAAAGAAATGAAAAAATATTACGTAAAAATACCCGAGAAGCAAACTATATGGTTGATCTAATACAGGGATCACCAAACTACGGCCTGTGGGCCAGATCCGGCTCTTGGCATCCTTTCATCTGGCCCGCAATAACCCGAAAAAATGGCGAAATCTTGTATATTTGTTTCGCTATGATGTTCTTGATCTATATTCTGCGATATATAATTTAATATTCAAGACTTTAGAAATGTAGGATTTATATTGTTGAATAAATTGAATGTATTCCCAACTTTTGTGATTTTATTGTATTGCATTGACAAAAATATTTGTCCGGCTCGTTTTCAACACAGTTTGAGTCACACCTGGCCTGCGCTCAAAAAAGTTTGGCGACCCCTGATCTAATAGATGGAATATTTTGTATACAAGAGGGTTCTTTAAAGAGAGTATGCAAACACTTATATGAAAATTATATATCACCTGTGTAAACTGCTTACAATTTTCATGATTGAAAATTTGTAATAAGCTACATTTGATGAAACTGCCCTGTCATATGTAACGATGTTAAGCATGTCATGTTAAAAGTTAGAAATATTCATTTCATTGTTCTGAAATTAGCTCCCATAATATGGCTAATTTTCAGTGACATTTTCTATAAACATATGAATGTTTGCAAGGATTATATCTTCTTATTCTTAGCAGCTGTGTATATTGTGTTACTTCTATCAAATATTGATACATTGCAAAAATCTTAATATTGTTACCGAGTTGTTGAATCCTGCAGACCAATCTTGTGTGAATGCTGGATTTTGAAATTGATTTGCATCTGTAAACCTTGTATCTTGAAGTACACTATGATCCGATGATATGGGGAATGATCGATGAGAAACCTGAGAATGAAAAAATGATATCATAGAATGTTTCATTTTATACCAGGGAGAGGACAGTCAATGAGAAATTTTGAGCATTGAAGTATAATTCGAATATAGAACAAAAAGTTACGCCTAAAATACCACAATCATATATAGGGATACCACAATAGTCAAACATAATTCGTTCAGGATTGGTGTCCAACTACTGATTTGTTCAGCAATGAAACTTTTTCTACCATAAGAAACAATGGTGGTTATTTTAAATTGTTTACTGAATCACAAAAATTGAACTGATGCTTGTTAAATGGTCCAAGATGCTCGGTTCGGGTGGCGTCATCCGCGCCACGCACTACCATGGTATCACTGTATCATCTTTATATGCTGTATTTTATATCCCATCCTTCATGGAACATGGTTCTATACAAGCAGCTGCTGCAAGGAAAGAGCTATTATAGTTTGGGATTATTACCCCTATGACAATCATCCACTCATATCTTAGTTTGGATGTTCTGACAACACTACAAGACAGTCTACTAAATTATTATTGATTGCAATAAACAAACTTACATTTTTCTGAACTCTTTCAAGAGAATCATTATTTGAAGAATCGTTGGAAAACAAATGATGACTGGGAACATTAGGAGGTAATCCTGATTTCAGAGGATCATCGTATCTTCCACTTATTCTTCGTAACACAACAGCAAGAATAGTGAAAATCAACATTATCGATATCAGTGCAACAACAGCGATGAACCATATTGTTTCATAAACAGGAACAGCAGCAGACGTTATATTAGGTTTTTCAGCATTATTCCCATCTGGTGGTCCAGGGATATAAGAGGTCCCTGTGAAATAAGATTATTCCTATGAGTATGTTCACAAGCTTATTTTCATTTCATGTGATGGTGGTCATTTAATTTGGTCTGCAATCTTTGAGTGTAGTAAACTGTTTCTGCTTATAAACTTTCCTTCCTGCTGACAATTTTTTTGCTTCCATTCATTATTACAATTATTACATCTATTTTTTATGATATTCACCAGGCAGTTTTGATTTTTGATAAAACAAAGCTGACTCGATTCAGTGATTTAAAGATGACAATTATTGTAACAAAAATATCACTAACCTTTTCCAGTATCATGCATTATAGGAGCAGAAGTTGCAATACCGGAATCTGTTGTAACTTTAACTTGAAATTTATGAACTAAAAGGAAAATTCAAAAATTATGGATATGGTCTATTTGTGTTAGTGTAGTGTATCCGATACAAAATGCAGTGTTTCACTATATTACATTTGATGTACCAGTATATGCTGAAAAGGGTGGTATTGGTAGAAGTACAGGGATATCTTGGTCGTCGAATATAATTCGTTCATGATTGGTGTTCTACTACTGAAATTTTTCAAACCATGTGGAAATGGTAGACGCAATAATTTTTTTCAACTCAATAGTTATCCTCACTGTTTTCCCCTTCTCCCTCCCTTCATCACTACTGTTTTTTGGAGACATGATCAATGGCAAAAAGGCAAGAAAATATACTAAATCACAAAAACTTCGCAAGACGTGTTATCCCACTAACATTGTTCCGACTTGAACTGATGCTTGTTGAATGCAGTACCAGGTTTTCAAACTCTGAGTTTTCGCAGCATTTTTGACTCAAACTTTTTGGTCGACTACCGAATTAATTGAGTGTCGAGTCATTAGACTACCTCGGTATCAATGTATAATGATACCTATACTATAAGAATACGCATTTCTCCAACAATTGGGTTGTTATACATGTAAATCTCAATATATTGTGAATAAACTCAAAACGTTGCCACATTATATGCTCATTTAAAGTATTCAGGTAATAGACTGCCCTAAAAATTGGCATTGAACTGATCCTGGTGGCATTTTCTTGCCTTTCAATTCAATAATTTACTCATTAGTGCAAAATTAAGAATCACTAAACTTTCCAAAATGTCAAACCAACTAAAATTGATAAGAGCTGGAATAATGATAAGAAGAAATTTTCACCAGAATTTCATTATGGTTATTTAGACCAGGGGTTCTCAAACTTTTGGTGTTGCGGAGCCTTTGAAAGGTTGAATATTATTCGCGGAGCCCCAAAATAAATGTTAAAATTGTTCTTTTCAGATTAATATTCCTGATCAAGTTAAAAGTACTTTACTTATTTTAAATGCTGAATCTTTTTTGATAGGGTTAACACAAGCAATAAATAAATCTAAATTTTATACTAAAGCTGTAAATTTGACACTTGACGAACATATTAATAAATTAGGGGTCGAATCTTTTCTCTTTTGACATTTTTGGAAGACTTAAAAGGCCGCTAATAACGTGCGCAATTTCATTTTGTTACAATCGCCGATATTTTTGACAATGACGACGTTAATTGCTTTTTTGTTCTCGTGGGGAATTATGAGTTCAATGTGAAAAACATGTTACCATATTATAGTCATCGGCGACGAAATGCTAAAAATAATAATTAATAAAGAGGTAAATCCGCAACTCAAATTCCTTGATTGAAAAACGGCATTCTAAAATATAAAACTGAAACTTAAAATGGAAGACCACTCGTTTGGTTTCAGCAGACTCACCTCAGATTGAAAACGCTGTTATAGACATTGTAAATCACAAAATTTGGTGGTATGTTAGGTTTTCGTCGTAGTAACTGCGAAATCGAAACACAGTCAATTGTGCGCGCGATGTACCTCTTTTCCCATTCTGAAACTACCGACGGACCCACACGCAATCAATTGTGCGCGCGATCCGCTATGTACCTTTTTTTCATTCTGAAACTACCGACGGAGCCTAATGCAATAAAATAATATTCAATTGTTCGTATTTTGCCCAGACATTGTGAGTGTGCGAAAGAACAAATCAAGTTGGACAAATCCCAAGATCGCAAAAATACGACTCCAATTTATTTCTAGTTGGCAGTTTATCACATATTTTATGTTATTTTAGAATAGTATTCTTTCATTTTAGTAATCCTAATAGTAATCTCGAATCAAACGTGAGTAACGATGAGCACAATTACATTATAACGAAGAGACACGTTAAATGCTGGCATCGGCCATGGATTGAATATTTTACGCAACAGAAATCTCGTTATCCGTTTTTTTAATCGCGAAGAATGTTGCGCGGAAATTTCCAATCCCAATTTTGAACCACCTCCCTCCTAAGAATCCTGGCTGCGCTCCTGCTTATAAATAATGTCATTTTTTAATTCCGCCTCTTTGCCATATTTCGAGGCAATATTGTTGTCAGATTTTATCAAAGCTGTTATTGCTTCTTTGAACAGTTACAAAATTTTGAGTCAGTATTTGAAGAGTAATCGAATACCTCGCGGAGCCCCTGGGCTTCTCTCGCGGAGCCCTGGGGCTCCGTACGGAGCACTTTGAGAACCTATGATTTAGACTATCAAAGTAAATTCAATTAGTAAAATAAATACCCATAGCAGCAGTTCGTTTCATAGTATGAGCTGTGTAAATTCCACTATACACATTTCTTCCATGGTCAGAAAGTTCATACTGCGTGAGTATGCCATTGAGTTTGAAGCTGTTGTGCCATTCAACATATATGCTGCTGATATTGCTTGTGACAGATATGGGAGCAACATATTTTGGTGCTGGATATTGAGAGAGTCATTCAAAGTTTAATAAATTAAATGTGATATTACAATGTATATCAATATATATACAAACAAAGGGTTCAAATTTACATTATGCTAGAGATACATTAATATATGGTTATTTTATTAGTGCAAGATTGGCAACCAACATATAAGATAGCCCTCAATATTTCTGTAATTGGGTGTGACTAAATATCCTCCTAGAAAACTGAAGATATCATAAATGGAACCTATTTCATGTCTTGTTAGTACATTATATAATAGGTTGAAAAAATTAGTATTATATTTAGACTTTATTAATATGTGCTGTACATAAATTTTTATATACCGTAATATCGTTTAGTACTGGCCATAAATCTGTTCACTGTACATCTTTGCAATATTCTTCTTTATATTTTCTCCAGTCTTATTGTAAACTCAAATTGTTTGTACAACTCTAAGTAACCTGATTTTAATGTAGTAGCAGTTGTCCATCCTGATTTTGATCTTCCATAATCATTGACAGAAACAACACAAAACTCATAATTTTGATATGGAGATAATTTGTCAATAGTAGTTTGCTGTGCAACTCCAACATATGATATTGTTGCTGATCCCTTATGACATTCCTCTTGTAGCGGTTGGTAAGGAGAACAAGACTTCCGCATGTGAACTTCATAGCTAATAAAAATGTGTTATATTGTTTTTAAAAACTTCCAAATAGGTCAAAGTCGACAACTTTATTTCTGATTGAGGTTTTTTGAGCAACATTGTCACATGCCTTTCACTTCAAACTAGGAATAAGCACCACTGATTTGCAAGTAGCTATCATATTTTTTCAGATTGGTAGGCAATATGCCGACACTGGAAAGTTTGTCAGTGCTTATCTAGAAAATCAACTTAGGTAAATATCATATCAATTTGCTGTAATCAATGATTTTTAGGTTTTCATTGAAAGGTAGGAAATTGTGAACATTCTAATTTTTTACATTACCTGTTGATAATTCCATTTGATTCTATTGGTGAACTCCATTGCAACGTTATATTTTTACTGGAAATATTGATGGCTTGCGGGGGGTTTTGACCTCGGGGTGCAGCTGGCATTGTAGTCACATATGCTGAAGGACTCATTAAGCAAAGATGTTTGAGAGTGCATGCTTTCACTTGAAATTCATAAGATGTGTAAGGTATAAGGCCAACTGCTGTTTGATCAGGTCCATATCCTGTTGTCATCTGGAGTTCATAATATATTACATTAACATATACCGGTATATATATATATATATATATAACATAAACATACAAAAATACACATGTATATCTACAGCTCTATGGTAGTTTCAATACTTTATGTTCTTCTATTCCTATTCTGGCTGCTAACTTACTAATCATAAACTTTTTATTTAAACAATCAAATTGAATGCAATATGTGAATCGAATTTGATGCTAATTAATATTGGAAGAATTTAAAAAGGAAAAAGAATTTTTCCTTGATTAGTTATATGAGAATTTTCAGGAAGTAATGTCACATGATATAACTGTGTCTGAAGAAAATTAACATTCCTGTTTAATAATACCATGTTTTAATCCATAAGATTTTGAAAGGTATTTGTTTTCACAGAATGTACATTTTTTACCATCTACTCAAAGGAGAAGATAACAATTGCATAATTTTACTAACTTCGCGAAATCGATCAGATGACATATTCTTACGAGCATACATTGTGTATGTTCTTATGACTCCATTAGGAATTACTGGTTGTGATGCCAGAACTTGAATAGATCTTTCGGTTATTCGACCAAATGTTGGAGCTGGCATTTGGGCAGGAATTGCTTCTCCAGTTCGTGTTAGTGATGACCAATCACTAGTAACATCTCCTGCTGCATTATGTGCTGACACTTTGTATTGATATTTGGTGTAAGGTGTCAAATTGGAATCTGAATTCACAAGTTCCGAAAACTTTAAACTCACCTTCAGTAGACACCCTCAGTGAATAAAGTTTGAATGGCATTTAAAAATTAAGATTGTATAAATTATAGGTAGTTGCATGAGTAGGATTTTCATTTTAACAAATAAATTTAATAAACAACACATTTATAATAGCATTTGCAATTCCTTTTTATTTCAAAATCTCTCTTCTAAATGCAGAACAATATGTTTAATCTTTAATAATGGCATATAGTCTGGGAAATAGATGTTTATATGGTGGTCAATCACAAATTGCATTATTTTAAAAAGATAACTGGGCTGACATATAGAGAGTGGGTATGATATTTTAATGCAGCAATATAAGGCATGGCTTGTCAAGTAAAAGGTATGTCAGAGACTTGTATTTTTAGATCACCAAATAGATCGAGATTAAAAATGGTACACGTGTATAAGAAAGCTGCTCAATTACACATTCAGTTAGTATTAGTGGAACCCAACTATTGTAGTCAAATAAATTTTCAAAACAGGAATAAAATTTATGACTTTTGGTTGAGCAAACGTGTGCCACTTCTTTTGGCAATATCTTTCAATGTAAAATCTGTACGTTTCAAACCTTGCTTAAGGTTTTGTTCACCCTTTAACTGTAATCAGTTTTATTCATTTTGTTTTTATCAATTATTTTATCGTCTTTTATGCTGATTATGGAGTCAAAACTTATACTTATACTTAGGAGAAAAACATACCAGAGAAAGATCTTTCAGTTCCATTATAAACAATTGTTCCTTTTACTGTTTCAATTGAGGAAGCAGTTTCAATGATTTGACGACGATATAATTTATACAAGTTAATTAATCCATTTGGTTTATGTGGTGAGTCCCAAGAAATATGCAATATGACCTTGAAATAAAATAAAAAAATAAAAAGCATAAAAACAACTGAAATATAAATTGCGATTATCATGTAAAAAGGCATAGTCATAGTATGTGATAATGAATTTCACAAATCGTATCAATAACATGATGTTCAAAAATAAACAAATAGGGTATTCATCGTCTATGAGTGCTTACAAGTACCATAGTTAGTTTACATAGCTGCAAATAGCTATTTATTGTTCAAAAACCCATAAACCAATGAAGAAGAGAAGTCCTTCATTTTGAAATGCAAGGTGGAAGTTAATCAGCTACTTTGCACACAGAGTTACTCGGGTTAATAGGATCAGATATCAGCTTCTTCATTACCTATCCATTTCAATGCAATTTAGTTGAAATGGTGTAAATTAGCTGAGCACTTAACTAACCCACCGTGAGTTAATTTCTGATTTCATAATTTACCATCTGACAGATGTGATTACCACTCTACTTATGCAGTAAGTTAGAACTGGATTTGAAATAATATTTCAAAGTATATTTGAATAAATACATACATTAATGGGATCCAATCTAATTATGCAACAAGAAAACATATCCATGGTGTAAAAAAAATAAAATAAATTACATCATCTGGTTTATCGAGAGATACATAAGGTGGTAATTGTCCACTTGGTACTCCTTCCTTTGTTTTCTGTTGAGTTCTCTCACTCATTACACATCCTAGTTGTGTACAACTTTGTAACCAGAAGGAATAATCTTCATAAAATAAGAGTCCACGAACTGTGTGTTCATATATATTTCCTGGCAATTTGATAATCTGTAATGCAACAGAAAGAGTTTGGTAAAATGAGGGAATGTTGCAGCTTTTGTGTAATAATTATTATTGTTTTTAAGATGAAAGCTCAAAAAAAATACAAATTCATGTTCTAATTGAGTGAAATTGACAAGCTCAAAAACTGTACCCACTTATAGGTGGGGAGGTAAAAAGTATAAAACTAGGCCTAAGTATAAAATTTTCTGGTTTGGTATATCCTTTCCAAGGAATTACACCATAAGATGAGATGAGTTTTTACATACCTAACTAAACCAGCAAACTCTAGTCTGTCACACTAAGTACAATATCAATTACATTAAAACCATGTTAATTAATAATAATAATAATAATAATAATATACATTAAAACCATGTTAATTAATAATAATAATAATAATAATAAAACTAATTAAATTGTTATTCCATTCAAACTAGCACTTCTCATTGATGAACTTATTATCAAAATAGAACAAATTGTAGTAAATGTATAGTGCTTGGTAGTATTTCAAATACAACAACACCTTTTCTTCGCCTTGAGAACAATATAGAAATCCAATTGTTATGAATATTTTACCTTTTTGTCATTCTTGTTGTTAGCATGTCGAACATATAAGGTATAGTTGACAATGATTCCATTTGGACTTGTAGGCGCTTCCCATACAGCATGTATCGATGATGAAGAAACAGATTTTAAAACAGGTGGTTGCAAACCTGCAGGGGCAGCTGGATCTGTCATTTCTGTGACTATGTCGCTTTTAACGCTACCTCGTTTATTATAAGCTGTCACATAGTAAGTATATGTTGTCCCAGGGCTGAGGCCAAAATCATGATATCTGGAAAATATTTTCAAAAAAAAGGACTGTAAAAATAAAAAGTGATGATCATATACTTCCTTCTAACTAAAACTATCTAAAAGCAACAACTGATACACTGAGAGATTTTTTTTCAGTTCAGTAAAGCCTACCTACCTTTAATTTGTTTTGAGATTATGGTCATAGATTTGAACCATATATCTTAGATTTGTGACAGCAATATAGAAAGATGAAACATGACTTAAGCAATGTCCCATTTTTTGAAGAAAATTAGTTCTTGGTATAATTAATAGGGGCAATCAATACAAGTACAAATAGATTAATAGACAATATACAAAATATGACTGACCGTTTCAGTTGACCATCAGTGACAAAAATCAACTCATTATTTCTTCTTAATTCATATCTTATTATTTTTCCATTTGATTTTATCGGAGCTTCCCAATTGACCTAAACAGAGAAAAATGTGTTAACATATAACATCATGATGTAAAGACAATATATGCTCATTAAAATATTATCAAAGCCTAATTGATATTTGCACTAAAATTTTTCAATATGACCATTGAATGCTTAAATTGTTGAAAAGGTAACACACCAAAATAAAAAATATACATATAATTCTATAATCAGTACTGAATAAACATGATTAGGATATATTATATTTATGCATGAAGCAAGTTCACATTCCAATTGCAGATTTTGTCAACATAAATCATACTAAAACCAAATTAACCTCAATTGAATGTGGACTCGTAACATGAAGTTCAGGTTGAGACATAATTTCTGGTGCAGCCTCTGATGTTCGAGCTACAATATTGTCACTTCTTCGACATCCACTACTAGTGCAAGCAGCAACAGAAACTGAATACAGTCTAAAAAAACAATCCTATATGAATAATGAAAATAAGATCGAGCACCAAACTAAATTGATTTGTTTGGCTTCTTGATTTAGTTTCTTTCTCAGCACATTCAGTGCAGTACTTAATGATAGTGCAGTACTTCAGTACTTAATGATAACTTCATACTACTCTAAATACAGCAACAACAATAATGAGGAATGATGAGAGTCAAATATTCTAAGTATAAAAGTTATAAATCATTTACAAATAAAAATGGGCACAATAAAGAATTTCATATTTATCCCAGACAAAACTACCTGTCTGTTTACCAGATGCACTGGTTAAATAAATAACCAGTTCAAAATTTTAGATAAATAAACATTATAGTTAAATTCAGGAATTTACCACTGACAGGAAGCAAAAGGAACTAATTTTGTAAAGCCAAGTAATCCACAATTTTTTAAAAAAATACAGCACCTGTGATTTAAGTTGTAGTGTGATTAGCAGTAAAATAACAAACAAGTTTATTTTGCAATTTTTGAAGGGGATTGATGATAGACTAAAACTAAATAACTCTTTTTACTAAAATAAATCATAACACATACGTGTATGGCATCAGTTGCCCAACAAGTGTTTCCATAGCAAGACCTTCAAATTTTAGTCTTTCATCAACATATACTTGGTAGCGTTGAATCACACCATTAGTAATTGTTGGTTGACTCCATTCAACATGCAGTGCTGTTGAGTTGATTGAAACTGAAAACATAATGTAATATGTCTATCAAGTATTCGAATTATGAGCTAGGACAGGGGTCTCCAACACGCGGCCCGCCAGGCATTTTTTTGCAGCCCGTGTCATTGTTGAGATTTTTCCACGAAAAACAAAAATAGTACGATGTCAACTATTAGTAAGTTTTATCGTGTTATTTATCATCAATAGCCCTGTCCGACAAACTGTAAAAAGTGAAGCAAAAATTTCCCCCTATTATTCACTTTACCATGTTCATGTTTTAAATACAATAATTTTATTTCGCATGTCATTGTGAGGAAATAAACGAGTTTCGGTCATTCGATTGTGTCCGAAGAAAGGTTTGTAAAGCTAATTACACATTCACGTTGCAGTCCTGCGATGTTTGGCAGTTCTTATATTCACGAGCACTTTTTTCAACTATGAAAGTTAGCAAGTCAGCCCTCCAGACACGACTAACGGACGAGCATTTGCATGCTGTCTTAAAACTAGCAAACCAACGCAAAATAAGGCCAAACATCGAAACCAAATATCCAGCACAAGTAAATGAATATGTTCCATGTCTCGTTTGCTGTAAGATTCAAGTGTAATTTCAACACAAAACATTCAGATACCCATTTTTGTACCTAATTTCTTGGTTTGCGGGTTTTGCTTGGTTTTAAATTTCAAAAATTGGCCCGCAACATGTTTTGAGTTGGAGACCCCTGAGCTAGGCTCAACAATATAGTGTTAAGCGTTAGGGATGCACTTTCAACTGCACCTCTGATTACCCTGCGTAGGTTTGCAAATTAGAATTCTGTGGGGTTAATTATGTGCAAGAGGATTGTTGAAATTCTCACCACCATAGGATGTTTTACGTAACCGCTGGTCAGTTACAGCTTCTTCCACCACCAAGTCCATGCATCTGAGACAAATAACTATCTAACTAATTCTATACCGACATGAACTGGTAACCAGACCAGAGGCCGTGGCTCATCATATGATTATGATTTGATATAACATTCCACTTTGTGCCCAATATTATAGATGAGTGCCAATTTGAATAGTGTTATACAATTCCAAAAACGCTGCATTAATAAATAGTTTAGTCGAAAATAAATTTGACAACAAATAGTATAACTCACCAACAAGTGGAGGTGATACAAAGGATGGAGCTTCTTCTAAAGTTCTTTTTACACTGATTGGACTTTCAACACATCCGCCAGCTGTACATGCAGTAACAGAATAACTGTACAATGAGTATGGCTGAAAAAAATTAAATATGATGAAAACAATGGAAACATATCGGATTTAATATTAGAATACAATGCGCAGTAAACGGGAATAAATATCGAACCAGCCTAATGTGTGATTACAACAGATATTCTACATTCTAAAACAGATTTGTATACTCCACCCTTACCCCTTTAATCAATCCCATCCACCATTTACCTTACACAACTGTTTATATTATACATATTCAAATTAATGTTTTTTTAATATTCATCAAATTGGGTGCATTCCACACATTTGTATTTTACGCCAGTATGGACTTGCGCAGTGCTTCTCAACCTTTTTTATATCGGGGTCCACTTTCACGGAGAGTTTTACTCCGCAGACCACTTTTATTAACGTTTTTTTCTTTCTTCAGAGGCTAAAATAAGTCGAGGCAGGGTTATCTAGAACGAATCGAATATCAAAGTAATCGACTATTTTTCCGGCAAATTTTCGAATAATTCCAGATGATAGCCACTTTTCATTTCTCTCATTCACACATTCATTCCATTACGTCAAATATTAAAAATTATGTAAAGACGTAATTTGTACGATATCCAAAACATGACCGATACCAGCATTCAAAATACTATACCGTTTATTAATTTAATTTTGTTCGACGTTACTCATGGTTGCGTCGACTCACGAAAAAATAAAAGCATCTCTAGTCTAGAGGCCGTGGTTCGCTATATGATTGAGCCGTCTTATCGACTTTCCTCTCCTACAGGATAAATATGTAAATCCTATCCTATAACACCTGCAATCGGCGGACATTAAATGTGTGGTAAACTGTTTGAATATAATTAATTTTTAATTCGTATTTACGGAAAAATAAAAGCATTATCGCTCTAAAATGGTTCCATTATTTTTGCACCCAGGACAAATGTCCCTGCATACATTTGCACCCATTAACATTTGCACCCACAAACATTTGCACCATCGTACATTTGCACCCACATACATTTGCTCCCACGTACTTTTGCATGCGCCTACATTTGCACCCTCGTACTTTTGCCCCGCGCACATTTGCACCCACGTACAATTGCACTTGCGTTCATTTGCATCTGTGAACATTTGCACCCATGGATATTCACATCCATATAAATCATGCTTTAGTAGAGTTGAGGCCGGAGCGGATGCGTATACGTGAGAATGTCATGAGTACAAATGTCTGTGTATGCAGATGTACATGGGTGCAAATGTCAATTAGAGAAAATGTACATGGGTGCAAATGTACGTGGGTGCAAATGTACATGAGTGCAAATGAACCTGGGTGCAAATATACATAAGTGCAAATATCTATGGGTGCAAATGTCCATTGGTGCAAATGTCTGTGGGTGCAAATGTACGTGGGTGCAAATGTTTGTGGGTGCAAATGTTAATGGGTGCAAATGTACGTGGGTGCAAATGTACATGGACGTGGGTGCAAATGCAGACGATCCGATAGTCACGCTGGAGCGCCTAAATGAGGATGGTCCAAACCCATGCCAAAGGGCCGCATGTGGCCCCCATCATCATTATCTATGGCCAGGGTCGCATTTGCTGGATGGTAATCAAAAAATCGCATTTGGTGTTGTTTCGTCATAAAAATAACCAAAAAAATGTTTAAAATCTTGTTAAATCGCTCGTGTTACTGAATTGACTAGTGTCACGGCTAGCTGGGGCAACTAGCGAAGTTGAATAATGTGCTTGGCTAGTCCAAATTGTTTACTGGCTTTCTATATTTTTGGTTGGGAATATAGGCTAACAATATATTAACTTAATATTAATGTTATGGCCCGACAATATAATTCCTTCCGGAAATTTTTTGCTACTAGCCTAAACAGTATTACAAAAAATGCTTCTTATATGTCAAAAAAACTAGTAATTACCGGTACATCCAGTGAAATGTTGCGACCAAAATAAAGTTAATAAGCCAATTGATGAATGAGTACCTACCTGTAAATCAGTATCTGTAAATTGAAATTGTGTGGTTGGAAAACTGAGTGGAATACTCGAGTTTCTTTGAACTCTGAAAGTCTGTAAAATGCCATTCAATTCTTCTGGGAGACTCCATTTTACAATCAATTTTGTAGGCTTATGGTCCAAAGTATATTCTATGATAGGAGCTGCCAAACCAGATGGAGAAGATTGATGTGTTTCTGCAGTTACCCATTCACTGTCCACAAACCTGGAAAAGTGTAAGCTCTTTAGTTCGAACTAAACTCTTTGAGTGAAGTAATAAGCATCTACAATAAGTAAAGAGCAAGTGACATATTTACAATATTGATGAAAGGATGCCATCAATAATTAAACAAAAACAAAAAAAGAAAACATAATGTCACAGCATCCAAATGTAATTCCCTAATCGATTTTAGACAAAAAGAGTTCCCATGTTGAAATGTCCACAATTTAAATATGACAGTGGCTAGAGACCATAAGGTAGATTACGTATTTTATACAGTGATAACCCTCGACTACGTGGATTTAATAGGATAAAATCATAGTGAATGGACATAAAAAAGACTTTGCATTAAACTAACAAGTTATCCCATAGTTAAAAAAAAAATTAATCAAAGAAACAGTTTAATTCAGAATATAAACGTTCAACATAATCTATATAAACTGAAAATTACCTATTGTAACTTGTTATTGAATCTTACCCCGCATTTGTACTACTTCTGATCTTGTATTCATATTTTGTAAATGGTTTTAAATTAACATCTGTGTAATTGTATGAATTCTGAGTTGGATTATCAATTTGATGAATGACATTCACGTCATCTTCTTCGTTTTTGTTATCTCCAATTGCTCTTCTCACTCTATGTAATGTACTATAAGAAGAATATCCATGTAATATTGAATCTTCTTCATTCATCCATTGATCATCGTCCATCAAATAATAATATCCTTTGTTTAGATTTAATGAACGTCTTTCTCGACGGAATGAAGACTGGAATTACAACAATTTTTTTTATTGCCAATAAAATGAAAAATGACAATTGTAACAATGCCTTTAAATAACTGATTACTTTTGCAATTTACCTATATCAAACCAACATCAGGCGAAAGAAAGGATAAATTACACTGCATGGGACTCTTGTATGGGTGCTTTTCATTTTGAACTAATCTTCAATAAAATAGATAAAACTATCAGATGCTTACAAAAATCAGAATCATATTCAATTGGATTTAAATGCAATGTATGTTTGAACAGATGTTGCTTGAAAGGCTTTTTATTATGTGTATCATAATTTAGACAAAATGGCCATACTAGGATTCCAGATGTTGGAAGATTGAAATTCTTCATGTTTGAAAAAACCTACTTCATTCTTGTACCCTGATTCGGATTATAGGCTCAGCTAAAACAATTGCCTGATTCAAATCTAAATGATTCAAATCTAGATGATTCAAATCTAAAATCTCTTAAATATGAGACAGACATAGTTAGCTCAAAGTAAGGTTTACACTATCAGGTAAAAATGGACATAGTTTTGTTCAGCTTAAAACAAGACTGTGTATCAACATCTAAAAGAAAATTCTCATTGCTTATAAATATTATCACATTTCCTGGCCCAAAAATGCGATTCATAGGGAATACAGAAGCTAAACAGTTTTTATGCTAACATTAAACTGATAAAAACTGTTTCCCTTCAAAGCAATGGTCTATTAAATCATAAAAATTACCTGATAATATGATCGTGGAATTTCATTTCTGATCACTTTATAACTAGTTAAAATTCCATTCAATTCCTTTGGCCTTGTCCAAAACAATGTTATAGCTGTTGTATTTGCCAGGGTGACAGAAGGTGCTGGCTGCATATCGGGGGCTGTTTCTGCTGTTGTAAATGTTTGTGGAGGTGAAGTTGTACACAAGTCATGTCCAGTACAAGCTTCAAGTAGCAAAGTATAATTTGTGAAAGGCTTCAACCGTCTGAGATGATATTGTCTGAACAATTGACTTTGCAGTGGTTTGTCATCACCATATTCATAGATGTTGTAAATCATTATCTAAAAATAGGAACTATTCATATTACAATTTATTTTCGGAATGTGTTGAGAATAAACATCAAACATCAGAAAGCTACAATACAACACCAAACTTAAGAAAACACCTAAATTTGTAAATAAATTGAAAAAAAAATACATTTGTTGTCACAGTTATAAATCATGTCAACTATGATAGTACATGTCCAAAAATAGACTATCTATGAAATGTTACTCTGGGGCTCAAAGATCAATAAAATTAATAATGAAGGTATAAATATAACTTTGTAGTTTATAGCATGTGGAATACTATAAAAAGATCAACTTAGTTCAGATAATATATAGGTCAACTGGATGGTCAAATATACAGCAAATAGCATCTTTCAATCAGCCAGAATAAGTTATCAAGCTTTTATGTGCGCATGAAAGCTACTACCAACAACTACCGAAATCCAGAAATATTCGCTTACATTAACATCCCAAAATAAACAGTACAATAGAAGAAAGTTTCTAAATCGAGCTGGTGCAAAAAATATAATAGTATTTAAGTTGTACATTTTTTTTTACATAAATCACGAACAACAAGTTGAACCACAGTGGACCTACCTCTCCATTCGTAATAGCAGGTGGATCCCAAGTCAACATCAATGATTGTCCATCTTCCATTCTTGTCACAGAAAAATTTCCAACATTATTAGGTGCTGCTGCAGATGTTCGCACAGAAACCCAATCACTTCTTGCTTCCATTCCAGCACCATTTGTAACAACCAATCTAACTTCATAGCCAGTGAATGGTTTGAGTCCACTAATATGAGTTTCACGCAATGTTGATGGAACAGTGACTGCTTTCTCTAAATGTCGACTCATTGTGGGATCATTTGGTTCATCTCTATACTCCAGGCTATGTGCAAAAAATATTTGCAAATTGAAGAATGTTAATAAATAAATACTTATTCATGTAGCATGTTGGAAAGTATTAGTGATGCTAATTCTTTTGTTGCGTGTTTAAAATTTTGCTCGAAACAAGACTATTTCCTATTATACAGTGACTTATATACAAATTTTTATAATTCGGTCTAACCTGTTCTATTAATTTTATTTTAGAACCGATAGTGAAATCCAAACAATTTTAATCTGTCATGCTGACATTATTTGGGGCAATGCTGTAGTAACCTATGCTAAATTACTCAAAGGAAACATTGACAATCACCCATTGCAGTGGTTGTACGAATACAATTGTGAATTCGACATTACCAATTAAGAAAAAAATGAATATGAAGTTTCATTACTTTTTGCATATTTTACTTGCAATCCTTATCAACAAAAAACTAATCAAAAAATAAGTAACAGTACACTTACCTATAACTCACAATATTTCCATTTGGCCTCTCAGGTGCTTCCCAAATAACTCGAACAGCATATGCTGATATAGCTGATACAGTTGGTGATTTTATACCATGTGGTTTATCTTCTAGTGTGGTAATATCAGCCCATGTACTATCTGCAACTCCTTCATTGTTACTGACTCGAACTCTGTACTCATATCTTGTATATGGTAGAAGCTCAACATCAGAATCCGTGAACCAATTTCTCTGAATATCTCCTGTACTGAACACAATTTTCTCGTGTGAATTCTGAGATGTATCACGCCGATAAATCTGAAAATAGAGTACATGTAAAATTGCTATCGATGATCAGTGATCAAAAACGTTTCAACTCTTTCATAAGCTCATGAATGTAAAGCTTGAACACAAATGTGAAACCTGGGAATAACTGACGTCAGTGCATTGACAAAGTGGCCTATGAGCCAAGTGTTGAGTCAGTATCATGCCAAAACATTATCAAAACACAGAGATTCACGGTGGAGTTTGGGACATCATGCTAGGCATTAGAAACAAGCTTGCCATCGCACCTATGATTACCCTGCACGTGTTTGCATGCCCGAATACCACGGGGTATAATTATGTGGAAGACAATTGCTGGACTTCTCGCCATTGTAGGGTTGTTCATGTAACTGTTGGTTGGTTCACTGTATGCTTAAGATGCGTTATCAGCATTCTTCTCCCAGAATAAATATGTAACAGTTATACTGTTAAGGTAATATCAAGAATTGGTTTGTAGCACATTATATATGGGACTGAGTTAATTTGATATATTTCTACCTCATATTTTGTAAGAATGCCATTTGGTTTTTCGGGTGGTTTCCATGATACATCAATAACTCGTGGACCAACTGCTTTCAATACAGGTGGTGACTGTTCTTCAGGAGGTGCTGGCAATGTGCGTACTAACTTTTCATCACCAGTGACACAATTTACGTCATCTTCATCTTCTGGCAAACATGTACGAACTCTGACTCTGTACAATGTGTATGGAGCCAGTTTTTCAATAACATATGTGTTGTTGTGACCAGCAGAATACATAAGCAATGGTTTGTCATCATCATCATCATTTGCAGAATCTCCATCTAAAATGGAATAAAGATAAGCAGTGATTGGTCAAATGTTTTTAGAATTTGTTAGAAAATCAAATCTCATACTATTCAAATACTTTTTAAAGTAAAATGAAAAGCTCATTATGAAATGGCTGTGAATATAGGTGTTCCTGTTGAGGCCCAGAAACTTTTTTTTAATAATTTGTCCAGCAAAAGCAAAAATAACTTCAAACATTAATTTGAAATGCTGTAAGTATACGAACATATTGAAACTCTGCTAGGGCTGAAACATATAAGAAAAGATACGGTTTTTCATGTTTAATTTCAAGACTCATGGAAATTTTTGAACAAAATATTATAATGAAATTTACCATCATTAACACTTCTTTTTGATCTTCTATGACCTCCACCCTTAGAATGGTGATCAGAATGCATATCGTCTTTTCTAATAATTATTGAATATCTATATTTAGCTGGAAATTCATCAGGATTCAGTGACCATTCTGCAAACAATGTATTTGAGCCTGTAACTCGAATATCTAATTTTGGAAGAACATGAGGAATGCTTTCCGGCATTTTAACTTGATGTAGATTGCTTTTTCCAAATCCAGCTCCATTGATTGCTATGAGCTCATAATCGTATATTGATCCAGATTGAAGCTGAAAAGCATATAATAAGACATATAGGATCGATTACAATCTCTAACAAAATCAGTCCAGTGAAATGCCGTTGTTTAAAATGGTCAATACACTTTTACAAAATACTCAGTTTATGAATATATTTGATACTTTACAAAAACTGTCTTGGCTTCTTGCTTCAAGAAATGAGGTAGAATACAAAAACTTGATAAAATAATTTTCATCTTCATAAAGTAATTCAAGTATTCAATGTTAATTTCAATGGTTCTTATCAGTTACTCCAAGATAAATCAAGTGTTAAATCGAAAAAGTTGATGATTGCTAAAATAGGGTGCAAAATATATAAGAATATCAATATTTTTACCGTTGAATCCGTGTAATTCAATTGTTGAGGACCACCTTGGTAAATGAACTGCATTTGCTGTAAAGAAAAATATTTTTTAACTATTAGTGCTTTCTAAAAAAATAATAATTTTAAATATTGAATTGATTGATCTTACATAGCTTTGATCAAAGTAATAACACAACAATATAACACAAAAATATGATTTTACCTGAATGTTGTTACTGTCTTTTCCCTTTGAAACTTTTTGGCGCATCAATCTAAATTCAGTCAATACTCATATGTATATGTGCGTTCCTATTGCTACAAAAGTGCTACAATTACATAAATATTGATTAATTTATATTTATAAATTCAGGAGAGGTTAGAAATTCATCGCTTTGTTTGTAATGCAATGAGCTGTGATATGCATTCTCCTTTTTATAACCTAAATTTGTTGATTTCAAGCACAATTTAGATGTCTACATGACCATTAGGTATTTCATGTCTACTCTACACCTCAATATGATTATGGTGAGTCTTTGCTATAAAAAATTAACCACTGTCATATACCATGAGGTGGAAGAGAAAGCTCTACCTATATTCTCGTATTACTCCATTTGGTTTTTCTGGTACTGTCCAAAACAATTCCACAGTTGACATGTCTATTACAAGGGATGCAGGATACTTCCAAACTCCTTCAGGTTTCATTTCAGATGTTGTTGCTGAAACCTAAAATAGTCATATAGCAAATAAAATGACAATACTGAACAACTGATGAAAACTAAACTGAACTAAACTAAACTATACTAGGTTTCAATTAGTAATGTATTTTTATATAATATCTCTTGGGTTTTGAAGGAAAAAATTCTTCATGCATTTTTTAAAATAAAATATATGCCATTTAATCTGAAAATATATATGAAATGCTTCATTTCACTACCTCATCACTTGTTGTACAACCAGCAATGGTGCATGCAGTTAAGACATAGGTATGTTTTGAATATGGCTCAAGATTTTCATGCTGATATGATAAAACTGAATCGTCAACCACTGGATCTATAGTATAAATTGTTCCAGTATCTGTTTCATTCAGAGTGTATCTATTAAAATGCAAGTTCAAAACACATGAAAAATTGTGAAAAAAAAATATGAGATTTACATTCGGTAGTAAACTTGATAAACAACTTTACCCGGTATGATTTGCATTTATATAAATAAATTATCGTTATATTAATAAAAACAAAATAAAGTTGATATTGTGAAATACAATGATGACACATTTCCCAACTGAGAAAACTGTCCAAACAAACTAACAATGTATAGAACAATTAATAAAAATAATATAGGTAAAATCAAATCAACTCATTCACTTATTCAAAGAATAATGACACAGGAAAAATTCTGTTGAACACTGTGAAAGTTTGAATGTGGGCAAGTTACTATTTTGAATTTGGTTTGTATTTCCTTTCTAGTAAGTTAATATCTTCAATTATTCCCTAAATATCAAATGGTCAGACATTCACAGCATGCTGCCTGTCATTAGCATCTTTGACGCCCTCGCAAAAATGTATTTACACAACATACTGCTTTACACACTAATTGCTCAAAACAGCAATTGATAAATGTGATGTGTCAAAAGTTAGTCAAAAACTTCTGTCATCTTTTCAAATCAACTGAATATATGTACTTTCTAATATAAGATTTGTAATTAAAATCTTAGTGTTCAAATGCAAGTGGTGAAATACAGTATAATCATAATTGGTCTTAGATAGATAGTCAGTCTTAGATTAAGATACAAAGAAGTTTAAGTTACAGATGAAGTTTAAACAAAATACTTTGTAATCAATCCATTTGCTTCCGTTGGTGGTGCCCATGTGATTGAAATAATGTTCGGCGATAAAACATTTAATAGTGGACTTTGAATTTTGTTTGGCACTCCTTGTATGCTCGTAGCTTCAGCTGGTGGACTGCTACCACATCCAACATACGTGCAAGCCTGAAAATTTTAACCAAATTTAAAATGAGATTGTTTCTTTGAAATAGAAAACAAAAAAATTTGACTGTTCAATTAGTGGTATCTACAACATTTGCTATTGAGGAGACAGTAAACTATTTGAAAAATTCATATATGTTAGAATAGTGAGTAAAAGTATTTTCTCTCTTCAACTTTGCCTAGAGTAAATTAATAAAGTGATAGTCCAGAAGCTGCTTGTTGCTCTTATTGATGTTAAGTACCTTGTAGGAAATGCACAAAAAAATAACTTTTTTATGTATGGCATAGTCCAGAACTTTACAACAAAATATTTAGTTACTATTACGTATAAGCACATAGTACCTTCACAACATATGAGTATCTTCTGAAAGGCAATATTTGAAACGAATCAGTATGTTTAAAAGCAAGTCCAGTCCATATTTCAAGTCCATCTCTCATAAGAGCATATTTTGTGATTACACCTGTGTATGGAATCATATAATTGTGATTCACAGAAATCTGCTGTAAGAAAATTCACCGAAGCTAGTATTTCATTATCAAACAATTAATCAGTCATGTGTAACTCATTATTCACGATAGTTAGTGTGAAACCCAGGAGCACCTTCCAAGCAGATGAAGTATAAAAATGCATAGTGATAGACAGTTCCAAATTTGGTACAAGGTTAGGCATACCAATACCACAAGATATTATAATTTGCCACATGAAAATTAACAATAATCCTCAAGATTAAAGTTAAAAAGTATTTCATATTTAGTATATATACCATTTGGTTTCTTTGGTGATTTCCATGATAATAATATGGTATCCTGATTATTTGATGTCCATTGTGGAGGAGATACTTCTTCAGGTATTGATTCGAATGTTGTAATAGCAACAGATTCACTATCAGTAGATCCCATTTTGTTTGAAACAATAACCTTATATTCATACCTAGTAAAGGCATCTACTGCGTCATCTGAAATATTTTAATGAAATATACCATGAAAGAAAATTTTATTATTCGTTAATGCCTGTCAAAATTTTGGTGCTCCGGAAGTATTCGTACCAAGATGGCGCACAAGCTGAACATAGTATGTGTACCAGGTTAGGGTTGTTCAGGTTGTGTGTCATCTTGATAATAATTCAGGAGCACCAAAATTTTTTCTTGTGATGCCAATAGGATGAGTGATTATACGACCATCGAGCATCAAGTTTGACATTAATACAAATGGTTTTTGGTAGAAAAATTCTAAATATTCTCACGTTACAAATGTTTGTGTGATTAATCGAGAAAAAAAAACGTTTTCATACCTGTAAATGACAATTTTTCAGGTGTTCCTGTATAAACAGTAATATAAGAAGTTGCACACATCGATCCAACATTCTCAGGAAGACTGTTTTCAGGTGATATTTCTTTTGATATGAAGCAATCATATGCATTCAAGTCAAAGTCACACCTTAGAGAGGTAATAAAAGCAAACAACAATATTTTAATGTTTTTCTACTAGTATACTATTTTAATTAAATCTGATTAATACAGTGAAAATTATGATGAGATCAGGTACTATATGAAGCATTTTATAGCTTGTCACCAAAAAGTAACGAGGGAAAATGAACAAGAAAAAATTCAACAATCTTTTAAGCATGAAAATGAATGCTTGTTCATTTCAATAGAACATTCATTAAAATATAGAATTCAAATTAACAATAAAAATATTATTTTACCTGTCACAGAAAGCCCCAGGTGCCTGATTTATAGAACAAATAGACCCAGAACCACATCGTAGTAATCCAGATGTAGGAGCAATAGTGCCAACATCAGCACAAACATGAATATTTGAATCATAACCTCGTCCATTACAGCATTTCATACCCGCAGATATAAGCTGCGTGGAACAACATTTCTTCTGCCGTGTTTCAGAATTCATGTCATCAAATGAGTGAACCTGATTAAAACAATTTTAAAATAAACTTGAAATTGTTTATATTTAAAAGAAAAAGTTTTTATGAAACAAAAATATATCATCGGTTTTACAGTTTATACTAAACAGTGACAATTCAATAGATATATTGCTTTCAAGTTTCCGCTAATATTATATTCAACTCATATACAGTTGAAAATGTCATTTTAACATGAATATGGTATTTAGTTCTAGTTAGTCAGAAGTTTTAGTACCCGAAAATTTTTCATGAAAAATTTTGACAAAAATAATGTTACTAGAACAAACTTGGATTTTTCATATTAAAATTCCTTAAATGGTGGGTTCAAGGTGAGTGGTGAATTATGATATCAAATCCTGAATATCTGATTTTTTTAAAAAGCACTTCATTAGAAGCAATGATTCAGATTCAAATGTACCAAGATTTTGTGTTTGAGATGTCTGTCTACACTATAGAGTGTTTGACAAATGTGCTATCATTAATAATACCATTTCTTGTTCTGAGTTGCTATCTTTACAACACAATGATGTGTGAGTTGAAATATATTCATTTCCACAACATTTATGATTTATTTTCTTTTGGAAAACTTTTGCATCATCTTCACTTCCGCAGCATATGAAATCTGCATTAACAACCTATGAATGTAAAATATTATGTGTTCTTAAATTCTGATAGATATCATTCCAAAGTGTGAATTTTTCTGCATTGTATAATTTGGATTGATCTTTAAATAAATTAAATATTTCAATTTACTGGATCTCAAACCAGCAAATGATTTTATAAAAACCCTCTAAATTGGTTTCATAGTAGAATCCTGCAACAAGAAAATCATATTTTTAATTTTGTACATCACAATTTTAATGTAAATCCGATCATCAAACCTCTTTCCCACAGCACTTTTTCTTGAATCCGTCATGTAATTTATTATTACAACATATCTGAATTCCGTTAGAATAGAATGGAACGACACCACAACATGAATCTCCGGCACCAACTGATACCCTGTCTTCATTTGAGTCTTCACAACAAACTTCTCCTGATAAAACCTGCATCCAAGTATGTGTTAATAAAAATAAGTGCCGAATTTGTAAAGTGATAAATGCATTTCAGAATTCCAAAAGTGCCCAATTTGTAAAGTGATAAATGCACTCAGAATTCTAAAAGATTATAATGTGTTACAAAAATATTGATCTCATATAATTTTTTCAAAGTTCAGCTGAAGATCTTGGGCACTTACAAATTAGGTTGGCCTTGTTTTTACCTGTGATGTCGAAAGACCTTAAAAAAAAGCTACTTACTTTAACATATCTCTTGCCACAGCATTTATAGTTTCTCATAAAAGGAAAATATCTTCCAGAACAACAAACATCAGTTGCATTTACTTTAGCTTTGATATATTTCTTACCGCAACATTCAAAACCAGCACTTCGAAAATATAACTGTCCTTCACAACAAACCTATGTAATGAAATTATATTTTCATCCATCTCTACCAGATATCAACTCTGCTACACCCATCAATATTTTACTTCACTTATATTGGTGGCTTATACTTCATACTATACATGAAAAGTACTTGATTGATATGATTTCAGTAATAATTGTATTTCAAAACACAGTTGCTTGAGTCCTACTTTTGCAATTTGCAAAGCAACATTTAATGCAAGTATATAAGTTTATACAAAAATGTATATGGATCAGATTTTACATATATTGAATCAGAAACATAGATTACTATTTGAAAGGTAATTATAGAAATACATTATATAATATGTACTTTCGTTGATGGTGAATAACAACTGCTTCCACATGATTTTTCATTCTTTTTACATTTGACATAGCTACATATCCTGTCATTTTTTTCAGATTCCCTGAGAAAAAAAATGGAGCTAAATACCTATCATTCATCGCATGTTATAGCCTAGCAGTTTGTAGCTTTTTCAAGTTATGAAGAATATAAAAATAAGTATTTATCAAAAAATATATTGTTATATATTATACATGCAAATCTTCCATATATGCTTTTATTGGTCTAATGATGCACTCATCAGTTTAGAAGGCGACAAAAGCAGTCTGTTAGAGACAGACACTGCTCAAAATGTTTAAACATTTAGACAATATTATTATATATTTACATAAACTACCTTTTCCATTCATGATCCAGCAATATACTCACTCCATGATTCAATAGTGTTGCATTCCTTATAAGCAGCATGAAATAGGCAATTGACATAATTTGTGATAAAAATATATCTTGAGATATAAAAAACTACAACGAATACTATCATAAAATATCAAATCAATAATAAATTATTGAGTTATAGAAATAAATGACTTTAATTCTTACATTTGATTACATGGCAGCAAACTCCTCCGCCTCACTTCATATGACCTTAAAATTCCATTTGATTTCTCTGGTGGAATCCATTTCAGTTCAATTTTGTTAGAGCTAAGAATCTGTTCAAAAACAAAAATTCATGTACTGTATAATCAAATATTTAAAATAAAACTCAGAAGGAAAATTATAAAATAAAACAATATATTTCTTGAATTGATTATTTATTTCATGTATAATGACCAAACATTAGCACAGCTTTTCAAAGAAATTTAGTTATAAAAACGTTTCAGTCCAGTTTTAGTTACTCCCAAATACAAAACCATTTTGCTCTGTATCTCAACTCCGAAGTCCTCTCCTTTATACCATTGGTGTCACAAAACAGTACAAGAGTTCAAAATTGTCCATTTGCATAAAGCAATTTAAAATGAAAGAGTTTGGCTATAGCCAGTGCCTATATGATGCCTATGCAACATGACTAACAACCCACCTTAATCAAAGGTTTGTCAATTCCCATTGGAAGTGTTTCCTGTGTTGTTGCTTGACTTTTTTTGCTTCTTGCACAGGCATATTTAGTACAAGCTTCCATCTTAGAGAATAAATATATTTTTTTAAAAAAAATTAATTTCTATATAATGGCTGATGATACTTTTACATTTTGTACAAAATTAATGTTTTGGCCCAAATTTCAGATAACAAAAAATATGTATTTTCATTTGTAATGTAATATGCTTTGGTAAAATATTTGTCTGGCCACTCATTTTAACGCTAAAATATTAGTAAAATAACCCGACACCTTTTGAACTCAAATACTTTTTGGTTACAACAAAATAGAATAAGTGTCTAACAACCTGCAGATTGTAAACTGTGAATGGTTGAAGATTATTGAGAATATAAGAGCTTGGGTGTTTAGATGTCATTGGGATTTTCACGTCATCAATTATAATGCTATATTCTGTGATTTCTCCATTTGGATGTTCAGGTTCCAACCAACTTGCATGCAATTCAGATGCACTGAGACTATAAACAACGGGAGGATATACCCCTTCAGGTGCTGTGATAAACAAAAACAATTAAACAATTTAACGATTAACAATAAACAAAATCAAATTATGATATGGGAAGTTATTCTCAAAGATAGTGGAGCCTCTATCCACGCATTTTACCTATGCACATGCACAAGTTTCCAAATACCAAGTATATATATAATGGTTTACTACATAGAAACAACTACCGGTAGTTAAAATATTGCTACGAGTATTAAAAAACTCAACTAAACCCAAGCAATTTCAGTGCAAGTTGGCAGTGAAATATTCTTAACAAAATATGTTGGAATGATTTGATTGATCTAAATAAAGTAAGACTGCAAGATATTTATGCATATGCTCAGTATCGCTTTGCTTGCATGATGTGATTCAATATGATTACAAGTTTTTGATGTGTTACAAAACTAATATACCAATACCAATTTAAATATACCTCCATCTTTAGTTTTAATAAATATGCTATCCGATGAAATATTGTGAGCTCCATTGAAAGTAGTTAATACTATTGAATAATTGGTTCCTGGATGAAGATTGGGTAATGTCGCAGATAACTCATCTGGCTCAAGAACAAAATTTTTTTCCATTTCATTATCTGGTTCATATCGAATGAAATACAGAGAAACTTCGCCCTAAAATTCAATAATTATGATTTATTTCTTGTCTTAGAGAAAAATTAAATTGACAATTGCTGTAAATTTACATTTTTCACAAAGTTATTCGAGTAAATACCACTTCGTATTTGAAGATCGAAAAAAAGTTAAATATTCCACAATTGTTTTCAACTGATTCTCTAGTAGGTTCATCCTACCAACAATCGATATATAATGTGGCTGATGAATACTATTTAATGTCACATATTTTCTGTGTTTTCTTATATCAACAATCAACATATGTCTGATCATTACCAATTTATAATTTACCATATGTTACATATTTTATGGTATATACAAAAATCTTAAAAAAGTAAAAGGAAGAAAGGAAGTAAAAGGAAGATACCTGGATATCAAAGATACTAGGCTGTGTCCATGTTACAAAAATACTTGTATGATTATGAACGGTGGCTTCAGGAATTGGTGATCGCAATGGGATTCCCCCTAGTGTTGTTACATTTGTTGCATTTGAAACAACAGAACCTGCAAACATGATAGTGTATGGATACTTCACCACATAACAAATACAAAGTAACAAAATTGATTGTTTAAAGCCACTGGTGAGATGAAGTAGATAGAAGTAATGTGAGCTTAATAAAATTAGGTCATGTTCCTATAGTGTCATTTAATTAAATATTCTTCTTGCTGCAAAAATATGTCAGGCATATTCTGACGTTCATTGTTTAGAACAAAGATGTGAAACTTCACATTAATAGTACAATCATTGCACATAGATGACAACATACCTGAGAAGAAAGCTGAATGAATTTTAATAGTTAACATCGGAATTGAATACTTACCATCAACATTAAAACAAGAAAGAACATAAGATAATGTTGTAAATCTCTCCAATTCTCTGTCTTGGTATGAAAGCTCAGTTCCCTTATAAATTGTCAAAGGTATGTTTATATCACCAGGTACAAGTTCAGCGAGTGGTTGAGATAATTTAGTTCTTGTCAGCTCATAAAATATACCTGGAATTTGTTTCCAAATAGAATTAATAAACTTCGATAGATTTACATGACATCTAGACAGAGAGTGTAAAGCTGGTATTTTCACTTGAGGAAAAACAGTTCTTCTCAATTTGAGAAAATAAGATATTTTCTTATCAGTATTAGATAAATGGGGCAAATGTGTTAAAGAAAAAAATATTCCAAAATTCACACCTAATTTTTATAAATGAATCACTAATCATAAAATACATGAAAAAAAAACCAATGACCTGGACCATTCGGATATTTTGGAGGTTTCCATTGTACAGCAATATAACTTTCACTGATGGGAGTTGCGATAGGAGGATCCAGTTGGTCAGGAACAGTTGTGAAAGTAGTGATATCAGTCTTGAAACTTTCTGAACATCCTCCATCAGTACATGCAAGAACTGATACCTGTGTAATATTAATTTACAGCGTTTTGAAACAAAATTAGACTGACTGGGAAGATAAACATGTAAATTAATTTAGTCTCAGCTGAATTCTTTGTAAGATCAATGATGCTGTTGAGCAACACGCTTCTTTGAATGTAGATGATGAAATTCATCAGAGAGTAATAGAATATTTTTTCACTGTACTATAATTTTTTTTAAATATAATGCATATTAATTAAGGCCGTAAATAAATGTTACTGATAATTTAATTATTCACTTCATTGATATTCAACAAAACAAGATCAATAGATGCAGGATGACTATAGACAGGAAAATAGGCTACAGGGTACATGACAAACCAAGAGAAAATAAATGCACCTTAGTTTAAACGCTCTTAAATGGCGACAGATCACTGCATTTTTTTTTCTTTATTTAATAACTGTATTCTACTTTAACATTTCTATATGCACGCCTGATACAATTTATCCATGAATTTAACTATAAAATAAAAAACATGCAATATCTAGTAACAATACAGCTCAAGTTCAAAATTCTACTTTATTTGCTACCATGTTGTTCAGTTGATTTATTCATCAATAATTTCAATGATAGTGACCTGATAATCTGTGTATGGGATCAGATCATCGACAGTCAGGTTGAGAGTTTCTGTGTCATTAACTACATATTGTGGATCAGGAAACAAAACTTCATATCTTGTAACTGGTCCATTGGTAGTTGGAGGAGATTTCCATTCAACAAGCACACTCCTTGCTGATAAAATTGTGACACTGGGTTGTGGTACTCCACCTGGTCCTGAAAATAATTAAAATCTTTGCTACAAAAAAGATATTAAACATGTTTGAAGAAAATTAAAAATGAATCACTATTGTTCATGTTTGTTAAATTGTCAATTGATAATTTGATGATAATGCCATAAAAATCTGATTCTCATTAGGCAACTGTTTGTGCAGCAAATTTTTTAAAGCCATTTTATGATTTGTTGCTATTTCTAAGACGACAGGAGTTTTTTTCAAGAACTTCATTCATATATATATATATATATATATATAAAGAAGGAGTCATTCTTCCCCAGTCTCTTTGGTTATAGAGCACGAGGCATCAGATTATTGTGTATCATTGTCGGTAAAATCTCAGAAACAAAATTATGACTGCCTTCATTTTGTTTTTTACAACTGAAAATTCTCAAACATTTTATCAATTCTTGCAGTTTTGTTCCAATAATGAATTATTTAAGGATTCAATAGGATAATGCCAAGCAAAAATAAAAATAAAACTATCGATTGCAATTACGTATTACAATTAATTTCATACTTCCAGGTCTTGTTGTGACACTTGTCCAGTTACTTGTTATGGATTTTCCACCAATAGTTGAACTTGTTATTCGATACTGATATGTTGTATATGGAAGTAAATCGGCATCATCCAAGTATCTCAATGATTGCGTTGGTACAAATGAACCCAGCACACTTGCTTCAAAAACACTGTAACATATTTTCATATAATATGTCAATGGTTTTCTTATCAAAAAATCAAGTAAATGCTTCAACGCGGCGGCTCAATGGCTTAACGTGCTACGCGCTAGGAATACACTCACCAACGCACCTCTGATTACTCTGCGTGGGTTCGCAGGTTCGAATCCCATGCTGGAATAGTTATGTGCAAGAGGATTGCTGGACTCCTCGCCGCAGTAGGGTGGTTCACATAACTGCTGGTCGGTTACGGCTTCCTCCACCATCAAGTCCATGCAATACATTTGATGACATATTTTTTGCCAAATCCAATTTCAAGTTGTTACTTTGAGAACAGATGGAAATTTCGAAATGTGCATATTGTTATACATAATGCAATTTTGGATAGGCATTGTGAATTGTTTATACGAAAACAATATTTCAGGCCTAAACTTTCAAGATGATGAAAATCCTGTTTTCAAGGTATATCAAAAGAACAAGTTACCTGTCATTAAAAGTAGATACGTTGTGCAATTTTCTTTCCAAAATGTAATTATCCAGAATACCGTTAAGTTTTACTGGAGGTTTCCATGTAAGAAATATTGACGTGGGAGATTCAGAACGAGCTTCAGGTGGCAATAAACCCTTTTTTTTTAAGAATTGGAGAAAGTTGCAAAGAATGATACTGTCTCATTAGGTCATTATAACAAAACAAGATAAATGAAAAATCAAAAAGATGGTGTGTAAATCAATAAAAAAAATGCTATAAAAAGTACACAGAAATGAGAATATCTGAAATTTAATAAAAATAAAATACGAAATCTAATATTTAAATTGTTAATAGATCTTTTTCATGAAGTATAACAAAAAGAATTTGCAGTTATAAAACTGTATTTTATTGCATTATATTTATATACTTTTAGGGCAAGTTATATCAGAACTTGCCGTAATAAATAATATGGCAAATAGTGAAGGATAGTACCATATGTTTATTACAAGAAGAAGATACATTTTATGAAATAAGTTTTTTTTATATTTTCTACATAACAGGAATCATGCATAGAAAAAAATGAATCCAAAAGAAATTGAATTGATAATGATGAATTTCAATATATACCTCTGGTGCAGTAGCTGCTGTTTGTACAGATGCCACATCACTTTTTCGACAACCACCTTCTGTACAAGCTTCAACAACATATTTATACCAATTAAATGGTTGTAAATTCTCGGCAATGTAGTGTGTAATATTGTTAGGCAATGAGACAATCATTTCATCTGTTTCATATATGGTATAATTTTGAACTACTCCATTTGGTACTGCAGGTGGCTTCCATTTTAAAGACAACGACCATGGTAAAATGTCATAAACATAGGGTTTTGCAACAAATCTAAAAAAAAATAAAGAAACGTGTTGAGCTATATTGTTAACATTGGAAATTTGACCTTGGGTTCAAATATGAATACAAAGCTGAAACCATAATCATTCAGAAAGAATGTGAGAAGAGTATTACCTTAAAATGCACCTACATGACTTTGATAAAAACCAAAGGAAAAAATTTCAAATCTTCACAATGGCAGGCAAATGAATTTATTGTTTTTTTCTGTGCATCGAATTCAATTAATATACATTTTTATCAAGATATAGTCAATTATTTTGAGTTTTGGTAATAATAATATTTGATGGTAATTATTCTTACTGTGGTGAAGTTTGTTGTGTGTGTATTCGAGTCCATTCTGAGGAAGTTGATCCAAAGCTGTTTATTGCAATAAGAAGAAATTCATATTCTTCATATGGTTTTAAATCTCTGAGAGTGAAACTCATTTGTCTTGTTCTTTTAGAAAAAGCATCTTTTTCATTCTCCAATGGTGTTACTCGACGATATTGCAGTTGAAAATATGCATTTCCAGGTGCATTGTTCCGAGCTGGATCTTTCCATGTTGCGACTATTTCATAAGGACTAGTAGGAAGAAGATCAGGGTTTTCAACACCATCAGGAGCACCAGGAGGCATTGATACAGTTCGCATGTTGCTTATCACAAATCCTTTCGAATTTGAAGCATTAACTTGAACAACATAATCTGTGTAGGGCAAGAGCCCTTCTATGCGAATCCATTGATCCGCTTTTCCACCAATGTGTAGTATTCGTTTTTCGTGCACTTCTCTGAAATCACGCTTTGCATGGTTTTTGAAAAACAACCCAGTACAAGACACGCTATAATTCATGATTCCATTTTGCCTGACTGGCATATTCCACTTTGTATCAATTTCTCGCGAGTTAACAATGGTCACTGAAACTACAACTTTGCCTTCAGGTTTACTTTCCATGGTCCTGTTTTCAATAAGAGTACTAAACGCACAGCCCTGCACTGTGCAAGCTTGTACACGAAAGTAATGTCGACTATATGGCGTTAATTTCTCAATATGTCGTGCCGAGGGTTCTTTTGTGGTGTATCTTGGTTCATAATCAAAATACAAAGTATAATTCTTTATGATGCCATTTGGTTTTTTAGGTTCGTGCCATGTTACATCAAATGAAAAAGGTGAACGAGATATCACAGTTGGTGCAGGAATATCCTCAGGAACACTTTCAGTAGTTCTAATAGGAGATGAAGTACTTTGCTTACAACCACCTCCTGTGCAAGCTTCTAATGTGATGAAGTATTCCATTCCCGCTAGCAATTCATGTAATTCACATTCTAGAGAAGGTTCCGTGCTATTGTACACCACATCCCCTAAATCTCCTTTAACTTTTGATAGATAAACAACATAGCGTTGGAATATACCATTTAAAATTGCAGGTTCAAGCCATCTTAATTCAATTGCATTTGGACCGAGAATTGATAGCATCGGAGCATCAACATGACCAGGTGGAAGCTGGGCTGAATAAATTGTAACTTCTTTACTTGAATTACACCCTGCTTTAGTACAAGCTTCAAGTTTAAATCGCTGTTGTTGAAAGGTTGCAAGACCATCAATAGTATGTTGTGTTGCATTCCCAGTGTAGACCATTGTGCTGTTGTGAAGTAATGTATAACTTGTAATTTTACCATTTGGCTGATTAGGTTCATGCCAACTCAAAGTCATAGAAATTTTTGTAACAGCAGCTGTCGGTGCTTGTACACCTTGAGGAGCTTCCTGGTTTGTAACAAAACTGAATCCTGCTATACTGCTTGTACAACCAATTTTGGTACATGCGGCAAGAAATACTTCATATCTCCCCCAAGGTTGAAGAGTTGTTATGTTCCCAGAATATGACTCTCCATCAAATACAGTGTCAATAGTGTAATTAGAAGCTGTTAAATAAATTTAGTTGAATATAATTACCCTTTGTACAAAAAATGTATATTATATGTGATGTGATGCATACATCAAGAAAAGACACAAAACATAATGTAAGATGGAAAATACTAATAGAAAAATTTTCTCTTACACAATAAAGACTACATGGATTTGTTTTATCTGGTAAACTTAGCATATACCAGATGTCAGATGACCCTGACGAGGGAGGGAGCCTTGAACTGACGAGAGGTTACATGACCCAACCAGGCATAGAAAGTAATCAATTTGTTCCTTGGATCACCAGCCAAGTATATTTTTAAAGAATTTTATTTTTTGCATTTCAAATTACTATTTTGTCAAGATTATCAACTTGATGATTGCATTTAATACTATAAGATGGTGAAAGGCTTACCAGGCAAATCTTCTTCCAGCGGTTTTGCAGACAAAGTGTAATTCACAACAACGCCTTTAGAATGATATGGACGACGCCACATAACTTCTACAATATATCCACTTATGTGCCTAACATCATATGGACTCCCAACAACTTCTGGAATACCTTCTCCAGAACGCATTATTTTCCATGCACTTCTTGTATCACCACCATCATTACTTGTCATAACACGATACAGATATTGTGTGAAGGGATGCAATTCAGAGCTATTAAATTGAAACCCAGAGCCTTCATATATAACCTTTAATGATCCTTTTTCACATGAATGTTTTGCAAGAGAAACATCACTTTCTTCTAAAAATGTACCACTGCTTAAACCTGAAATTTCTCCACTTCCTCCAGAGCCAGAAAGAACATGAGAATTACGAGCCCCAATTGGGCATCCATCCAAATCAACATTATATGCTGTTTTTGTCATTGAAATAATATTTATCTCAACAAGATTAATAAACACATTTCGTATGCAACCTCCGAACGAACGACCATCTTCATCAAAATATTTCAGTAAATAGGATGAGCCACTCAACAAATGTTTTTCGATTCCACCCATATAAAATTTACGTCGAAGATCAATTCCTTTGTACTCTGGATTTAACCTAGGTCCAATTTCTGCATGATCATCAAGTGTGAGTAATAACTGACCATTATCATTTCGAAATTCTATCAAATGCCAATTTCCATCGCATAGAGATATTTTAACAGGAAGAGTGCTAGGATCAAGCGTTACTTCATGGTAGTCATCTTCAGTGATTGATATGATAAATCTGAAAAATTTTGAGAAGCAAATTTACTTTCAGTAGTATTTATAGTAAAGCATTTTACATTCTCAAGTTGGTTGTATTTCAATTTTCACAGTACCATAGCGCCTCCTTCAAATACTAAAAATAAAATTTTTCATTTCATTTTTATCTGGTGTTTTTTACAGGTTCATATTCACTTTAAGATGGGATGGGTCTTCAAGTTGTTTTTGTTTTTGAAAAACTTGAAAAAAAGAGAAAAACCAAAAAAACTAAACATTTTGAACACTTTTGAATATCTGAAACATTTTAAGGTTAAGGGTTACAATATTGAGTGTTAAAAAATAGAAAGAGAATAAATATTGAGTACTGCAGCTAAGTAAAAAATAGCAATGATATTCTTAGTGGCATATCTGTCAATATTTACCTCAATGTGCCATTGTTCAGAGTTCCCAGCATGAAATTTTTTGATCTTCCTGATGCATAAAATATTATTCCAGAAGAGAATGCCACACGAATTTGCATACGCACTGACCAAGTATCAGCATTAGACATGTTAAATGGGTTTTCTAATTGCAAGTAACCTCTTCCAAGAAAATGGACTGCAGGCATATCCAGTACATCAGGACATCCTTGCCAGTCATCATAAGTCCTATGAACTTCTATTGCATCACTAAAAGAAACATTGGTCCAATCTTGTAGTCTACCATTTCTCTGAACTAATATATCTTTGATACAACCAACAAAACCTTCAGTAACAACAACCATACTTCCGCGATCATGTGGACGAGCAACATTAAATTCAGCAGGTAAACCTCCAATATACACAATCTCACTTGCGCCATAAACCCTCGCCGGACTACGAGTTGATCCAGAGCCTTTCCAAATAGTATCTAACTCAAGATATCCATTCTGTCCAAAGCGATTTACTTCAAGTCTATGCCATTTTCCATCATTGTAACGATCATTAATATCATCATTATCTATTGTTACAGATGTAGGCGAGTTTTGAAGGTCGAATAAAAACCAAGGTCGTCCATTACGAAGTTGAAGAACCAAATATTCATGACGTGTGTAATCAGTATCAGGTTTTGAAGCAGCAAAAAAGAGTAATGCATTTTCTTGCAATGTTCTAAACTTGAGTTGAATTCCACTGTATGATTCATCTATTGGTAAAATATCAGGTGAGAATTTCAAATAAGAATCACCAGGAAACCTAATTCCACGTCTCATCTCAGTTGGTGGTGTAGAAAAAGAAACTGGAGATTTATATAAAGTGAATCTAGGATCTGGACCATTTACTTTTTCTGGCAAAGTCCATGACAAAAAAATTAAATTGGTGTCTTCTCCGTCTTGAGTTGGTGGATTTTGTCCCTCGGGTGCTAAATAAAAAATATTAGATAATAATAACCCCGCATGTGCAGCATTACTTCACAACAAAAAGTTTGGAATGAAATTGCTGAATTACCTGCAGGTAAGGTCTGGACAGTTACTTTGTCACTTTTTACACATGATACATGATTGCACATATTTATAAGAAATGTGTAATTAACATACGGATCAAGATTATTTGCTAAAAATTGAAGTCTTCGAGGATCTGAGAAAAGCACCTAGAAAACATAGAATGTACCGATAATAAAGCAAATACACCAGCAATCCCAATTTAGTTTAATTAAAATTAATTAATCAAAAGTATATGCTACAAAGTTTTTATATTTTTAAGTTAATATTAGTAGTAGGGGGCAGCAAAGTCTTCAGTGCTTAGGGCACCAAACGGGCTTAATCCACCCCTGATTACAGGAGACACTTAGATAAAATATGGAGCACACAGAAGTATAGTTTGAGGAATAAATAAAACCTTCCAAAGCCAACACAGATAGATACTTGAGATGCCTGGTTTCTAATCATTTCCAGCCATCCATAAATGGTATGGAAGAATTTGTTTAATTATTACTGGGATATACTAAGTGCCTGATGTGTAAAAGCGCATATTTATGATTTAATCACAGGCACTATTCTTTAAAAGCATAAAATTAGAAAAATTACCACATCGGTTGTAGGTGGTGCATATGGATTGATGTTGTTTTTCCTCCACAGTACCTGATACCATTTTACATCACCTCTTACTTCTGTTACAGGATCAGGAGATTGCCATGTGATATTTACTTGAGATGATGAAACAGCCCATGCTCGAGGTTTGTCAATGAATACAGGACCTGGATTGTGAAATTTTACCCATTATCTAATAACTGAATTTCAACATGGCCTATTGTAACATAATGATGAATGAATATTGAATTCATATAAAAACAATTATTAAATACCGGTAAAAAAAAAATTAATAACATTTTATACTGGCCGTCAACTGCAACATGCTTTGAAATACACAAATTCAGAAATAGATTCCAATACCAAATATGAACGAACTTAAATTGTTCAATTCTCAAATAGTCCATCTACTTATTTACAAAAAATACATTTAACCTGACAATATAATTAATGTTCAACATTCCAAGTCGTGCATAAATGAGACAGATTACCGGTAGGTCTTTCAATTTGGAAAGCATACAATGTATTTTCATTCACCATTTTCAGATTCCAGTTACAACGTAGTATGTTCTTGGCCTGTGGTAAGCATTCAGTTGTAAAATCACCCATTTTATGTCTACTTACTTCCTTCTAGAGTCCTTCCTGTTGTCCAAGGACTTTCAGTTGAGCCAATGCTATTTGCAGACAGAACCAGAAATTGATATTCCGTAAAAGGTTGAAGTCCATCCATAGTAAAATTTGTTTCAGGTTCTTCTATAGGCATATATGCACCAGCAGGTTGTGGCCGAGGATTATAATATCCAATTGTTGTAAAAGCAACTCTTTGTAGTGGACTATGGATTCCATTTTCATCTGGCTTGCCTCGCATCAAAACTTCATATCGCTGAATCACACCTGAGATCATAAAGGAGGATTAGTCTTAAGTGTATCAAGGCTTTATTTACTATGTATGGATATATTTAAGATTGTTGATGTCATCATAAAAAAATACTTCATTAAAAAGAATCATTATTTTGCCATTCATTTAATGATTAAAGTTTCTTATGTTTAAAAAATGTGCACAAGCTGCCAAAATTTATTCAAAATTATACTTGAAAATGGTTTTGAAGACTAAAAGTGGTGTCATGTGCACAAAATTTGTTACTGTTTTTGTGAAACATTATTATCTTTAATATGCCAATATACAACCAAATTCTGGTTTAATGAGTTCTACTAGGATAATTGCTGAAAAATTACCATTGGGTTTTTCTGGTGGCCCCCACTCTATAAGAAGAGTTGAGTTAGAAATTGCAGTAATAGTTGGCTCTGGTTGCCTTTTTGGTTTGTCTTCAGGTGTAACTACAATGATTGGCATACTATCACCACAACCACCACTTGTACAAGCTCGTACAATAAAAGTGTAATTTACAAAAGGTCGAAGATTTTCAATTTCAACTTCCATTTCTAATCCTGAATAGTGCTCTTCTGGATGGCGAAAATCTTCTGTGTCTAGAGACTTCAAACAAGAAAAATATTCTAAAATATTCTAAGATTAAAACAGGCAATATAAAAGCAGAATATTATACCAAAAATGATATTTATGTATGGTATTTGGATAACATACTGAAAAAATAACTGACAAAAAATATACGTATAAACTATTTTGTGATTGAAAGAGATCGATGGTCCTTAATTTTCACCAAAAAATACTGCTTGTATTTAGTTACCAATAAAAAAAGCTCAATGTGTTTTTTTTGCATTTTTTTCGTTTTTAAAAATGTGTAGCGCTTCACTTTTCAATGAATTTTGTATAAATTTTCCCAGCCCAAGTATTGGTCAATATATAAATTGAGAGCCAAAGAGCACCATAATATGTTATTATAACTTGGGTGTAATATGCCGCATATGCTATGTCACACAGTAAAGATGTCAAAACAATTAAACATAGCAACTCACTATAACATATTTATATCTGCTTGTCTTAGTTCATTGTGAAAAAGTGGAATGAGTTATAAACAAAGTGAATGCTACCTGTAAAACGTATCTTTCAATGGGTCCATGAGCAACTGAAGGCTCCTGCCATGAAAAAACAGCACTTGTACTTCTGACATTTTTCACAGTCAGAGGCGGAACACCAGTAGGAATTCCAGCTATTGTACGAAAACTGACTTCAGCACTCTGTGCTATCCCACCCATGTTGCTTGTTTCAATGTAATAATCATAATTTGTATATGGCAGAAGATATGTATCATTGTAACTTATTGTTGAAAAAGGCCTGCAAAGTAAAATAAGAACTAAACTGAGGTATTCCATAGTGTAGAGAGAATACTGAAAGACTGCAACAATGATAGGAAATATTGACAATAAATGCTGTGCTTTTGCACTATAGTATGATTTCTAATCACAACTTTTCTGAATTCCCATAGAATACAAAAATAACAATAATTATTGCCCCCAACAAACACCAAATAATAATGCTTCTGTTTCTTTTAATATCACATACCATTCATAATTGCTTTGCGTGTTCGTTGAAACAAAATCTTAATCTACCAACTTAACAATCTTACTCAGAATCATTCACAGAATAAACAAGTTCACTATTCCTGTACAGCCTATATTGTAGATTGTCTCCATTCGGCAAATCTGGTGCATTCCATTCCAGTTTAATCCAAGATGATGTTTTGTTGAGCTGAATAAAAAAGTCAGTTTAGCAAATGCCTGAAATGTTGGCTATGAAATTGATATTCATATTTTGGTTCACCTGATGGTAAGTTTAATATAGAAATGGGTGCAAAAAATTGATAAAACATCACAAATCAGATGGATTTTAGTTATTTCAAAAATCCAGCAGTTATCCACACTTTAGCTACTTGTACAAAGCCTTGTTGGGAGATTACAAATTGTAACCTAAAAAAGTGGGGCACAATAACATGGATCGTTTGAATATAATACATTTTGATTCATTTTTTATTTCAAATATAGTATATATATACAGATATATTGTGTGAATATATTCTTAATAATACATTACTATTTCATGCAGATTTGACTAATACATAAAACCCAAATGTTGTAGTACGAACCAACATTAAGTAGCATTTTGAGATATACCTCAATGGGTGGTGCTTGTTGTTCAGGATAAGAATAGCATCCCATTGGATTTTCAGCTGTTAAATAACTTGAACCTTCTCTGCATTCATCACATTTATCACCAATAACATTTCCTTTGCAACTGCAAGTTCCTATAAAAATATTACGAAAATTATTTACTGTTTGTATTAAAAAATATAAATTGTAATAACAAAATATCAGTTAAATTACATAAAAAACTTATTATCGGAACCTACTAGCATAATATACGTTCGAGAGGTAGGGGACATTGAACCATTTACTATGCAGTTAGAAGTTAGTTCAGCATATATTCATACTTATACTTTCTACTTTCTCGGAAATCAACAATAAAAAAATTCAAATTTTTTGACCACATATCCCCACACTTTTTTATATTTAAATACCATACCTGTGATAGTGTTGCATGTGTCATTGATGCTTCCTTTATTATTACAGCCACATGGTTCACATGAACCAAATAAATGATGAAAATTCCAAAAGGTATCTGCACATAATTCACACATTCTTCCAGTAATACCTATAAGTAAGTGCAATATAAACAATCGGGATGAGTTGCGTCTACGTAATAGTTGACATTATAAATCAAGTTATATAAAATTATACAAGCTAATCACATGTCAATAATTTTATAGCATCAGTATGTGTGTGTGTAAGACTGAGTATTACAGGAACCAGGCAGCAAATATTACGCTTTGTAAAAATTATTCCTGCATATGAGTACACAACTCCGTAACACATGCCATGTGTTTAATTCATTCGATTGATCTCTATAGCTTATATATTGATATTGCTGGAACATCCATGCCAATACGAAGTTTATACAGTACATGACCATACATTGATCCCTAATCATGCATATAAATAGTTCAGATGGCCAGTTGACCCAATAGATGGTGTATGAAAGTAACCGAATAAGAAGCTATGATTGGCTATTTAACTTACCAGCATCTACCTTGCAGGGGCATTGTCCAGTTGTGTTACTACATATTTGACTTGTACTTGCATAGGAATGACAGTTGCAGTCATAACACCCATGTGTCCCATCAGATGGAATATAGTATCCTGAAATTTAGATAAATTGCTGTCTACCAATCTACATATTAAAATATTGAATCAAAGATTCTATGTTGTCAACTTTGGGGGGAAGATTTCATTTTTAGATTCACATGCAATGGGTTATTCAATTTTTCATATTACAATGTGGATATATAGTGGTGTAATCTTTTTTATTAACTTGATCTAAAAAGCCCAAATAAACAGCCTTTTTACCAGGTGAGCACATATCACATCTTCTTCCCTCTCTGCTTGTCAAGCAGGTACATTTTCCAGTATTTGCATCACATACTAATTCTTCAGGAGCTTTCTTATCTCCGAGTTCAGTACCTGAATAAAAATACTTACTACTAACTTCACATTGCAGGTAATTAAATCAAGAGCATACACCTTATACAGTACTCACAGACATTCAGTTAAAATTATCAAGTCAGGGCATTGATAGATTTGCCAGTAAAAATGAATTCAATGGCAGAACGAAACAGCCATGTCTGAATTATAACACAAACACTATTAAATGAAAGGTGTGACAATATTTTAACATGGGGAATTGGCAGTAGTTTTGTTCACCACAATATATCAAAACTTTAGATGAAAAATCAAGGGAGAGAAATATTACATTTCTAGTGACTTAAATTTTCATTTTATTTTTGACTTACCTGTTGGATCACAGTTACATTTCTGGCAGCCTTCATCCAGTGACCAATCCAGTCCAAAAGTGTTTCGTTTGCATAAATTACATGTTCTTCCTTCAACATTCGATTTACAATCACACTGTCCAGTAACTTTATCACAAACTAATGAACCATCAATAGTTCCTCTTGGATCACATCTACAGTTTTCACATCCCTAAAATAACGGCCAAGTCACTCACTAACTACAAGTATATTATTACTAATAATGTACATTACTAATGAATGAAAAATAATTTATCAATTCTAGTGAATATGTATATAAATGACTGTATATATTTATTCAGCTTTCCTATATGTAAAGGAAATTTGTGTTTACAACCTTCGATGTTGATACGAACCATATTTTGTTAAAGGCCATTATATAACAATGTATTTTTTGAATAATTTTTTGTAAATTCATCAGCGTGGTATTATTAGTAAGTCTGTTTGTATAGATATTACATATAGATATTATATATTTTAATTAGTTTCTGTGTGGACTTACTTTCTATTTGAGCCAATTTTCAACCAATTTATTTATTTTTGCATATCATAAGATGAGTATTTTTTCATGTCATAACTGACCGGCCACAATCCATTGATCACAAGACAAAAATTTTGACATTCATGTTACAACTATCTACCTACTATCAGAATTTCACTTTTTTGTGAATTGAAATTGTGCAATATTGCAGTTTATTTACAACTTTGTCATCGGTATGGCGCATCACGCTAAGCGATAGGCTCGCCACCGCACCTCTAAATTAACCTTGGTAGGTTCGCAAGTTCGAATCCTGCGGGAGATAACTATGTGTGAGGGTATTGCTGAACTCCTCGCCGCCGTAAGTTGGTTCACGTAACAGCTGGTCGGCAACTGCTTCATCCTCTATCATCAATTTCATGTATCTGAAACAAATAACTGGCTAAATAATCCTACACCTGACATGGACTAGTAACCAGACGAGTAGCCGTGGTTCGCCATATGAGCAGCTGTCTCAGCGCCTTTCCTGTCCCCCCAGATAAATATGTAATTCCTATCCTTATAACTGAGAATTACTTAATTGAAAATCTAAATCAATAGTTCCAATAACGACGTACTTGTCTGACGAGTCAATGCAATGAGAGATAAACACAGAACACTCAGGTTTCACACTTTTCAATAAAACTTAATATATGGTACACATCATACAACATAAAGCATGCAGATATGATAACATAAATTAACACGAGATAATTATGACGACTACACTTTACAATGAGTACACTACATGAGATACAGATGAAAATATTTGAAAACTATGAGAAGTAAATCAAGATATTTTCAGAAAGTTATGTATCCATAAACTGCTTACAAGTCAGTCGTAGCACCTATGTTTTGAATTGAGAAAATAATTTCAATAAGAATCAAATTTTGAATTCTAGGTCTAGCACTTACTTTTGATGTAAATATTGGTTTTTGGCATATAGTATTGATTAGCTAGAAATAATTAATTTTAACAATGCTAATGATGTACAGTTCGAAATTCAACAATTCAGCTCATAATTTCATTTGAAATATAATATATGCAACAGGTCATTCAAGTATTAAAAATATTTACACAATGTTTAAAATATTCTACCAGTCACCATATATGCAACAAGACAACATCACATGCATTATCGATTGGGTTTCTACAGGACCAACTACTTTTCCGTTCTTCTATGCGTTTGCGTCGGTGGATCCGTATACATATAATGCAAGGATGTTATAGCAAGAGTGAAGATAACTATCCTGAGTAATTCAATAAATAGTCTTGCTGCACACTAACACAAAGTTTGTGTTAGTGTGCAGCAAAACTATTTATTAAATCACATGCATTAGCTTGAAAGATGAACAAAGAAATGCAATATGAACATGGTTACGACCTAATTAAAGATTTGCCGCAATCTACAGAAAATGGCATCCAATAACAACCAGAAAACCTGTTCATTGTTCGCATCCAGATTGTAATAAACATCTTTACAAATGTTACAGGTTCTTCCTTCTGTGTTGGCTTTGCATTTGCATTGACCGGTAATCTTGTTACAAACTGTACCAGGGACAGTGCCACCCTGATCGCATCCACATGGTTCACATCCTCTTGAAGTCAACTTCCAAAATCCATTCTCACAAACATCACAATGCATTCCTAACACGAACATATAAATTTACATTTAATTAGCATTTTTTCAATAGGAGTCAAAGTTTAAAAATTTGCAGATGGTGTACAAAAAGTGTATATATCTATCACTAGAAACCTTGCAGTTACTAGGAACAACCAAAATAATTCCAGACTGAAAGTGGCATTTACTTTGTATTAGCAACCTTTAATCTTTACGTGAATCACAGATGATGCACAAATCCACCCACCCTAATACCAAGGGAATATATAAATCAAGAAATACTACTTACATGAGGGTGCAATAACACACAGAGCTTGTCAAGCCATTTATCATGCATGCTCATTCATTCTTTTTAATACTTGCATTTTTATTGCTTTTCAGTGTTATTTATATACAAAACTAGAAATTAAGAATACATTTGTGAACTATAAAAAATTTTTTAATCTTTTCATTTTCCATTTTTCCACAAAAACCGAAGACAGAGAAATTCATGCTCATTATAAATTGATTAATCAATGAATTAGTTAAGTTGAAAGGGCATACTTATACTAGTTTCATGATTTTATTGAGATCAAAAATGTATTCCTAATTTCGAATTATATCTACACTCTAGGTCACTTTCTTTGCCCTAGAACACATAAGCTTTTTATCTCGTCTCACAGTACACAAAGAAATTAGAAAAAAAAAATTGATAATAAAAGATTGTGTGATCGGTTTACTTCGTGCATCAAATTGCACAACCGGCTTATCACAACATCTTTTGAGGCTTCCAGTTTTAAGCTATGCATTGAGAAGGGTGGTTTCCAAAAAAATTATCCCATGTAAAATTAAAAATTTGCTATAAACTTATTAAAAACTTAAGCAGGCGGTCAACAATATTGAACGTTTGACGAAAACGCCATGCTTTCCAGACTGACACAGGCGTGTTCGCCTGTTTAGATATCAAGGGCTCAATATACAATAATTTATACACCAAATATTAAATGATAAGAACCTTCCACATTAGGTTTGCACGAACAGTCTCCTGTATTTGGATTACAATATTGATCAATTGCACCAAGTTGATGACAGTTACATGCTTCACATCCTTTGGAATTTGAATCCCTAAGATTCTTAAATCCACTTTTACATTCAGAACAAGTTCTACTTTTTACATTAACTTTGCAACTGCACTGTCCTCCGACCTGTATGACAGTTTTTCAATAAAATCATACCATATAAGATTAAAGTTTAATTATATCTAAAATAATTGGCATGACAACCATTGTCATATTTAGCAAATACCTACGTGCCTGTTAATATAAATAATAATGCCTTTTTACGGTAAAATGCCAAGACAGCTCTCTTCACCACATTTTACCAGCATATGTGTTTATGTATCGACATGATTATTTCATACAATCAGTACCATCTAAGAATTTTGCAGCTAACATATTACATTAGCAATTTTTTACCAATTGTTTGTTCAGGTTGCACCACCAACAATTTGATTATTTGAAATATCTCAAAAATGCTTGCTGTATTACAAACCCAATAACTGAATTTTATGCACAAAGATTATTATAATTATATGATATTGAATGTCTTGAACCATGTTTTCAAAAGCATGTCCAAAACTAACTTGATAGTCATTTGTTTATACCTGCTGACATTTGAAATTTCTGTCGGTAGTCCCAGGCAAATGACATTGACAAAGTTTACAACCTTCAGGATTTGATACATCCAAATCATAATAACCATCATTGCACACACCACATGTTCTACCCAAAACTTGGGACTTGCACTTGCACTGACCACCAATCTGTATAAAGAGAGATTACCTTATAAAACATAAATTAAAAAAAGGTGATAAAAAGGTTATTTACTCACTTTTTCACAATCCATCGTTCCATTCACGACACCAAATGCATGACAATCACAAGATAAACAAACTTTAGAATCATCAAGTGAGGTTTCTTCCATTCGAAAATAAAACTCTGCACATTTTTCACAATTTATTCCTAAAAATATAAATTACATTGATTGATGATGAAAGTTCACTGTTTAACTGCAAAAAATTAAGAGACAATTGAGGAGGAAACTACCGTACATTGCTTATATATTTTACATAAACAGATTCATCGAAAAAGGCTGAAAAGTAGACTTAAACACAGAAAAAATTAGGCAAATCAGTCTATGCATTTAAGCCATCCAGCTGATCATTTCAGACACATGGATATTATGATAGAAAATGCCAAATTCATTTCATCAACAATCACATTCCAATGACAATGATCCTGTAAACCCATACCAGGATATATCTGGTGGGATATTATTCTGAAATATCGCTTGTATGTTTATCTGATTTCAATTTTTGAATAAAAAATAACAATGACAATGCTTTATTATTTATTTACAATTGAAAACTAGTTATTTGCAAATGAAAACGAAAAGGGCAATTTGAGAAAGACTCATGAGGAAATAAACCCTCATCTAAATTTTAGTTAAAGTCTGTTTGGGAAACATAATATTAAACATATAATAAATAGTACTTGTGCAAACGCAGAAGTAAGATTTGTGAAAGATTAAAAATGTGGAAAGATATTGTACAACACAAAAAAAGTCTAAAACATGAATAAACGAATTGATATGGTGTTTAATGTTGCAGATTAAAAGAGAAATATAAACCTGTGGTGTGATGTTTACAATTGTCACATCTACCACCTCCCCCACTGTAAAAATCATTAGGAAATGGATCTAATGTTTCATCATAATGGCAACTATCAGCATGGCCATAGCATTCACATGGCTGACAATCAAATGCTTCTGTTTGAGTTCCTTCATGAAAAGGTTTATTGTTGTACAGAGGCAAACATTTTTCACACTGAAAAATAATGATATGCAAAGTATGGCAAATGCTCCCAAAATGGGAAGTTAATATGATCGCTAGAACAATCTAATATTTTATGTGAATAAATAAAATAATGGTCTTCTGGAAAAGTCAAACTTAATTTAGGCAAGACAGCTAATGCCACAACAGTGATTTTTCTGGTATAAATGTCTTAGTTTAAGAGCATTTGGAATACTTCACAAATTTTAATATCAGCCACTAAGCATGTAATAATGTGTATGCATGTAGTAATGTGCTCAAGTAATATGGATTTGGTGACAAAATGGTATTTCCAAAAATATAGCAATTCCCAAAATCCATGGACCTTAACAGTAAAATATGTGTAAAACTACTTATGAAATAAACTTACCAAATTTCCACCAGTATTACTCCTTGGTATGCACCTACACTGATATGGATTTTTGGTTGTATCACATGCATCTGCATGCCCATGACAGTTGCATCTGAAAATTAATATATTATACTTCAAATAATAGTGCTGGAGGTTTGAAATCAAAAATAATACCGGTAATTGGAACCTCCAATGATTCTAGATTATTGTTTTTTTGCTTAATTTGATACAATTGTGTCTGCTTGATAGAATCAATTACTTTTCTAAAGACTGAACATGTTAATAACAACTATTTATTAAAGTAATTATATCCACCTACCAGTGTAAAAATACCTTTTTGTGAAATATAACAGAAATAGGAATCGCATCCTTTGCTGTATCAAGCTCAAATAAAGAACCACGAGTAAATAACAATATGAAAATTGTTTTCACAAACCTTCCAATAATTTTTATTTCCCTTATCAAATAAACTTGATGTCCAACAGCAACTTCAGGCCGAAGTGTAAAATATTGGTACTGCATGCGAATTCGAATCTATATAAAAAAGCAAATATAATTTGATGGCATTATTTGTTCATTGCTAATACTTCTAGTATACACTTCCTGCAAGCGAGTAAGAGAGAAAAAATGAGTAAGAATCTTAAAACATTCAAATTATATAGCATTTGAAATTCATGCGAGCTGGAGATTGATAATGTATAGTATCATTCTTTGCAAGAAATAGTTAGCAAAATACTAAAAAAATCAATGATTTATCATCAAAATTAAATACAAAGTTTACATCAAAATTTGTTAGGAAAATTAAAAAAAAGGAAAATTATATATTCAACTTAACCTTCGTACTTTTATTCTAATCCTTAAAGTTAAATACTGAACATATATTTTTATTTCAGAATTGTGGTCCAAGAACTAATTACCTTTTCTGCCCTGACAAAATTCATCAAAATTGGATTGTTATAAAAATCATCTTTTCCGGGTCTTTTGAATGGAGCATCAGATAACAAATTGAAAGTCACATTGTTGTTCAAGTGTGGAATATCATCAACCCTATACATATTTAAAAGCACCAGCAGATTATAAAGGGACCAGTAATGCATTAGGTGGCCAGCCAAGGCACAAATTATTGAAAAAAAAGCACTTTTACTAGTAATTGATTAACAGTCCTGAGTGCTGCGTGTGTGAAGTTCTAAATGCCAACCCAATATTATAACAAGATGTGTGAAAAAATACCCTAGCAAACAAAATCCTGCAGCCAATATAGATAATAGGGTATATAGATTACATAAAAAAATTTTCTGGATCATATTATGAACCATCAAACGCATCAACCATCAATTATTTGTACTTACGGCGGAAAAGTCATGCAATTAAACGAATCAGGTTCTTTCAGGGGTTCATTATCTTGCATCTTAAATCTTGGGTAGCAGTCATCAGCAAAATGACCCCATGGTTTCCATGTTCCTTCTGTAGTTTTATTTGACAATCTTGAAAATGTGATGGCTTGTGGTTGTGGACTATGGAACTGTATGATGAGGCTAAAAATCTAAATGGAATACAGAAATAGAAAATTTATCAAAAATCGCAAAATCTACTTAAATCTTCGAAACATATTCAACTTTTTATAATTCCAAAAATGGTTAACATATTAAACAGCTATTGGTACTCAAATTTTACATATCTTTGCTATTCAGCACATTCTACACATTTTGCAGTTCAACACAACATTCCCATTATCAATAATTTATTGGAATACAAAAAAATTCCCGAGCTAGCAACCTGATATTCTCCATTTTCCATATCAATAGTCATTGTCACACCACCAGGCATATAGAAGTTTGATGAAATCCAGAATGTTCCATAATCACCATCATTAATGTAACCTAAAGGATGTGCGTCTTCATGTAAGCGAAGTCTTCTGTCTTCAGTTGTGTCTGGTAAACCATTTGGAATGCAGTATCTGGTAATGTACAGAATGGTTGAGAAATATTATAGATATTCAAAATTTGTATATTCATCAATTGACTGTTGTGGAATACAGACCTCCTTGTTAGAAAAGCCTGATTGGAAGCAAAGTTTGGAACAGGGCATAACTAGACTGTCAATAAATTTGCTTGTAACAAACCTAAGACAAATGATTAAAGCTTGTGCAGTAGGTCAGATGATAGAGGCCAGAGGTTTTTGACAAAGTAAAATGCCTTTTGCAAACATTCCTTCTGAAAATTTGCAATAATATCATATATATATCATATGGATGTGGCAAACAACACCAAACATATGTTAATTGTAAATACTTGCCTTTCTTTTAGTGGATGAACTCTAGGATAACCCATAGGACACAAGCAGTTTGATTGGACATTCAACTCCTTAAAAACACCAGAATATATTTCTTGTATTTCCCTGTTGGTAAGCGCTTGTTCATACCATCTGTAGTCATGTAACCGACCCACAAATTGGCCAGTTGCTGAAAATAATTCATGCCATAAATGTCAAACAAATACAATAACTAATAAATTGAGAACAAATTTTGAATAACAAATATCAAATTGAAAAAATGATTAACCTAACTGATATGTAAATTTGTACCAAGTAATAAACCAAATAATATGAAACATTGTACATAGTTGTTGAAAAAAAACATCAAAAATGAATTTATTGAGAATATTTAGTTTATGCAAGATACATGCAGATACCGTTTTAATTTTTCACACCTTGAAACACTGAACACTGAATTTTACAAATACATCAAAAGTTATCATGTATGGAAATTGGAAAATATGGAACAATCCATATTAAAATCGTATGTTGTTGTTATGATAAAACAACAAGTAATTGTGATGATATAAGCATGACACATCAAAATATGCCTAAAACAAAGATCATGATAATAAACCTTATTTCAACACCAACTTAAATGAATAATTGATATAATGAATAATGTTAAAAGACTTGATGACAATATCGTGCATATGAGGAGTAAACTGAACAAACCAATTCATTATATGCCGTTTCTATCCTATGCAAATATAAATATATGTTGATGCAGTAATTTAAGGCACCTGAAGTCCTAAATAGTGAAGCTATATGAAACGAAATGAAATACGAAGATGGCATGATGAAAACATGGAATAAAATAAATAATAAATGAATTTACAACCAAAATGACAATGAAGACCTGTAAAGCAACTGAGAAGAACCATTCTACCATAATTTAAATCCATGAAATCTGAATTTTGTCTTAATTAGTCCAAATCAGACCAAAGATTAAGATGTTATACGTTTTCCACCACATTTCTACAATGAAAGATTACAAACTTGTTTGTTGAAAACGCCCATAAAACACCATGATTACAATAGCCACTCCAATTTAAATTGAATCATGCATTATGTATGAACTTTAAACTCAAAACATTAATGTCACCTGCTCAAACAAATTTTCAAATTTAGATCATGCTAATTTGAATTATGCACATATATGATCTGTTGATAAAATTTGCTTCAAGCCAAATTATAAACAATAGAACCCACACCATGCAATATATATTTGCAATAATATGAGGGCGAGCATCACCACTCACTATTTGACCATTCTGGAAAATTTTCTTGAAGATATAAAGCCATTTCACTCGTGTCATTCCATTCTTCAGAATAAAAGTTATTGTTATTTTAATAATCCACTTCATAAAAAAAATGGTTTGTTAAACTATATTGAAAAATGCATGCTAACTTTCAGCTATATAATAAAATAAATATACATAATCCGTTGCCATTATACGGTGGACATCATAAATAATACCAGATATAAATATATTTACTATATATATTTCCTCATCAGGACTTAATTCAACTAATAATAATACCTAAAAACATTATATAGATTCATAATTTTCCAAGAGGAAATGAGAAGATTAAATTGTAATGAATATTAATATTAAAAAATTCTTATGCAGGGTAAGATACAAAAAAATTCTACAACATGTCATGGTAATACTTGGTCAAGATAAAGCAACAGAACAGTTTAATCATTAGACATACTATAACTCCACTTCATGGATGGAATTGAGCAATTTTCCGAAACAAAATTATGAAATTCAAATCTTCTTATCTTATGATTAAGTATTTAGTGGGAGACAATCACATTTTTATGTAAAATCAATTAGCATTTACTCAAAAACCCTGAACATAACAATTTTGAGGAAAATAAAATATAAAGAAGTATCTAGAACAATTACCTGCCATTCTTTGACCAATTTTGACGATGGGTGAATAATTTATATCTGCAATAGGAAAATCTAATGTTTCAGAAAGGTATGGCGTTTCATCTTCACCAAGTCCATCCAGAAATACATTAGCTGTTGTGTTGTATACCTATATCAGATAGATAATTCAAATGAAAAATTAATAACACACTTCTACCCACTTCAAAAAATTGTTTTACACTGACCGATGACCATTGCACATGGTTTAGAGATAAATGATCATGTCATCTGAGAATAAAACGATAAAATAATTTCCAGACAAAAGCTATATTGTGATGCCTTGAAAACGCATCTTTTATAAGAGTGTGGTACAAGTTCAATCCATGATTATTTAATGCAATATGGAATAGGTAAAATAGACATATGTATGCAATTGAACATTAATTAATATCACTTATTGTCTGAACAAAAGTTAGCCACACCATAGTACTTGAATAATATACTGCACTATAATTTTCAATAATAAGCGGCGAAACCTTCAACATGCTTTATATGTTAGAATAACAAAATGAAATTTCCGGTTATTAACAAAAGATAAGTTAACTAACTCAACCAATATGTTGTTACCAATATGTATATATTATATATATATATATATGGTGTCATACAGACTAAACATTTTGTGAAAATATAGTAATTTCAGTGTATAGGATCGGCGCATTATTTCAGACCTCTGTGAGGATTGGACTAAATAAAAATAATGAGATTGGCGGTTTACTACAAAAGTATGACGTGATAATGCAGGCAAATCGGACAATTGAGATATCATAAGAGTCAAGAATAGTCAAATTTGTGCAACTTCCATAGCCGGAATGATGTAATATAAATGTAAATAGCTGGTCATTTTATTGCGCAACCAAGTCCTGAATACCCATAATTCTGATAATATCACAAATAAACTAATTGAAAATTGAAGACTTCAGGGCAAGGTTCCGTAATTTATTTTCTCAGATTATACCTGCAAAGTAACGTGATGCCATCTCGAAGGAGATACTGGCGCTTTCAATAGTTGAACATGAGATCGTCCATCTGTTCCTCTGAACTGCATCAGTATTGAAAACGCGCCCACCATGACGCTGAGAACAACTTGTCTCTGGTATCCCGGTCTTGGACTCGCGATTTTTTCTAAAATCACCCTGAGTTAAATTGAATTCAAATTAAATTAAAATAAATTTGGATAAGCTTGATCATACTAAATACATCTGATATATATCACGGCCCAGGCAATGGACAATGGACGGTAAATAAGTAAATGCAAACGTTGCAGCCGAATCGTGGCGTGTGAGGCCTTTAGGCATCAAATAATTAGGATCTTTTCGTTTGTTGGGCCTAGAATTGCCAAATGCTTGTCATTACTATTAACCAAAGAAATAGTATAAGAGCTATATACATGAATTTTGCATACCCGGCGTTACGACGACGCTGTTTTATCCATACAGCTAGGGTGAATTGGCCAGGAGCAGTACCCGTTCGCAAAACATTCGTAGGCTGGGCAAAACAGGTTGGGTGATTTTGAAAATCAAATGATGCTTTTCCAGTTCCCCGAGTATCCTCGTAATTGGGCGTAATACAGTTTTGTAAGTTTCCATCCATAACATTAATGAAACGTAATTGGCCATCAGTAACACGGTCTCTTCCGGGACATTCTAAATTGCATCTTCTTTTGTTGCAGGCCCTACCTGCCAGTCCATGATCATCTGCGGCGGGTTGGCAGTAAGATCCCGGCGCAGAAGTTCCGCATGTTGTGTCACCGTTAGTAGATATGGGCCTGTATAGGCCGATGTTATCGTTAGGCGGATAACTTCCAGTTTCACTAGTGACAATATCAGCTAAAACCAATACGATGAGCCATCTGCAATAACTAGTCTTTGCTATGAGCAGTTTTATAATCATAATGCTATGCCTCTCTACGGGGCTAAATCGCAAGTTCTAAGCTGACGGTAAACTCGTTCAACGCCACCTTGTCGATTAAACTTCATCCATAATTGAAGACGCAATTGATCTACCTGAATCCACTTTAAATATTCAGCAATATGAGATAACGTCTCGGAATAATAGTCATCTACTGTACAAAGTTATTATAAAGACCATTTCCTTGACTACGCTATTTACGTTTAAAAATTCGATCGATTTTGAAGAACGTTTTCATTATTTGAAGTATCCTTTCGCACTACTTGACGCGTTCGAATTCTTTGTCTCATGCTCAGTTTGGTCAAGTGTGAATCACCCACACTATAAATATGACCTAACGTAGTTCGTAAAAACGCAAAACACAGTCAATCATTATCATTTTTTATCGAATAAATAAACGCTGTGTATTTTACACAATTCAATGATCATATAATCGTTCATACAATACATATATACATCAAATAAACTAACTTCAGATAGACGCCGACTCCACAAAGCGGAATATAAATGGATAATGGATGGATGGATTCAATATAAACCATGGTAAATTGGGGGGAATCCAAATATAGAAGATGATGAAGATTCGAAATAGCAAAACCGCGCAGTGGTTCTTACCTGATGAAAGGATCTCAACATAAATAGTGAAAATGTTACAATTTTAAAAACCAGACTAAAAGAGAAAAAGTCTATTTTTTGACTATATATTTAGTTAAATTAAAAATAAATAAAAATATCCTTTATGTTGAATTGGGCAAGGGTAGCTACGTAAGGTAAAGTTGGTTACATTACCACGACAAAAAGACGTTGAAAGTTGACGGATAACTTTTTTCATTCAATAACGTTGATTTGAAACATTTGTCTTGGTATGTTGTATATCAGACGAATATGGGCTCCACAACTTCATTAGTGGTCGACTTTCTACAGGCGAATTTAAAAGTTATATATTACGCTTTATAAGTATTTTGGTGGGGTAGATATATTTGTCTAGTTTTGTACAAATCATTCTACAATGAAATTAAAATTGTTGCGTCAACGAGCTATGTGTCAAGCATTCCTTATCAAATAACATAAATCCCACGTAATGTATTTTCGTGGTTTTACTGGAAATGTTGATTCGCATAAGTCTATTATGCATATATATACATTATACTAAAAAAAGTGAAACGCAACAAGGCCGAAGTCGAAATGCACATTCGGAACTTATATTACCAAACAGACTTCAATCCCAGAAGTGTGACATGATTACATAAGTAACAGATACTTTGAAATCTGTCTACAGGAGCACGGAAAAGCTAATCTGTATATATCTACTATTTGTTTATCTGAAGTTCGTGTTTGTTCTTGAAGACCGAAGCATAACATATATAAAAATTGCCTTATGATTCACGCATTAATTTATTTCAATATTTAATCAGCGTATTTTATTGTAATTACGAAAATGTTCGTTGACAATGTTCAGTTTCTGATAAACATTGATTTCTAAAACTGACGGAATTTTATCGTGCATGGATGAATAACCCGCAGTATTGATCATACCAATGAATCATCACATGTTAAAAAAGCGATTGGCGTCTGAATTGAACCGGGAGTTTGGATTCGCAAGTTGTCGTAAACAAACATTTAGTGTTTTTCAAGTTGCATATGATTTTTTATGTGGAGCATGGAGCGATAGAAAAGTAAAACTGCACGCCTTGATGAAATTTTCAGGCATTTCAATAATGGAAGCTTGTAAATCATGATAAACTAAATTACTATATTTTACATCATTATATATATATGATGTTTGAAACTCATTATCATACCTATATTATTTTTGTATCATTGTAAGTGAATTACACGAAAAACAAGATAGTACAGAGATAGCGCAAATACCATTACAAATTAATGCATTTACAGAAGCAAATATACACAAAACACAGGAAGTATATAAATAAATATGGAACCATTTTTCAGATAACATACATATAAATAATTTCTAAAAAAAATTTAATAAAAATTAACATGAAAAATCAAAAGCTCTCTGTTTATATTTAATAACATTTGAGTTAGCGTTGACTAGAAGTGATACTAGGTGATTGCAAAGATGAACTTTCATATATCATTTTATTCTATATCCAAAATCCACCAGTAGATGGGGTTCTTTCACATAAAATCCTGGATTTGATTCCTATTGTGTCGCATGAAACTGGTACCCATGTTGTCGTTGTTCTGTCGATCAAGCTTATTTGTGTGCATCCTGAGAGAAATATAAAAATAAATTAATGGTTGTATACATAATAATACTGTATATGTAAAATATATATGACTTGAAGTCCCGTAAAACTATTATTGATTATTTATCTTTAATGTACTTACAGTTGGTAACATGGTAATTCAAGTAAGGTAATATTATACAAAACCAAATAACCCAGCATGACTTGTAGTTCTCAACTTAGATATCTATTTTAGTGTTGAGCCAAGTTATTGTCCATGATTTTTGAGAATTAAAGATGAATTATCCACATGACCAGTTTGAGTTAGTAATTAAAACATTTAGACACTGTGAGCGTAATAACTTAGTCTTATTAGTCAGTGATCTGGCATGTTAAGCATGAACACAACAGTTGGAGATCTTGAGTTTAGACCCTGTCTAGTCAGTCAGTCAAATCCAACTACTCCGAGTGTAATAAATTGAGAATGTCATGCAAATCCAGTCATTCAAAAAGTTCAAATTGACTGCACGCTAGCAAAAATTACAGTATACGAATATATGAAATTATTGAAAATTAGAAGAAAGTAAAACTACCTATAACGTTTAATGGATTTAATAAACACACAAAACGTTTAGCTGAGCCTAAAAACTTGCCTAACTCTTCAGTTTTTGCCCATATTTGTATAGAAGAAAATGCTGTATGAATATCTGAAATTCTAGAGCCCAATTGTTCAATAAATTTTTCTGGAATTATTGCCAGGCGTCCAGTAGGATCAATCTCTTTGCACAAGTTTTCAGCTTCAGTAAAGCTTGAAACAAGCATACCAGATAATTGATATGTCCTTGTGTCGACTCCATCAGAAAAGACATTCCATTCTAAAATGGAAATAAAGCAACGTTCAAATGAGAATTTTTACTAGAAAACAAATCTGTTTTTAATCTAAATTAGCGCAAATAATCCCTTCCTCTATGCCGTATCATCACAAGCCAAATTAATATTAGTTTAATAATATAACTACGATAAGGCTTGTGACTGGGAAAAAAATAAGATTAGGAATAAAATCGATGACTGAATCTGATGTTCAGAACTGTGATACACTTTCTTACATTTCGATTTTTTTGTTGCTATTGTGCATGTTATAATTCTGTTAGTAAACCTTACAAATATTATATACTTACCACAAAGATCACCCTCTTGTAATCCAAACTCGCACTCACAGATAAAACTTCCATATGTATTAGAACAAACCAAGCAATTGTGCTTTAACTCCGTACATTCATCAATATCTAAGAATAAAATATTGAAAATTGTAATCATACCACAAATTATAACTATTATTAGTACAATAATTTGAATAGTTCATTGATTTAAAAGATGGAGCTAAAAGGAGGCAGAGAATTTTAAGCCCAAGATCTTATTAAAACTAGAAAGTCCTTATAGCTGTGTCTAATTGTACATATACATTGAAAAATTCCATCAGAAACTGCAGGCTCTTACTTACACACAGAAAGTTGCAAATTTATGTGAACCAGAGCATTTTTAAAATAAAATTTTCATTATTAACAATTTTACACCCTTCGAGATAACAAACCATATACTGGAATTGATTGACCGGAGTTCCTTCCTTTCTTACCTGATCCCTGTAGCATAATCAGACCAGCTCTCTAAATTACCTAATTAGCCATATTTAGGCTGAAACATAATGAATTACCAGTTTCACATAATACGCCTGTAAATCCAGGTTTGCAATCACATTGAAATTTATTAACCAAATCAACACATTTCCCATCGTTCAAACACAGATCATTAATGCAATCATCTACATCTAAAAAACAAAATTAAATAAAAAAGAATTGATAAAAATTTGCATTAAATCAAATTCCATATATTCAATAGAAAGCATGATGGTTTTCCAACTTATTTAACAATATTCTTCACCTATTTCACATTGTGCTCCGGTAAATCCTTCTGAACATTCACATGAATATGAATTCACGAGATCCAAACACCTGCCGCCATTTTCACAAGGACCAGAAGCACATTCATTTATATCTAAATATGAATATCATATAAAATTTTATTAAGTTAGTAAATAGTTAAAAATAGTTAAATGGTAAAAATATGCACCACTTGCCACAAATTATTTCTTGGATATAAAGAAGGCAATTGAAGCAAACTCCATGTCAAGATGAATACATAAAACAAGGAACTTCTAATAAAAATTTGAGCTAAAAACACTTGCAGCATTGAATAAGATTTTAAATATTACTGAACCATTAACATAGGCCAAAATTCATCAAAAAAGAAATAATTAAAATAAAATTATCCTAAAATCTGCCATCAACAAAAATAATGTTGTGCTTACAATGTTGTATAATTAATTTGTTCAAAGGGTTAAAGCTTTGATTAATATTATTAAATATCATATTCAAAAAAATGCTCTAGTATAAAGACAATTTGGGGAGTCAAAATTTCGTCCACTTACCAGTCTCACATACTGCACCAGCAAATCCAGCTTTGCAGTCACATTTATAACCTCCAATTAGATCAATACACTGCCCCTCATTTAAACACTGATTTCCAGCACAGTCATCAATATCTAAAAATAGCCATAATATAAATTAAAATTTAGAAGCAATCTATATATAAGTAATCAGCATAAAGACAAAACATAATGATGAAGAAATAATATTTTAGAGCAAACCTATTTGGCATTGTTCTCCGGTGTATCCTGACATGCATTCACAGATATATTCATTGACATCATTAACACAAATACCTCCATTTATACATGGTGATGAAGCACATTCATTTACATCTAAGATTAAAAATCAAACTGAATAGGGGTAGAGAATAGATTGGAAGACAAAAAGCAATAATTCAGTTTATGATTATAATTTACAAAGGTTCTTTCAGTTTGTTTGTCTTATATACTAATGCAACAATCCACTTTACCAATTTCACAATATAATCCAGTAAATCCATCCAGACATTGGCATTCATATGCATTTTCTTTGTCTATACAGAAACCTTCATTCTTGCACGGATTCAAAGCACAATCATCAATATCTGCAAACAAGGTAATAATTTTAAAACTTCAAACTAAATTGGAATGTGTTTAAAACCAATTTCAGTTATTACCTATTTCACACAATGTGCCAGTGTACCCAGGTCTGCAGTCACATTCGAAATTGTTGATCATGTCAATACATTGTCCAGCATTGAAGCATCTATTTTCCTGACAATCATCAATATCTGAATAAAAATGTTAAATAGGAATTCACTTACAATGATTTCAAAATATGAGATGATTAGCAAAGATAGCAAAAGATGAGAAAAAGATGGTTATCTTGCTATTGTTTTACGAGGCAGTGCACGAAATCAAGTGTCTCACATATGTCATCAAATGAGAGGAAGTGAAAAACTAACACAGAAAAAGATTCACCTGTTTCACATAAATCACCAGTAAATCCAGGTTTGCAATCACATTTGAAATTGTTCAACATATCAATACACTTTCCTTCATTCAAACATATATTGTCAATACAATAATTAATATCTAAACAATAGCATATTATTGTGTAAATACGACAATAATTGACATGAAAAGTATGAAAAACTCTATTGAAAAATTTAGATTTCAAAAGTTTACCTATTTCACATAAAATTCCTGCGAATCCCGCTTTGCAATCACATTTAAAATCACCAATTAAATCAATGCATTTTGCATCATTTAAGCATGGGTTGTTTGCACATTCATCAATTTCTGCAGAATAATTGAGTATTCGTTAATTGCATTTGTTGCAATATAAGGAAAAGCACCAAAAATCGAGCATACAAATTGATTTTACCTGTTTCACAACTTATTCCCGTGAACCCATCAAGACATTGACATTCATAAGCATTCACTTTATCAATACATAGGCCTCCATTTAGGCATGGATTCAAACCACAATCATCAATATCTGCAAAAAGGTTTATTGTAAGTTTCAAAAAATAGATAAACACAAAGATCAGAATTAATCATGAATAGAGTTTAAGAGCAAACATATTTGGCATCGTTGTCCAGTATAGCCTGACATACATTCACAGATATACTCATTGACTTCATCAACACAAATTCCTCCATTTATACATGGTGATGAAGCACATTCATCCACATCTATGAATAAGAACTAACCTGATATGGAGTGGAGACAAAAATCAATAACTCAAACTATGGATATAAGTTTTGATTCCCTGGGTTCTTTTGAGTTTTGGTATTGTAAATGAATGCAATAATCTACCTGTTTCACAATTTAATCCAGTAAACCCATCTAGACATTGACATTTATATGCATTTACTTTGTCCATACAAAAACCTTCATTCTTGCATCGATTCGAAGCACAATCAACAAAAATTATTTTACAGACATTGAGATCTTAGTTTTACATGTATATATATATATAATATTTATTTATTCCTTATTTTCGTTCTTTTTCTACATTATGTATAACTATTCACAAATATATTTACCAGTTTCACACTGATATCCAGTAAACCCATTGATACATTGACAAATATATCCATTAACATCATCAGTACAAATTCCATTATTTTTACAAGGTACTAAAAGGCAATCATCTATATCTGAAAGGAAACGATTAACATTAACAGTGAATAATTCCTCAATCCCTGTAGGCAACAATGAAATAACATAGCTACCTATATCACAATGTCTGCCAGTTAAACCTGCTTTGCATTGACATTGGTATCCATTTACTAGATCCTTACATATTCCAGAATTTTTGCACGGATTTAGTTGACAATCATTTATATCTAAAACAGACATTTTTTGATAATTATGTGTTATGTACATTTTATAATACTACTACACTAGCTCATAATATTCAATAATCCTAATAACAGTGATTCTCAACTGGGGCTCTCAGAGTCGCATGTTGCTCTCAACTATCCTTTCTGCGGCTCTCATTATTCTTTAAAAATTAATCATTTTCAGTGAAAATTTTCTCATTGAAAATGATGTTTTCTCTAACCATTACATTGACCTGAAATTCATTTCCAGAATAAATTATAATAAACAGTTACCAAAAAAAGTACAAATGCTAAGACAAAATACTCAATATTTAATGCTTCTCATTTTTTTCACCTATTTCACATTGAACTCCAGTGAATCCCGACAAACAGTTACATAAATATCCATTTACACCATCGACACAAATTGCTCCATTTGTACAAGGTGAAGAACTGCATTCATTAATATCTGAAATCAAGAAAAATAAAATATGTGCTTAAATCTTGATTATATGGGTATATATACTATTTCATGAATTTATTTGCTCACCAATTTCACACCCATTTCCAGTAAAACCATTCGAACATGTACATTGATATCCATTTACTTTATCATAGCAGATCGCTTCATTTTTACATGGATTTGACTGACATTCATTTATGTCTGGAAAAGAGAAAATATTTTAATAAAATATAAATATTTTCATTTTGGTACTTCCTTTCCCACACATTTGTTAATTAAACTAATTCATAAGTATAGTTTCATAAGTATAATATAGAATTATGTACAAAATACTGCTTGCTTTGATGTGTATAAACTTTTCCAATATCTGTTTTTGAATGTTCTAGTCACACAAAAAGAGATATAGTTACCAGTTTCACATTGTTTTCCTGTGAATCCAGGTAGACATTCACAATGATAATCATCAACTTTATTGATACAAGTTCCTTCATTATTGCAAGGTGATGATTCACATTCATCTATATCTGGAAGTAAAAGTATAGCTTGAATTTATCATACAGAGTAGTTAACTGAAAAAGCAGTGTAGTTATTCCAGATCCATTGACTGATGTATTCAATTCAAACTTTTGCTTTGAATTTAAATTAATTATTAAAAAACTTATTACAAAGATTTACCTGAATAAAGGTTCAAATGCTAAAAACAAAATAACTACCCATTGCCAAATGATGTATACAGTCTTGAACATGCAAGAAATAGAACACAAGTGTGTTCCATGTAATTAAATTTATTATTGGGCTTTTCCAGCTTTTTTACCTATTTCACAATGAATTCCAGCAAATCCAGGCAAACAGTGACATGAATATCCATTTACAGCATCAACACAAGTTGCTCCATTTATACAAGGAGAGGAACTACATTCATTAATATCTGAAATCAATAAAATATAAATGTAAATTTTATTTGTATAAATTTTATTTCTTGTATCTGTTAGCTTACCAATTTCACATTCATTTCCAGTAAAACCGTTCGAACATGTGCATTGATATCCATTTACTAAATCATTGCAGATCCCCTTGTTTTTACATGGATTTAGCTGGCAATCATTCATATCTGAGAAAAATGAGAATAGAAAAATTACAAATATTTAAATTTTGTTTTCCTATGTATTTGTTAATAAGACTATTAAAGGAGAACAATTTCATATATAAATAAAACTATTACGTTAAATAAACAACTACTGCTTCACTTTATGAAAATATTTAGCAAATTATCTGTTTCGCACTAAACTTAGTAACATTCTGGTCACACAAAAAGATATTGGTTACCAGCTCCACACTGTCTCCCTGTAAATCCTGGTAGACATTCACAATGATAATTATCAACTTTGTCAATACAAGTTCCTCCATTGTTACAAGGTAATGATTCACATTCATTTATATCTTGAAGCAAAAGAATAAAAAGAAGATTAGAAAACTATTTCCTTTTGGGCAGAACTTCAAAAATAATACTGATAATTTATTTACTTATTTCACAATACTTTCCAGTATATCCTAATGAACACTGACAATTAAATCCATTAACTTTATCAAAGCATGTTTCTCAATTTCTACAAAATGTCAGTACCAAATGCACTCAGTCTTATTTCTAAAACATGCAAGAAATATAACACTAGTATGTTCCGTGTAATTAAATTTATTATTGAGTTTCCAAAGACTATTTACCTATTTCACAATGAATTCCAGTGAATCCCAGCAAACAGTGACACGAGTATCCATTTACACCATCAACACAGGATGCTCCGTTAGCACAAGGTAAAGAACCACATTCATTAATATCTGAAGTCAGTAAAATGTAAATGTAAATTTTATTTGTATAAATTTTATTTCATGTTTTTTGTAAGCTCACCATTTTCACATTTATTTCCAGTAAAACCGTTTGAGCATGTGCATTGGTACCCATTCACTAAATCGTTGCAGATCCCTTTGTTTTTACATGGATTTGGCTGGCAATCATTTATATCTAAGAAACAAAGAAAAAAATTTAAATTTTACTTTCACGCATTAGTGAAACAAACATGATCTTCTTATTTGTCTTAATTATATAGAAAGAACAATATAAATCTTATCTACAATAAATGTGTTTAAAGATGCTGTAATGTATGATATGAAACATTTATAAAGCATAGTTCTAGTTGGTTTCATTAGTGATTGAGTTTTCAATGAGAGATTTAAGATATGCTTTATTAAAGTACATTTACAGAATAGTATAATATTAAATTAAATACATAAAATTTACATACAAAAATAAATAAAATTTAAATAAATACATATAAAAATCTTACCTGTATCACATTGCTTCCCAGTAAATCCAACTGGGCAGTCACAAATAAAATGATTGATTTCATCAATGCAAATTCCACCATTTAAACAAGGTGAACTAGAGCATTCATTGATATCTGATATGAAAAAAATTTAATTCATATATAGGGTAGAAAAATAGTTTTACACATACGAGACGTTTGTTTGAAAAGTAGGAAAAAGTATATGAAAATATTCTTACTCATCTGGCATTGGTCTCCTGAGAATCCACCCATGCACACACACTCATAACTGTTTATCTTGTCGATACATTTTCCATCATGTAAGCAAGGTCCAGACTGACATTCATTAATATCTAAAATACAAAATATTAAAAACATAGTGAATCTACAATTTCTGTAATATTCATTACTTTCATATTTATCAGAGACTAGCAATGTTAGATCATGACCCTGTCAGTTGATTCATTCTTCAACCTAACAAACATTATATAAACTCAGTTAGGAAAACATACCTATTTCACACTTCATTCCAGTAAATCCTATACAAGGTATGGTCACCCACCCCATCATTGTTATTCTCATATAAGATCGAAAATGATGTATTTCAGTAGGCATTTTTGTTCTGTTAATCCAAATCAATCATACATAGGAACGTTTGTAGCATGAAACTCAACAACTATGCTCATTATATATACAACATTATTTATACAACTTTTTTTTAAATCTAACAATGTTAATGACATTTGATGTAAAAATGTTAATGCTATTAAAACTAATTGTCATCATATCGCAAAAGTGATTCAGAGTTACATACTCTATGCTACTATAATTACCGGTATATTATAATTCAAAAACAAAAAATATGAAGGTAAAAAGTTAAAATAATTTTGATACAAAAAAGATTAGTTAGAAATTTATTAATAACTACTGCTACATAGTATTAAACAATAAATATTACATATGCTACAATCCATAAGAAAACACTACAATATTAAATTACCTTCTTCACACTGATTTCCAACAAAACCTTTCACACATTGACAATTAAATCCATTTATTTTATCAATACAAGTTCCTTCATTTTTACAAGGTGAAGAAGAACATTCATCAAAGTCTGAAAACAATAAATAATAGAGTTAAAACATTTCAATTTTGAAAAAAAAAATAAATAAATAAAAACACAATTCTTACTTATTAAGCATCTATGTCCTGTATAGCCTTCCATACATGAACAAGAGAAGCTATTTATCAAATCCACGCAATTTCCTTTATTCATACACGGATCTGATAAGCAATCATCTGTGTCTGTAAATGTTAATAAATTATCTTGTATGTATATAAATTCCTCTCTTTTTTATAGAGTGAAAAATCAAACAGGGAAGAAATATTTTGTATAAAAATTGGTTATAGATTGATAAAATGGATATTAAGTTCTAATGACAATTTTGAAGCCTGATTTTGAAAACATATTTAGTTTATTTCACAATTACATTAAGGAAACGCAGTTTAATTCACAATGCATGAAACTTCGTATTACCATATTACAGATATATACAAGTCCAATTCTAATCTATTTTTGTTTCTTGAGCTATTCAATGATTGAGAAATATCACAACCATTTAAAATATGCATTTTCGCATATTATTAACTGAAAATCTCAAATAGATAATGAAGCAGCTATAGCAGATAACAGATTTAAACATATCAATATTTGAATTTTACTTATTTCACAGTTCTTTCCTTCAAATCCAAGAGGACAAACGCATTGATATTCATTAATAAAATCCACACAACTCCCTTCATTTTCACAAGGATTTGAAAGACATTCATTGATATCTGAAAAGTCAAACAGCTCAATGAAACCAATCTAAACGAATAACAATACTGACCAGAATAAAAACCAAAATTTATGCTTTTCTTCTTGCTGTGTTTATTTTTATAATTTAGATCTTAATAAAAGTGTTTATATGAAATTCAAACTGACCAATTTCACAATTCTTTCCCTCATATCCTTCTATACATTCACATCTATAATCTTTGAACAGGTCGATACACTTTGTGCTAAACCAGCAAGAATTTGGGTTGCAATCATCAATATCTGGAAAATATCCATTTGCAAGTTTAACGATTAGTGAATCATGAGATGTATTCAATCTTTTCTGGGAACCCCATAGCATTTTCATATAAATTGTAAATTGCACTGAGATTATGAAATAGTTTTTTTAAATAGTGTACTTGATTGATCAGATTTATCTGTAAATACTACCTGAATGGAAGCATATTACTTATATAAATCATTACACACATCTAAACAAATGTAGCACAAAAGAAACAAATAGAGAACAAAAAAGTCAATTCTAATTGAGCATTACCGTTTATACAATTGTTGCCTGTAAATCCATCTGGACAAATACATTTATACCCATCGACTTGATCAACACATAGTCCTCCATTCTTACATGGATCAGATGAGCAATTATCAATATCTAAAGATAATAGTTTTTAGAAATACTATTTGATGCATGCAGAATATTAAATATTTAAATACAAGTTTTACCCAGAATTTTTTTTATAAAAAGCTTACCAATCTCGCAATCTGATCCAGAATATCCACTCTGACATATGCATTTATATCCAGCGATCTCATCAACGCACAATCCATTGTTTTGGCAAGGATTAACAAGACACTCATTTACATCTGCATTATATCGGTATATTTAAGGTATATCTATCTGCACACTTATATTTTTACAAATTTCAATTTCAGTCATATCTTAGCTGACTTTTTATTGTTTGGTTTAAATTGCTACTTTACATTGTATCAAAATTTAACCTCTATTCACTTAATTTGGACGAGCAATTAAGATATATCGAAGTCTATTATGAAAAATTCTGAAATTTATATTTAGCATCATCTGATACCTTGTTCACAACTTTGCCCTGTGAATCCATTTCGGCAAACACATTTGAAACTGTCTACTTGATCAACACATAATCCACCATTTTCACAGGGATTCATAAAACAATCGTCAATATCTAAACAAAAAAATATTTTTGATTTTTGTTGTGAGTAAATCAAATATAGCTTGTATATCCCAATATATGCATCTGTTTTCAATTCTCCTTGTGAATGTTTTTTTAGAACATAATTAATATTTTCATACAGAATATATTAGAACAGTTGTTGCATGAAACCTTGCTAAATTTTATAACTGTGCAACTGAATACAAATTCATACATGCTTCAATTGAAATTGGACAATTGTTCTTTTTTTACACCTTAAACCATTTAACATCAACCAAACTTATTTAAACTTTTTCAATATAGCTGATTTGCATCAATTTTATTTCAAGCTTTAGTATGGCTATTAAATAATGACCTACAGCTTGTCAATAAATGAAATGGTGAGTCTTTTTATTATATCCAAATTATATACAAGAACATATGATAGCTCAATATAACTTAATATAATGTCTCAAGATGTTAGTTTCAAATTATTATTCAAAAATATCAAAGATTAAAATATAATATTTTTTAAAAAATGACTATTTAACATTCTTAATAGAATCATACAATTTAAACTACTACCTTGTTCACAGTTTAAACCCGTGAAACCATTTTTACACACACATTCGTAACTTTCCACTTGATCAACGCATAATCCTTCGTTTTTACAAGGACTGGAATAGCAATCGTTAAAATCTGAATAAAATATATTATGAAGATATTTACAAATTTATCCTTACTATGAACTATAACAACAATATTGAATCCAAACTGGAAGATCAAATATATAAAATGTTTTACCTATTTCACAAACCACTCCAGTGAATCCAATGGGACAAGTACATTTGAAGCCAGAAATCTGATCAGTACATATCCCACCATTTTGACATACATTCAAAAAACAATCATTGATATCTAAAACGGTTAGAAGTAGAGTCTATAGTTTTCCTTATTGCTGTTTTACAATTTGGATACCTAAGCCAAAAAGTTTTTTACAACCATACAAAACATAGCGAAAGATGTAATCAGCTAAGACTTTTGTCATCTAAATTTTGCCAGTTACTTTGAAGACAAGCATAGTATTGTTATGCTAAAACTCAGTAGAATGAATCACTCACCAGTCTCACAATTTTGTCCTGTAAATCCATCAACACAGTTGCAAATGTAATGTTGTTTTAAATCCTCACAAATTCCACCATTTTTACATGGATCAGGAGCACAATCATTGATATCTGAAAAATAGAACCAGACTAGCAAAATTTTGTTTGCATACTCGGTAAAAAATAACATGTCTTAATTTCTAATATGAATAAATAATGATCTTATGTTTCAAAATTAAACACAGTATTTGATAAATTAAAGTATTCAAAAATCTCACAATTATAGACATCAAAAAATTCACAATATTAAGAAAACATTTGATAAAAACCATATTATGCGTGTGTGTTTTGCAAATCAAATTTTCTGTGTTGCATCGGACTAAAAATCATACAATAGAATAAGTAAATGCAAAACATGAACAAACCTGCATCACAATTTTTTCCAGTAAATCCAGAGGAACAAATACAGTCATATTCATTTACCAAATTTACACAAAGACCATCATTCTGACATGGTTCTGATAAACATTCATTTACATCTGGCAACAGAAAGATGATCATAAATTATTAAACAACTTTCCAATAGCATAAAAGACATAGATGTTACAATATGACATATAACAGTGGGCAAATTGATTAATCATGCTTGCTATAGACTTTAGACACAATCTAAGAAAGTAGATATAAATTCTGCCACCGATTACTCTATGATATCTAAGCAAAAAGTAGTACATGTAAAATACCATGCAATTTGAATTCCATTCATAGTTATAATACCCTGGAACAATGTGTGAATAAAAATATCACTTTTTTATTCTTCAATAAACACTATGTGAAAACTTATTGTGTAATCAGTATGATAACTACAAAGATTCTTCTTGCAAATACCTTGTTCACAATCTATTCCTGTAAAACCACTTGGACAGGAACATTTATACCCATTGATGAGATCAACACATAAACCATCATTTTGGCAAGGATTTGAATGACAATCATTAATATCTGAAAAACAACAATATGATATTTGAAAAAGTCATTTAATCCTTTTTTTTACATATTCCATTAAAGCATTATTATGACAACGTCTTGGCTTTCAAGCTAACAAGTTATAAATTTAAAAAAAAATTAGGCTTGATGTATACCAATGAAACAAGTGTTCCCAGTAAATCCCTTTGGACAAATACATTTATAACCAGCAATCTGATCAACACATATTCCTTCGTTATGGCAAGGATTTGAGGAGCAATCATTCTCATCTAAACAAAATGGTCAGTCAATGTCTCTATGATGTACCCTTGTAAGAATTCAGTATCTTATTAAGGTATAAACATAACAAGGCCTTGATAATATATTGTGATTATGCTCTCGAAGCATAGAAATAATTTACTCGTATGTTGATGGCAATAATTTTAAAATTACAAAATGATCATACTTAAACTTAAGATAAATGAAGACATTTCAACAAAATTTTCAAAACAATTAATAGTTTCAAAATATTTGTTCATGCCATGGCATTAAGTAAGTCTATATGAAAATATGGCTGCCATAAAGCATTTATCTGTCACTAGAATATAGACTAAAGAAAGATGTTTATAGAAAAAAACACATGCCAACAAGGTATATCTATATAGCTGTATGATTCATGTAAACAAAACAACATCAACATATTTTATATACCGCAGCACATTTACACACACTAACTATTACCTGTTTGACATTTCTCTCCTGAAAATCCAGCTGGACAGACACATTTATATTTGCCAGGTAATTTTACACAAAGACCATCATTTTCACATGGATTTGACAGACAATTATTGATTTCTGAACATTTTAATCATTCCATTAAACTTTAATATCTAAAAATAACTCATGAATTAAGAATTCTTTCAACAAAAGTAGCAACAAATTAGTAAATTCAGGGCAAAGAATAGAGTTTTTCAATTACCTAAAACAAACCCAAAAGATTTATCTTTTGTTTTAGTCAACGTGTTAGGACCAAAGCGTAGTGGGTGAAACACCATGAAATCCACATTATATTATATTAAACACACAAAATAAATTTTGTTGAGATTCAATTAGAGCAAAAAAAGATAAAATGATAAAAAGATGGATGGAACATCAACGAAAATATATAATGCTCTATACTTTGAAATTGTAAGTAACTCACCCCTGTTGCAATTTATTCCTTCATACCCAGCAGTACATTTACAAGTATATCCATTATCCATTTCAATACATTGGCCATTGTGTAGACAGGGATTTGGATTACAGAATCTAACCTCTGTCAGTGTTGAAGCTGTATAAATATTTTTGTTAATACCAAGGGTATAGGAAAGAAGTCTGAACAAATGCAAATATTTTGATAAAAACTGACCAACCAGCCCCAAACAACAAAATTTACATAAATACCATATTGACATCTTTTCCCTTTATAACCAATCTTGCAATCACAGAAAAATGCATTGATAAGGTCTTTGCATGTTCCATCATTCAAACAAGGGTTTAGATCACAATCATCAATATCTACAAAAAATCACAAAAGATTAAAAAAGGCTGATCAACAATTAGGTGGTGGTTTGAATGTTGATAACAAAACTGCAAAAACAAGTATTTTTTTTAAAATGTAAACTTAGTAATAGAAAGGCCAACTGAACGTTAAAGTTCTAGATATAACCAACAAATAGAAATGAGATGTTGAAATTAAATATAAATTGAATAATTTGATTGTTTATTTATTGTTCTGTTTCTTTTGATGGAGTTTTATTGAATTATAAGGGCAATTCATAAAAAAACAAAGAAAAACTTTATAATCACATTCTATAACTTAGTCCTATTCTAATATGTTCCAAATCTCGAGTCTGACTGTTTAAAAAATTATACTTTCAACTACTATTCAAAAGCAACAATAAACATCATCAATTTCATACCTATTTCACAATTTTTGCCTTCAAATCCAACAGGACAATAACATTGATATTTATCGACAAGATCTACACAATCAGCACCATTTTTGCATGGATTAGATGCACAATCATCAATATCTAAAAACAAATTTTTTCAAATTTGATTTCGCTCATAACTATAACCTCATCACTATTCTGCCAATGGTAAATTAATAGAAAATTGGGGCGATTGTCCTATCGTTTGTATAAAATTAGACTGAAAAGCAGAGAAATAGTTAGGTTCCAAACATTTCAATATTAAAATTTCCTCTTTTTATTGCTGCTGAGCCTTTCTAATAACTGAATATATTTATAAAAATTGATATATCCGAAAGTTCTCCAAAAGTCACCTGTTTCACAGTGTATTCCTTGATATCCTTTAGTACAATTACATTGGTAGCCCTCAACCAAATCTAAGCATTGTCCACCATTCAAACATGCACAATCAACAATTTCTGTAAAAAATCAGCATCTGTCATATACCACTTTGTTACAAGTCAAATAATTCCCCTGATTTTTGCATTTTTTGGCATAAATTGATAATAATAAATTTGATTAAACAGGAGGATAAGAACACCCTTAAATTTCATAATGTAATGTTTTAATATTCAATGTGGAGAGAAGATGGATGATGATACAGCTCAATCATATGTTAGATCATAGCATTTTAACAGTCTAGACCAGATACGAAAACACAAAACGAGTTATTATTCAATGTTGGCAGCTCTAACTGACCAGCATTTGTGTGAGTACCTTATGTGGCAAAAAGAATTTCAGCTATGCGCTCACACAATAATGACACATTGTCTCAAAAATGCTGCTTCCCACTTGTCCCACTCATCTCCCACTTGTCTTGCACTTAATCCACACTTGTCAAACGTGTCCCGCTTGCCCCACATGTCCCACACTTGTTCAACATTTGTCCCATATGTCCCACTTATTACGAACAAATGGCACATTTGGGACAAGTGATATAAGTGTGGGACAAGCGCGATAATTAATACAAGTAAGACCTGTGGGACAAGTGAGAAAAGCGAAAAAGTAGGACAAGTGAATGAAGTGATACAAGTGTGAGATACGTGGGACAAGTGTGACACAACAATTATTGAGGCATCCCTGGTAATTATATGATGGGTATGTTGGGCTTCTGAACCAGTTGGGCCATACTGGCTCGATTCTTATCATGACATGTCAAATTGTTGAGTTGCTAATGTTCCACTATATATGTTACAGATGATAAAAAACACAAAATTATCAGAAAGCATTATCGAAGATAGTAGTAGTACCTGTATCACAATGCTTTCCAGAATATCCAGTTGGACATTCACACAAAAAATCATTGATTAAGTCAATACAAGTTGCTCCAGTTCTACAAGGGTTGGAAATACATTCATCTATATCTGCATGAAAATAAAGGACATTAAACTAATTGAAGTATATTAATAAGTCTGATTCAATTAAAAAAAGTTAAGCAAGCATGACCTAGATTCACAAAGATCTGATCCCACAGTATGCAAGCAATGATAAAATTGATAGATAAAATAAAATAGTCGAACCTTTATCACAGTTAGTTCCAGTATATCCTGCATTGCAAGCACAGGTGTAACCAAACTTTTTATTTGTGCATACACCATTGTGGCATGGATTTGTGTGACAACTTCGTACTATTTGTCCATTGCCAGAATAGGCTAAATAAAAATGTAGATAGTTAGGTTCTATATTTTGGTTTATACAGGTTGAAGAGTGTAAATGTTTCTATACATTTAAAATTGTGTTCTGGTCAGCATAAAATCCAAACTTGGAAATTGAACCTGGCTTTAATTGAGGTCCTGCTTTTACAGTTATGAATTTTGTTTTATGCATTATTTTGAAAAACTCAATAAGGTCATTATCATTCATGTATACTAAAGCATGAGTTTCAATTGTGCACACAACGAAAAATAACCTATGCTAAAAAAGAAAAATTATCTCACCTTTTTCACAATTCACTCCATAAAATGAACCAGAACAATTGCATCTGTAGGAATTTATCAGATTCTCACATATTCCTCCATTCTCACAAGGACTTGAAGCACACTCATCAATTTCTGCAACGAAATATTTGAAAATTATAAACCTGCATAGTCACTAGATTGCATACAAAAATCGTAAAATCTGCTCAATGTAAAATACCAACCAATTGTGAATAGTTCAATGACAGTGAACTTCATGCAATGTGCTAAAGGCCTAATATAAATATTTACATTAGATAGTTAGTATATGCCAGTGAACATTAGACCAAAAAAAATCATAAACACAGTTCAGTACTGTGAGATGAAATTTTACAAAGCAGAAATCGTGCATTGATAACTAATGAAAACATATTCCCGGTGAAATGTGCAGCTGTAGATCGTAATGTGAGACCTTGGACCAAATATATTGGTAAACAGGATTAACCTAATCTGCTTCTACTGATTTATGTCACAAATCGAATCCTATATATTGTACACTAACTTATACTAAGCCAATCTATTTGAGCTCGCAATACTAAATATATGAACATTTAGAAGTGTATGGAATTACAGAATTACCATTACCTTCACATTTAGGAGGATTATAAAATCCAGGAGGACATTCATTCTGAAATCTGAGAACTGAAAAATACATAGTAATTTAGTCATAAATCATCAAAGTCAGTTGGGAAGGCTGAAACAAAGTAAAGCCGAATTAAAATACATCACCCACTTACTTCTGTATGTAGACTGATAACAAGCTGACGTTCCTTCATCCCAACAACATTTCCATCTTTCACAACTTTGCCTACGAGTATGTTTATTGAAGTAATTATTGAAAAAAATATGCATGATGTACTGCAATTTCATGGAATTAAATCAGAAGTTACTATTTTGAAAACATACAGAGAATTCGCAAAACATTGGATATCATACTTCAGGTTAGTGGGGTTGGTAATTTGGTATTGTACGAAATTCCAAGAGATTTGATTAAAGAATGACATTGGCATTTTCTGAAGGTGTTAACTTTATACATTACCGTGTTGTATATCGTTTATTCCCGCATATTCTGTTGAGATTCTTTATATGACAATGATTTGTGAGCAATGACCCATCATAGTCTGAATTTCCACCAAATCTGAGAACTTTGTAACCACCACCTCCTCTCAGTCTGGAAACTGTTATAAAGTTTACAAAATATTATTAAAATAGATTCCCATATGAATCTTGAAAACTACTTCCAACATCAGTGCAAAAGGGGAAATTTCGTTAATTATTAGTGTATTGACCGGACATAATTTATTTATGCTAAAACAGCTTCATAACATAATTGAGAATAAATTGTCATACATTTATTGAAGTTTTCTCTTTCAAACTAGCTCAGACAGAACTATGATACAAAGTAATAATTACTCACATCCTGTAAATAATAGTTTGACTGGATCGGCATTTTCACGAAGTCGTTTATAAAACGATGACCGCGATGCTTCTAACGAAGTTCGTGTACTCAAATCCATCGCTTGTGATTCAATCAACATTGATTCAACTTAAAAACATATATATTGTGTGAAGAACTGTTATCCAATTATCGTACAATTTTTGTTCATGCATATGAAACAATTAATTGAATATTCCCATACCCGGCTTTGCGTGATAAACGAAAAAGATAACGTGGGCTGCCATGAATTAAAATTTTCCCTTTATTTATGATAAACACAAAAATGCCATCGTATAGTGTACTCTGATTCAAATAAACACATCTGGCCAACCATGCAGCAGAAATGAGAAAGTTTATTGCGGTAAATCGGGAGTAATACTATTGGAATGAAATACTAGAAACATTAAATTTACTTTTTATTGGCTATCTCTGGCGAAGCATATATATATATGTAAAACAAAAACCATTCTGTGTTCTACATTCTCTATTATTCACCCATTAATCCCAACATACACTAAACATGATTCAATCAACATACCTCTTTTGTAGCATACGGGATCTATTTCCTTTTCGTCATAACAGCAAGAACTAAAATATAATTTCAACAAATTGCCATATGACAATATGTACGATCATGCACCAAAAACCATGATATTTATTATGTACATTACAATTCATTACCTCAATTTACAAATTGTCCTTGTGATATGACCAGATCCACAGGGCTCACGTAATCCATATCTTATGTTACATTGCTGCGCCGAACCACAAGCGAATAAAAGACTTAGTATTTCTAAAATTAACAGTTTAATGCGTATCTGCGAATTCTTCGAGTAGCTAAATTCATGCTTGCCAAATTGCTGATAGGACATGATCGATGCAAATCTTCCTTTTCTTAGCCTGAACACGAACATTGCTAGGGTATTGCTAGAACGACTGCGCCCAAAATCGTTTCTGCGAATATGATGAACTCGCAGGATACGACAAGCAAGAAAAATATGATTCAGTTGTAAATTTTCCCAATCAAAAATCACGCCCCACTGATCGTTAATTACCGGGTACGTAATTGCCTTCAATCATCGAAATAAAAATACCTCTAATGGGAGAGAACGAGATTCGACATATCAGTCTCAAATGACTTCTTGTCAAGTTCAGTTTGATGAAGTAAATGATTGGTAATGGTAACAAATCTGTCTAAAATCGAAGTAAATCTTTCGGCTACGTTCTAATAAAAAAGTTGACTCACGACAAGGTCAGAGAAATCTACTCATAAGTATGACGAAGACCCACTCAAAAGTGCGTTAAGGCCGTGGCATAGCGAAACCCGAATAAACATTGTGCTATTGGTTATATGTGAAGTATATTTGAATATATCATTATATATATGTTATCATAAAATATGACAATCAAAACTGTGTGACGCAAAACCCCGCTTTCGCGGAACGCTACTGAAACACACGAAACCCCTGGACTATGCTAACGGAACCCCAGGGTTTGCGAAACCCTGGTTGAAACTCACTGCGTCAAAAGAACACTAATGTTAACACCACTTATGTGTACTGGAAACGTTCATTTAAGATCATTACATCTGCGGGGATATATGACCGGGTATTAATTGTAGCAAACATTATAGCGATTATTCGATACACCCAAATTACAATGTCATTTCATAAAGCATTTGATTGCGTCACGGAAGCGTGTCATTGTTAATTACTTCTCTCGGAAGATATAAATGATTACTCATAAAATGTTTTACGAGCGAGTCGGTGGAGAATACGTTTGGTCGGGTAATTATTCATTTCACTTCCACCTCGCCATTTATGTCCTCAATTATTGGGAAACACTTTTAATAGAGTAATGGGATCGCATCATAATTTTAGAACTCGGTACAATGACACAGAGGAGTAAAAACCGTCCGCATAGATTGAGTGCTGGGACACGCAGTTGTAGGTTCGTTTAAGTTCAAAATTCGCAACCAGCCTAAATAGATATTAACACTAATTTGGGTATGACGAATAATGTTTGGCACCAGGAATAGGGAGCATGTTTGAGTAATAATCTTGGATTGGTGAGTAATAATACCCTTTTTACCAACCTGGTTTCATTCAACCTATTTTTTTTTTCATGTAATCAATCAATTATATCTGTATAAATAAATGTACAAGTATTTTACTACTAAACGATTTATTAATTTATTAGCCAGTCGTTAACAGACAAGTATGGTGAAATATAGTTCATCATATCGATTTATAATAATGTTCACTACTTTTATGGTTTCATTTACAACTACCAAGTTATAACTTAATATTCTATGCTATGCTATCTAGGTATTTATTCTTTGTGAGAATTTAAATCCATGTATTGTGTACAATGCATCATAATGCATCTGAGCGTATTTCTAAATTCCATTAGTATTACTTCAGATATGTGGAATTCACTATATCTCATAGTCAACTCTCGCGCCAATCGGTACCTACTAGCGCGTAATGCATCGCCATAATTCTATATAGTTTTAAGTATCTCTTGGCACTTCAAAGATCAGTATCCTCTATATTGGTGTGTGGAACTATGCTTGGAACAAATTTTTTTGTTAAAAATGTTTTTGAATTTTACAATTCGTTCCTAAACTACATCAAAAAGTATTGTCAGGATGTCAGCAGCAGTAACGATATAGTTGATAGTTAATTCATAGCTAATAATGTCCGCAATTCATTGCTGATATTCCGAGGCACGATTGATGACGGTAACATCGCTGTGAGTATCCTCTTCAGTACACTCCTCTATTCTGCTATCACAGGTAAATTCCGATGAACAAGTCCACGTTGATACTCTGCTATATGCTGTAAGATAAATTAAGTTTTTGGTTGATAACAAAACAATGTGAAGCAAAATATTATTTCAAATAGTGATATGAAGAAATGAACAAAGTGCTATAGTTCATATACATTAGATTAGTGGATGTGTAAATCTTTATATTATCAGTGACATGTTTTTGAAATCCATACTTCAATTTGATATAAATGAATTGAAGTTAACGTGAGGTTTTACTCTGTAAAAAGCTCGATTTTTGGTCATTATTTCAATTCTTGGAATATAATAATCCTTATAATTCTCATAAAAGGGATTGGAGAATATCTTACCGGATTCCATGTGAGTTCCAAATGATGTTGTGGTATAAAATGATGAAGGAGTTCCAAAATCATATGTTAATTGCGATTCTGCGAATCGAGATGAATTTCTGGAATTTATATAAGGCGTTCTTCGATGAATCACTGACACTGATTCTTCACTATCACTTAAGAATGATAATGTTCCACTTGCCAGAGAAGAATGTGAAACAGTGGAAGATAATGCACTTTCGAGTCTGAATAATAACAATATCATAGGATTCACAGGCTCAACTTGTGGGCGCAATGATATAGCCAGAAGTTGAATTAGCATTAAAATGTGGTCCGAGAAGCTAAAATCAGACAAGAGTATGATAATCGCCTTGAACGAGATTGCTTCTCCACAGTAGAGACTGTCACTCATTTTTGTAAAGTGAATTTGTATATATCAGGGTGGTCCAAGGTTGCGAGGTTAAACGGCCGCAAAAATTTTGAGAAGGTCTCGAGGGCCTCAGTCGGAGAAAACCCAAAAGTGATCAACACATCGCGAGTTTACTCACTTTAAACATATTTAAGGATGAAAGTTTATTGTTCTAATCAGTTTTTCAAGAAAACTATATGAAGCCTTTGTCGCTTAAAATTGTATTCTTTCGTGACAGATATTACTTGAAAACACACCAAACACTGTGGTTTCACATTGTTGTGAGTAAGACAATACGTTTCTTCTAAGTTTACTTCGGTCAACTTTTTTGTTATTATTGTATGATGAAATATTATATTTGAGAATAAATTATTCCTTGTAGCGTGAGCAGACCTAGTGCTACCGTCAAAAAACAGCCATGTCCGTCTAAGTTGTGACCTCCGACCCAGATAAAAAAAAAACGGTTCACGCGTCGCTAAGTCAGCTATGCGGTTTATCACTGCTGTCACATGGCCAACGCTTGAAATACAGGAGTGTTTTGACTAAAATAAAGGCACGAAATGCTCTTCAAATGAGGAGTTACTTGACGCGAGTTCATCTCATCGGCTTGGTCTTGTCCGCACAACTCATTTTCCTTGTACCGATCACAGGACGCCATTCCCATATAGGTACCGCTGTGACGTTTAAAGATACAACAATAAAATTCCGTGATTTTAACAAACATCAATCACGACATCGGGATTAGGAAAAGAACTATACCGAGTTGGAATGGTTTTAAATTAAATCAAAATTGTTCTGCTAATAAATACAATATCTGCCAATGGTTTGTACTGTACGCTAAACTTGTACTGCGGGCCGCACGGAATGAGTCGGCGGGCCGCAGTTTGGACCACCCTGGTATATATTAAATATTCTGGGGTCCCACAAATATATAATTTTTTGTGACTTGGTGAAGTTTTATGGAATGGTTAAAAAGAATTTTGGTATCAAAAAAGGTTTGCAGATGAATTGAATTTATTTATTTACTTTAATTTATGCTATTGACATTCCAATTTTTTTCTCGGAAATTCTTCCGACAAAGATACATTAAATCATGCAAACCAAATTACTGAAAATTTAAATTGCTTGTGAAAATAAGAAAAATGTTTCTTAGATGTATGAAATATTGACTACACTGCTGGGGGTTAGAGCCTAGAGTCATCATTAGGTATCTGAATAGTCCACCATCCATAGAAATTGTTGTAATTTGTTACCTTTTATCCACAAGTGAGGAACCTAATTCCATTGGATATTTTGATTGATGCAAATCGGCAGTAACAATGATACGAGATGGAGCTTGAACTCCTTGATCATGAGTAGAGAATGTTTTGAAATCCGTTGCAGCAGTCAAATCGAACAAGTTCGTTGGAATTGTATTTTGATTCTGACTTGCTGTCTGTGGTGTGTCTTCAACTGATCTTGTGCCTATCAAAATAGGTACAAGGATTGAGCAAATTAGCCAATTCTCTAACTGATACATTTGTTGCAAGCTAAATAAGGTATGAATTAGGAGAGTACCATTTGAATGAAACTGATGTGACTATATTTTTGAAATTTTTTCATTTCTCTTAGAGTACAATCGCTAGTGATTTTCATTTTGGCCCAGTGGTGGGATGATTATTGAATGACTTATGAATTTTGAAAATCAACTTCTTGTTTAACACATTCTAAATCAGCTGTTATTTTTGGAAACTACAATGGAATAATGAATAATCAAACCAGATTTTTCCGTTTTTATGGTCAGTTGTCCACTTGAAGCACTTCCACGTCCACTATCATTTGAGTATGTTTCATCCTCATTGGTGGTAAGTTTAGTCACCTGCGGAATATCCAAAATGCGGGGTTCAGTTTTCATAGGAACCTCAATGACTTTACTTTTATTTTCTTTCACATTCCTTCCACAAACTCTGCATTTTTCAAGTCCAGGTGGTGGTGAAAATAGCTTTTCTAAAAACAAAGATAAAATTGTGAATATATGAATGGTTATGACAACCTTTTAATGTATATTTGTAACTAACCACTTTATTATCTTCTAATATTTGCAAAGTACTAACAGCAAATAATCTCAAACTCATCAAAACCTAAAAATAGGCTTTCCTTAAATTTGATCAAATCATACTTTCACTACTCGGTTTCAGGTTCATATCATCTGCATCTTCTTTCCATTCTTTAAATTTCCAGACATCCCATCCTCCTTCCCAAGATTCAAATTCTTTTTTCAAAAGTTCATTTGCTTTTTGTATTTCTTTCCGATTGTCCTAAAAATTCGAATGGAAAAGAAATAATTTCAAAATAGAATATTTCATCAAGCATAGCGCAATTTCAATATCATCTTAAAAGTTAGCCTCGTTTTTACGTATTACGTCAAGAGTCATGGGATCAAGCTTTAGTCGCATGAAATTTCAAAGTTAGGTCTCAAGTCAAGTCAGATCAATGTACTCTCGAGTCGCAAGTCAAGTCGAGTCACAGATTTCATAAATAAAAGCAACCAAAGTCTCTTCAACACAGACCTACAAAGCAATATACATTTCTAATTATAAAATATTTTTTGAGGATATTAGACATTGTTTGCTTTGAAAAGATTTACATTTTATATACTGGTAGTTAAATTATTGGAATCAGAAAATTGAAATTACAATTACCGGTATGTCATTAAAACCTGATTTTCTGTATTACCCCGTAAAAATCTCACTGAACTGTTTTGAAAAATCGACGTGGTAAGTTGAGAGTGAGCTGCCATAAGGAAGTGTTTCACATGATGGGCAACCATAAGCAACAGCACTTTCAATGTCTATGACAATGATGAGATTGCATCTAATGCATTATTGATTGACTGTCAATATTATTTATATTTGGATATTGTTAAATAGATGGTTTGACTTAAAACAAAAAGACTTCATTTTTTAAAACAAAAAATTTCATTCACCAAATACCTCAAGTTCATAGATTCCAGCTCGATGAAACAGTCCACCAAATCCACCACACTTTATCCATCCTGTTTCAACTACACAAATGAGAATTCCACTTGTAACACCGAGAATTAAAAACACGTACATGCCAATGAAAGCTTTAATATCAAGCTGATTTTCTAGATTTTTTTCAACAGCGTTAGTCTCACACCTTTTTTCTAGAGTAAACCTAGTTGCAAATTCAATAAAAAAAAATTTATTTTAACAATTGATAAAAGAATCAAATCCAAATATTAACTTAATTTTATATCATCAATATGAAAAGCACCAAATCTGTTCTCTACTAAACTTTGTAGGATCATCTACCAAGTTTCTTAAATAAAAAGAACATTTGCAGAACAAGCACATGTTTGGTATTCACACAGCCTCTCATTTCAGGTCAACCAGAGTATAATCGTTTTTTAAAACACCATCCCTTCTATGATCAAAATGATTGTCATACTATTCTAAGATGTATAAATTGCATAGAAGAATAGTTGCTGCTCTGCATCTTTAATAGCCCCATTCATAATTCCAATACAATTTTAAATTGGAAATGATGGTCATATGATTGTGGTCATGCTTACCACAAGAAGATGAAATTATGCTAATCATATAACAGAATAAAAAAATTAAACATATATCCATATTTGTCATACAATGAAAACAAGCATAATTGAAATGAATTGAAAAAAATCCAGAACATCAAACTATGAATATTTTCAACAATATACATTCTGGATATCTGATACCAGCCTGATCAAATTGTATATTATTTGTGGTCTAAAACAATGTATTCATTACATCACATTCCAAAAATTGAAGAAAGAGGCACCGAAAATTATGGATTATACCTGCGACTTACAATGTAATATACAACTTACCACTTTTCTTCAAGTGCTGCCAATACACCCTTGTCTGCAAGTTTTTTGATGTAATCATTGAACATATTAATGTAAACAGATCCTTGGGGAAATGGAAATGCAAATTGATATTGGTAAAAACCATGTCCAGCCTGTAATAATCAAATCATTCCTTTAAATATAAATTCTTTAAAAATAATATCAAGTTTTTACAAGTTCATAACATCATATTATTGTAATGTTATCATGCCCCCTAGTGTTTTGATGTTCAAAGATTTGCTCATTAAATTTCATTAAGAAAATATGATATAATTTTTAGTTGAAAAAACCATCATATCAGGATTTTTTTTGTAGATTCAATTCTGATGATTTATAAACACCTAACCGCATTTGATACATTGCGCTTTTTAAAGATATAAGTAGTATGTGAGTTTAAATGTAGATATAATTTTACTAATAATCGTAATTAAGGCATTAACATACCAGATCAAAATCACATGATTGTGAAAGAGCATCTACCACAGCTTCAAACGATGCAAGTAAATAATAATTTCCATTTAAAACTTTTTCAAATCCATCTTCCTGCTTTTTGAGTATGGAATTGTTCTCAAATTTATGCAAATACTCATACATTGTTCTGTATTAAAAAAGTTTTTTATTATCAAATGAAATACAGGAAATATTTTGAGCGGGTATTAATAACTTCAACACAACACAATATATTCAAATAAAAAAATGTATATATATTCACGTATAAGGTGCATCTTTTGCTCCAGGTAAATAAAGATCAAGCATGGCATTATTTTCTATCATTCCGTAAGCAAATTGCTGTTGACTTGCTAATTCATCCAATGTTTCAATACCACCTGTGTTAACCTAAAAATTGGATTTGTAGAAATAGTAGTTTGCATTTTAACACAAGTGAAAAAAGTATACCAATTACTTAGCAAAGCTAATTTCAATTTTCATATAATCAATGTATAACAAAATTTTTGCCAAATGAGAAAGTTTAAATCACTATACTTTGTCATCTTAAAACAAAACATTTGTATGCAGCAATTTTAAACAAGAGTGCAGAGAGGAAAATCACAAACCATCATATCCAAAATATATGCTCTCAAATGAACATGAAGCTCAAATTGTGTTTTTAAAACTCAAATCACCTGCGTCATAAAGGCTGTCATATTTGCTGTGTAAGCAGATAAAACCAGAAGAACAAATCCCCACCATGTTCCAGTTAACATAACGCATGCTGTTGATCTGAAAAGTAAAATATATAAATGATGGAGAAATCATACAAATCATTACTTGATGTAAGAAAATTACCTTGGAACAATATCTGCTCCTTGGCCACAAATTGCAGCAAAAGTAAACCATAGACTATTGAGAACACCAAGATGATCACTGGGTGATGAGTTTGGACCAAATGTATGAGAAATTGCTTCATATTCATTAGGATTTCTCTTGTTTATATATGCCATAAGTAGAGATATCTATAAACAGACAAATATTAACAAAATACAGCAGTAAATATCAAAATTTTATAAAAAGGATATTACTGTAATTTTTGAAACCATAGCCGCAATTTTTGAAAAAATGTACCGAGATAGTACATATAAGTTCATATGTTATTTAATTTATCCCCCACAGATGACAAAACAACGATTTCAACTTTCTGAATTTTTATATTATACTCAATATTAGATCAACCATTCTTTGAATATTGTTTCAATTTCATTTTATCATAAGAACTCTTACCAGAATAAAAGTGCTCCAAAATAGCATCCAACTTTCTTCTCGAAATGGCAACATAAACTGCCATATGCTAACAGATTCTGTTTTTTCAACTCTTTTTGTCAACAAATACATATGCGGTTGTTGAAATGAAGCAGATAGAAGAACTTTGTTGGATTTGCCAAGTCTGTTTCCTCGAACACTTTTTGCATGCAAGAAAAAGTCAACCTTAAAGAAAAAATATCAGTCAGTACTGGTATTACTTAAGTCAATAGGTAAACTTTGCAGCCTATAAGAACAAGCTTTGAGTGCAAGACTGAGGTAAATGTAAAGGGCAACAATCACTTGTGAAACATAGAATGGCATCTTATAGATTTAGTCAGATTTCTGCAATGATTAGTAGACGATCAACCAATCCTAATGAAACTTATGGGTATGATCAGCAATTTTTATACTAAGCCTTGTCAAGTCTTTTAACTTCTTTTTCCTCAGAATAAATATGTATTCACAAGTCTATTTACTCAAAAGCAAATCAATATTTAAAAAAAATGGCAAAACACATTTTAGTAGTGGCAATTTGCCGGATTTTAAATGTTCATCAAGTCTGAGAACTTATGACATGACATTATATGACTATAATAAGCAAATGTTGACTAAATAATTGTCAATATTGTGAGGTAAATTACCGAATTGTTGTTAAAAACGCTCATCATATAATCTTCCATTGCATCATCATCATGAACATCAAGATTAAAATCATATTCAGTACGAAGTTGATATGAAAAATTCATAGAAATAGACAACTTCTCTAATATCTCATATAAATATCCTGATAATACATAATTATTGATTTGAAAAAAACGTGAGAAACAAAACATCTTCTCACATTAAGAAGTAAATCATTTTAACATTTGATTAGATGCTGGCAATGTCTCACATATTGAATGAATTTCATTTCAAAAATTCATCATCGGAATATATGTAAAAAAAACAGGGCTAAGACCTTGAAATAACAAACATGGAAAATGTCACAACTCTGGCATTCATCTTTTAGTGGTAGGACAACCGTTAACCTCCCTAGTCTTAGGAAAAATGTGTTTAAAATAACAAATAAGATTAAAGTACAATGTTGAAGATACACTTCAAAATTTTGTTTGACCTTCAAATTCTTCTTCTCCAGTAACTTCATTCATTTTCCATGTTAGCCACGGTGGATGCTGTGAAAAGGCACAAGGTATTGAATACAGCGATTATACATTTTTTCTAATCATCTGATGCTTTTTCAACCAGTTAAAGAAAAAAATTTTATTCTAAAATTCATAACAAATATTCTTCTTTTTCCACATTTCTGGTTCGAAATTTTTCATTACATACTGTTAGTATTCTTGGGAAAGGTTTAAATTAATTCAAATCTAAGCCCTTATCAGAAACTTTTTACAGTTTTTGATCATTTAAACACTAAAACTTATCAGCCAAGAAAATCTAAAAGAAATATATGTTAATGTAAGCTTACTTTGTAAAAAAAAATATGTAGAAATTTTTAATTATTCTATTTGCATTTCAAAAACCAATGCATTCATACTTTTACAGAAAAGATATACCAAATGTCGAGTCATTTTACAGTGCATCGTGATAAAAGCTTGTACAGGCTTTTCCACAAAATCATACTTATCATCAGTCATATCATGAACTTTGATACCATTTATTAATAACTATTTTAAAATATAACCACTTTATATTATCTGAAATAGTAGTACTTACATAAATGGCACCAATAGTCAGAGGTCGAGAAGGAAGAAAAATATCAGAAGGATGAAGCGGTTCATACATAACATTAATATAAGAACGAGATTTACTGTTGTATATACCTACAACGACAGGTTGACGTTCCTGAGTAAACCAAAAAATTCAAAATGTTGAAAACACTTAGGACTGAATATAAAGTGCATCAATAGTATTATGGTAAATACTTTTGCAGACTAATAATTCATTAATTTAATAATAGATTCACTTAAATCGAATGATCAAATATTATCATCCCCAGTCAAAGGTCACCTGATTTTTGCTTCTTCCATGATTACTCACAACTGACAAATCATTTGAAAGATATTCTACAACAAACAATGTATTTGAAGAGGGAATTTCTGCGTTCTCAGCCAAACGTATGCTACATGAATCATTCTGATAATCCTGTAAACAAATACAATTTGTGAATACAAGGTATAACTCAATTTAGTCCAAACCATGATATATTAGGCAATTACCTATATTAAATAGAGCTCATTGAAAATTTGGTACACCACGAGACGATTCTCAGCGTAAAAATTATGAAACATCTTATTAAACGGATTTAGAGTTAATCTACTAATCATACACAACCTAATCATATTTCAAATAGGTTACATGACTGAAAACCTTATAACCTACCCATTTATGTATTGAAGAAATAGCACATGAATCAAAACTTGCTCTTGTTGACCCATCAGAGCTATATCATAAAACAAATGTGATTGAAATAGACAGGATAAAATTTTTCATATTTATCTAAGGAGAGAAAAAATTCAAAAAGACAACTTAATCATATGGCAAACTATGGTTTTTGATCATTCAACATTGCAAGTTAGGTATGAAAATAGACAATCGGTTGAATGTTCTACACAAATGGAAGACAAGACACAAAGATTACCTTGTAATTGATTCTGATTCGCTCACAGTATTGTCTAAAATAAATTGGAATCCAAGATTATGGATTATAATATGTTAAACAACATATTCATTTCAACTGGACATAACCTGGATCACAGAAATGCAATTTGAAAAAACTGAGGCTATTCAAAAATACCATTTCCATTATCGCCATCATGAAAATTTTAAAATATGGTCATCTCCATACTTAACTCACCCAATGATATACAAACCGCACACACTTTTTCTACTTGAAATGTATATATATATAAATAAAATATTTAAAATCAAAAACAGAGGAAGAATAAGTGATTGAATAAATATTAATAGTCAATTCAGACATTCAATCTTCAGTAACTAATAATATATATAGAGCCTAAATATAATGATCATTGATCACTGTTGGAATTTATTATACAACATTGAACCGTTCATCCAATTTTGTCCTGGTTTTGAAAATAAATTAATATGCTGTCATAGTGCTCTTGATATTCTAGTTGTGTAGCTTTGAAGTGTAGCAAGGTTACTAATAGGAGCAAATCTTGTGAGTATTTGATTATATCCAGCAATATATATATATGATAATATAGACTGCTAGATTTATCTGTAAACTTGCAGAACCCCTGGACAGTGCTCGTTCCACATAACACTGGTTGAAAACCACTGTTCTCGTTAATAGTGTAATCGCATTCAAAAATCAAATTATACCTTCGGAATAAAACGATGAAACATTTACTATTTTGACAGCAGCCTCAATGATGTCATCCTCCCATTGAAATGTTACACAAGCTGAATTTGGTTTTGAATCAGCGTTGTCTAAAGATCTTTTTTTAATCGCATGTTTCACTAAATTTGAAGTCAAATATATTTATATTTACAAACAATGTAACAGAAAATGCAATTTTATAGACATGTTAAGAGATCATTGTTTGTAACCTCACCCGTAGCGTTATAAAAATTTGAGCCACAATTTATCAGCCTGTGGTAGATTTTAATATACTTAATCAATTTGTGTATGAAAAAGTTCAATTTTATTGTTTTTGTAAAATACCGTATCTGATTTGCCTTTACCTCTTGGAATAAAATCATTGTCTTTATTCACTCTGATTTTGATTCTTTGTCGGTTTGCCGTGGTGCATGATTTACGAGAACAAAAACTATGCTGAAGTAAAAAAAATCACAGGTTTCTTAATATCTTATATATAATTTGAATTATAAATTGTATATATGTTGACTCTATTATTTTGAAAAGCTGCAAAACATTGAGTCTTTTTATAAATATAAGAGCAATTTACATACACAAAGACCAAATGACTAATATAATGAGTAAAATGTTGGGAAGTATGAGGTTCCATACTCCATAGGAGTAGGACATGGGAAATTTGAAAAAATAAAATAAAAGTAATATCATTCCAGCACCTTCTTCCATTTTCGAGCACTGGAAATTTAATTTTAAAATTGATTGGTTCATTAGTTGTGGAAAAAAGTGATTTTTACAACCTAAATAAAAACAAAAGCAAAAATTTAGGAAACAACCAATAGATCCACTTCATGTCCAATTATGAAGGTTTCTAAACACTAACATTAAAGACATTGTTTCCATTTTTATTAATTCAAAAATCATACAATAAACTCGAGTGAAAATAACGTGCATTACAAACGATATTAACCAAAAGCTCACAATATAGTTTTTGTGCCTGCATGTTTTGCATGAAGATTCATCAATGTTATCAGAATAAATTGATCTAAAATAAAATTAAGAAGTTCAATTACATATAACACTAAATACAGAAATTAATCAAAGCACAAATAACATTAGAAAAAGTAGTTACCTTTTCATGTGCCCATGCATCAATGTACTGGTAGGATTGATAGATGTTGCTGCCATATGTCCGTTCATGCTTGGCTCAGTTGTTGTTAAGTGTTTTATCATAGTTGATTTAGTTGTTGTTGTATGTCCATTCATGCTTGGAGTAATTGTTGTTGTGTGTCCATTCATTGTTGTTGTTGTTGTTGTATGTCCATTCATGCTTGATGTAGTTGTTGTCATATGTCCACCCATGCTTGGAGTAGCTGTCGTTGTGTGTCCATTCATAGTTGATGTATGTCCACCAATGCTTGGAGTCATTGTTGTTGTTGTTGTATGTCCATTCATGCTTGATGTAGTTGTTGTCATATGTCCATCCATGCTTGGAGTAGCTGTCGTTGTGTGTCCATTCATAGTTGATGTATGTCCACCAATGCTTGGAGTAGTTGTTGTTGTGTGTCCATTCATAGTTGATGTATGTACACCCATACTTGGAGTAGTTGTCGTTGTGTGTCCATTCATAGTTGTTGTGTGTCCATTCATAGTCAATGTAGTTGATGTTGTGTGTCCGTTCATGTTTGGTGTAGTTGTTGATGTATGTTCATTCATAATTGATGAGGTTGTTGTTGATGGTGTGGAAGTTATGGTGTTTCCATGCATGCTTAGTGTGGTAGCTATGGTGTGACCATGCATGCTTTGTGTGATATCTATGGTGTGACCATGCATGCTTGGTGTGGTAGTTGTTCCATGACCGTGGATGCTTGGTGTGGTCGCTGGTGTGTGGCCATGCATACTCGGTGTAGTTGATGTAGTTTGTTCATGCATGTTTGATGTTGTTGTATGTCCAAGAATGGAGTCAAAAGGAGTTAATATTGTTGCCTCTGTTGAAACCTCCAATACATCCAAAGGATTTGGTAGACACATATATTTCTGAAAAGCCATCATAAACCATTATTTATCATCCATAGCAGCAAACAGCACACCGCACAGTAATATTACATATTTCAAATCATTTTTATTCAAATTTAGATATCAGAATCAGTTTTTGCTCTGCATATCTCTTGAATGGATCCTGTGAAGTAGAATATTGCATCCTTGTTTATTGTCTATACATGGTCTACCAGACTCAGAAACCGTCTCAGGAGATAATAACATAAAGAGATAAATCATGGGCAGAAATTGTCAGTTTTATCCAACATCAAAACGTTATGCAGTTACATCAAACCTATTAAAATTAACCTCAAAATAACTTATAATGGACTAGATTCTGTTTAAAATATAAATAGGTATCCAACAAATCTTTTACACTCAAATATGATGGAACTGTCTTAAACAGTAAAAGAGAGTAATCAACTTTTTCAGAAAAGAAAAAGAAAATACTTTTCACTATAAATTAATATTTGATTTATTTTTTATTCAATATCCAATTGTGGAACAAAAAATATACATTCTTTTCCAGATTGAGACAATTTTCTGATTTTGCTTTGTTGCATGCATTCATGACTTGTTTGATTGACAAAAAGGTTAGAGATGAAGCAACTTCACTCATGAGATCAATTTCACTCATATTTGCATTTTCCTTCTGTAAGATTTTTTCTAATAGTGGTGTCAATAGTGGACTGAAACAATATTGGTTTTATAAAAATGAAAATTTAATTCATGGTTTAGTTCAGATAGATTTGCCAACTTGGGACTTCATGGCCTAAGTTAATCTTTTTATATCAAATTTTACCTTTTAATATAAAGTTCAGAAATATGGGATTATAGCCTGAGACTGGGCTATTCAAGCTGCATCACAAATACATTCAGACAAATATGACTAGTATGTAGGTAGATCTTTTATTTATAATTTACATTATACCAAGTCAACATATCTAGATCGATAAAATTCACAAATGTATATACCGTAAATGTGATGTCGAATTAAATAAAAAAATATAACAAAATATCATTCTTGACTAAATACAAAATGCAATTACCTGTTTAATAATGATATTTTAATTTCCTTGTTCAAGAATGCTTTCAGGGAAGTTGGAATAACGAACTGAATTCAATGTTGAATACATGAATAATTTAATATTTTATGAGACGTTTTTTCATCATAAGAATGTATATTTTTACCAGATATATGTGACCAAAGATATTACTAATAAAATCGATAGCAAATTGGTATATTGTAAGATACTTCATTATTATTCTTATAAAATTTGTAAGAAATTTTTAATATCAACTAATGGTGCATGTTTACTTGGTACTTAAATTATCATATATCATATCTGATTTTTCAGTTTTCATTTTCCAATAATTTGATAATTTGTGCTTATCACAAGCCATGATCAGTGAATCAGACTTAATGCACCCAGGTAAATAAATTTGCTACTTACAGCATTGGGTATAAACCAGTAAAAATTACTATCTGTCAACTCAAGTTCTTCAGCACTAGTTAGAATCATCTCAACATGGTTATACTGAGCCATAACAATGAAAGCTCTGAAAATAGAGAATGGTTTATTGAAAAACTCCCGAATTGAAATTTTAAAAATCAATTGACAAAATTTAATCAAAATTTAAGATTTTCAGTATTTTTTGAATAATAATATTGATGGATTTGAAAATCACCGTTAACGTTACCATTGCTTAAAAATATAAAATATCAGATGGCAAGTAGTGCCATGTGACTTTTTTGAGGTTTCAAGGCAATATAAACTTCAATTTTGATTAATTATGAACATATTCTAATTATCATTTTAAAACTTCCAATTACAAAAAAAAACTTTATTCCAACAATATATGATATAAAAATTATTTTCAACTTATTTTTTTAATTAGTTACCTTATTCCTGCTTTCTTTGCGCTTAATAATGTTTCTCTAAGAGCTGATTTTTCTGCAACTGCTTCGAATGCAATTGTTTCCAAATTTTCAACTCTTGCTTGCTGCATACTTGTGAATGTAAAACTAAATTCTAGGAATTATTTGAGCACATATTTAGAAACTGTGAAGTACATCTCAAATGATAGAATATAAAAATTATACAATAATGCAATCTAAAAAGTGCAGAATATCTTCAAGTCCCCATATCTTCTAGGGATAAAGATATCTATTGGAGATAGAATATAAAAATATACAATATATCTAATGCTTATCAACACCTCAATCTGTTTATCAATCATGTTATGTAATGTACAATAGTTTATAATGTTATTTCATGTTAAATAAAAAATCAAATAAAAACAGTAAACTTTACATAGTTTTAGTAAGACTTTCGCAGACAATTCAATCAGAAACATTACAAATAGAGAAATAGGAGATTTCTGTGTGTATTGAATATATGGTAAAAATTTATCATTTAATTTCTTTTGACCATCATTTTTTTCTCCAAGAACTATTGCATGCTTCCACTCATATTCTTTTGTTGCCAATAACATTGCAGAAAGAACAAAAGTATCTGGTGGATACAAGTAAATAATGCTGTTAAGTTCTTCATATTCATCACATGACTTAAATGATCTGCAATAAATATTTTAAGAAATTTAATAATGTGTAAATTTATCTGATTTACACATTATTTATATATATATAAACAGTATTAATGTGAGCAAAGCAGATTTTAAATTCTACATTTGTTATTTGATAAAATACAAAAAAATTACTATAAGGTAAGAAGCTGTAATTGAATTATGCAAGCAAGCAAACGAGTGATACATTTTGCAGAAAGTAAATGGGGTAACAGTAATTAATTCAAAGTTATATCAATCGATAAATCTTACGTTTTATTGTCAGTAATGACGAAAAACTGATTTTTTACTTTTACTATTGTCAATTACAATCAATTTTATACAAAAAATCAGCAATTGTGTTATTCATATTTCTTGATCCTGCCCCAAATTAAATTTCATTCGAATTCTTTAAATATTATTCCAAATACTATAAATTATATTTTTATTGAGAAGCTAAGTCTGTTATGCAAAATAGTTGTTTGGTTGCAAAAAAAATTATACTTCAAATGTGAATGTTTTTAAAAGAGCCCATGAATCATCTAAACCAGGGGTTTTCCAAAGTTGATTGATCGCGGGCCAAAATTCGAACTAGAAGGAGATTCCCGGGCCAGAAAAAAGGAGTAAATTGTATTCGCAATAACGCATTCGAGTGATTATCTGTCAGTCTGGACCAAAGTTTCGATTTTTAGGGTTCATAATTGTGTTGTTAGAAATACCGATGCTGGAAAATTTACTTTTCATATCAGGAGAAATAGCTTCCAAAACTTGCAGCATACATTCGCGGAAAAATTCCCCTTCAACAAACGGGTGATTTTTTTCAACAATGTTGTGGGCTACAATATAACTGGCCAATAACGTGGATTCACTTTCATTTGACATTTTTCTGAACATGTCTGTTTGACTTTTGTATTCAATGAACTAAATTTTGAAATACGGCGCTCGCGCGTCAACTGATCATAATTTGAAGAATGCTTCGTTGTATTCCTTAAGAACTGGAATAACTTGTTGGCAAGGAAGACAAATCACTGAAGTTTGATTATTTTCAATAAAGAAATGAAAACGCTGCCATTTATCTAAAAATTGTCTGTTTTCAGTGTCTACTTTTTGTTTTTTGACATCTTCAAGTTTTCATATAAGGCTGATAACTAAAATACTGCCGTATGCAATCCTAATACCGGCACGTATCCATAAGGTACCGGTATAATTGAATTATACTGGATATACAAGATCTTAAACTGTGGTAATGATGTAACAATTGGCGGTATCTAGAACGTGAAAAGGTAAAAACATAAATTGTTAAATTATTTTACTTGAGTTCGGCGGGACATTTTAAATTGTTACGCGAGCCGCGGTTTGGGAACCCCTGATCTAAACAATTATGAAATAAACTGACAATTCATAGCTTGTGGGATATCCTGATAGTATCCCAAATATATTGCTTTTATGGCCCACATTTGAGTGGATATTCGAAACACTGCCATCCTAAAAAAATATGAGGAAGTGGAAATAATGTAGCAAAATAAATGTGTGAAATATTTACATCCTGTATCCGCCGCAGGCACCATTATTGAACCACATTTTTAATTAAGGAGTAGTTTACTTACCCTGAAACAACATAGATAGGAATTTGTTTCTTTATTTTTGCCACCTCATCACATTTTAATTTTTTGCCGACTACAATAAGAGCAGTGAAGTTTTCAGTTCTCAATTCGTCTGGAAATTTGTAAATAATTACGGTATACAATAAACAACAGTATAGAAATATATTTTGAAACCGAAATTTGAAAATCCAATGTAAATTTATTACAAATATAAGGTGGACAAAATCCCTTCAGTTTGAATGATGTAAACACTATTTTGATAAGTTCTGAAGATTTAATGATATGATATACAAATAGTTTATTTTTAATAATATGCCACTAGAAGGAGCATGCTGGCCAACAGGATAAAAATTTCTAGCAGGAACAGTAGGGCATCCATTTTCTATTGTTCCATAGCTTTAAAACATTATTAAAACAAATTTTCAGATTGATAATTATTATTTGAGGCATTATGGGAATTCTTGATAATAAAATCCTTGATAATAATCAAATACATAATAATAAAAATAATAATAAATCCAAAACCAACTTGTGGCTAATATATTCTACACATTGTACAATGCTGGTTTGGTGATGACTTACCATAAACTGTGGCACCAAGGTCAAGATCAAATTTTTTGGTTTCTATGAGAATGTCACTCTCCACTTTGAATAAACTTGGAAAATTGACAACCGATTTATACACTGCATCAATATGTTGACTGTCGACATAATGGTCATGAAGAATTCCTTAAAAACACCAAGATCGAGGTGAATTTGTCGCATAAAAAACAGTTTTTATAGTCAGTAATGTATGGTGTGCAGCCTTCATGGGTACAAAACATCACCAGTCTCATAACTTTATACAAATACCAGTCTGTCACCACTGCTACTTTCTTTCTACGATCTTTAAAACATTGGATGATTTACACGTTTACAACAATGACTGGAACATGTAATTTGTATAAATTATATAGTCATGTGACATGTCATTCACGGATGATTTAGCTGCGTATACAACAATGACTGGAACATGTAATTTGTATAAATTATTCCGTCCTAAATCATCTATTGTAATAAATCTGAGTGCTTCAATGAAAGATATACACTTCGTAATGTTTTGTACTTATTCCTCCGTATATGCACCACGGCGTCAAATAAGGTATACCAGGAGTGCATGAAAATTTTCGCGTTTTGCGTTTTGTGCTTCGGTTACACGAAATGCATATATTGGTGATAATGACAATATGTAAATATGCAGATTCGAACCGCCTGTCGTAATAGGGAAATATACTGTTTGTACGTGAATGGCATATTGCAAAATAAGAATAACTTATACTCGTTGTAAGGTACAGGCACAGCGCTTGGACGAACTTGATACAAGTTTTCGCATAAATTCACTCAAACGGGAGACAGATAAAAAAAATCAAGGCCTTTGTGCAATTTCGTTTGGAATATCTTCAGTTCGCGAAAGAGAGTGAAAATAGCACTGATAGGATGTTACTGGCAACCATTGGTGGGCAAATAATTAGGTATGGCGATGTCAGTATAGCGTTTGGCACAAAGTAAGAAATCAATGAGATTTGGACCAAAAAGACTACTCACCAATTTTCATTCGAACAATTTGACCTGTGCATCCTTGCAATAACAATATGAACAAGGTAATTTCCAGTGGAGCAAAATTGAATAGTTTATGAGATATCATACTTATATCATTTTTACACTGTAAAGGTTAGAAATAAATTTACTCGCTAAATCACCAATAAATAAAAGTTTAAAGTACTTTTTTAACACCTCATTTCAACCACGCTGATTAGGTTCCGGCATTGCTTATAGCTTTCCACATTCTGCATCCTACGATAAAAGAAAAAAACTTTGCTCTGTGTTCTACAGATTGCATTTATGTGAAAGGACGTGAGTATTTATTAAAGGCCCAATTTTCAATCTGTATTTATGAAACAAGTTTCAGATGTATCGCGACGCGTTTGACTCTGAATACGTATCTATGGGAATCACTTATAAGCTTATGAAAGCAGTAGCACTCGGCCAATTAGTCACCATAGACACTGAAATCACTGTGTAATTTTATATTTAATATTGACTGATTAACAAAGGGCAAAATCTCATTACTCGGAATAAATATTATGACTGTAGAGTTAGTACAGTAATTGTGATAGTCTTCCAAAACTCCATATCCACGAGATTTAATCAAAATTTGTAACTGCAAACGTATTATAAAGTGTTGAAGTATATGTCATTCTATTTTGGTCCCTTTTGTTTTTTGAATTAGATTACGTGGTATGATTGCCTATGAGTCAATTGTGTGTCATATATATATATGTAATATTTCACTCTATTCTAGGATCACGTACGTACATGATGGTGCATATCAGCTCCGAAAAAAGAAGCGTTACTAGAGTAAATGGTGAATTCTAATTTCCAAACGATGCATATATATATATTCAAAGATTACTAAATTGCATATTTTTACTCAACTCTAGTTACATTGGCGGCCCGACAAAATAAAGAAAGGAATACTCTGCTTATTGATCAGCTTTTTAATCTTTTGATTAATTAAATTGATTGAGAATATATGGATGTAAAATTTGCAACATTATATTTGGAATATTATAATAACTTTCATTAGCTTCAAGATTTCTTTAGCTTGGAAGTTTGGTTTTTGAATCCATTAGTTTGTGTAAACTTTTGATAGTATTGTATAAAAAATTTATCCCACAATATAATATTATTAAATATCTCACATGTTTCCTAAAAGAATTTGATCAAAGTTTCACTTTTGTATAAAGGATTCACTATCGTCACAATAGTATGATGATGCAGTCAAGTGTAACAATTAAATGGGTAAAAACAAAAGAGCAATGCTCGTATATATGGACACGGAAGTTGAGAATCTGTACCGGTATGATCAGTAATTGACTGAGCACCAAGTTTGTTGGAAATATCGGCGGACAATTGCGGCAGAGCGAAGAGGCATATCGGAATTATGTGTACCCAAATTTCATGAATAGTGTTCCCAAGAGTTAAAATGAAATAAAAAATTATGGGTGAAATAACGGGGCCATACCATTTGGAAAAAAAATTGATAACTCCCCAGAGGCTTCATCCATTTTTAAGTAATAAAAATTTTTAAATAATAATTTCAATAGCGATTTTTTTCTATAAGTTTTATTTTGGTGTGCAACATTTAACTTATCCAGCCACCAGTCCATAGGGCCCAAAATCATTAGTGTATAAAAAATTACTATATGCAGAATATATTTTATTTCTCGGATATATAATATATTTACATACAAATACCGGAAATTAAAATTTGTATCATATCTTAAAGCAAAAAAGTACGTGATATTTTTTGTCATATTGAGTGTTTTATTATAATAAAATAATATATTATAGATAATATGAAAAATGCAAAGAATATATGCAATATTTCACTTACAAATAAATGAATAAATAAATTATTGTTGTACATGTCCTAATAAATATGTAATAAATAATTTTGTCAGTATTAATAGAATATTATTAAATAAATTAATTTGTTAATAAATAGAATATGCAAAAAATAATATTAAATAGTGCTTCAATGCTCCATGCTTTGTTTCAAAGGAAAATCTTTTTATTTCATGTTTGAATCAATCCAGTCACGATATCCTGATACCTGAAATATTAAAATTGAATCATTAATAAAAATTTATTTAAAATCCGCGGTCGTATCCGTTAGATGCAACATCATGCTTATACACAATTACAGATAGGTTATATCATTTACCTGGGTGTATATTCCCGGTAGGCCCCGTTGTCCGCATGGTGTTGGGCCGTATGAAGCTATACCATGCAAATTAAACTTTCCGTTATTATCAAGACACAGTAAAGGACCGCCACTGTCACCCTGTATGATTATCAAAACATAATTTTTTTTCAAATTAGAACGTCTCAAATTTTGTTATAAAGCTACCATTATGTTACACTGCTTACTTTACATGTGTCCAGTCGTGAGCTGTAGCCGGAACGCACCGGAACGGCGTTCCGGTTGTTGGACATTTTATTGCATTTGCGTTCCGGTTGTTAAAATAAAATTATGGTACAAAAAGTCTAGTTTCTCTGGTTAAATAGTTATTAATTTATGTTTTGTTACAATATAATTCGTAATTCTTTTTAAATAACATCACGCAAATAATTAGTACGGAAGTAAGGTGTAATAGATATATCCCCGACCTTTGACACCATGGAAATTCATCCTATACGGCAGGGGTTCTCAAACTTTTGGCGTTGCGGAGCCCTTGAAAAGGTTGACTATTATTCACGGAGCCCCAAAATGAATGTTAAAATTGTTACTTTCCGATTAATATTCCTGAGTAATTTAAACGTACTTTACTCAATTTAAATTCTGAACCCTTTTAATAGGGTTAATACAAGTCATAAATAAATCTAAATTTCAAAGATAAATTGTATATACTAAAGCTGTAAATTTGACACATGACAAACATATTAATAAATTAGGGGTCGAATCTTTTCCCCTCTTCACATTTTTGGAAGACTTAAAAGACCGCTAATATCGTGCGAGATGGCATTTTGTTACAGCCGCCGATTGTTTTCGTCAGCATGGCGTGTTTTTAAGCCTCAACCATCTTCACGCCAGTGTTTATTCCCCCCAAATCAAAAATTTTCTTCGGCATATACATGTATTGTTCCACAATGACGACGATAATTGCTTTTTCGTTATCGTGGTGAATTATGAGTTCAATGTGAAAAACATGTTACCTTATTATAATCATCGGCGACGAAATGCTAAAAATAATAGTTAAAAAAAAGAGGTATCTCCGCAATCAAAATTCTTGATTAAAGAGCGGCATTCTAAAATATTAGAACTAAAACTTAAAATGGGAGATAACACTATAAGTTTTGTTTCAGCAGACTCACGTCAGAATAAAAACGCTTTTATAGACATTGTAAATCACAAAATTTGGTGTTATGTTAGGTTTTCTTCAATTATTCATCGCGGTAACTGCGAAATTGAAACACAGTCAAATAATTATGCGCGCGATGTACCATTTTTCCACTCTGAAACTACCGATAAATTTCAATCGTTCGTATTTTGCCAAGACCTTGTGATTTTTCAAACGTCGATATCTTGCTTAAAAATAATCTCGAGTGCGAAAGAACCAATCAAGTTTAACAAATCCCAAGATCGCAAAAATACGACTCCAATTCATTTATAGCTGGCAGTTTATCACGCAGTTTATGTTATTTTAGAATAGTATTCTTTCATTTTAGTAATCCTAATAGTAATCTCGAATCGAACTTTAGTAACGATGAGCACAATTAAATTATTACGACAAGACACTTTAGATGCTCGCATCGGTCATGAATTAAAATTTTTACGTAACAGAAATCTCGTTATCCGTTTTTTTGAAATTGCCAAGAATGTTGCGCGTAAATTTCCGATTCCAAATTTGAACCTCCTTCCTCTTAAGAATCCTGGCTGCGCTCCTGCTTAGAAATAATGTCATTTTTTAAGTCCACCACTTTGCCATATTTTGAGGCTATATTGTTGTAAAATTTTATCAAAGCAGTTTTTGCTTCTAGGAACATTTTTAAATTAGCCAAGTCAGTATTCTGAAAAGTAATCGAATAGCTCGCGCAGCCCCTGGGTTTCTCTCGCGGAGCCCTGGGGCTCCGTAAGGAGCACTTTAAGAACCAATGCTATATGGTACCTTTCTAAAATAACATTTGTATTGAATTGCTATAAATGTCCTTGTAATAATTCTACCAAACATATTTCAGAAAATTTCTTCATATTTTATTGCAGTTTTTCGACTCTATCTTAAGACAGTCAAAACATTCTGTAAACGTCCGCGTCGTGTTGTAAATACCGTATTTCCCGGCGAATAAGTTTACCCGGCAAATAAGACGAGACGAGATAAGACGTGGAGAATAAATGCTGAAATGAAGCATGTTTACGGCTCAAACAAGACATCACGCTGACAAAAACAATTGGCGATTTTCACAAATTGCAATCCCATGTGTATAGGACAGGTAATAGCCCTTCACTCGTGATGCACACACACAAATGCAACTTCAAATATGATAATCACAGCATTAGCATTACAGAAGTAGTTCACAATATGTATCTCAGAATTTATTTCATTCATCCATAGATTACTGCTATATTTCCCAAACTTTAAATCACAGGCTGCAAAAAGTAAACCAGAGATCATTGCAAAATAGGATTATCCGCGCCGGGCGGCCAGCGGCAGTTAGTGATACGATTGAGTGAGATCATACAGTGGCTTTTGTTCAACGACGACCGTGCGTAGGATTTCGAGAGAACTTGCGTGACCGTGCGTAAAGTTTTTACGAGATGTTTCGTGAATCGCACTTAACCAGATTTCATAACTGCGTTTTTAGGAAACAAGGTTACGTGCTCGTAAACGCGGCTTTTTACGAAGTTTAGCGAATGGGGCCCCAGATGATGACGAAGAGGATGCTATCGCCTAAGTTGTTTTATGGTCCGAATTGAATAATAAACGACACACAAAAAATGAAAAATTATCATACTCGCCTAATAAGACGACAACCCAAAAATCAGGCCAAAAATTTGGGTCTAGAAAAGCGACTTATTCGCCGGGAAATACAGTATATTACATTTTTGCGAATTAAGTGTGTTCCGGTTGTTACGATTTTTCCAGCTCATCACTGCATGTGTCTTCACCAGAATGTTCTTCGGCACAGAATTTTGTAGAATTTGTGTTCACTCCCATGTAATCCTATTTTCTTGCATTTTCTCCCCAGTTATTGACGTACACAATACTCGAGGTAGAACGAAAACTTCTGATTCTTGAAGGACGTTGATTCTTGATCGTATTTTTTCTGAGATTCAAAATTGAAAGAATCTTGAACCTATTGAAAATTCCGAATTTATTTTATGTAGTAATACTCTATAGTTATTCTATCCATTTCATCGATGAATATTTATGTTATGATCTACCATCATAGACGTCGATTTAATAACATCTTCATATTTTCAATTAAGTAATTGCAAAAAACAGTGATATTTGCAGCAAACAAAATCGTACATGTTTTCCCCCAACCTAAAACAACACACTTTTTGCCATTAAATGCTGATTCCATTGATATAGTATTTGTCGCATCAGTTGGAAAACGTTGGTTTGGTAAACATGCTGACGAGATGTGTTTATTGAATATTACAGGATTTTTGAACTGAAATAAGTTTTCATAATATGGAAAATATTTGCAATAATTTGAAAACGAGAATATCGGTCGGAGACCGAAGACATATCGATCGAAACTGCGGTTTCGTCCATGACTCTATAGTGACACCGCGTGTCCCATCACTAATTAATCAATAACTCGCTAATTATACGACATAATTCATCTAAAATCGATAGGCTTCTGGTCCGAGATATGATGAATGCACATGCAAAATTTGGAGCAGATTCAACCACGCCTTCGTGAGATATTGCGTGCATATAACAGACGAACAGACAGACAAACAGACAAATACCTAAAGATCGATAAGTAATAATGTAATGTAATGTAACTTCGTTTTTTTTCAAATATATTCCACTTAGGTCCAACTAATTATGATCTGTATTGACATACAGTATGACAATACAGTTTTATCCATACGTTCCTATAACTAAATACTTCATTATCTAACCACTAAATTAAATCACATCACAACTATAAAATTCAAACATGTCATACCTTTAGCAATGCAATATCATGGTCGTAGTTAACAACAATAAATTGTTTGTGCCTTCTGATGGAAGAGATGTTAGACATCCTTTCATTTCCACTAAATGTGCTGTTTTCTCCGAGAAATACTTCGTACCTTTCTGGTGCATTAAGACTAAGAAAATAAATAAATAAATTATTTGACACACAGTTATCGCACTGTACTCAAATTATGTAGGCGTAATTGAATACGAACTTATTGAACTTAAAAACTGAGGTATTTCATACTCACAACGAAATGCAATGTGCAGCAGTAACAATCTATTGGGAATTAATTAATGTTCCACCGCATCTGGGTTCACTGTTTTGCAATAAATATATCATCCATGGCCAATTTCCTGCATTTTTTTTCACCTAATATATAATAGAGTTTATTTTTCATGCAATCATTTATATATTTTATAGCAATTAGGCGAAGCTTAAATAATTCAAATTATTGACGAATGACATTTAGAACCTAAAACTTACCTAGAATTCGTGCATTTTTGAGTCCCGAACGAAATTTTGCCGATGAAAAATCTAAAAGATGAGAATCTTTTTTATTGGAAAACTGAATTTGAAATTAAATTACGTTATGGGAAATTTAATGTTTATTTTATTTTTGCTTGATTATGATCTACAAAGACAATTTCTATCCGAGGTTGGATACGTTTGAAGCGCGATAAATTAGACAAAATATTACCTTAATTTTTCACCCCACATTCACTGAATTTATTCAAAGAAACGGTCAAATCATCAGTCAGATTTGGTAGTTTATATCTTCGGGAGGCTGATAAACGTTTCCAATCATTAGAAATCCAAAAAGCATGAGGACGGCGGCTGCAATTGTTGTCCCCGCTATATAGGTAAAAATGGGAGGTAGCACCGATAGAGTCATTATAAAGATTCTTATAGTTTACCTCACTGAAACGTTGAGTTAAGCCGATTTTCTATTGTATCTGTTAAAATTTCTTATGCTTGATGTATCTAATTTCTCGCTGTTTATACTACATCCAGAAAGATCCCCATTGCATCCTTGATTTTATTTCAAATCCTTTGAAGTTATGAATACCTTTCCGCAACTATATGGTGATTCTTCGCACAAAATTCTAAAGATACTGCACAATATGGAAAACTAGTGTGAAATCTAGTAAAATATTTCGAATCCCCCTTGAAGTCCAAAAAAATGCTATTTGTTCCATCAAGCGTATATTTTTGATCTACCAACGAGGTCTCGTTGCGAAAAAAAGCACATTCATTCAGTTTTTTCTATTTACAATAAGTCCTGCAATTTTGGTTGTAATTCAATTGTGACATACTGAATAAAAAAATACATTTGACAAAGCACAC